TTTGTCAAATAGCAATTGATCATTTACAACATCTTTTTATTTGGCTTTGAAATTTTTTTCCTCACTTTGTTGAGATGCATTCAACAGTATTTCTTCCAAGGGCACAAGGGCGATGGGAAAGAATGGCGCATTTCAAGAATTTGATCGTTTCCTAATCATGCTGTATTTTCGCCCTGAGTTGATTTAGGCGTTTACCGTTTGATAACTTGGCATACGGCAAGAAATATAACCATCAATTTTTGTAATTTCCTATTTTTATTTAACACACAACTATTGCTTAAATGACAAGTACACGAAGACCAGTTAAGTCCGTCAGACATAAACTTCTGATGTATGTATTTTAGTAACGTGGGAATATCCTTCCCCGGTCAGGTGAAAGTGCAGAATTTTTTTTTTCACCTAAACAAAAACCTAACCCCACTTTGATACAACTCCTGCCAGAATGCTTGACGTTGTTATCAACCCTCGAAGGCGATGTTTTGGCGTCGCGCAGGTTTACGTGTTACCGTTGTCATCGATACTATCGATTTTCAGTTCCAACAAGGGGGTCTGTCGTTCAAAACCCAATAATAATTTCTTCATTACCCTGGCGAATATGACATACATACATACATGAAGCTGAACTCAGCTCTGTTCATTATGTTTTGTATATCAGCAATATTGTGCGACCATACATCTCGCGCAATTTAGGAGCCCAAACCTCCAGCAGTTGGCATGGCAATAATTGATCAACAGGTTCCTTGTGACTTGGCGATTGCCATGACAACCGGAGACCAAGTGTCATGGCTGTGTAGGTCCTGATGTTGTCGCTGTACTGTGTGCGTGTGTATTTCGAGAGGCCTCTTCATAATACATAATTTGGGTCAGTGATGTAGCATTCTTTGTTTAACAGGCTATGCGTTTCCAATATTGGTTTTATTTCCTTTTCTTGTACTTTTTTTCCTTTCCTTTCTTTTCTTTTCTTTTCCGTAAAGAATGTCTATGTTCGTCTATTGCGCTGCGTGTCACATAATCTTGTTAAACGCACATGCTGTCACTATTGGTATAACTAATGCGTCGCCACTCCACAACGACCAGCTTCATGGCACTGGAGACAGCATATCTGGAATGCGCGTTGCGATCAGAGAATTATACCCCTTAAAAAGTTGCTATCAACACCAGCTTCTGTGAAAATTATTTAGAACAAAGGTTTAAATATCAGTTTGGACCAAAGGAATCGGTGCGGCAAAACTGAAAAATATTCAATCTTCAACTTATATTTCACCGGAACTTGATTAAAGCCCGTACTATATGATCACTGATGGAGAGTCATTCTAAGGTGCTTGATCATTCCACCAATGCTAATATCAAGGACGAATATTGTAGTACGTGGTACCTTGAGGTTTCGTCCTTTTAGAGGTCACTGACAGGTCCAAAAAGACACGCAATGCCTAATTCATTTGCTTTTAAGGGAGCGGTTTTCACCCAGCGAAATTGAGCCATGTAGTCCGCGTTTGATGGATAGTTACGGCAGCGCTGACATGCCCATCTTCTCTCCCTCATAAATCTTACTTCACTGGCAGTCCACAGTGGCGTCCCGTTTATTACGTCAGGACTTTAGAGGTACTAGCAGTCTGGGGTTTGTCGTCCATGTACAGTACATGCTAATAAGTCGAATCGCATGATATTTCGGCCAGCGAAACCTCCCACTCGATAGGTCATGCAGTATGAGGTGTTTGTAATTGTAGGAACGCTTAAGGAAGGACTCGAATATAGTGTTTCTGTGTTTCCTAATGTTTTGGTAGTCCTTTCTATTACGTACGTCCTAAGGGTGGATTCAATTTTTTTTCCAGTGGGGGCTTGGCCAGTCAGATTTTGTTCATGGTCCATTGTAACAGTTGTGGACACGTATAGGCCTACATGTATAATGCATTAAACCGTTACTGAGGTACAAATAATAGCCATTCTTTATACGGTGTCATCTTTTCAAATTATTACTATCATTGCGATTTCATTTATTATGTTTTGGGGTGTCAGAGCTGGGAGGGGGAGGGTTCACCCCCGGGACCAAAACCCCTCTCGATCCGCACCTACGTCCGTACTTTACTTCAGTCGGCATTTGCTGACGTTTTTTTTTTTGTGAAAGAAAATACCACCCAAAACTCGCCGTTAGATTGCACTCTTAATTTGTACTCCAGGAGTATCGCTTGTGACAAAGTGTTCCCATTAGTAAGGGCACAGACAGTATCGTTCACAACGATGTAGCTGTACACCTTTTTAAGAATACAGAGACCACGTAGAATTTTAATTGTGATCGCCCCCTTAAAATTCTAATATAACTGGCGTGTTTGCAAAGATAGGTCGAAGTAATTTAGAGTGACAAGCACGCCATTTCTTGTTGATTCTACCTTGGTGGGAGCTAATGGAGAAAAAGGAGCGCTAAATGTATTTCCTGTCAGTTTTAATTCCAGTAGTCTGTAATTCTTCACGAAGCAAGCCGTACGGGTCCAAGTGGTTCTTCACGTCAGTCGGTGATTAAGTCAGCAAAAACAAATCTGTGATAGAAAGGTCACGTTTCAAACTAGACAGGCTCCTATGCTGCATCCGTTTCTATCCAATTATTATGAAGGCTCTTGTTTACGTGAGAAATCGGTTAAAGAAGTAAGGAGTAAACTGACGCCCGTCTTTGATTTTACTTGTTTCTTTATGCGTGGTAAATGTGATAAGAATTTATGCATCCTTGTTTTAAAATGATGTCGACGCAAAACACGTGTGTCTTCTACTAAACTTAGCAATTACGCCGGCTGGTCGTCGTATACGAACGTTATTGCCCGTTTAGTACCAGGAACAGTCCGTTTAGTACCGCACTGATCCTCGATAATTTGTAGTCGATTGATTGAGGGACCAGACTGTGGATAAGAAGCGGCCATTAGCTTCGTGGATCTTTCGCTTGACTGATGTCAAGTTGCACTAATTGGAACTGGCAGGGAGTGAGTTGTTTACTATGCCGTGGCATCGCAAATAGCAGTGAGGAACTGAGTGGCTAACCCTGGTAATGAGTTAATGTACCTGCCGTACCTAAGGACCGGAAACTGAACCCGAGAACGTCGGAAACAAGATCTCAGCGCAAAGCTTCCAGAATCGTAAACTTTGAAAAGCGTGTTTATTTATTTTCTTTCGATAAAGGGCACAAAAAGAAATTAAAGTTGATAAAAATAATATATACCAAAATTTTAAGCACTGTTCGATACACAAAAGCGACCAACGGATTATAGCGAGGCAGCTTGGAAAAGAGAAATATCACCACAACCACCAAACCAAAGCAGAATGCAACGTGGAACAACAGACAATAGTCACAAGTCACCAATGATGGATATCAAAGATAATGAAATAGACGTCAACCTAACAACAACCCTTGACTCGAGCTCCGTATTCAAAACCCCTTGGTTACCTGCAGTGTTGCGGATGATGTTATGAACATTAAGTGCTACCTGTCGACATTATATCGCGACAACGATATGCAAAGCCATAGCTACGAGGGAAAAGAAGATTGTTGACAAATAGGCCTTAGCTTAACTGGTTGTCTGACTAATAGACAATTTCGATTCCTCGCGCTTTTTGTAGACATGACAATTCGCAGTCTAAGAAAGATTGATCAAAGCAGACATAAAACTCGGAAAAGAGGTGAACTTTAGAAGAGTGTACGCTTTTGTTGATTGTTTAATTCAGCCAAGCCTCTATGAAACAGCTGGATTTGCGTTTATATCCCAGCTGGAAACCGATTGGTTGTTTTAAGATCATCTGGTATTTGTAACGTGTGCCTTCCTCCGACAAAACTCTCATTTTACCTGTGTCACCTGGTACTGTTTTGTTAAGATATTTGATCATTCTGAAATCTGTAAACAGCTTCTTGGGTCTATCTGATATATTGTATTCAGTTTTTGTGTCAGTTTTCATTCTAAACAAACATGCATATCATGTTGATACATGTATATTTAATTTTGGATTTATTCATTTAAAATACATAATGTACAATGTAAAGACATAAACATAATATGTAAAGATATTTTATGGAATTTAGGCTTTCTTTACAAATGAATAATTAAAAAACTTGACTCTCTGACCAAGGTGTTCGAGTAATACGAACAACTAAAATATTGCTGATACAAAAGTGCTGTAATTAATGTTTAATATGTATATTTCTGCGGTTGTGTCTTAAAGGCAGCCAATTCGACTACCAACCGTGGTTAACAAACGAGGCTTTTACAGAGAAACGCTGTTTAAAAACCGGGGCTGAAATGCATCATGGTATAACCTAAATTAGGTTACTATACTAACAGCCTCTTGGCCATTATGTGGGGTCGTGTTCAAAATGAAGGGAAAAACACACCGGTTCTTTTCAGAACCCCACGTACTCAAAAAAGAGATATATCCACGGTGCTACCGCAAACCTATCCAGTTTACTTGCTATCTCCACCATGAAAAGCTTCAAATCTCATCAAAACACGCTAAGTTCGGTCCAACTGGCTTGTGTATCATAGTGAGCAAGGAAGAGGATTAGTATTGTGGATTTCTTGGCTCAGATCACAGAGGGTACTTTTTCTTTCAAAACTCTTTCCTGTTGGAAAAGATAAATTTTTGAAAGGTTATGCATATTTACTACCCTAATTTGCAGCCCCGAAGCATACTTTAAGGACAGAAACTCACTCCCTCGGGTTCTTGATCAGGTAATACCATTTCAGTTCCATTTTAAACAGGGGCATTTCTCTGTAAAAGTCGCGTTTGTGAAGATTGAAGGTTGGATTGGCTGTTGATGGCTCACAGCAGCGTGTCGCTGCAAGGCCAAACCGCTCTATAGTGCCTGCTCCATCATCAGCAATTCAGAAAGCAACGGTTATCTTTCCTCGAGTCAAAGCACGTACGGTATAAGCTGGAACCAACCTGTTGTGAGAATGTCACGGCTCATTTGCAATTGCCTTGTTCCCATGACAACAAGTCTAGTGTATTCATTTCTCCTACAGCTGGCGTCCAACCTGATGTTGTACGCATGCTCCATGATCGTCGGCTGCATCGTGTTTTTAATGGCCGACAGGAAACAGAGGCGAGCGTTCGTGGAAACCAAAGCGGCCTTAGAGATCAAACTTACGCTACAGGAGCAAAGCACGCAACAGGTAAATTATTTAGCTAACGGAAATAATGGAAAGCACAATTTATTTCCCCGCTGAACTTTATAGGCTACTTCTCAGCTTGAATTTTCAATAGACCCAGAATTTTCTTAAGGAGGCTGTAGTTATTTCTTTCCCATTTACTAGGCATTTTGAATGTGTTCACGCTAATCGATCGGTTAAACCCCCCCCAGGCTTTTGTTTCTTACAATTTCTAGCTTTGGGATTTTGCCTATGGGTTATTAAAGACCATCCAAACTGCAAACAAAGCTGAGGATTGAAACACATAAGAGGTACAAACAGCCAGCGTGCTTTCTAACGCTCAATATCTGGTGTGTTAATTAAGTCAAATAGGCACTCCTCAAAGAGCACCACATCCTGTCACAATTGAGGCTGTCTTTCTGTTTACTCTTCGGACGTTGCTTAATATGTCTGTTAATTTATAAGTCAAGCCTGCTTGGTGTGTATACGCAAGCACTGAATATTATAATGCATGGCAATACCTCAGACAGACTGGCTCTCACGGGCAATATATCGGAGACTTACACGATAAGACACAGATTTAGCACTGAAAATAGAAAATATTATGCACAAAAAAAGCATTTCAACTTTAGAGGAACTTTACAACCATTACGGTCAAAGCCGCGTTTGCCATAACAAATAAAACTCGCGGTTTGGGTAAAATAAAGCAAGTTGCAGTACCAGATTATAGTCAAGTTGAATGGACTTCGTCAAATTGCAGGTTTTACTTTGAAGCTCAATTTACCTGTATCAATAGACACTGAAGGTAATGCGATCCCAACTAACAAGCTGAATAACACTGCCAAGCGATTTGTTAAACCCTTGCCCTCCAATCTACTGCTATAATGAATCCCACAATGTAGATTTGTCTTCGAGTGGATCAATACTTTGCCAGTAATAAAAAATCTTACCTTAGTGCTCTTATGGGTATGGATTACTGTAAGCTGTTTTGGTAAGAACAACGTAGCTGTTGGGTAAACCGCTAAACAGTATACATTCCTACCACACATTTACATATCTTCAGTTTCTCACTGTTTTATTACCGTACAGGATATACGCTGCGGTTCAGACTGATACAGCTTATTTCCAATTAAAAAATTATGACATAAATTTATGTTTTATAGCTATTCCATATATCATTTCTTATTGTGTTGGGATATAATATATTATTTACCATAGCTTATGAAACAAGGTTTTACATCAGAAAATGTTAAAATGGGCATTGTATTAGAATATCCAATGATGCCGTCCACAAACAGTGAACACCAGTCAATTTTTAGACTTCAAAATTATTTTTGACTTGAAATTTGCTAAAGATAGCGATGTCACCACACGCCGAACGTCTTATTTTTAATACCGTGTTCCACTAAAATTATATAAAACTTCTATTTTGAGGTACTGACAATGGTGCTTTGCACTCAGATTCCAATTACTGTTCTTATCCACAGAGCAATGTTTTGAATTATTGTGGACGGGGAGCTGTGGGGTAATAGCAAGAAAGGAATTCCCATCACCGTCCTCCGGAAATTAAAAAACACGCTGACTCGAGGTTTTCAGCATGCCCACACAGGATTCGTGCAGCTCTTTTCACACTACAATTACCCCCGCCAATTGCAATATTTTTGCATGGTTTCTCCTTTGTGGTGCCCGACAAGAAATGCTACTCATAACTGATATGATCACGGACTCAGTAAGCTAACCTCGCATGGCCTTGCAAAGGCCTAGATAAAAGAAAAATTGCAAAGTCGGTTCTCATAAAACCTGTTTCAGGAGTGCTGAACGAGCATGATTAGTAGATTTTTTCCTTGTGACAATGACGGATGAAAAAGACTCAAATTTCGAAGCGCCCATTTCCAAACTCTTAAGAATTAGAATTTAAGGTTTACTCTGGAAGCCATCAGTGCAGCCAGCTTCTGCATTTGACATCGTTAGGTCTTGACTACTACTACCGTCTGCACATGGGTGTTGTGGGTTTAGCTTGAAAATCATAACCTCTTGGGTCACTGACCAACTATTGCATGATCTTTTTATATAATTCCATCAAAATCTACAGTCTTATTTGTGTCTTACAAGTCACGGTTTTGAAAGAGACATCTATTCAGCGTGAGGTCCGAACTCCTAACGAGATATAACGAGACAAACATCAATGATACACACATACACTTAAAGAGTATATGAAAAATACGAGGTAAACAAGCAAAGGCTTGGCATGCATGAATTGCCAGCCACGTAATTGGGAAAAAAAGTATGTGTATGAACAACGGTGTTACCATGGAAACCTGTAATCCAATCAGTCTGAAGTCACAAATGGTAATATTACTTGAAGCCACGTCAATAAGCAGACATGGCTTAACAAGAAAGCGCTAGAATGAGAATCCGCATTTATATTGTAGCTGTCTCTCTACCCGGACCATCCTTCAAAAAGTTTCATCTGTAAGCTACCACGTGATGTCTAATACTTGACGGTATTAATTTCTTGGATGGGAATTATTATGCGTGAAAGACGCATCAACTATACACGTTACGGGATATACATGTATATCACAGGATATCATGTGGCGTCAAAGCAAAGAGGGAAAACCTTACGGTCTATGAAGGCATTAAACTTGGACATTATTTAAGAGCACTCACCGATGTGAAAATTAAACTGAATATGCGGCGAAAGGTTGAAGTAGTGTAGTCAGCAAAAATATTATACCGGTAACACACTGAAACAAGAAGAAGCGTGCTAGTGACGAAATATGGCACAGGCTACCTCATTTTCAAAGTAGAGAATCACCACTTGGCGCCTCTGCAGTTAAAAGATGATATGCCATGATAATTCTTTTCGCAATCAAAGATTTCATATGTTTATTGCTCCAAGATCCAATAGTTGTATGGCTTAAGGAAAAATTGTCAAACTAATCAAATCAAAGGTAGAAAAGCTCACCAGCCCCCTCATAAATGGAGCATAATTTTTTGCAATCCCGTGATGATTATGACTGTGTGGTCGGGAAATCACTGATTTAGTAGTCTCTTGTTTCATTTCGAAGGTCTCTTGCATTTGTCCAGCGGCAAGTGAAAACCGCGACCGTCATAGTACGAGCGCTAGCGCCAAGCTGCCTGGCGTGCAGCGTACGTGCCCACTTGCAGTCGCAAGATTAGTTGTTTATACCTATTTTTCCTCGTTTCTGTCATGCCAGGAAGAGCTCCTGCTCTCTGTATTGCCCAAGCATGTTGCTGACGATATGATGAAGGACATGGGTACGGTCAACAAGGGACAGTTCAATAGAATCTACATTAAGAGACACGAAAACGTCAGGTAGGATCTTTGCTGCATGTGAGGTGTTAAATTGAGATGCCTTCGAATGCAACACCAGGCTAAAAAAAACCACACACACAGGTATGGAGAATCTATTGTGTGAGCAGCTGAAGCATCATCGACCTGTACGACCTGACAGTGGTTGTTACACCTTAAACTTTCACATCTATAACCGCCGCCCCCCCAAGAAAACAGCCCGAGGTTTGAGATATCTTAGACCACATGCAATATGGGAAATTTCGAGGCCTTCTTGTTTTGTTTTGTCTTTTGTTATCGCAACTGGAATCATAAAAATGTCTATTAATCCTGGGAGGTCTGAAGTACACCGAACAGGCGCCCCCTGCCAAGGCGCTGAGAAAGTGTCTCGTTTAATGAATACACAATGGAATTGTACGATGCACTAGTCACAGCAGGTGACAATTTAATGGAAAAGAGAATAATTGAGCGTGTGGTCCACAGATAATTGGTTTTTATAATTATGTAGACGGTAACTGAAAGAAAAGTCCCTAATATGCATTATGCAGATAGCTGAATTGTCCAAGGTTGGTGTGAAAAAGAATATCAAAGCCGAAACAATCGTATCTAAAGCGCGGATTTAGTCGTTTGCAGTACTTAAGTTACAATTCGTACGTGAAGCATAATCGTACAAAAATACCAAAAAGGTTATTCACACACCGTAACCAAACGGTCACCGCGTTAGTGTACTACATATCTCATAAAGTGATCCATTTATGTACCTAATTTCATCTCAGCACGCAGCCACACGGATCCATACCACTTCTTACACTTCTTTCCTACCTGCATGTGCGACAGATTCTTGAAAAACACGTTTTGAGGAGCCAAGCTATTTTTTTTCCCACATTTTGTAAAAAGACATCTTCATCTGGAACATTCCAACTTCTACACGAACGCCCCTTTCAATGAACTTCGGCTGCGTGCGCATTATGCCATGCCATGATGAAAGATCCGACAGATTGCCTCAAGGAGACGCGTGAAGTTTGAACCTATTGATCCTTTGTCGGTTTGTTGGACTATTGCGTTCCACTCAACTGTCCTCGTAAAGATTCAGATTTCATATTTGATGTCAGAGAATACTTGAGCATGATTTTTTTGCCGATCAACATTCTTGGCTCACGATTGTTTACGAACAATCGCATGCTCCCGAACAGTTTGTTTCCATACCTATCGAGAAATTTAATGTTTCCCGAAAGATTGAGCTCGAGTCAAGTGTTATGGACAAAGTTTGTTGCTGATCGTGCAGTTAAATTCACACTTCGCAACAGACGACAGCTTTTACAACGGACGTCTTGGCCATTTACAACAACAAGAATTGCTTCCGGTCATAAAACTGGTACGTTTCATAATAGGTTGCATAAAAAAAAACTCGACAAAGCATACTTGGCTCTGGGAAATAGCATTTCATAAGCGTGTTTTTTGAGACATGAAAGATTTCTTTTCATTTTTGGGGGGATACACTGAGAAAGACATTCAGTACACGAAAGACGCACTGGAACATTTGTAGCAAAATACAAATGACGCAATATTTAGCCAGCTTCCGCTAGATTACAAAAGAAAAGAAGTTTCTGCTGAGGGGTTGGATTAATCATTAACCATTTCTACTGAAAAGGCAATCGGCGCCTGTTCTGAAGGATTTATTTTCGTTGGAATTTTCGGAGTCCATCTTGAAGCTTTCCTCAAGTTCACATTTTGGACGTCAGTGTTCTACATAATAGTGTTTTTGACTTGCCATTGATGCGCTGCGGTATTACAAGGAAAATACACACATCGGTTTTGCTATGCGAATTGAAGCGAAGGAAACTGTTTGGAAACAAACGTTAGAAATGCTGAAACAGTTGGCGACGTATTGTGGTCTACTGTTGTCTCATTCTTTGTCTACATTTTTCGTTATACACTCTTCTTTTTTCTGAAATTCATAAATTTACGAGGGCTGGGATGTTTATTGTGGCGGTCCTCTATTTATTTAAGGTCTGACACTGCATTCAATTAAATGAGGCCGAAAATAATTAAAACCCTCTCTGATGCAAAAGGGCAATTGGTGTGGTGCACTTGCTGAATTGAAACTGTGAATCGCAGTGCTTTTGGACTCAGAGGTCAGTATTGGTCGGCTTATTATATTGCATATTGCAGCGACTGCGACGTCTTTATAAGCGGCCTTCACTCTGCAATGTTTTTACCAAAGGCCCTCCGGGTTCCTTGATAAAGGACGAACGTGTCACATAGAAACGTTCTTATCTGACTTTTAAGACACGACGAATATAATTGTTTAATTATTATGAGAAAGATCCCTTGAAGGGTTCAAGAATAGGCCTACTTACAAAACCTGATGTGGAATGGTCCAGGGCAAAAATTTCATTGAATTTATTATTAAGGTGGTTTACATTTAGCGGTTGTTTGGACGTCATGTTTGTTGTGCTTCAAATTAACTAAATAGAAGGTCAAAGAAACCAGGCATAAACGTCTTGCAATAATCACATAGCTCATTGTAATTCCACTTTGTGTTGTTAATTAGATTAACTATAAGATATATTATAAGGATATTACATTTACATCAATGACGAAATTGAATGATTAAATCGGAAAAATGAGTGACAAAAAAAGATTCGCTTTTCTAACTCAACATCATTTCCGAAGTGAGACGAAAATAACTATGTAAAAAGGGACAAACAAGAACTTTTTTTCGTGAATTACAGTACTCTGAAAATGAAATCTAGTAATGTTATTTCGAAATTGAATCAACATTTGGGGCAAGCGACCCCGCTTTGACGAAATTAACTTTCGGTTAAGCAATTTTAAATGAACGACGTGCGAAAGTAACCGGGAAACCTATCTAACATGCAGCGAAAATTGCACGCTATAAAATGTAGAGGAAAACCCTCCGCTTGACTTACGGATAAACATTCATTTGTGAAATACACTGGACAATGTTATTGGCATTTAAAAAAAAGAGGCATATGTTAATTTGAAATGTGATCTTTGAGCAACGCTCTTACGATGTAAATGGAATTTCAAAAATGATTACCGGTCGTCGTAAAAAAAAACGCTCCAGGTGAAACATGTCTCAAGTAAGATTATTTGGACAAAAGGTGTATGTTATAGGAAAGGCTCTGTAAAATGTAGTCGTCAGACTATTCAAATTTGCACCGTTCAATGGCCTTTATTGTTAGTGTAGAATCTATTAATATCTGAGGCATGGCATAAATTTGATTTGTACGTCGGAGAAAAAAGATCGGGATTTATCTTCCACTCACAATTAAATTAGGATTTGGACTGTGTGACAAGAAAAATACGAGGTGCTGTTCACGAGCTCTTCAATGTATTCAGAAAAAGATTCTCCACATGCACATGTTAGTTTGTGATGCATCGTTCGAAACTTTAACAAAAACTGAAAATGGGTATTGATGAGACAATATCATACTTCACGCACGCAAAAACAAATTTGTTTTCACGTTTATCCACATACAAGCAGGCTACATCAAAAACAGGCATGTAATAACTATTTCAATTCAATTACATTACATTATTACATTAATTTTATTGTATTTATTGAATTACAACGATTGACTTTCAGAGAACTAGGAACAAGTGTTTTGATTTCTGAAGGTGTGGAGCAAGTTAACCCTTTTCTTGAAAGCGCCACTGTTGTGATTATAGAAGTGTTTTGCTTTTTTTTCAAAACTCTTCCAGCATCCTCTTTGCTGATATCGTGGGATTCACGGCCATGTCCTCCAAGATGTCTGCAAAGGAACTTGTCAAAACGCTCAATGCCTTATTTGCAAATTTTGACAAGCTGGCTGAGGTGAGGCGACCTTTTATTTCCTCCTGTCCTTCCTACTCTCCTTTTAAAACTTACCTTCGTACCGTCAAACCAGAAATCGAGGGGTAATGGGCATGACTGATTTCTTCTTGTTTTCTAGAAACACCACCAGCTGAGGATCAAGATCTTAGGCGACTGTTATTACTGTATTTGTGGTGTTCCAGAGCAGCGACAGGATCATGCTGCTTGCTGTGTACAGATGGGGCTTGACATGGTGGTAGCAATCGCGTAAGTTGAGAGCAAGCTTCGCGAGCTTATATTTGAAGAAAGCTCATGGACGTTCTTAAGGGTGACAATTTAATGTCTTGTTGGTGACAAATGACGCGTATGTCAAAACGACAGACTGTTCAGACACTTCCTGCCTAACTGTTACCGAAGTTCCAGCTGAGGGAAGATCAGTCTAAGTTTGTTAATATGAGGATCAAGAGTATTTTTCCTTTGTTTGTTTTTGTTGGGAGTTTTAAGTGCATTGTGTTAATTTTATACACGGAAAAAATTTGCTCCTGTCTTTCCAATAAGGCAAAACCGGCTTTATGTCTTTTTATGTTGCTTTTTCCATCACTGCTTTGTGAGAAGATCGTTGTTTGTTCCTGTGTAGTTGTTTAATTCACCGTGCTTTTGACCCTGTAACTCGGACACAAATCAAATTTGCTGATTCGATTACAGCGCCGTGAGGGAAAAAACGCAGTCTGGAGTGGACATGCGTGTTGGAATCCACACTGGCGCCGTGCTGGCCGGGGTCATGGGTCAACAGAGGTGGCAGTTTGACGTATGGAGCACCGCGGTGGTGCTGGCCAATCACATGGAGTCTGGCGGCATACCTGGGTGAGTTGAGTGTTTCACTTTTAGAGTTGATCTTTCATGAGAGTTGTGCAAATTAAGGATTGAGGTACTATTCTATCAGTAATCAACATCTTCTTCATACTGCGTTCATGAATTCGATCCTCTTCGTGAATTCGTTTTTCATTTCTTGAGTAAACTGTATGGGGGTTATAGACACTGGTTATTGCACATACGCAGACTAGATTTGTCCCCGGTTAACCCATCTTGTTTGGAGAACAGTGACTAACATGTTCCCCAACTGCGGCATGCTGCATTCAAATTCTTTGCAGCATGACGAGATGTATCTCATGAACTGGTATAAAACGGCGCTATTTCCTCCTGCACGGTTTGCTCTAACAATAATAATCACGAACAGCCACAGCGCTCCTCATCCTATCTGTGTTGTACGAATTATTTACAGTTATCCAATTATTAACTCTCAAGAGAAAGGAAATGAAAGATCCAACAGAAAAGAGAGTTGAGGAACGAAACCGAATCACATATTAGACTCCAGAATCAATCACTTTAATGGACGTTGCCTCCACAATCGGTTCAATGAAGTAGGTCCGTAAGATTTAGGAGGACTTTAGAAGGGCTTTAGTGCTCACAACGTGTCCCTGCGCGGTTCCTCTGCAGATAATGACATCCATTAAGTCTGCCCATAAATGGATTTTATATCAATCGATGTCTTCTCATTTCCTTCAATGGAACTGAGTGTTTGTTTTTATGATGAGACCTCAGTCTTGCCCAAAATATGAAATTAAAGATGGACGGTCTGAAGGAAAGGAAATTAAAGTAGATCGGACGGCACGACGGATCGGAATCTTACTAAATTAAATGTCAAGGATAGTGCAGGGAATGCTTTTAAATATCTGAAACATCAGTTGGATCATTTCAAGCCGGAGCATAACTAAACAGTAATGACTGTGGAAAATTCTGCTCAAAGAGTGCCGTTCGAAGACAAAACATATAAAGTCCGCACGCGAGTAACTTTCAGCAATGTTTAGCCAGGCATCATGGGAATATTGATTGTTATTTCCGGTGTGGCGGTCTCAGCTGTCTCCCGGTCTCAGCGGTCCCCCTTACCAAATACGGTAAAAATACGTCATGCCATCTCTGCGCACAACAACGGGAAAGTCGTCCGTTTAAGTGGCGTGCTGAGCAGTGCAGTCCATGCATGCTTCACGTTGTACGTGACGGGTACTGTACATGTACATAGGCCTACACCAAAGATAATAGTACCGTGCAAGTTAGTCATGCGGACATCTCAGTACGAAAGACCAACGACACGGTGCCAGTGTCGTGCTGAAATGTCCGGCTACGTCAGGAGGGACTGCTGAGACCGCCACAATGGGTTGAGCAGAGTGAACGGGTAACTGGACAATTTCCTTCTACGCCAAGCAAAAGGAAATGCGGACGTAATTGTCGTCTCCCGACAGGTCAATGTCACGGAGATCATGGATTCGTAATGGCGTTTGGGCCTTTTCCTTTCTCGAAACCAATTGGATCCATGGTTAGAATGAATGTAGCCACATCTACAATTAACTGATTATTGCGAGGGAATATTTTGAGGGAAGAAATTGGCATTTCAGAAAAGAGGTAACATGTATTTCAATATTTTCTTTTGACCCATAAAGAACACATCTTTTGTTAAGATTCAAGGAGCAGAAGTTGTAGATTTCTTAAAACTCGAATCAGACACCTTAATCATTTCAAATTGAAACAAACAAGTCCTTAAATACGTTTCCCTGCATGAAAGTTAATTTCCAAGACGTAGTATACGACGTTATTACGCTAATGAATAAATGAGACGTCACGATAATTATTCTTAGCTGACAGACCGATGTAGACCCATGACCACTCGTCGTGAAATCAGTATAACCTCATGACGATGTCTGTTGTTTATTTGACTAATACTCCTGGGAATTGGAATAATGGCAAGTCGGTTCTGATATAACTGTGACCAAGAGTGGGACCAACCGATGATGTTTCTGCGCCAAAAAAAATAAATAAAAAGATAATAATCCCAGACTGGAGTGGAGGCCCTCGGTTAGTAAACTGTCCTTAATGTTTCAAAACGTGCACAAATGAAAAGAGGGGAGTGCCACAATCATGCTTTGTGCAAGGAGTTTGAATGAATTCTACATGACAGACGTCTGCACTGTAGACTATACAAATGATTCGCTCATCACCCAGCGCCCGAACAGGGCACTGGGAAGGGCCTATTGGCTTTGCACTGTGATTGGCTACTTTGTGCACGACCTCCGACCGCGAAGTTAGCAATTACTATTAGCGAAGCGTTATTTGAAGTTTTTGGTTCGCCAATGGCAATGCTTTGACGCATGCGAAAATGTCGGCTTAAATTGTAAAAATATGGCCTTGATACAATCACGGTCATTTATGTTCTCACTACGAATCACTGATCGAGTGTCTTTTGGCGGTATATTTCAAATCATCTTGAACAGTTTTGTTATGGATGAACTAATAAAGTGAAGTGAGAATATCTTCAGCAATGAGGACGAAAAATTAAAATTGATAACCGCCACATTGAGCGAGCTCGCGCGCCTGGCAGAAATTTACCCGCAATGCTCTGCGCGTCATTAGCTGTGACTCTGTGTGATGAATTTCCTTCATTTAAATCTGTGCCAGGCCATCAGTCCTTCCGAACGCCCTGTTCGGTCGTTCGGCGACGAGCAAACACAAATGATTCTACTCTCAGTCTCTCAGTCCTAATAAACCTTTAGATAAATACGGCTTACCAACAAACAACTCACTCGTGAATACTTCCCAGGGAACATTCCGCGCATTTTTGATATGCGTGTTATAGAACTTACCCTTTACATTATGACAGCACTGCGTTTTACATTACACTTACCTTGTTCCTCCTCCCCACAGTCGTGTGCATATCTCGCAGGACACCTTTGGGTGCCTGAACGGTGAGTTCGAGGTTGAACCAGGCGAGGGGGAGACACGCGACGATTATATCAAGGACCAAGGTATCAAGACCTATCTCATTAAGGTCAACAAGGACAACGTAAAGGTAAGAAAAGCTTCCTTGGTCCTCACAAGCAGAGGAACTGAAAATGCACCTTTACGGTCAACGCAAAGAACAAAGAAAAATGCTTGGGTCCTGAGACAGCAAACTTTTCAGGTCCAAAACATAATGTGGCGGCCCCTACAAAAATAGCTACTGTGGCGGCATCGAGACTTCTCGGTGTACTGAACCACCTGAAACCAGGGTATGTAAGCGAACGTTACTCCGTTAGACACTAAACAGTGTGTCCGCGTGTTTCTTAGAAAAACACTGACACGAAATTATTCCTGACACAAAGTACACTAAAGTTACAGTACATCAAGACTGGAGAGACTGTCGGTGAGACTGCCTGCTTTCACTGATGCTCGTTTCCCGTCTCTTTGCTGTCGATTCACAGAAAGCCGCTGCTTTTACCTCCATCATTCTCTCAGACGATGGATCAACGACGAAGAGGTCAGAGGAAGAGGAAAGTGACGTAAAGGTGCGTCAGACAGCTTTTTAGTTTCTATGCCGTACAATAGATGATTTGCAGCAGGAAGCAATGTGATTCATACATTTCACATGTCATCGAAAAAAAAACAACAGCAGCCCACTAAAGCTTTTACACCACTACAGTAACGTATACCTGTAAGGACATCTAAATACTATTTTCTTAATTTCAACACCGTTTATGAATCACACTGTTTGGTACATTGGTCTGGTTAATATTATACTTCAGGCTAATGATGCAAACGGCAAGACTGTTACCTTTGACGAGGAGGTACCAGAACCAAAGCCCGATGAAGGGATTACCAATCGTAAACTGTACGAGGCACTAGTGGAGAGAGAAGCAGACGCGTAAGTAGCTCGCTGGTAGTTGGCAGCAAGTAATGGTCAGTACATCCAGTCACACGCCTAAATTTACCCACAATAACCACCAAAATGACCTTTCTTGGCTCAATCAGAGCAAAGACGAGCGGCATGCGGAGGTTTTCCCTCTGGTTTCGGGATAAGACTTTGGAGGACACATTCCACCGGGAAAAAGAGCGACAGAGCCCTGTGGGTTTTTGCTGTGCCATCATCATCATGGTCTTTGGCTTCTGTGTGCAGATGATGGTCTTGCCGAGGTACGTCAATGAATAAAAATCATGTCCAAAAGAAAGCGAACAGAGAAGGCAATGCTTCTTTTCATGGACTTTTGTAATGATGAATGCTCGCTCGAGCATTGTTTTGGCCTATTAAAATGCAGTTCACGTATTTATTGCTTGCATTAACAGCTGGGGCCCTTAGGTAGCGTCTGTTACCGCAAATGCCTCATAATATCCATGGATACGTGGATGCCTATCGGTGAAAACCGTGCGCTTCCTGGTGAAAACTAAGATTAGAATTACAACTTTTTGAAACTTTTCCCTGTGTAATGGTCAGGGGCAATGCAGTAGCATCGGATACCGGTGATGGTCCCTTGTACAGTACACAGTCTTCTCATTATAAATGATCTTTTTCGATCTTATTCTAGAACCACAGCGAGTTACGTCACATTTGCCGTAGGCTTATTTTTGTTAGTCCTGATCTTCTACATATCGATGGCAACTAGCTTCAAGAACAGGTACCCAGACACACTAGTCTGTGTGTCAAGCTGGATGGAGAGTACGTATGTGGCAAGGACACTGATCGTCACGTGTGTCGCAGTCATCGTTGCTGCATCTGATGTTGTTGACATGGTGAGAACTGTAGATGGGAGGACTGTTCATTCAAATGCCATGAATGCATTCGTCGAAAATAACAGCACCTATAGCAACGATCTGCGAAGAAATGCAACATTTAATAGTCCAAATTCGTCTGTTTACACAAAAGTTAACTCCAGGTTTTTTTTTCAAATATGTGTATACGGCTTCCAATGTAATTCCGATCTTCCAAAAAATAAAGTCGTACCATAAGTATGAGACAGTATTTTGTTGTTAGCTGAGCCTTATTCTAATCGACAGGTTGTATGCGAGCTGGGGGACTCCAAAATTGAAACTCTGGACACACAGAGCCCAATGTGCATATACGGGCGATATTACACATACACGGGTATACTGGTTCTGGTAAGTAATTCAGATTTTTTTTCCCGTTAATGTTCATCAGAACTTGTAACATTTCCAAGTTTGAACAACCTTCTTTCATTTCGCCAATTTTTTGTTTTTGATGCTCATTAAGTATCAGCCGTAGGCGATGCCACGTCCCTGAAAAATAACTGTGCGGCCCTCGAGTAAACAAACCTCGCCATGCATCATTACTATATTTCTCTTTTCAATAAAAAAACAATGAGCGTTCAACTGTCATCTCTCGCCATCGTAAGGAAAAAGGGACGATGCCAAAAATAATAAAGCTACAAGAACGTCTGGGAGCTATAAGGCCAACGATTGTAGCACATTTTGTTGTGAAACATTCTTCACGTTTTGTTGAATACACCAGCTAGGTGGAATTTCGTATAATTTCTTTATATTCCGGCCACGTTGCTGTGCTCGGCGTAGTTGTCCGAGGGAACCGTCGACAGCGTCCACCTAGTACGATTCATTTCTGTATTATGTTCTTCAAAGTGTGAGTTTTGGAGTTAATAATTTATTTAGACCTGAGTACAGTTATCGTCGAATTTCTTTTTTGGTGTTGCTTTCACATGATCCCGGGACCTTAATGTGAATGACACAACAATTTGGCTTTTTTGTGCTTTGCAGGTCACCATCACTGTGATGATACATGTTACGCAGTTCATCAAGATGATTCTGATCCTGCTTATTGGCTTGGTGTATACCCTCCTCAATCTCGTCTTCTACAAGGAAATATTTATCAGATACGACAATTACCAATTAGAGCAAGTGAGCACGTGAGTGGCCTTCAACTATTGTATTTTGAAGCAGGTTAAGGTAAACGCCTTTCGTTGCATCTCTTCTTGACCTTCTTGACAATGTTATGAATAAAGGAAAGAAATGAACATTATGACGCTCAACAAGAAGGTCATTGGTAGGCTAGACGCCTTTCTTCATAAACCATGTCTTAAATTAGTTCTTTTTCTTAATACTCAATTTTTCATGTGCAACTTAATTTGAAGGATTTTAGGTATCTCTGATAACGAGTCTACCGAAATCTCTGTCAAACGATTCGCAACGGAGTCAGTGTTTCAGGTATTATGCTGCAACCACCATGGTGACCAAGGCTTCCAGACCCACTTTTCTCAAACACGTTCATAATATCAAACTATTTCAAGTCTGCGATCATAGTCTCAAATTTTGCATTATCAACGCTGAGTTTGTGTTGTTTTGTTTTTCTTTCAGGCTAAGCCTAACTGATAATCCCAATGAGTTTCCCAGTCGTTACGTTATCACATACCAGCTTCTCGCAGCCGGCTTTGCACTTATCTTCTACAACAGATTTGTGAGTTCATTCCTGAATCAGGCTGTCCGTGGATCAAATCTGTGTTCAATCAGTGTAGTACAGTTGAAAACGGCATTGCAACGAACGAAAAAACTAGTCTTCAGTTCGTGTTTGCTGCCCTCTCTTGCCATTCTATCCGTTGCACAACATGGTTTCACTTTGTTTTCAACAAGTCTGAGATACTAAACGATGAGGGTTTCCCAACGGAGGGGTATTTGACTTTGAGTTTTGAATCAGTTTTGCAAAATCTGACAACGGAGAATTGAAATATCTTTGCATAAGCCGTTAATCATGATCATAACGCCAAAGACAATGAAACCTGTAACGGTGGAAATTTTAACGCATAGTGTAGTGGATAATCTGAATAAAAAAACGTTTTATTCCCAAATTTGGTTTTTCTCATGGCCTTTCCCATAGATTAAACACAGTTTATAAAGGAAGCAAACTTTCACAAGTCTCGCAGACCACAATGACCGTATCCTACCCGTTTCGATACATCTTGCAGCTAGAAGTCACCAATAGGTTACTCTTTTACTGGAAGTACGAGACGCGGAAACAAAAAGAAGAAGTTGGCAAATTACGGATACGAAACGAGGTGCTGGTTCTGAACATCATGCCCATCCACGTGGCCAAGCACTTCTTACGGAACAAACGGAAAGACGAGGTGAGTGACGAAAATGCCTATGAACAGTACCCGAGTGCAACTGATGCCAAAAGAATGCCACAGACAGCAGACACAAAGAGCTCAGGTTTCAGTTAAACACCAATCAATATTACACTGGAATAATAGTATAGTATCATTTTCATTTAAGGATATACTGCAGATAGTAACTAAAGAACACCACGTAAAGTCGACTTTTAAAAGAATACTTCATATAAATTCAAACCGAGATCAGATAAATCATGTATTTAGCCTAGTAACTACTTCTACTGATTATATATAACGGGTTTGCCCTTACCCAACGTATATTAATGAACACTGTATGCTCAGTGCTTGTCCGAGAGCTTGCGAAAAAAACCTCACAAGCTTACTCGGGTGGGACTCGAACCGAGTGCTTTGCCTTATAAACCATTCGTGTCGAGGGCGAGTAGAAACATTCAAGATGAAAATGTTTCTGGAATCTCTTCGGCTTGCGGTTTCAGGATCTCTATGCCCAGGACTACCCGGAGGTTGGTGTTATGTTCGCCTCTATCCCAAACTTCTCCGAATTCTACAGCGAGGATACCATCAACAACCAAGGCACAGAGTGTCTCCGGTTCTTGAATGAAATCATCAGCGACTTTGATACGGTAAGATACGGGTTGCAACAACGTGTGGGTGCATTCATGTCGGGCCGAATACCGATACCTTGTTGTATGAATGCGTGCGCAAGAAAATCATAGACTTACACTCAGAGGAGAACTCACACTGATATCCCGTGACAACCGGCAGTCGCTCAAACTGAACGTCTGGTTGCTATGAACGTTGCCTATATTCCTGACGTCCGATTGGCTTAACAGTGCCAGAACACTGTTCCCACTCATGGCCATGAGTCCATATGTCCATATGGGCATACCGATGTTTAAAGATGTGACTTCACTTCTAAAGTCATTCAGAAACACAGACTCGTCATACGAGATATTGAGGCTGTGCGCATGCATACCGAGACGAATCCGGGGCAACTTTAGGTTACAGTCAGTACAAGAGTATATTTCCGTACAGGACTATCATGAAGAAGTATGAATGTAAATTCTTAAACACTATAACCATATTGAAGTCCGGGAATCGGGTTGGCTGAGTGGTTCTTTCCTCGCCTTTCACCTCTGCTGTGGCCTGAGTTCGATTTCCGGCTCAGTCGACATGTGGATTGGGGTTTCAATCCTTATTCCTCGGGTGTACCAAGAAATGTCCTCTCTGTGGTTGTCTTTTTACCTCTAAAACTGCTCCTTATTGTCTCCTCTTCAAAGGTGCACGTGGATGTGGGTCGTTTGGCGACTGCCTGCGCAGTGCCCATGCCATTCGCTCGACCACGTTTAATGTTGGCATGTACAGCGCATGCAATTTGCGCTTTATAAATGAATAAAATTGTTTTTATCATTATTAATACTAACTAATTTTTCAGAAGAGGCGCGCATACACAAAACCGCAATTTAGGATAGGGGCCTTCAACGGGTCCTTACATTTCCACCTGCCTTTCTCAGCTTCTGAAAGCAGTTCGTTTCCGGAGCATCTGCAAGATCAAGACGATCACCAGCACCTACATGGCGTCGTCGGGGATGGTGGCTGAGCCGGAGAAGATTATTTACGAGGGAGAGCAGGAGCGCTGGCAACACCTTGCCGATCTCGTCAACTTTGCCTTCGCTCTCAGGGACACCTTGGACACCATTAACCAGCAGTCGTTCAACAACTTCATCATGAAAGTCGGTGAGGGGCTCATTATTGTTTACTTTCGGCATTAACCATTCCTCACAGGAAATATTTCCTCACGCGTATGGTCAGACCAAAGCGTCTCCCTGGAATTTGACCGTAGTCAATCCTATTTGTCCAAATACGTGTCATTTTAGGTAAATCTATCAGATTGTGTTTTACACTTTACATGCAGACATAAAATCATCATCAGTGACGTGATTTTGATGAATACCAGTTAGAAGTCCTCCATATAAACCTCGCAAATGAGCAAACGATCATTTCAGATGTTTATTCCAGTTGAAGTAAATACAACTGTATCTTATAAAGTATCACCCAAAGAAGTAATTAAAACCAAATTTCTTTGGATACTGACTCCTTAATAGGAAACTAGGGAAAATCCCCAAAAGGATAATGTTTCGTGAGAGTTATAATCGTTTATTGTGTATGTATATTTGAAATAATCGACAGGTATCAATCATGGTCCAGTTCTTGCTGGAGTCATTGGAGCCAGGAAACCACACTACGATATCTGGGGGAATACAGTTAACGTAGCCAGCCGCATGGAAAGCACAGGGAAAGCAGGATTTATCCAGGTGACTGAAATGTTTACAAGTTATGACAAGCACACCAGAACTTCTTCTGCGTTCTCTGTAGCGTATGGTAATAAATTGTGAAACCGAGGTAACAAAACTTGTCAGCTGTCCAACTAATAGAGAGGCGCAATGTTGGTAGTACAACGTCTTGGCATGCTGGTACATGTATGAATCCCAACCTTAACATCATTTCGACAATCGTATCTCGTCTTAACCTTGCAGGTTATTGAAGAAACAATGAAGGTACTGAAGAGGTTCGGTTTCAAGTTTCAGCAGAGGGGTTACGTCAAGGTTAAGGGCAAAGGTGAACTCTTGACCTTTTACCTAATTGGTAAGGAGGAGAAGGATGACCTGCTACCAAATATGATCGTATAATGCAACACAAACTCGAAAGACTATACTGTTTTAGAAACGTTGCATAGCCCAATTGAAGGAGCAAAAGCGGGAAAGAGAACCCTTGGAGAGTTGACTGAGATGCTCGAGTCTGAAGGCTTCGTAGTCTGAAGGTTCGAAGAAACGCTTCCAAGCAGTGCACCCAAGTGATGTCATTAACGAAGGTACAAAATGTTCAAGCGTTCGCAAGAGAAACACACTGACCGATTTGAAGCCCTATGCATTTTTCTCAATTATCTTACTTATCTTACACATCTGCTTACTTGAGGAAATTGTGCCTTCGTCCTAAAGAGTTAATAGGGTTCGTTTATTCAAAGTTTTGTTTCTCGTTTAGATTCAATTAAATTTGTTGTATAAATACAAACATTACAGTTATTGTGTATACTTTTAACAAGGCGAATTGTAAATGATGTATAGTATTCCACTACAACGCTTTAAAGGGACAATTCATTTTGAACTGTCGGTTTTCATATTTTTGAGAACTTGCCGTTGAACAAAAACGAACACAAAACAAGAAAAACACATGAGCAAACAAATGAATAACGCTTATTGAAGGTCGACGGTTTGTAGATACATACACAACCGATTTGAGACCATTCAATTTGAGTTTACCTACCAAACAACTTGAAAGCAGCATAATCTCATCAAACAATGTATATGTTTTGGGTCTTTATCCTGCACATTCAATACACCAAAAAAAACCTTTTTTTCACGTGGTATTCACTTGAAATTCTAGGTGATGTAAATTAATGTACACAGTATAAATTATTTGAATATATCGTTGAAACTCATTGTACATTTTGTCACATTTGCAATAACACCCAAACTGTGCAATTTATCATTTTTTGTTAAAATTATATAACATTTTACTATACAAATGTTATTTACGTGGCACGGTTATTTTATGTATATCAGCACATATATCGATAACTATCTTCTTTCAAAATAAGACTTTGGTTTTCCATAAGAACCTTAAAGTTAACATTTTTGCAGTTATACAGCGTCCTATTTATTCCTGATGTCCAAATGACACTTTTGCATCATTGCATATTTTGATCTGTTGAAAAGGCTCATTTTTACATTCAACTTAACCGATGTCAAAAGTTCGTAAAAGTATTAATTTCAACTAGAGCAAATGATTCAGTTTATGTATCTGACGTACACTCTGCAAACCTCAAGGAGTACTTGACTTTGCGAAGGTTGCACACAGCAATGTTATGAACGTGCAGAGTACAATACATCTTTCTCTTGCTATGTCGCAATCAGGGGTTTGCCCCCACCACTGTTTGATAAACTATTGCTGGCCAGGTAAAGCAAACTAATAATTCGTAAAATAGCTTAAAATATCTTACGCATCCGTCATAAACACGAACTGATAAATACTTCCAAATTACTCGAAACCTGTTTCCAGACAAAGGTGAACTGTCTGCAAGCTCTGCTCACCCATATCAAGCATCATCTCAGCAGAAATTATGAATGTACTAGCTGCCAGCAAAGTCACATTATTCACAGGATGGTTTCACGCTGGAATTTAAGCCCATTCTGTGTACTGTGCTTGTGGGAACAGTATTAAAATTTGTTTAAGTACACTTGATGGTGTTTGTTGTTAAGTGCCTTGAACCTGCCTGTAGCCTACATCAGGCTGATCCTTCTAGCGTGGTTTAGTCTCTTGCATAAAGTAAAATTCTGGAGTGATGCAAACTCATCATAGGTTTGCTACATTCTTAAACAGAATGTGCTAAATGAAATTCTGATGTTGCAGTACTCTCACCTATACATTTGTGTGAAGAATAGCTCATGTCGTAACGAACTCATTCAGTAAAGTGTTTATTAAATATTCTAAAGACGCTGTATATTTGTTGTTGGAATTAGTATGTTGTTTCAGTCCTGTTTGTATTTCTTAATTTGGGGGCTCATGACCATGTGCCTATTGCACATCAACTGATATATTTTTGAACCTATTCCTAACGCAAACTTACCTGGCTATCATTCTATACATTTCTGGTGTAAGTTTTACAATCGCTATTTTGTAGTAGATGATATTATTTGAGCAACATTTAATTTTTACATGATGCATTAGTTATAAAAACGTTCAATTGACGTTTGTTTTTGTATTTTCCTAAATGTTAGTGTTCACTTCAGAAGCGATTATCAGCAACATGTCCCCCCAGGTTTACGTGCCCACGATGAATAAAGTATGGCTGAAAAAGTCACTTAATAATGATATACTGTCTGCAAAATTTAATCAAAATGATCTCTAAAGCCGTTACAGCATTTATAGAAGAATGAAATTTAAAAGAAAACAACTCGTTTTGCTTCTCAACAATCCACTGCCAACTTTACCCTTTAAGAAAACACAGAAAACAGAAACATTATGATGATACGGTTACGTGTCACTCGGGAGACAAAGTTCATCGTACTGACAAGGTAGCGTGTTGGAATGATGTATGTTTTGTATGCGTTTGTTGTTTGTTATAGAGGTAGCAAGTGACCACCGTTTCAATCATGTGAGCAAGCATATTTAGTAGTGCCTTAACACGGTCGTTTAGAATTTCAAGTTCAAACGAAACAAAAACCATATTTGTAAGGACGTTGGTTGTCAATTTATGCGGTAAATTTACTGCTGATATTTATAACTTTTATGTCTTACTCCAGTGAGCACACATCACAATGATTTCAAATAAAGGTGTTTATCTTCACTGCATGTTTGATTTGTTTTGGTGTCGGTGTTCTGCATTATTAAATTGCAGATAACAATCTGAAATGCAGATGTCGTAAGTAAACAAGTATTATACCGTGCATTTTTAAAACACTGCAAAATTGTTTTTGAAGGGAGGTCCTTATTACTTCCGGGCAGTTTGAGGAAGAGTGTATATTAGTAACAAGATTACTCAGGTCCCTTGGCTTTAGGTCGCTGCTTGCCCCTTTCTTGCAAATGCTTTCGCAATATAGAATTTCCCTGCACCTCTGGTATTAAACTTAGCAAATTCTTACCATCAGCTTTATTCCCAATGCGCCAACAGACGAAACGGACTGGTCGGTCACGTGTGACGCCTGGAACATGGTGGTCAGGTCGCCATTTTCGTGCTCATCCCACAATCTCTTCAAGCTGGTTGCGTCCGTTATTCTGCAGCTAAGCAAGAGGCATCAGCTTGGTTTCGTCAACAAACACGCCTTTCATTTTTTCCAGTTGGTCGACAGCTGCATCGACCTCTGATGAAGTCTCCATGAGGCGTTTAAAAAAGGGGTCTTGGAGGCCCTTGAGAAGATTGTCGAACGGGTCTTTGGTATCGACATTTCCTTCCTCGGTGTTACCTTCCTGAGGCTCCTTACATCGATGAACTGAGCATCTACATTTTACTCTCCGCTGCTGACCAGCTCTTGGATGGTTTGCAAGAGATTCGGCACCTGTCACCGTGTCACCACTCATGTTCGAAATGGAGGGAGGAAGCACAATCGACGGAACTTCGTCGCTTTCAAACGAATTCTCAGCCTTTTTGGAAGTCAAAGGAATATTCTTTACGGCCATCCTCTGTATGTCAACATCAAGAGTAATTTTACCTAAAAGATATAAACATTTTAATTAAAAAATGGTAGCGGTATCTATATTCTCTTTTTCGCCATGCCATGAGGTAGATAGAAAGTGTGTGATCCTTATACCATTCCAATAGTCTCAACATATGCTTCCATCATTCTTGACGTTCAAGAAGAGACTACCTCCTTTTAACAACACATTCAGTATGGAGTTGATTCATGCTATATTTGTAGGATCAGTTGAGAATTTTCTTACCTGGCACAGACGTGAATGTCTTCCGTCTCGATTCTTTTCCTTGGGAAGACACAAACCGTCCGTCTTTTAAGCTTTTGTCTTGGAAAAGGGGGAAAATGACATCTTTTAAATCACGCAGACCTTTTCATGTTTCGACAGATATAAAACAATGTCGTCTTATTAATGACCTTTTGCTTTAAAGAAAGAAACAAGCGATGTGTGGAAATAGCAACCAACCTGATCGCAGCTGACTTCTATCCGATATATTTCTCTCTTGAATTGGGAATGGCAAGCCTCTTACTTGCACGGTCGATGACAAGTAGCTCTGCGGACTACTTCGTAGACGTGGCTGGTCTTGTCTTGCAGTCTTGCAGTCTTGCAGTTGCCTTTGCTGATCTGGCCATTCAGAACGGAAGGTTTTTGCTGAGCAAAAACCAGTGAAATAGCTGTTGCTTAATTAAGACCTGTGCATTTCGCACCAGCATAAAACATTCAAAACGTGTATTAGAACATAGATCAGCAAGCTTTGTGAGCAGCCTGTTTACCTCTGAAACATGCTTTGCCGTCCTCCGTTTTTCCCTGACTTTTATTTCTGCCGATTTCTTCCAGTGCGCGCGCGAGTCTCTCCGGGGTTGCGTACTCCCTGAAATTCCGTTTCCACAGCAAAAGCATCTCGCTCTTTTGGCGGGAAAAGTTACCCGGGTGCTCTTTTGCAATATCATCGACATCAGCTTTCGAAAGTCCTAGGCGAACGGCAAGAAACTTCCACTCATTCTGCTTTAAATTGGCAGCAACTCTTTCAAGGCCTTGCTCTGATTGGGATAAAAGATACCTTTGTAAATACGTAATGGCTATCCCGGGGTTGCAAAAATAAAAGTTGTCTAGCTTTTTTTATTTTGTTCCAAGAAATTTGTAAGCTTGGTAACACAAAATATGTTAGAAAAAAAACCCACTATATATAGAAAGGATAATAAAAGACAAAACCTGAACCTCTGTGCCCTCGCTTAAGTTTCTGGACTTATTATATTTTTTTCTGTGCTTACCTTTAATTTGATCCATTTCCTTGTCCTCTCCGTAAACCGTTTACCACTTCACAGCAGCGCCCATTAACGAAATGACTGATATTTCTTACACTCTTCACCGAACAACTGGTTTCTGTTGGCCTGTTTGTTTGTCCGTCTCTCTTAATGTGTACTCATCCATTATCGGATAAGTGTCAGATACAGCCCAAATATTATTACTTACATAAACATGTCAAACTTTTCTTTACTGCTTCAAAACGTGTCAACAAAGTGCCTAACGTTCAACACAGCATCCAAGGACAGGTCTCATCAACAAAACGCTAATTTTTCTCCCATAAGTGTCATTTGTATAAGCCTTGTTCTCACTGCTCTGCCGCCAATTCCAACTTGTATTGTAAACCCATAATTTGTCTCTTTGGTAACACCATAAAACCACTGTAAGACTAGATTACAGCGGGAGCTTGAATTTCAATCTGTTCTGATGACCGACTTTTCATAAAGGTCTACGTATAAACACTACCAGCTTCTAGGAGTGCTGAGTATGCCTCCAAATTACTGTTACCGGTATATTATTCAGTTTTCTTATACTTCTGCGTGGACAGAACAAATATTAAGCAATCAGGATCAAGAACTTATAGCTCAAGGACAAGCGCCATGACTTCAATGAGTATTTGTATATTCAAACTCGCTCGTTACTGGGATTCAGCCCCACAATCTCATGTTTTCTACAGGAACTTCGATCACAACTCCCGTGTTTGTTTGCATGTGCTTTGAGGAAGTAACCACATTGAACAACAGGTACCCTGAGGCCATACCTCAGACCTCATATGGCGTCCTGAGAACGAGAAAGAGCCATGTTACCACAGTTTACACGTTCTCTCCTCCAAGCTTCCCTGTAGGCCGAGAGCAAGCGTTTCTTTCACCATCTGCCTGTGGACGTAACAGCATTATCCTCAATCACAAGACTTTGTATTTGTATAATATCGTTACTCATCTTCTTCTGTCCACTTTCCAAGCTCTGCCTGCAAACACCGTGACTGCCGCGCTTTCTGTGGCCATAAATCCCAAACACCAATATTTGCGAACAAAAAGAAGACATGTGCCGGAAGTAGGAAATTGGTTTGCAGTACATCTTGAGGCATAGACTAGGCACTTCACTAATTGAAAGGTGTATTGTTGCTTGCCAGTACGCGATGCTTATTGGTGAACGATAGGGTTGGAGGGGACAGTCTTCAAAGTTTACAAAAACATGGGCTGGGCGTTTGCAGAGATGTATGCCTCCTTGTGATGGCCTCAAAACTCAAATTCTGCCCTATTCACAGAGATGGTGAAAGAACGTCTCCAGCGTTAAGTTTGAAAACAAAATACAGTCTGCCTTCAATGTAAACGACACTCGGATGCGGGCTGCTACAAACGTTCACAATCATAGAATGACGTTATACCCGACGTCGATCATCTGAGTCTAAAAAGGGGGTAATTTGTCAAACCTAAAACACTGTTTCTGCTTTCTTCACACAATTTGAACGCTACGGTGAGGAACAGCAGAGAGAAAGAAAAGATGAAAGGAAGTTTTATACTGAATGAAGGCCCAACCTATATAAGGTTCCTGTGCACTTGCTGCAACTCGAATTCCTTTTGGTGCAAGTTGGCAATCCTTTTGTACAGGTTTTCCCCGGTCAATTTTGGCAAAAGAGCAGCCAATTTAATTTCCGTGTGTTTGAATTTAAGCACTTTTTCCACTGAAGTTTTTTACTTTGTTTTGAACTCGGAATTCAGGCATTCAATTTCGTTTTGAGTTATTCGGATTCCTTTAGCAGTGTGTTTAATTAAGGAAAGCGTCATTCTTTTTCGTGACGAACAATCGTCATTCAATTTAGCAAAGCTAGTTGGACTGGACATTTTTGCTAATTTCCTTATTTTCAATTTCGTAAAGAGGCAACCAATTTTACACAAAGAAAATTTAAATTCAAGTAGTATTTCGAAATGTCCAAAACAAAAAATAACAAAACAAACAGCAACAAGTTAACTGAAATAAACAACTTTGGTGAGTCGAATCCTATTTTCTTTATTCCTGCCTGTTTCCCGTAGATTTTGGACCTATTGGTCGTTGTTTTCTTTATTTTCATTTAGGGGGATCGTAAACTGACGAATTCCTATAATCTTTCAGTGATTGTGTTTTCAAACATTCTATTTTCCTCATTGTTATTGGTTTCTTTATGATTTTTCTTTATTCTGGTTTTTATTTTTTACCTAGGCCTATGTTGCTCCCGTCTTCCTAAACCATCAATCTGTTGGCGTGCCAGACATCTTGGTAAAATGTGCACTTCAATTGAGTAATAGCATCAGAGTTCTGAATGGCTGTTTGCTGGAGTAGATCGCACCTCCGCTGCTGCAGGTTCATTCGTGCGTTTTTTGGATTGCACAAATTGCAGAGATGCCTGTCCAATAATGAAAACGAATGACGGAACACACGCCTCGGAAAGGTGCCTGCTTAATCGAATGCTTTTTTGGTTGAATTGTGATAATTCTATTAAATCGAATAGCGCAACGGTACTTTTGCCTAGTCTTAAAACGAAATTGAATGACCGTTTTACAGGTGCTTTCAATTCCGCGCAAAATAGAATGGCACGGAGGTTAGAGTGGCTGCTCATTTGTAGAAATTGACCGGGAAAACCTATACTATATGTATGCAAATTCTATGGATAGCCATCCTTGGTTGGCACTTCAAAAAAATCTTTCAAAACCTCCAATGTCCGTCCGGTGAACAAAGAACACTTAAAACAGAGACATCTAAATTAAGCAATCTGTCCGGCACTGCGTCTTTAACAAACTACTGCAGGTGTTTTGAGCCGGTCCCTAGACCCGCAGGAAGGTACGCACTCAGGTTGATACTTGTACATGTACATGTACACTGTACATGCCAGATGGACAGGCACTACCCGACAAAATCACAAACACAAGGTTCGTCGGTGCGAGAACAGGTGGCTTGATTATATAGTCATCGCACGCACCCGCGCAACACTTAACACTTAGAAGAGCAGGTCCGTGATCGACTTATCAACACTTGAATCAAGACGAGACGCTCCTTATTGATGAGTATAGGAGAATATAATCGGTAAGTTGACTGTAACAATTTCTGTATTTTATTTTACACTCCAATCAGCGAACTGAAACAAATGTTAGACATTGACATTTCCAGGTGAATTTGGGTTGAATTCATTCTATAGGGAAATTGTTTTAGAGGATTTGGGGGGGAAGGGGAAGGAGAACTGTCAATAACGTTGTGCCTCAGGGAGTGTAATGTGTTTGGCGTTGCCCTAATGATAATACTGTAAATAAAAGGCAAACTTTTGTGATTTAATAAACGAGTAAAGTAAAATTCGCCGCCAAGTCAGGTTAGTGAATTCGTAAAAAGAAACCCTACACTGAGCAGAAGTTTACTAAGTCTTGTGATTATCGTCACATTTCTGATCCCCGTTATTTCCCGATACATTTTTTGTACAGAGTACATCTTTAAGGCGCCTATCCAAAAGTAAATGTTTGGCGCCTATCCATATGTAAATGTTTGGCGCCTATCCATACGTTAATGTTTTAGGTGCGTTGCGTACACGATGCGTTACGGTGAGTGGCACTTCCTCGGACTCAAAAATTGACTCCATAAACATAACACACGTGTGCGTTGCGTTTGGCCAACAAAAAATGATCAAACTCGCCCCAGGAGCGATTTTGACGGATACACAGCACTTGGCGCAAGTGCTGACGCGCGTATGGAAAGGCGCCTTTAGGCAATCTGGTTACGACACTGATGAAAAAGCAATGTTCCGGACTGTTATAACACCTTACTGTCACAAAATGTCACAGGCTTAGATGTCATGTTTAATCATTGCTTTTTTCTTCCTTTATATATAGTTATTATCTCGAAAGTACATATAACACCAACAATGCCAAAAGTTGCCCTTTATCTTAGGTATTTGCACACAACTAGAATGGCACAAAATCAATCCAATAAAGGGGTTATCTTTATGTTCGATCAGCGATAACCTTCTTTCTGTTAATAAAACGAGTGATAAATCGAGGGGCCTAGGTTTCACGCTATAAATAAAGGTAAAAAAAATCTTCAGACGCGCAACTCCGTTGTGTTGTAAACCAATACTGACTTTGTCATTCGAGTAATTTATTTTACTATGCTTAGGGAATGGGTGCTTTTATCATGATTTACCATTAACTGACGAGATATTTATGAGCTAGGGAATTTCTATAATTGCACTCTGTACTGGGAGGCGTAATGTGTCAGCTATTGCCTTTACATTGTGACTTATTTTTACTACATGTTGGCTTTTGTCGTAAATCATCAAATGGCAACTGCTGCATACGGTCTTTTTGACTAGGTTCTCCGATATTTGTAGATATAATTATTCGAATTTCCTTCTTGATTTGGCCATTTTTCTGGTGCAATGGAACGATCTGTGGTAACTACAAGCAAGAAGCACTGCCTGGGGTGCTTTCAAGGTTTTATAATCATCATATCCAGTATTCAATCGAATTCCATGCTGGAGGAGGTCCTTCCTCCAGGGGTAGGTTAAATACTGACTTTCCTTGTGTCCCGTATACACGAAACACCTGTCTGACGTGCCTGCTGGAATATGACCTTTCGGAAAATGTACGGGGGGACTATATACAAAGCATATATACAAATGACCTGATATTGGAATCAATATTTAAGTGTGATACACGTAAGTCTGCTTTATATTCACACATAAAACGGAGATTACAGTTATTGATTTGGATATTTTTATATTTGTATTTTTATATTTTTATATTTTATATTATATTTTGGAAGCTAGAATATCATTGACACGTTATAATACGTAAAAACATTGGGAATTGTTTCCTTGTCGCCTACAAGACGAAAACAAATACAAAAGAAAAATCAAGACGTAATACAATTACATGATTATGTGTGGCCGTCTTTGTTTTACTGTCTGTTTGCGTCCGCGTGTGCGGAAACACAATAATGTGAACAAACTCATTTCCCAGTAATGTCGCGCAAGCATAACCAAATATTTATCCAATGTCGGCAAAAATAATGCGACTTTTTTCAACCTGCGTGCTTCGTTACGGATATACATCACCTCCTAGCAACGAGGTCCCGACCTTAGCGACGGGGCAAACACTGGCGTCTTTCTTCCGCCAGTGAAAGTCGAGAAGAATTCTCGGGATAGGATTTTCTGCTCTGGGATGCAAAAATGATACTTGGGTTTTGGTTAACGGTTTAATGTCACGTTGGCCTATGGGAAATAAGATACAAAAGTTGAAAATTCCAGTCTGGTAGCTTGACAGGGGTCAAATGAATATCATGCAAACGCAACATGAGGTGCGTTGGGTTTTTCGTGCAATCACTACATCCATGAGAAACAGCTAAAAGAGCTATTTTAAGTGGTCGTGTTACATTTATAGGTACACGGCAAAAACTGGGGTGATTAATTTAACACCCCCGGTGTAATCAGAGGACTACACCAACACTTTACAACAGTGTTAAAAATGTTAGTGTTATTTGGTGTTACTTTTAACACCTTCCAGTGCACTTTCACATTTGTAAGTGTGCAGTGTAACACCAGTAGTGTTAAAGTAACACTCTATGGTGTGTTCATTTGATAACACCAAAAGGTGTTGATTTTAACCCCACAGTTGCTGACACTAGCTTGCAGTTATTACTGTTGTGAGCAACCCAATGATTAAACACTGTTGCTGGTCTGGTAGGCATGGGGGCTGTTTTTTTTGGGGGGGGAGGGGAATCCTGAGAAATGCAAGACAGGGGAACACGGACAACACAGCCCGTGGTGCGGATTAGTCAATCTGATTTAATCCGCTCGGTGGGCAGCCTTGGATGCCTACTCATCTGCGAAATGAAGACGGGATGAAGACCATTGGAGTTGATACGGGAACTCTATAATTAAAACTGAAGCACTCATGGGAATCGGAAAGCAACTATGAGGGGTGCTTGTAGTATTGATGTATTGCGGCAGGTGTCCATACTTGAGCGGCTGTCGGATTTGACAGACCCTCCTGTGGAATTACTGAGGAGTGGAGTATTACATGTGGGAACACTACAAGGGTCAAACCACACAGATGTCATGGGTCATTTTATTGTCCGGTGGACATTACTGAAAGGTGGAATATCTTTTTTCATTGCAACATTTTCAGTTCTTGAATCCACTTTGTTTACGTTCTTCCTGCTCTTTGCTGTTGTCGGAAGTATACATGTACAGTACACCGATGAGCCCTAAAGCCAACCTTGCAGTCTGCTCGTACGGGGCTAGCCTACGTATGGTCTCCCTCGGACCATGGAGCTAGGCTCGGACTAGACTGGCACAAAATATACAACACAATGGCACTGGTTCCATCATGCATCAGCCGTTGACTATGTAACACTACAAACAATAGCCGTAGAGTGTATCCAGCTGCAGCCACTAATGTTGCATGTTGCCACAAAGGGAAGCAGTTAGTGTATAGTGTTTATCTGTTGGACTTGCCATACCTGAGATGTTTCTTTAAATCTGCAAAGGTTCTTAAGTGCAAAATACATTTTGAAAGAGAGAAAGGAGTAATTCCTGACAAGTGATCTTCCAATTTGCTCAAATTCCAGGAAGCTGCAGCCACTGTCTCTAGCGGCCTGGGGGCAGATTTGAACAGAGGAGTGATCGCAAATGGACGGCTTAGTAACCTCGTGAAAACAGGTAGAACAGGCATATAACACTTGTCCGGTAGTCTTGATAGCAGAAGTGGGTATGAACCTACACCGGGTATAAGTGGGAAAGGGACATCGAAACAGCTCATTAATATAAGGATACGTGTAAGTAACACAGACGTGATTCATAGCTGAGGTTGTTAACTTCAGCCCTTCAGGTTAAACTCAATGATAATTATTTTATTTCATTGCAGTAACCATTTGCCAGACTACTGATGCTCCGACAAAGCTGGAAGCCTAAAAAGTCCCGTCTGATGATGAAGCAACTTTCTACTTGAAAAGGGTAAGTACTTATGATCCAGTTTTTTACCTCATTTTCAAAATATGAAATAACTTCGACGCGCCTTTAATCAATAACACTCTGAAGAAAAAAACCCTAAATAAATTAACGCCTGTTTAAGTTCGACACATACTGCTTCTGTCATAAACCAATGAGCCAGCCTCGACCAGTTTAATTCTCAAAGACAGAAAGCAAATTATATTGGCCTAAAGATTACAATAAACGACATGTTAACTTTGAAAAAAAAATCCACTTTGTAACTTTAAAAACAAATGCTTTTTCCCGCAAATCAAGCAACATTACAGTGTTTGGTATATAGTCAATACCAGTTTAGTACACACGTTATTATGCTAGTCACTTAACAACATTATCCACAGTTTAAACAGCACCAGTTACCTAAAAAATCGATCCACACTTTGTTCGATATAGGAGTGTGTGCCTATGAGCTTAAAGTTGGAGAATGTACGTGGATGCTTACACTGTTTTGTACGGAAACATAACAGGGCCCACCGCGTTCGATTAAGACTTCATCGATCATAAGGAATTTTTCATAAGGAATCCACACACTCGTGTGTACATTCACTGATGCTTAATTTTATCTGACTGGAATGTGTTCTTCAGGTACGTTAGATCAACGCTAGATAATTCAAACAAGAGGTGCTACAGCAATAACATCATCATGACGTCGTTTTACACGCAACTGCCACGTCGACGGGAGAAGAAAGCCCACAGGGCGGTTACTCCAGTCATCGACTCGAACTCGGAGGCGCGATTCTCCGCTCCGCCCCTCGACTTGTCCTTCAAGCACATCGGATCACTAGATATGGACTTGTCCGAGTGGGCAGACGAACCCCGCCAAAATACTAATAAGAGTCTGCGGAAAGCAGACGACGGCAAGTACGCAAGCGTGTCCCTCAAGCTTAACAACAACCTCATCCAGGACTGGAACGGATTCGAGAGTTTCGTGACGTCACTGATAACCAGTCCCACCGAACTGACCTGGCTTGACATGTCCTTCAACTACTTGGTCAGTGTGGATGACGTCCTCTTGAAATTCCCCAACTTGAAGATATTATATCTCCATGGTAACAGCCTGGATGACCTGAAGGAGATTGACAAACTTTCTGGCTTGCCGAAGCTGATGAGTTTGACGTTGCATGGCAACCCAGTAGACAGCGAACGCGGGTATCGTCACTATGTACTAACCAAACTCCCCCAACTGAGGGCACTAGACTTCAGTCGTGTAACCACGGCTGAACGAGATACAGCTAAAACAATGGTTAACTTTTTAGGGTACAATAAAAAGCGAGAGAAGAAACGGAGACGTCCTAAGACATTCTGAGAACATTTTCAATACATATTTTTTCTGAAATGTGCTTGTAGCAAAGCAGTTGATATATAAATTTGTAAATAGTATTGTCATTTAACTTGCATTCGATTTCATTCTTCTTTTTTTTGTAGTCAAATTATTGGCACACGACCGTCAGTTTTTAACCTCAGATTCGAGCCGTTCGTGGGCCACACTTCATAGTTGCTGTGGAAGTGCTAGTACATTATGTCAATTGTTTTAAGATTGATAAAGGGAAGAGGTTGCGGGTAGAGACACTCTACTTGAAATTTAGAAGTCTTGTTACAGTGATGAATATCCTTATCATGAAACTACGGCACCCCCAAATGATTTTTAGATAAAAGTGTTCTTGTGTAAAATAATTTGATACTGAACCCTTCACATCCGCATAGGCTTCTACAGCGAATATCTCATACGGACCTTGCAAGATAGACTGCGCACGCTGGAAACAGACCTGACAGTTCTTGGGCACAACAGCAGTAGCAGTCCACATCTAATCGGATGTCGGATGTACATGTATATCCAATATCCCCCAATTGAATAGACATTCGCTGCCATAGAAGCCTATGCGAATGTCCAATGTCCAATACCGAACTAAATTTACCTGTCATTATACTTGCGTTCAAGTCCTCATCCTACGTCGCATAGCAACCGATTTGACCATTCGCACTGAGCAACTGTTTCAAAGCGGACGGGCGTGGATACCATCTCTAAGGGTGGCAGATCGCGTTAACTACCTTAATGGCAACGACTGCCTTTTCATGTGCAGAGATGAATTTCAAGTTGAAGGAGTGCTATGCACTCACATAAGTGATAAACCGATTTGAGCAATTGTGAATAAAGCAAAAATGTTATTCGAATGAATATGACAGCCAACGAGTCTTACATTGACACGTCGAAGACTAAAATAGTTACGATAATTTGATAAATGTTGGAGTCCAGTTTGAAGTTTAAAACACGATGACTGTCATATCAGTTTTCATGCAAAAAGACAAATCAGCAATATCTGTTACATTATGCATGCCTGCAAGCAATGACTACCTGATCAGAGCCTCAGCGGCCTTAAGCAATGGATGTAAACTGAACTTTGGAGCTTAACACTGTACACCCGCAGGCTGCTCTTTCGTGTAACGATTTACGTGTGGGAGCAATATCGATCCCATATTTTCATTTTGAATTCACGTATTCCCTTGTGTATAAAAACCTGGTTATTAAACCTCTGAAAGCCAAGTGAAAGAAGTCGACCGGGTAACTTATTTCCACCATGGAAGAAGTTGTACAAACCTTACAAGCAATGAACGAGAATAATTTCCTCAACAAATGTACCGTCCGTAACACTGTCAATCCTAATACAGGTGGCTCCAAACTCAAAAGACGTTACGTCTTGATATCTTTTGCTGTTCTGAAGAAAACCATGACTTTCACATAAAAATTCCTCACACCACTGCGAATGTGGACGATCACTGAAAGACTGAAATTGCCACGTCAGAGCGTCTCTAAATAAGTACGAAGGGTGAAGTCGTACATAATTTGTGACATGAAACAGTACCCGCGACTGGTATATAATAGATCACGATCGAGTAAGCAAACATTACCATACCAGTTGTGTATTCCATTAAATCATTAACTAAATTTCTGTATTAATCGACAGTCACCAAGGGGTATCTTCAGGTATTTTTTAACAGAGTCGGACAAAAGCTTCATAAAAAGACGTGCCATGCTGTGTCTTAATATTGGTTTTTACGTGTGATCAGTAACCCCTTCGATATGAGGACGACTTCGCAATCAATAAAGGTAGGTTGCACATTTTCTTTGACAACTATTTTATCTCATAGGTATGAATTATTTGCGAGGAAAAGGGCTGCAAAATTTAGCTCCGAAAATTATGGCACACTGATTATGTTTCTCTTAGCGGCCATTTTGTTCATCAAAACAGCAATTTTCATAGCCTACGTTTCACCGTATTCATCCTAGTTACTAACAATCACCCTAAGGGAAGGGGAACGGAGACAGAACAGTTTTGAACTGTGCGTCAAACTAGACTTACTGATGCTATAGCCCTGTTATGATTACTATTTATGGTAACCTTAAAAAGACGTCTGCAAAGGCGAATTGAGAGGAGGACAGTGGAGGCCAGCCTCCTTCCTTTGACAGAGTAATGAGAGAAAGGTGATTTTTTGTTGTCTTCTTTATTTCCTTTCCCTCCCAAAGCGTGTCAAAAGCCTCCGAATGTAGCCTCGCCCCTAATAAAAGCCATGAATAATCGCATAATACGTTTTTTATGGGGGGCACAAAAAACAAGATTGCCCCATACCCCGAAAATTTGGTTCCGGATCCACCCTTTGACGTACGTTTGGTGTTAAAAAATTATTCGCGAGGATTGTCCATAATTTACCTAATTTCATTTTCAAATGACCGCAGGCTCACGTTACATCATTCCGAAGTATTTTTAAAATTAACAACTGGGCAGTGCTGACTGGAAAATGCTCATTTCAGGTTTCTCATATGATAACAAATGGCACAATGGAGAAGAACCAGGCTGTGCCAGCCAGTAACTATTGTAGACTTTAAGAGGCATACAGTTGAGAAAATTCTACAATGATCAGTGGAACATTTTTAAGACATGAGAAAAGAATCCAGAGCTTCGTTGAAACTAAACATGTTTTTACACTTTTTCGCAAACAGGCCATGGGAAGCTAACTACAAAATCTGACAAAAAGTACAGAAGGAATCTAACAACAAAACCAGAAAACACTGGGTGAGGATCAAGAAAACGAGTTCCGGATCCCATCATGTCCAGCAGAACTCTTTCCCAGGGCCGGCCGCCCATCTTCTTCATGTTACCGGCGGGGCAACAGCATGGCAAGTTGGGCGGGGCTATCGCCGTCATGGGAGACGCCGTGAAGATTCTTGGCTTGACACAATTCCTTACAGCAATTCCCTGCATTGCTCTGGGTGTGGCAGCACTGCTGTTCGAATGCCAGTATGGATACATCGCCACTGGCATATGGGTTGGAGCAATTGTGAGAATTCAACTCCTTTTTACAGTCCAGTTGTAAAAAGAAAAAGACTACTATAGCTGTCTGCCGCTCAGCCAAATGAATACTAGCTACCACCAAATACCCTAGAGAACTCCATAAGAAGCCTGTCATTTTGCTTGATCTCCCTGATTAATGACAAATTGAATAATATATATATATATATATGTATTGTAATGAAGAGGTTTGCATGAAAATTAATGTTTACTTTCACGAAATGTTTCCATAACACAGCAAGAAAAACTTGACTGCTTTATTTAACTTTTACAAAAAAAGAGAATAAGCAGGAGGAATATGTTGTTTTTACAGGTTTTAGTGTCTGGTTTGTTGGGAGTTTCTGCTGGATCAAGTAAGGAACAATGCCCAGTAAGTTTGTCACAGAAAAAGGACTGAATTTGACCACACGTTTTAGTCCATTCCACAGCATTATTGAAGGAGTCATTGCACACATAGTGAATCTTCCTCTACAAGCAACAGCGTATCAACCCACATAACTCTTTGCCAAATGGTGAAAAAAGCACCGATTAGTCAAATACTCTGTTGAACAAAACATTGTGATGTTACGTTGAGCTGGTGTGTTTACACTGAACAATTTTCTCACTATGACCACCGTGAAGTACCCTTTTGAACCCTACTTGAATGGACTGAAATTTAAAGTTAAGGCCATTTTCTGCTGACAATGCCTCATCACAAGAGATCAGTGTGCTGATGGGTACTTATGTGAATACAGTTCACGCCCCAGGAAGGTTCCACGTGAGATTAAAGTGCCTTCCAGGTCATGTATTGTTTGTCATAGCACTGAAATTTCATTTATCTAACCAAAATCAAATATAGATGGAAATCAGTTTATCTTCGGAACATATTCTTTAAGCTGGGGAAGGTTTTTATTTCGTGATCAACGCAGTGCAAAATGTGAGACAAATACAGGTTACGATCAGAAACGACTTCCAAAAATTTTTAAACACCATCCCACCTCCCCCCACCAAAAATACAAGATTGCTGTTAACCATTAATAATAATAATAATTGATTTTAATCATGAAGACACTATTCCCTTAAATCCATACTGCGACCTCTATAGCTCCAGTGAGTGATCCGGTTTCGAATAGTACACCCCGGCCTGATGCGGCCTGCTTTAGAGCAACATCACGTGCCGCGCAGTGCGTGCATGCATCTTTTGCGAGTAAACGAACACGGGGATTGGTCGTGATCTTGTAGATGTATGCACTTGGCATGTTCAGTGTATGGCATCTCAAACTATACGCAGTGGCTCGAACCCCTCTGCCCCGAGAAGGCTTCGCGAGATACCCTCTGTCGCTTGCCAGAAATTAATTTTATGCTTGGTTTGAACATTTCCTCCAAAATGAAAGCATGTCAGTGATTATTTCACGACTCTATTATTTCCTCTGGTTTATCATTAATTTCTCCATTTTTTATATTTTTTTTTAATTATTATTTTTCATTTTCAGCTGTCCTCCTATCACATGATGTCGCTCCTCAATATCTTATCCGGCACAGCGCTCTTAACAATCCATGTTCTCTCTCTGCTTCGGGAGTTGGCGAATTGTGCAGACACGACAAAAACATGTTCAGTAAGAGTTTAACAGGCTGGTGAATCACTGTGTTTGTGCTTTTGTGTTTTAGTGTTGACTATTGCTGTTATAGACTTTTTTACCAGTCACAAACCTGGAAGCACTGCCATGTTGTGATCATTTCGATATCCTTATGACAATGCTTTTTATCTGTTGCAAGTATAAAATATTTCACTGATTTCACGAAAAATCGAATTATTGCAGTTGCTGACTTAATTTTACGAGAGGTATAGGGTACTGGACGGGGTATACAGATCCAATGCCATCATACAAAAGCAACTCTCCACTCCAACAGGACATTTTTATTACTTTTTAAAAATCCTCACAGGCTCTTTGCGTGACCTTTAACAATTTGCTTGGGTGCATCGGTTTGGTGCTGTTCTTCCTTGCTCTTGCAGCAGCCGTTGTCAGCATGACTCTCAACAACAAAGTAGGAAAATGTAAAGAGCAGGTATGTTTGAATGTCAGACTTCTCAATACCCAATCTCTCCTTTTATGATCGCTGCTATATAGTTATTAAAGTTGGGTGTCTGTTGTGGCTTTTAAAAGAGCCCTTCTTTACTTGTGGGGTTGGGATACAAGTGCCTCAAAACTGCTGTATGTTGTTGTTGCGGATATACTGTCATGACAATATCAATTATACAACTACATCCACTCCCATATAGGTTGTTCCGTTGATGCCCTACCCAGTACGGCACGGTAATCGGTCTGTCACGAAGTCAATAAAAGGAACAGAAGCAGGTGAGATTAAAGTTAGCCCCTGTTTGTAAACAATTCTGTGAAGCAATTGTGCACAACCTTAAGTTTGCCTGCGCATTTTCAATTTTTTTTTTTTTTGTGCGTACGAATTCATAAATTGGTCAACTTCAAATCCGTCCCGAGAAGAATCGAACGCGTATTACTAAATGCTACAATAGATTTAGTTATTGATCAAGGACTAATTTCACTGATTGACCGCAATCATCAACAGTTGATCTTTTTTAATGTTTGTCGATTCGAAGTCGTCATATCATTTCCACGAATCTATAGTCTCACCTGATGATCAGGTTCGTGATGTAAGCAGGGGCGGATCCGGGGGGCACCCCCCTTTTTCACGAAAGAAATAAATGAATACATAAGAGAAGAAAACGAGGACGGGGGAAACAAACAGAGAAAGGGACCCAGCCTTACGTGACTCGGGTGTAAAAAACAACAGTTCGGCTTCCCTAGGCTACGGGCTCGTGGGCATTACCACTGATGCTTTAGTTCACGCCCCCCCCCCCTTTGGATAATCCGGGATCCGCCGCTAGTAAGGATCGACTTGGTCTTTGTTCGGTCGTTTTCAACAATGTCTCAATGAATTGAAGGTTGAACAACCAATCTTGAAAGACAAGAAGGTAATCGACTGTATGTAAGAAGACATTTAAAAAAATGAGTGCATTTTACTCATGAGCCTATTTATAATGGAACAAGCCAACTTATTTCTTTCACGATACGGGTTTATCAACCTGGCTTATTTCTCCAATTCGTTGACCTGTTTAACAGTTGAATAATCGACAGTGGTACAGAAAAGTTTATTTATGCAAGGTTTCAAACCTGTGGTACACAAGAAAATACTATGCAGATACAAAAAAATAAAGCAAATATGTTAAAAATAAAAATGATCAGATGAAAACGTAAAAATACCCCAAACTGTAAGCTATCATGTGAGGAATTTAAGTGCAATTTATCTTTTGATCGCCAAATGACCGGACTGTTTCATTCATCGTTTGTCAATTACATGCGGACGACATAATCGAGTTGTTTTTCACGATAAAGCATGCATAATGTATGAAATCGTTTGAACAAACTGCAAACAAAAGAAACCAAACAGGATATCAAAACAAGGGACACGAAATGTCATGAATTTGAGAGACGAATTCGAAGTTATTCGTTTATGAATATAAATCGAAAATTTTGAAAGTGTGCACGAAACCTGCTATTAGCAGTATGCAGAGACGAAAGCTCCTGAGGGGCTATGAATCTGAATAGCGCCCTCATTCTAATTCTTTGGTCCATCATCAACATGCAAGACACTAATGCCATGGACAGATTTTCAAATCATTTTTGCCATGTTTCCCGCGATTTACAATCGATAAGAATCGAATAGCCTCAATACTGCAGTAAAATAGGACGTGTCTATCCCTACATACTCCCATTTATAATATCACAGTACACCACCCAGTTGTTACAGTTCGTCTCAATAACTTCAAGGCATTTCAAATAAGTTTAGCTTCACATCACCGCCCGCACCGTTTTCATGCCCATCGATTTTTAAAAAAATATTTTATCCTTTTAAAGTTTATTTTCTCAAAAGAAAGATGCATTTTCCCCAAAATATTCTCAGCAAATCAACACACATGTGTTGTCTATACACAAACAGTGAAACGTTTTGTGTGCGTGCAAGCACCAACGTGAGACGCATGCTCATAGCGCCGCGTGCGCGCTACACGCGCGCAATGACGACGTCTCTTGGTGGATCGACAAATTTCATGTTTGCTGTGTCCTCTTTTAGGCTTAGTACAATGTATTTGGCATTGTAGGCCGTACGTAATTCACTTTGGATGTGAAACAGGCGAATATATAGGGTATGAATATAAAGGCCACTCCCAACCATTTTTTTTTCCAGCCTTGGTGATGTGAATTTAGGGAGTAATCTTAATTTAAATTAAACGGCCAAATTTAGACAATTCTTACCTTCAGGCTTCAGTGCTCTTGATATTGCACCCCAGCTCATTCCCAACACCGCTGAGCTTCAAATAATTTGAGGTCACACTGCTAAAATGTAAACACTGTAATTAACTTTCTCACAATTCTACCACAATCTCGAAAGGACAGTGCTTTACGCGTGCGGCTGTTGTGTAACTGAACTTTGACACGTTGTCGTGTGGACTCCGTCGCACGTGCTTCATATTTCACTTGATGAGCCCATATCAGGAACTTGTAGTTCTTGCCTGTCCAATAAACATCAAACGATAAATCCAAACGCTCTGTCATAATGTTCCGGTAAAACTTTCAAAGCTTTGAACAAATTGGTTGAACTGCCTTCAGTCATGATTCTCAAGAAACACTGGAAACGTTATTATTCTGCGAAACTTCACGCCCCCGCCGTCAAATTGCTGTCAGCCATCTTTTTGCTTGTCTGTTCAAGTCGCGCATGCGCAACCTTTTCTCTCTTTAAAATGACGTTTGCTCAGAGTAAAAGCCTATTAATTTGTGTAATTTTCATAGGTTAAAAATAACAAATTCATGATTATTTTCCGTTTTTACAGAACAAAATGGGGAAGTCACACGCGGCGATATTCATCTGCAAAATCTTAACTTCAGTGACGAAAACTTCCAGTTTGCTTGAAACAAAAGATGAGAGGTCGATTTTGCATTATTAGGTTAATTCCGACGATGTGTTTATGTATTTCATAAGTCGTTATGCTTACTGCAGATCAAGCGAGTGCTAGACACTCCAACCTGTTTCGAAACAAATCCTTTTTTTACCTTTGATGGGGAAAAGGTAGATGACTTAACTGATACATGTACATTAGAAATAATTAGTTAGCCCCTAAATCGTTGCACCTAAACCGTATTTCTTACCCAATTTGGACCTTGTCGAAGCACAGGCAAAACTGAACACAACTTTCGGAGCATTACTAAACATTTGAACCTGTACTCACGATTTTCATCAGCATGTATTTGTGGAAATTATTATTTTGTTCAAATTGGTTACTCAGGATCCTTCCCACAGCATTAAGTGGAATCCACATGTATGAACGAACAATAAACACCAACCTCGTACTTTCAATTGTCCACGTTTGTAAATTTTATTTTTCTAAAAATGACAAAGCTGATATAGGAAAATGTACCTTCCAAAGTAAAAGTATAAAGTTGCTAGGTGAAAATACAAGTGACTAAGTAATATAAATGTATATATTTTGAGAAAAAGATGTGATTATTAATTTCAACAGCAATAAGGGAATCCGTGATTTAGCAAGGGTAATTTCGTTTTGTGCTTCAGGGGCCAATTTCAAAGAGCTGCTTAAGCACAAAATTTGCTTAAGCGTGAAAAAAACTTGCTTGATAAATCAAGTGACCAGCCAAAACTCCATGTGATGTATATTGTTCTGGGATTGTATTTAGCTGTTTTGGGGTTAGCATGACAATCAGATAGAGTTTGAGCTGGTAACGTTTGTTTATTAAGCAAAGTTTTTTCCGCTTAAGCAAGTTTTGTGCTTAAGCAGCTCTATGAAATTGGCCCCTGGGTTGTTGATTCAGACTCCATACATGTATGTAAAACCCTCACTCTACTGTGAACACTCGTTACTGTCTTATCAATTCAGACAGTGAGTAGTGTAAGCCTTTTAATGATTAATTAAAATGAACGATCACAAAAGCACACTGCTGATCTCGACATTAATAGTAAACATGTAAAAACCTTCAATTTGTCGTTTCTTTGAAAATAAAGTATTTTCTGTAACTATAATTTCATAACAAGTGAAACAGTAACAGGTCTATTTTTTACTCAAATAATTTGCCCGTTTCCGTGGCAGTGCAGTGCTGAACAATGTCTTCATATTCATTTTAAATCAGGCATACAGGAATGTGTCAACAATAAAATGGTCCATGGTGAGACGGTAACAAAGAAACAATCCACAGAATGTGAAATCTTGCACATAAATGAACAAGATCTTCATAAGGCACTTCTGGGCAAGGGAAATCGGGAATGACTACAATACTAATCAAAATACTGACTCTTAATCCGCAAGTAAATCCAATCTGGATAATACACTCCTTAACTAATCTCCTATTTTTTTTAAAGAAAAACATCTCTCAAAAGATACAACTAAAAGGTAATATTGATGTCCTTTGAAATTCTTATGGCACTGTAATACCATCTGAAATGGCAGGGCCGAAATGGCCGCAGTACAAATTGATAAAGGAGTCCAAATTGACATTTCACGATTATGGTGTGAGGTTTGTAGCTTGTTGGCAGCCAATTTGTTCATCCCATGACACGTTGTATTTTCATTTACAGCACAACACAACTTAATTTTTATTCCGGGCAGAGAGAAACCTTTCATTGTAAACTGAGAGACAAATTTTAGTGTACCTGTCATCTGGCATTCATTAATTAGAAATTTGTTATTACTGAATTTTTTTTAAGCAAAACCTCTTCATCGAAAATAGCTAACCGTGCAAAAGTTTAGTTCAGAGTTCCCTATAATGTTGGCACAGCAAAACAGCGACATCAACTGCACATATCCGCCTTGAAAACTTATATTTTTAAAAACTGACATTTTACACTTCAAATTTTCTGCTGGGACTGTCTTGCGTGAATATATATAGAATCTTTAAGAATGATAGACAAGACTTAGGTCATGATTTTGGGCCATTACACGCATCAGGTATTCCTCTCACATTTAGTTGTATCTCTTACAGGGACAAATCTATTCCCTCTACTTACTAATCCACACAAGCAGCACATGCCCCTTTCATTCTCCATGAGGAAACTGATTGAATTATTCATATTTGAGTACCTGAATCATGTTCTTATTTTTCTAATTATACAAAGGAAACTCCTCCAAGTTCTCTGCATTTTACATTCCTAGATATTCATAACCCACATCCCAGTCCCCCCCCCAAAAAAAGAAGCTGGAACAGCAATATTCCACGAGAGCACATTTCAGCTGACAACCTGCCACAAGTAATATACACTGCATGACTGTTTTTTATGGTAAGCTGTTTTTACTCAGTAGAAATTTTCTAGGCCAAGCAATTTCTGAACTTGAGAAGTCAGGAACATCCTTCAATTTCAATCTAGTAACAGCAACTGACAGTCGGGAAAAAGGGATTTGACATGTGCTGCTTACGAATGGCCAGCAAGGAGACTACCGATCTGGCTGGAATGCTTACAACTCCTCCTTCTGAAGTTCTTTGAGTTTACGAAGCATAAAGGAATACATGTCATCTAGAGTGCGACCGCTGGAGTATTTCTCCACATACTGGCCACCTTTAAATAAAAGCATGGTGGGGTAACCTCTGACCTGTCCGTAAAAACAGACACAAAAAGGGGATATGGAATCTGTGGTTAAAACTGTGAAATATCTTACTCTAGTTTCTCAATGAAATTCTGAGATTCCAGGAACATCACATACATGGGACGTGAAACAAAAATGGCATCAGACTGAGTCTAAATGTTTTGGCTATGGCTGGCTATAGCAAACATTCCTACGGAAGGCACTAGCTAGAGGCTGCAGCCACTCCCTGTGGATATGTGGGTTACTGTCAGCAACAGCTGAAATTTCCAGACCTAGCCCTAGCCTCCAGAATCAGAATGGTCAACATATGACCTTACCTCATATTTGTTACAGGTGGACTTGTGCACTGTGCAGTCCACCTTGGCTGCTGTTAGACCAGGCTTGTCGTCAATCTTATGAGCCAAGTCCTCAAAGGCAGGAGCCAACTTCTTACAGTGGCCACACCTGTCAAGAGATGACGCTATACAATTGTTGCCTACTGTGTTGGGAAGGTCCAGGGTGTCTTTTACACCCAAGGGGGCAAATAAGACCTGAGGCGAAGCCAAGGGTACAATTTGCCCCCAAATGGTGTGCAAACCCCACGGACCCATCACAAGAGGCAACAATTTTGTTTTTGTATGGTAAGAGATTTTGTAAAGTGTTTAGTTGACTCGATTCAACCAAACTGAATAACTGGTAGGGAGTAACATCTGTTGCCTTGACACTTCCATCTTCCAGCAAATTGTCTAATTCTGTGATAGATTCTAACTGAAACTTCTGGGCCTCCCGATACAGACTTTGCAACCACCATAATGCAAAGAATGTTCAGTATTTGGGCAAGTCACTTTACCCCTATGGGCCTCTCTCCACCCAGGAGTAAACTGGTGCCTGTGAGGGCAGGCATGGTTATGTTTAGCCGTATGTGCAGAAATGGAAGCATCAGGCTAGTATACTCCCCAGGGAGCTGAGATGGTTTCAGGAATGTTCAGATGATGTGAGCCCAATGTGCAGAGATAATTATAATAAGCACATAGAGACATTCCGTAAAACGTTTTATATGTAACCCGCTCGGCAAAAAAGGGTAACAAGTTGCACAATGCCCAAACATGTTATGGCCTGTTCTATTTGGAGAGGGCAACATTCCTTCAAAAATGTGATTTTGTGTTTTTTCTTTAATACTTTCTATAATATTTATATTTCCAGAATTTGTGACAACAAACATGGATACTGGAACTAGGGAAGTACATCTTTGTAAAAACAAACCAGCCGTTATATGCCAACGTTATTACAATGAAATTACAGCAAAATTGACCCAGTTAAAAACACAACTGAATGATACGAACAAACATGGCTGCCATAGCAGAAAAAGAACTTCACTGTCCCCTCCATCACAAGTCCTTTCACAACTCCAGTCACAAGTCCCTTCACAAAGCCAGTCATAAGGAACCGGTTAAACAATGACCAAAGAATGCTTTTGTTACAGTTCATTTGAATTGCTTGTGAACTGGCTTAAGCCAGAACGACTTGTGATGGACTCAAATACAACAATCAATGGAAGTAATACTGGCGAACTTCCAGTGGCGCCATGAAGGAAAACATATGAAGCAAGATATGGAACGGAGAGCAAACTGAAAATCTAACTTACCACGGGGCAAAAAACTTCACCAATGTAAGTCCTTTGGAGACACCTTCTTGGAAGTTGTCCTCCGTCAAAACAACAACCTACATGAGAAAAGGACGCAGCAAAGTCTAATTAGATGACAGGTGATCTCACAACAGCATTTATAACCTGCCTAACTTGATTTTGAACCAAATCGGCAAGATCTTCTTTTACAAGCAGCTCTTTTTTTCAGGAACATCCATGGAAATGGAAGGGAAAAAAATGTGAAATCCCACAATACTCAACAGCAAGGTCGAAACTGCATCACAACTAGCAGGACTCAACAGCATGTAGCACTGACAGAATTTCAGTTATTGAAAGGAGTCAACTTAGGGTCCAATTTACTTTGTCATTTTAGCCAAGCCTTAAACCAACTCGTTATGCGTGCAGAAACTGCCCCCCCAAATTTCAGACTTGAATCAAGACTAATGATGAAATTGCTGAACAACCCAATGGTGTTCTATACAGTAGGCTCTGTAATGTTCATGAAGACAGAACAGAACACTATGCCTGAGAAGTCCTGAGAACGGACAGACAGTCTTCTCCTGGTCACCCAACACTGGGTGTTCAAATGACACTCAGAGTGTTCAACAGCCACCCAGACTCCCACATGCATAAAACCATACAGACAGCTGGTACCTTGGATTCCTTGGGCTCTGTATCTGCTGCCGCTTCTTCTGTCTTCTCCTCCACTTTCTTTTCTTCTTTCTTGACCTCTTTGAGAGGCGGGGTTTGGGTGCTTGGCGGGCCCATCATGCTGCTGACGTACTCCTTGAGGGACTGGTGATTCCGATCCTTTTTGTAGGTGTCCACCTAAGGAAAAACATGAGATTCTCTAGCAATGAACTCCCTTCCTCAATCCCCTTTCAGTCTGTTGTCTATTACTTCCTTTGTTGATATTTATTCTTCAATTCATCATCACTACATCAAACCAGTAAACAGAACTTCAACGTTTGACACCCAGTCAGTGTAATCAAGTCCATCACAAGTCCCTGCAAGTCCAAGACAAGTCATTCAGTCTTAAGCTAATTCACAAGTTTTCAAATGAACATCACTATATTGGTTTTCAAAGAACCCACAAGCTTTCAGCAGATTCCGCAGCTAGCTTAGAATGTCTCCTCAAATTGACAATGACCTTGAGTATCAGATGTTAAGATAGGCTTGCTTACCACCATTCCATCCTTGAAAAACTTGAGTGTTGGGAATCCATTGACTTGATGTTCAACACATACAGGCCTGTGGGCTGTACAATCAATCTAAGAAGAAGAGATGTATAATATCATTAACCCTATATCAGCTACATTTTACCATCTCACGTGGGCGTGGGGGAGATTCTTATCCCCATGGGACTCGGCTGTCCCATGCCCAATCTTTTTTTTAACTTGACAGGTGTGGTAAGACACTCATTTTCAGTTTAAATGTAAAGTTCACCTCCATCCAACTCATGGTTTTGTTGTAACGGTCATCTGAAGTTCATGGCCACACTTCTCTGCCTGCGTGCACTGAGAATATCATTGGAAAAAGTATACGTTCTGGGCTGACCTGTCCCAGATAAATGAGTGCTGCATAAGACCAGTACATGTATGTCCACTTTATACAAAACTGATGCAAACAAAAACGCCAAGTATTACAGAAAGTACTTCTGAGGGCTCGGTGCATGAAAAAAGTGCACTGCGACGACATTGGACAAAATGTTGAGGGGGATATATTTGCCCCCCCTTTAAGGGTTAAGGTTGTTTTAAGTATCCTGATTTTGTTATGTCTTTTTCCCTTTATTAAGCACTTCTTAACACCTAAGTCGTGGATTAAATAGGTACTACCTTTGATATTGTGATATCTTCATTATGGGAGAAACCTTCAGCGAGCTGTTCCCATACCGGAGCAAGTTTCTTGCAGTGCCCACACCAGGGGGCGTAAAACTCAACAAAGTGGTTGCCCTTGGCAACATGGGACTTGAAGTTGTCCTCTGTCAACTCGTAGAGTCCATGCTTGGCCTCTGGCGGTTGAGGGACGTTCTCCTAAAGGGCCAAAACAGAATATCTATGACCACTGTTCCATAAATATTTGTATCCCAGATTTCTGACAACACCCTAAATTCAAAACATGTTCCCAAGATTTAGATGGTGCTCAGCTGGGCTGGATACATCCCATTCACACACCAGTTTGCCAATGTCTTATTGAGAGAAGCATGCACAAGTGAGGGCGCTAGAGTGCCTCAGTAACTGCAATGGCTTGCGCCCTTTTTTCCCCTGTGGACAGTCACAGTCTCTTCACACTGTACATCAAATAAGGCACGTGTCCCAGTTCTGATCGACTACAAAGAGCTGTTGCACAAATTTGAAATTATGGTAGATTCAGGAGGAATATTTCACCTATCAAAAATAATTCTGAGATAGATTTGGTCAAACAAGACATTTCTGATAATTCAACTACAACTTACCATGAATGCACAATTTCCTTACTCCAATCATCACATTCTGGTCATCAATTCAAATAAAAGTGTTTACCTTTTTCTTGTCCAGTCTTTCAAACATGAATTTCTCCAGACTGCCAAAGTTTCTACTGCCTGTGTACTTGACCGTCTCATGGCCTGGGTTGAAGAACTTAAGCGTTGGGTAGCCCTTCACTTCGTTCTCATGACAAACCTTGGTCTCAGCCGTGCAGTCCACCTAACCGGGAAACCCCCCCCCAAGAAATAAGGTCCACTTTAAACCTTTCTGCTGCTTTTAACTTTCATTCATTGATAAGCTGCATCAGTATCTCAGTGACAGGCCATGTGGCATGTCATGTGCTGTAATTTCTTGTTGTGCTTACATGTAGCTGCTTTTATTTTCGTACTAGTAACACAGAGCTGGATCCTTAATTGGACCGACATCAAAGGTAAACAAGGTCAAATACTACTTCAGACAATTTCTTTGTTCCATTGAAACCAACAGGAAACAGTTTGTTGCAAAGCCTGGCTTACCTGTTCTTTAAACATGACTGCATGTACATGAACCCCAAACCTACAATACTCCAACAGCAGGTTTTGGCAGGTTTGATACCATACCTGATGAACTTGTTGAATTTTGTGAGACTTGGGATGAAAGGCTCAGGGAGGGGTGTTGGATTCTGTGTGAGTTGAGACTCACAGGGTTCATTGTGTTCAGAGTCTGGCTTGCTGTACCAATTGTTGGACTATGCTTGATTTTGTCAGGTTTGGTACTGTTCAGTGCAAGTCATCCTATACTGCACAGACCCATCCATACCATATCACTCAAACTCCAACGGGCTCATTCTGTTGGAGTTTATCAGGTTTGGTAGAGTAACCTGCATGTACAAGTATACATGTATATGCATCTGTTGGATTTTGTGAGGTTCAGTGTGTTTTCTAGTACAGGAGGTTAGGGGGCGAGGGTTAAATGAGAACACAGAAAAAACAGGTGAATAAAAATTGAAGAAAATTGAAGAAAAACATCAGAAGATCACAACCTTGGCAAAAGTGGCTGGCACAGATTCGTCGGGGTTGTATCGGTCAGCAAGTTCATCCCAAACTGGGGTTAGCTTCTTGCAATGGCCGCACCTACAGAAAAACAGGAATATTCTGACAATCCCCAATGATCAAATTTTGGTAAAGCAAAGATTTGGAAGTTGAATTACTGAGAGAAAGTACTTTAAAGCAAACAGTGTGTTGCTTTTCAACTCCTTACAGGTACATGTAGTTTTCCACTAGAAGTGAAATGGAGGACAGTCTGGTGCCTTGACGAAGAACTAGCAAATCACTGTTGTACACAGTAATTCCCCTTCCATTTGGTATCAGATGGAGAGGGGGCATCAAGGCAGGACCCCTATAGAAGAAAAATGAGCCTCCTCTTTCCCCTAAGCCATTTCCCATCTTGACACAAATGTAAATGCTGAATTTGCTGCAATTCAGGGAGAATGCCTTATGAACCGCCCATCCCCGCCCCCCAAGTTAATTTTGCCATTGTGGTAAACTGCTCAAACAGTGGCTTCCTCAGTCTTGTTTACTAGCTACACTGTACATGTACATGTACACCCTAACCTGACAGTAATTCACATGTACACAAACAATGCTTGCTTGCAATGTGCAACGTGTGACATGCACACTCTAAGTAACATGCACAAAATATGCAAATCTGTAACAAATCAATTTCTGCCTCATGGTGCTAAAGAACCCAAAATACATGTAATTACAGATAGCTACATGTAGATGAAAGTCCTTTAATCACAATTTTTACGATGAAGTATGATCTTTCACATTTGTGTAATTTTGAAGGAAAACTTTCCAGCATGCAAATACATTACATAATTCTAGACTATTAGATTATTTTTACACAAAAAGAGAAAAATTAGACAATAAAGACATAAGCCTGAGTAAACGTACACATATAAAAACTTGGTCTGTTTGCTCATTTGCAAGTCTGATGCAGACTCAGGCCTCCCATCTGTACCAACAGATCAATACCGAAAACAGATGGCAAGATAACCATGGCAACCGATTATCTTTCTGACTGTTGGATTTATCGACATATTTGCTGTCAATTGTGTGTGTACCACACCTGATGGTTTCGTTTGTATATTATGCTTTGCACTGATTGGATCAGGCTGATAATCAATAGAATGGGGCCATTTACAGAAATCCTTGTTTCTCCCCCAGAGTACAAAATATTCAAATACTGAACTGGTTGTTGATCTTGATACACTATAAAAACCCTCCAATGTACGTGTGCCTCCATATCAAATTTTCTGAAGTTCTTGTTTGCACAAATAAATTTTGTAATTGTATTTTGTGTTCGGCATCACACTGCAAACACAATGCCAACTGGCCTTTAGACAACATGCCTTTAAACAGAATGTATCGGCAAATAAGGGGAGTGCAGTTTAAAGTCTCTGTTGAAGAAAATAAAGTGCAAAAACGTGAAGAAAGTTTTCATTCATTTTGATAAGTTTTTATCAAATATTCAAGTTAATTCTAATATCAGGCCCATAGTACTGAACATTTTTTTAAACCTATTTACTCCCCTAAGATCAAAATTTCTACGACTATTGCACAGTTATCATGGTACATGTAGGTCCTTAGCTGTGCAAAACTCAATTTTCGTCATGCATGTCAATAGGTGTCTCGATCATCAACGTACCACTAAGCCCCTACCACTGCTACTTCCTTAGACCAGTAAACAGGGTCCTATGTATACTCCTTCATTGATACTGGGCCCCCATCTGGGTTCATGGGGATGGCTTTTGACTCGGCTTGAGTCATCGCGACATCGCTCTGGAATTTGTCTTGAAACTTGAAACGGCAAAAGGTACCAAAATTATTATTCGGAGGGGGGATACTAACCTTAACCTTCTCAATATATTTCCTGAAAAGTAAGCTACTACTCCATAGATCTTACTGCACTCTACCTTTTTGATGATTTTGCACGCAGTGGCATTTTGAAAGCTGTCCCGCAAAAAAACTGTCCCATCTGCACTATCTGAAGCAAATCATCCCATATGGAAATACCGAGCCATAGAGGATTATCGAACCAATATGTGATTAGTGTGGTTCCCTGACTACAGATTTCCCAGACGTCTCTATACCTAATCTTAACGAGAGTAGTCAGAATTATCGGGGCTGGTATCCAAAGTAATATAAATGTTCGTAACGTGAATACTCTGTGCCTACAGGTTTTTGTCACATGCCGTACAGCCACAAAGGATGCAGATGTGTGTACGGATCGTCAATGGATGAGAGGTAAAGATGATAGAAAGAAAGTCATTTTTTAATAGGCCTATAGATTAAACGCTGCCCGGCCCGGTAGTGCCATATAGGTTAGCTATTATTATATCATTATTATTACTGTACATGTAATATATTATTATTAATATAGGGTCTTTAGGGGAAGATTTGCTTCAGAAAGCACAAACGATGTTTCATCTGGTATGATTGCTGGGCAGCTTTCAAAAGGCCACTGCGTGCAGAACCATCAAAAGGTGGAGTGCAGAAGACTACGGAATAGTTACTGTCCTGTAGTACATGTGCCTTACCGTTCAGCAGCATGTTCAGGAAGTATTCTCAATCATGGTACACCGTATTGAATGTCAAGCTCTGAAAAAATGTATAAAGTCGTTTTCGGGGGACCCTAGCAACGGGGACTCTCCACACACAAAGCGTATGGTCTCGTTATAAGCCACATTGGGCTAGGTTGTAAATTTACGACTCATTATGAACGTGATCGATCAACCATGAACATGATGAACCCTAGGCTGGAGTGTAAAAAAGCTTACCAAGGAGCAAAAAACATGATGAAATGCGCCGATTTCCCGATGGCATGTTTAAACATCATCTCGTTGTATACATTCTTGGGGCTGTCATCCTTTTCGAGGTCGGCTAAGACGCAGGAAACAAGAAGGGCACACAGGAGGACCGGCAAAAGTTGGTCAGCCATGCTGTTAATTCGATACAACTTGGACGGACGAATGAACGCGCAACAGCAACATGAGACTGGATCCTTGCTTCGCAGAAGGAGTTATCAAGGCAATATTGACACACTTTGTTGGTACCACTCTAAATGAAACGGTTTTTTGGGCAAGAGGGCGCTGTCCATATTGATTATTCGCTTGTCACCCACGCGTGACGCGTGGCCAGCTGAGCGCTAAGGGGCGGTGACAAGCAAATTAATAATTATTGGTGAGGGCGTAAGTTCGAGGGCCTTTGCTTTAGAATCATAATTGCTGGCTCTAGCTTATTATTCAAGGTCGAATTAACCTATAACGTTTGTTTCGCTTTGTAAAGTACGGCAGGCCTACACATATTCATAGCGGCAATATCACGGTCTCTATTTCAGTGAACCATGGAGGCATACAATGCAGCATTTTAAAAGCCAGGTCAAGTTGGCAAATCTAATCAGAGATAATAAATCACATGGACAGCACCATATGATTATTAAGTACCTCCTATCTTTGAACAATAACTTAACGAAGATTTGAGTGAACTGTTAGGACCAAAAAAATTGATTCAGCATTATTATTAGAAGAAACTTAAATAAATCAAGTCTCGGGCTACTTTTTAAAACTATGTAACGGGTTTAAAGTTCACAGGTCAACCAAATGCAGGAGGATAGCATTTTTGCAATTGCCTGGGACCTGAAAGAAGAAAAAAGTCAGATAATCTAAAAGTTACAACATGAAAACTTGTCACATGATCTTTTACCAAGTCTTCAGAGTGTCTCGGTAATCAGGGCATTAAGTTTGAACAGCAGTAGTGGGATCATTAATTCCTGGGCAATTGGGCACTTTCTCCATCCGGTCTCTCCAAGTATCAAGGCATTTCAACCAATGCCTTGACTTTGGCGTGGCCAGTCAGCTTACAACAAAGTGCCCCTAGAAAGCACAAAGTTCTAGTAATGAACGCGCCGTATACCTTGAAATTCCGGATCGCCCAGATGTCAAACCCATTTGGATGCACGTGTCCTTTTTATAATTTATTATTAATTTAGCGAAACAAAAAACAAAAGGTTTCATGATCAAGGAAGTATTGCGGCTGAGATTTCATCGGTGATAACGCACACTATTGACATAGCCTTCAAATTTCTTGTTGATAAAAAAAATTACAAAAGCATTCACTTTGAAAACAATGAAATGTTGTCCCACTTAAGCTTAGATCACGTACAAACACGAACAATTTCATGACTTGGTTATGTACATTTCCCGGACAGCTGTGAAGGCACTTTTAGGCAGCGTGGGAAAAAAATTAATCTTGCGTCACTGCTCCAGAGCCAATCAAAAGATCGCAATCGACTTGTTCCAGGGAAGGTGGCAACCCTCCGTCGTGAAAATTTTCACTTGCCTTCGAGGCTTGCAATTCTTTGGTACAAGTTGTACACGTCACGGATCACTTCATCGAATCGCTGCCTTTCTTTACTCCCACTGTTACTTGACGAATACCTCACCGTGCCCTGAGGGACAAAATACAGTTGGGGTCACTCAAAGACCTGACAAGAATTCTTTCAGCAAGGGCAGAGATCTGACCTGGGGATTGGCTCGTTTGGCCCAAAAGTATCTGCGCATTCAAGTTCAAGGGACTGTTTCAGCAGCGATTCACAAGTCTATTAAGGTTTGTGAACAATGGAAGAACCAATACAGGTAAGTGTCTTGTTTCATTATCGATCAGCATGTATCTGATAGCTTGCGTATGGTAGATAAATCTTCCAACAAAAAGGTGACCCGCTTGTCGTTAGTGATACAAACGCTTATGCCTCGAGAAAATGTCTCGAGACAGAGCGTCTGCATAATGCAGTGACTACAGTCAGATGAAATATTCAAAACCGAACCCGTGACTTTCTAGATCCGATATATAGATAGTTCTTCACAAATCGAGTGTGATAGTTTCCAATTGATTGAATGAAGCACGAAATGTTACAGTTATCAATGATTAATTTTTACAAGATCATACTTTTTTTCTGTTTGAATTCCGTTGTAAGCCTAGTTATTACCCACGGCTAACAGTAAACTTGAAGACCTTCGATGAAGTCCATCACCGTTTGATACATTCTGTGTCTTGCAAACGTCACATATACATTACATTTACTGAACTGGAAGAATACTAAAATCTAATCTGCATCTTTCTTTGCGATAATGATATCCGCAATCCTTTCTTAGTAGAATGGTTTCTTCAAATACACGGTGTACACACTGTGCACACGACGAACTTAATCCTCCCAGGCCGTTAGCCCTCGGCTGTGACGCAGCATGTTATAACCAATTTACACGGAGTGCAAGCCCCTCGTGTGTACACGAGCCAGGTAGCTGCCACATCACATCCTCGACGAGATCCCTTTGATAAAAAATTATGGGACTTCAATGGCAGTGTGAATATTTGCCGTGAGTTCCATGATTGTGGTGATGTGGGGCTGAGCCAGCACTATGACATTTTGAAATATTCAACTGTGACTTTCGGTTTTCAAACATCCTGGTTTTTTGTCTTAAAAATTGCTTATGCGCTAACCTCGTGCAAGTTAATTTTCAATGAAGTTGTACTAAGCTTCCAATTATCAATGTATGCGATTGATGACATGTGAATTTTGTAAAAACGATAAAAAGTCGCAAATCTGAAAGTACCGATAACAGAAACGAAGAAGATTGCTGACGAAGAGGCGAAAAGGCATACAAAATAAATAACGAGCAAACTTAAGAGAGGAGAATGAGTAAGTGGGCAAACTTTCAACAACAGCAACAAAAGTTTTGCTTACAGATCTGCATTTTGGGAATTGTACTTGGTCTTTCAAATTAGCGTCAGAATCATGTCACCATCTTATGAGACTGTCTCAAATCGTTCAGGATTCTGAAAATTACTCCCAAACAACAATTTAGTTCCGCATGTGTTTTGCATTTGTAGGCCATTTCTGGCTCACTGTAAATAATAGCACGTTGATGTCTGTGTGTACGGAGTTCTCCGGGTACCATCTCTAAGGCTGACATCCTGGCATATTTTACGTATTAAGGGGCTTTTACACTAAGGTGGCTCCTCCACGGAATTGCAGGTACATAGATGTATCTCAAGGCCCACATAGTGTGGTGTGGAGAAAGTTCAAATAAACAGACCACTGAGAGACTGTTAGGTGTCACACGCTGATGCCATTTTCTCTATACAAGTTACTTTGTCCAAAAATATACAAACTTCCTTAATCTTGAAAGATAAGATGCAGTAAACTACATCAGATTTCCCTTTAATAAAGTCGTTTTTATTTAAAACAAGACATAAAGCTGCCCTGTTCACCGATCTAATACTGAGGAAAATTCATTCTCTGAATTCTAAAGTTCAAGTAATTAAAGCTTTTTTGTTTTTGTCTTGCTTTCGTGTATGTTATTTTTTATTCATGGTTGCAATGTGTCGAATCTAAGTAACAGTCGGTCCTTCTTAAGGTTGCGAATCAATACAAGGTGAATGTGACTCAAATTAGCAAAAAAGAAATTTATTAGGTTTCAAAACGTGGGTCGGCAAGTCAGTCATAACGGAAAAATTCTCAACTCGACACCATTACAGAAAAAGTAATGCAGTTGTTCTTCATTGCGACATTAAAATCACTATAGCTTATGCAATAATTTGATGACATTCGAATTCGTCACAATGCAGGAATACCAAAAGTCAGAAGTCCAAATTCCTTTCCGCCCTGGAAATAATCTTACCTTTCGCTCCTTTCATCCCAACCCACCCCACCACGCCCTTCCCCTGAATTTCTGTCGAGCTCCCAGGTGGGTTTTGGTTTATAAACTTGTGCCGGCGTTTTGTGACATAAATCATAACAACAAGACTGAAAATGTACAAAAGAATGAGTTGACCAAATTATTGGAGTATAGTTTTTGGTGGTACACATCTATCAACGCCAACGACTGTTTGCTGTAGGTTAGTTCAAAAATAATTAACCGATGACGGATGGGTGGACTGACGATCAACAACCAATGTTCTTTAGACATGTAACAGTTATCTGGGTCAGTGCACATGCCGTGGGAATTAACCAATAGGGAAAGGTTTTACATTTACATCGTGCTTTAATTGGTTAAGTGTATGCGAAAAGGTACCAGTTTTACATTTATTGAATTTGTTGATATTATTCATCAGTGAATAAAGCAGGTGATAAGACCTTTAAAAAAAAAGTAAGGAGTTTTCCAGTACCGTGAAATGCCGAATCTACATTGTCTCTACAGTCACATACATTCTCTGTTTTACATTCCTTCGGATATTTTGCCTTCTGCTTAAAAGTGTGAAAAGTCAGCAAGAACAATGGCGCACCGACTCATACACAGCACATCGCATTGGGATTGTCTTTGTGTTTGGAAGGAGTGGCTGTCCATGTCTCTTAATATTGTGATGCATTCAGCATGCATGTTCACCTTCAGTCCCCGTAGGAACTTGCTGTTTGACATGGCACATATCTCTGGGTCGAGCAACCCTGGCGATGCGACAAATTTGGCAATATCGCTACTCGGGCCGTTCCACCGGCACCCTCAGCCTAAATAACTCAACCCCGGGACACCTCCTGAGGCTAAGGCTGTAGGGAATGGAACAAATAAAGGATGAACTATAAACCAAGCAAGCAAGCAAACCAGGTTAACAGGAAACAAGCCAGAAACTAAGCAATTCAACCGGTCAGCAAAACACCAACGACAGAAACAATAGTCAACCAACCGAGGCACCAACCAACTCGATCATCACCCGCCTGGTGTTAAAATAGTAAACTAAAAATAACCCGTCCGTAAACCATCCATAAACAATCTAATGACACACAGGAAGAAAAAACTTAGCCGATGAACCAATGATCAACAGGTGACTATGCGTAAACAGTGCTGTACCAGTCTTCAGCATTCAGTAAATCAAGAGATTATCCTACATGACCCGATCCCGCCTGGCAATGACATGCAATGCATATGCCGACCCTGAGTGAGATCCCGAGACCCTAGGTCACACCCATGGAAAGATAGTGACAGTCGGATACTCATTTAGGCATGTGAACCTAGCCTCATGTGCCATCTAACCTTTGTACTCGTGGGAAAGTGCTTAAAAGAACGCATGACGAGCAAAGTGGGCGTGGCTTGCATCAATCGTTGGTCGCTGTTTTTGCTAACAAAGTGTCAAGTGCAAGTAGGAGAGGTCATGAACCCGGATGAAGTTTTCATTATTTTTTTCACCAGAGAAGAAAAAACGGATTAATGTTTCGACGTTGTCAATGAAGCGATGTTGAAATAAGGGAGTTGTTTTCAAGAGGGTGTTTTTGTTTTGAAAGTGTCCCTTATCACAATAGGCGTGCCGCAAAAATATCATGTCACAAGACATCATTTGGCGTTACATGAATTGATCATGAAGTTGTTAAGGCCCGTTTTTAATACCCGCTATAAAATCAAATAATTCTTTGTAAGTATTGGGAACACAGAAAGATAAACAGCACAATGTTTGAATGCATCTTTGACTGTGTAGATTGCATAGGACTCATGCAGCTATAATGTCACTCGTAGGTGGTTGCGTTGACTCAAGTTGAGCATGAGTGGGGAGGGCAGATCGAACCCACACTGCCGCCCAAACCCGGTGTTACTAGAAAAAACCCTGCCAACACTTTTCATTGGTGTGCAATTTTTTGTGTCGCTTTTAACACCTTCTAGTGCACTTTAACACTTGTAGGTGTTAAAGGAACACATTTTGGTGTGGTCATCTGATAACAACAAGAAGTGTTGTTTTTAACACCAGAGTTTTTGCAGTGCATCGATCCTCGGATACGACTACCATATACTCCGCTATAGCAAGCACGAGCAAGTACCTCGTGCATCACATGTGCTGCAAAAATGTTCTCATATATCACACAGGTATTCTGCGTTTAAAATTTCAAAAATTGTCGTTGCTTCTGGATGTCAGTCAAGAGAGGTCTCCTGTTGCTCAAACAAACCCTTGACAGAATTTTCCTGTTCATTTAAATAACTAAGCGCCCTCATTGCTACGCTGGTTAACATGCTGTATAACTTCAAAAGTGTGACACTTCATTCCATCGTTTACTGAAAGCGGTGGCCAACGAACATTTCAGGAGAGAAAGATCTATTCATATTCGACTGAAAAAAAACCCAAACGAAATAGAAACCTCTCCCGTGGACCCTCGAGTTATTTTTAGTAAATTTCACTCTACACGTCTTGTCTTTCGATTAAGTGTATAGAGGGTAGATATTTGTTCTTCATAGAACTATAGTGACAAAATATCTTTCATGGTTCCAAAAAATATTTCCCATATCCTGGGCCTGCTTGTGGGAGTAAAAATCCAGACATAAAAAGCCCGACAAACATTGAAATGAAAACAAACCATAATAGAAACAGCCGGTACAATGCACTCTTGCATTTGATACATATAAAACATTCAAACAGTGAAACTGTTTCACACATATTACATCAAGTTAAGGGAGGTTAAGTAGAGGCGATGCCATTATTGGCTATTCATTCGGTAAACTTGCCACTTTCTTGATGGCACCCCGGCGATTTGGACGGCATGTATACACGTACGTGAGACATAAACTGCAGCGGCATTTTCTCTTACTTTTTCCCTTCTCGATCCTGGCTCAGCTGTAGTTTATAATGTTGAGGTGGTGATCCCTTTTTGGTGTCGTGTGGCTTCGGGATTTGGGCCAAATTTTAGGAAGCTGGCAGGCGGAAATACTGTTTCGTGAAGGTTTCGTAAGAAGAATTTGAGATGTAGCGTCCACCTTTGTTTAGCATGACGATTTGGTTGGCATGCTTCTATCGTGTGACTCCATGGAACTGCCTCGTGACTATACGACTAAACATAAATAGCCCAGATTGATTAATTCTTGACAAGAAAATACACTATTTGGCATTAATTAATAATGCTCAAGTACTCCAAACAAGTTATTTTGGATGTATGCCTGAATATTGCAAGATCTGCTGCGGGGGTGTGGCTGCAGCCACGACCTTCGGTAATCTTCAAGCTACCATCAAGCTACTCAGACTCGACGCTACATGGAATTTCCAAATCAGACGATGCCGGGATTTTCCCTGGATCTTCCCCCGTTTGTATTGTGGCACGGAATTGCCATGCATACATTGATTAGAAATGAAGGATATGGCAACGTAGGTTTGGGGAAAATTTCGAAATATTTTGGTAGTCACTCTGCTATCAATTAGGCTTAATAGTTAAGCGAGGGACCAAAGGTAATATGCCGCTCGGCCTTTAACATTCAAGTTACACAAGTCTAAAGCTGAAACTGATCGTGGTTTATGATAGTGAACAGATCGCTTGCGTCAGACACAACGTTTGCAGTCTTATGTGATTTGGATTGCTTAATGTCTTGGGACAGTCACTGCACTGGGCCACTTCACATCAGAAGGAAATCATATGTGAAATCATATACACGGACTCGCGCTCATCCACGTCGACCCATGGGTGAGCAACTTGAATAGGGCCTATGTAATCAGCATAAAACCCACCAAGCAATGCAATTTCCTAAACGACACTTACTAAACTTGAATTCACGCCCCGTCAAACCTAATATGGCCAGGGTGGCAGCTGAACATTAACCCATAGTATCAAGTTTGGGAAACTTGTTACTTTTCAATACAAAACAATCTTAAAGGGAGAACTTAACTTTGTAGATCACATCAACGCCCGTCCCCTTTCAGATCTTTCTGTAATTTCTAAATTACAACATAGCCTTTATGATTGATACAAATATCTCTCTCTTTCATTGAGCAAACCAATTTTGTTTTTGAAAATTCCCAAAGTTCTGTTTGCGGCTGAGGTTAGTTTTCTCATATTATGTTGTCTTTTTAGTCCACTTCAGTTGGCAAATAAATCCAAAATTTGTAAATAAACGGTATAAGTTGGCCGTCGGTATTTCCCCGGAAGCATAAAATGTAGCGTCTAACGTAGACCTACCACGGATTTCTATTTTACACTACACGCCGAGGTTGGCGAAAAGTTACAAGTCGGTTAGTTGACTCTGGCACCCCCCCCCAGAATGCCTTCGCTACGCCCCTGAACGCTCACAGGTGTCAGAAATGCCAATTCGTATTTGTATGTCAATTTGTATTGTATCATGCTTAGTGTTATTAATTTGGCATGGCGTCGGGAACGATGTCAATTTCATGCGAGGTCTGACCACTACCGTTTTGACGCTATTTATTTGGCACGAGGTCTAGGCCTGCATGGTACTTGAAGTCTGAGCCACAGCGTTGTTGCCAAAATCATGAAACGCAGTATAGGAAACGACTGAAGACTTAAAGGGTGCGTGAAAGTGCTAAGGTTAAGGGGCGCCACCAACATGTTAAATTTACATGCTCAAGGGCTAGGTCATCACCTTCAATTTGTCTGACTGTCTTTTGGGGCTGTTTACAAAACTATTTCATGTTTTCTTCTTTGGTATGTCAGACATGCCCTTATATGAAAATGTTGTGTGGAGTTTTATGAGCTATGATTTAGGAATTTACGATTATAATATCATATTATATTGCTGTTATGATTTATGATACGGTAAGGTGGCTTAATAAATTTTGTGAAACATAACAGCTTATATTTACCTTTGCAAACGATGGTACATATATTTAGAAATTTTCATGGGGAGGAATTTACAAACTTACTATCAACACAGACAGGATGGGAGTATTAAGTTTTATTCGAGAGCTATATGAAAGGGGCGCTATTGTACATAATGACCGTAATTTCCCTTATCGAATGCAATAAATATGCTTACCGTGAATGGCTTTGTTTAGCGTAGAGAGGACCCTAATATCTCTGCCAAAGGAACTCAAATCCTCATGGCTTACGCTTGGCCTTGGGGTTTTGCTCGACAAGCTGTGAAAACATGCAGTACTGTTGATAAATGCATTTTATTTGCTGATGAATTGCCTATTTTGGGTAGAAGTTTACACATGCTACATCAATCAGAATGTCATCAGTTTGAAGAAATCGGTCACTCAATTAGAATAAACACTTTAAAACTGTTACAACTCTCAGGATTTAACTGAATTCGAATGTTTACATATACAAACTGCCAGTGTGAGGAACACCTTAACACCTTAAACCGAAGGCACCACGTGAAAGTTCCTTCAACTAGGTTTGATGGAATCTGCAAGACTTCTCCACATGTACGTGACACTATTTACAAAACAAATATAAATCCTACATGTCTCGCCCGCTGTCGGTTTTACTCGATACGATCTCTATTCCTCAGTGTATCCTGTTTGGTTTGAGGGATTTTAATTCGGACTAAATTAATATCTCAGGGGGACTTGTTTCTTTTTCAAACTGTAAAACAATAACTGAAAGCGGAACTAAAGACCAATTATTGTTTTAGAGAATCAATGGCGAGAGGCATGATTATTTCTGGGTTTATTTTTCACTTCCTCCTCTTACTATTGTGACTTTATTTCAATTCCCAATTTTTTTGTGACGAAGCTTGTAAGGTTTACTGAGGGGTTCAATTCCATTCTTTTCATTGTATTAATTTGGTTGTTCTAAGGGCCTGGGAAAGATCAAGTCCGTTGAGGCAACATAGGGAAGTGGGTTGGTTGAAATATAGTGTAGCAAAGATGGGATTCAACAAATGATTAGGAATAAGCGGCATGTGTTTGGTGGAAACTAAAGTTTTCAAGTCCACGGACAAGAAGTACGCGACAATTAATGTCTTTTCAGATACAAGCATCGAGAAGGCTAATTCCAGAAAAAATAAACATTTCTTTCATTTAAAAAGAATGATCTCCAATCATTCGACAAATTACACCACTGCCGATATATACCCTGAGCAGACTGAAAGTAGCCTGTTTTGTGATCATCATTTTGTAGGTTTTATTCTCTTGTTCTAGTCTTCTCTTCCATGTTTTGCTCCCATTTCACAGCATCCACACATCCAGTCAAAATAATGTCCAAACATTACTTTGTTTTCAGCTGACAACATTTGGCTCACCAAAATTGACAAGTGTCACCACTGATGCTAAGGCAAACGGTATCGACACTAAACTGCTGACTTCTCAAGTGGATACAGAAGCGAATAACAACCGGGTCGATCCCCTTACAGACGGCAGTCTCGAACTCAACATTAAGGACAGCGCTCAAGAGAGAGAATGCAATAGTGTGCCACATGAAACAGCCGTTGTAATCCCAGAGCCTCCCCCACCCCCGGCTATTCAGGTATCAAATCGATGCGAAGTGCTGTCACTGCAGCTGTTCTTAATAAATCTGTAAATGCAAATTTCAAAATAAACATATTAGCCAAATGTCTATTTTGTTATCACACAAGTAAGGTTGACGGCAGTTTTGTCAACAAGGTGGAAGCTCTAACTGCTTTCAGTTCTGCATGGAGCATATTTCCAGACATTCTAAAGTCCTTTTCATGGAGTGGTCTTTGCCCAGGACCGGATTTGCATTGTTCTTGCCTTTTTGCGCATGACAATGCTAACCGAATAGCAGTAACGGTAGAGGGCGCCGATCCAGTGAATGCTACTGAAATCTAGTCTAGGTGAATCTAGCAGGCCTGCCCGAAAAATTCCGAGCATACCTCAGGAGCTCGAATTACCATGAGTAATAGCTGAAATAGACAGCAAATGGCCAATATCAATTTAAAACCAGTTCTAAGGATTTCTATCAGTTACGGCTTTGTTGGAGGTAATTTTGTTTTTAATTTTGCCATTCAATGTATTTTTGCCCTTAGCTTTGCTCAACTTAAATATGAAGGAGATGGGCCTCCTGGAGTTGAACCAATCGTGTGGCTTTTTATTTCTATTTGTTTTATTCCTTTTCTTGGTAAAACTTTTACATGACATTGTAGTTATCATCGTCCACCCCACCCTCAACTACCAGCGCTGTCACGGTGGGTACTTTGGCTACTGCAGAAATTATCGATAACGAACCTGTATCCGTCAAACCAGACGCAGACTCGATTAGTAAGGTTACCGATGAGCCAATAGGCGACGTTACGCTGACAGCTGCTCCTGTGACTGCTGAAAGCCCTGTGATTGAGGAAAGTAATAGCTTGGTACACGAAAAAGAGGCATTCTCACCCCCAATCCAGGTAAGAGGACAGGCCTACGCATTTCTACAGGGTGTTCCAGAAAAAACCAAACCCTGAGGAAAGGGGTTAATATGCCCAAACCATGAGATATGATTATAATGTATAAGGATCTCCGAAAAGTAGAAGCAGTATTCTTTCTAATGATACCTTGATGGTATCCCTCCTGTCATGCATGACTGAACACCATTGTCTTGAAAATGGGGCATCCGAACTCAGTTGTAACACTTTGGATGTGGAACCGCATAACGCAGTGAGACCTGCAGTTCAATCCATACCATTCGCACATCCGCCACCAACCTTTGCGTGGAGACCTCAGGAGGAGACGGGAGTTTGCTCAATGGCTCCTTGAACGCAACTGAGTTCGGATGCCCCATTTTCAAGACAATGGTGTTCAGTCATGCATGACAGGAGGGATACCATCAAGGTATCAGAAAGAATACTGCTTCTACTTTTCAGAGATCCTTATACATTATAATCATATCTCATGGTTTGGGCATATTTCCCCTTTCGTCAGGGTTTGGGGTTTTTTGGGACACCCTGTATAATGAAGGAAATACCTTAACTGGCTGCAGATCTTCAGCTTTTGTGCCAGCATAAAAATCCAGGCACAAAATGCATACCACTTACATTTTTCAAGCTTGTCCAACATTGTTTTGATGGCCACCGTGAACTTCCCTACATGAAGTTTTCATGCTGCAATGGGACCATGGATTTCAAAGTTAAATGTCACTTGGCGTCTTAGTCAATAAACAACGTTAGGAATTTCTTTAAAAACTGTTCCATTATTCTTCTGCAGTTGACAACATTTGGCAAGCCCCTTTCACCAATTAACGAGACACCTGAGAATGTGAAATATGACAAAAATGACCAGGTGGCGAAACCAACAGAGGTACAAACAACGCATACAGCTGTTGAAACTACGACTACTCTTTGCGCAAACACGGACTCGAAACCGAGCACAGACCAAGCACCGGAACCAGACGATCCAGCGGCGGTCAAAAATGGCGCCGGGGTCGACACCACTGCTCTCCTGAGCACGGAGATCGAACTCGGGCCCGCTGAGCTGACACCGGAGCCGGTCGTTCTAACCGACGAGGCGGCCGAGTGCCACAGCGACACGTCCGGGATGAAGCTGGCATCTTTGAACTCCGAGCTAAACACCATGTTCGTCAAGTCCGGTGATACTGAACGGAGGTTGAGCCAGACCAGGGTCATGGTTTTGTGCACCATGGCGGTAGCGACGGTCATGTTGATCGTTGTGGTAGTCGGCTTGGTGCTACTGACTACTTACAAAGACGTCTTCGCGATTCCAGGTTAAGAAGAATATTTGTTATTGCGTTCATGCTCACACTGATTTTGATTAACCCCAGTTTTCTTCCCCTCGAGGGAATGTGTACTTTTAAAAAGTGGGTAAATTTGACAAAATTTATACACCTAGAGGTGAGATTTTGTTGACGACTCGGAAAAAATAATCAACAGACTCTGTTTTTTCTTTCGAAATCAACAGATAAAAACGAGTTTCCAGCAGGCCTTATTAAAATCCCAATACAGTTTGGTTTTGCATCTTCTCAAACATAATGACTTATTTTGTTCTCTGTATTATTTTCCAGGTTTGTCTACTAGTTTACAAAGAGGTAATAATATTTTGATATTTTATAAATAGATGTAGAAACCACGAAAAAGCAATTAACTTTGTCAGCTGAAGAAAAGGCTTTCCTCTTATTTCCCACTTAATTAAAAGAAACGCCAGACTTCACTGGGTCAAATTCATCCTTTACTGTTTACAAAGTGTGCATCATGCCATTATTATGGCCGAGCTTAAATTGGGTAAGTTGGGGCTGCGTCCTTACTTTTTGCCACTTTTGCTCTACGGCAAATACCAGAGCTACTAGCAACTCTGCTTGTTGTACCAAACATTCTCTCACTTTCGATATCTTTCTTTCTCTCTCTAAACAAAGTTACAGTGAAAGGAGAAGTCAAGATTGTAAATCTACTCTTTAATCCACAATACCAGATCGGCACATCAGACGGATACAAGTCCCTCCAAAGAAACTTTATACAATCGGTGAGTAACGTAAGGGCCTTCGGGGAATCAAAATGCTTATAAGTTTGTAATTTCCCCCAAACTGCATCATTAAATCAACCACTCGTGATGTTACGAGAAGAGAATATTTATGTAGTTTCATTGACTTTTCTGCCGATTTTATATTTCCAGATAGACAACCATTTCGGAGGAAGTACCTACAGTAACATTTATAGGTCAACCCGCGTTGAACAAGTCAGGTAATTCCAACTTATCAGATAAATCATTGTATACAAGCCAGTCGTAAGCCATAACCACAATATGAATAATTCCTAAAACTACCCAGAAACGGTGTTTGTGACACTCTACTTCCTCATAGAAATGGCAGCGTCATCGTTGTCTTCTCAGTCCGATTGAAGCCGATGAAGAAACTGCAGTCTTCTATGGATGTTAAGTCTGAAAGGGAAATATACAAGAGGGCGAAGGAATTCCTAAAGACAGATTTTCGATCAGTGGAGATCAACTTAAGAACGTACAATGTTTCTTGGATTAAACTGGAGTTATTATTTGGTAAGTCACTTTCTTTTAACAAAATGATCTGAAATTCTGTTTCCAGAGAAGCAGACTAGCCCAAAATAACAACAACGGGTAATTTATGTATTATCTCTATGTGCCTAATTGATGCCACGCTGCACAAAGCAGAAGTTCAATTTGCGTCACGTCTGCGTCACATGGCATTCTACCAAATGTGTAGAAAGATCAGGATTGATGTTGGTATGGTGCTAGCTACACTGTGTTGTAGTTTCGGTGCCAGTTAAGTTATTTCAACACCATATCGTACAAGAGTTGTAGCACAACATTGTACCACAGTTGTGATAAATTGTGGTGCTGAAGAGTGAACAAGTTAATGTTTCTAACACAAGAAGCGGTGAGTTAAAAAAAAATCTAGAACTCGTGGTCTATCTTAATTAAACACAAAGCCAGACAAGAGCATCGGCATCTCGGTGAATATACATCATCATTACACATCAATACCACCTCATCGTCTGCTTGGAGTCTGAGGGTACTGTCTCAAATTCATAGATTTCGTCACTTTACTGTATACAGTTTACTAGTTTCGCTTTGATATATTTCGGAAGGCTTCACTCAGTCCTTTGATTTTTGAAACGGATGGCGAGTAAATGCGTCTCTCCTCTGATGCAACACATACGGTGCGAAATCTCATGCAACGCACTACATGCACTATAGGTTTCTAGGATAAAAGGGCATTTTGTCAAAAATTTGGTGATTGCATTTTATAGGATCTGAGTTATTCACTGAGGAGCCCTATACCACACCTCACGTGACTACAGCACGCATTCAGATATACCCCATGACTACGCCAGTCACAAGCACAACTGCTGGCGACCAGTCAACGACGACGACACAAACGGCAGTCCCTCCAGCCACAACGGGCGTGACGATAACAACCAGTAACCAAGCGGTCACCACCAAAGCATCTACGAGTGCAGCTCCAGAGACTATGACCATGATGAAAGTAAGCAACAGTACGACTGGTACGACAACCGTGTCAACCACCAACTGGAGCGAGACAGTGACGTCAGTCACAACAACATTATCTCCCAGTACATATGCAATTGTCAATGACACTTTAACTGACGCCAACACAACCGAAATGGTTACACCAACGGCGAATTATACTACTCGTCGGAGAAGAAGTACAAGGTTTACCAAAGCGTGGACTTCTAATCTCTTCACAACGTGGCGGTCTACCAGCCTACCTACAGAGACGCCTATAGCAACTGTTGATGTCGTAGCAGAATGTCGTCCGAATGCGCTGGAGGCCTGCGTCCTTCGAGGCTGGTCGACCAACGTTACCCGATCGCCCAACCGTTTCGGCCTTAAGAGTAGCGTGGTATCTCAGATTTGGAATCAGTTCATCGAGTTGACAGAGGCCACAGCGGGGAATAACATGACGTGGCGGGTCATCTGTAGCCTTCTGGCACCCTCTTGCGATGGTCGTCTGGTAGGTCCAACACTTCCGTGCAGGTCGGCGTGCCTGGCTGCCGTTCGCTCAATGAAAGACACTGTGGAGGCGAGAACGATGGGGGCGTTGTGTAACGAGTCGCTACCGGAGTCAGACTCGGAGACCATTTGCTTTAAGTCTTCTTATCAAGATGGTTATTATGGTGAGTTGCTTTATGCATTCGTATTACCATAGAGCTACAAACCCAGCTCTATGGCATTACAGACATAACAAGCAGATAAGTGAACGTTAAACTTCCTACGTCGAATACGTCAAAATGCCGTGTGAACAGTGGGTACGTGATAGAGCTTTGACACGTATGCTTCCTGCCGTTGCCTTCAAGGCTTCTTGCAAACGAAAAGTGGGCTATTATGTAATACTTTCTCACTTCAGAAACAACTGGTTTTGATTGAGATAATGAAAACCTTTCTTAAGCTCATCAGATTTCCAGTCCACCACTGTGAGTATCCAACTCTAGAGAGTTTGTGGAGGCATGTAGCCTAGTGGTTAGGTTTTGTAGCTTCTGATCACAGGGTCAGGGGTTCGAATCCAGCTGGTGGTAGGATGTTGTGATCCTGGGCAAGTCACTTTACCCCTATGTGCGGGCCAGCAGTAAATGGGTCCGTGTGAGGGCAGACACGGTTGTTCAGCTGTTTGCGCCGAAATGGCATCACCGGCGCGGGCTAGTATACTCCCCAGGGAGCTGAGATGGTTTCAGGAATGTTCATATGATATGTGAGCTCAATGTACAGGGATAATAATGGCGCTTTGAAACGCTTTGGAAAACGCATTACAAATGTTGTAATCTTAATATTCATTATTATGATGATGATGATAATACAGGCCGTGTTGGCTGTCTCAAGCTGAATACATTGCTGACTCAAATCGTGACGCGTGACATTAACGTATGGCATGTGTCATCGAAGTTGTCTTTCAGATATTACTCGCTTTGACCTTTCACCCCCTTCTGATACAGCTCCGCTTCCCGAAAACCCCTGCCACGATCAACTGTGTCTAAATGGGGGATCCTGCTTCGCTATTAACGATGAGTGGTTCTGCCGCTGTCCAGAATCGTTTGGCGGCGGCCGCTGTGAGATCGGTGAGTTTGTTTACTTTAGTCGTGTACAACTCACTTCTTCCCAAACTGACCGATCTCTAACTGATTCCGTTCTCCCGGTTCCCCGTAGATCCATGCAACCCAAACCCTTGCCAGAATGGGGCCACATGTCACAGTCATGCATTTTCCGTCATAGTTTACGTGTGTGCATGCCCTGAGAGTTTCCACGGAAGACACTGTGAACTCAGTAAGTTAAGAGAAACTGGAGAGTAGGCAGCTACGGTTATCGAATTACATAGGTTGTCTCTTTTTGGGGTAGGATGTGATCTTCTGTGTGAAACAGCTCACAGAGCCGTGTAGATACAGCCTATCGTCATTTAATACACGAATTAGCAACATAGCATCCTAAACCAAGCCTGTTGTCTTCTGTGCTCCTGGAGTATAATTTTGTAGCGCATAAAACTGTACCCCAATAGTTCATGAAGTACATTTACTTCATAAGCGTAACTCAGAGGAAACAGTGCCTTGTTTTATTTTAATCTGTGTTTTTGAATGACAGATGCTATAAGATATACTGAGCACCATATAAATGATTTGATATTGTTATTGTTTTCAGGCACTGGAGTATCATACCTTCCTACTACACAACGTAAGTTACCAAGCATTCCCAGTCAGCATCCCAGTCAGCATATATATCTATATACTATGTACATTCTTCTACTAAAATTGACCATTCTTGCCGACAGTAAAGTGTGACGTTCAGGCCCTAAATTCTCTTGTTTCGGAGCAGTGTGCTCTGTGCAGTTCATTCGTCAGGAATTCTAACGTTAGTTCGTTTATATAAATCACCTGTACTTTAGTATCAGTTTGAGCTCGATCAGATTGAATGAAGAATTGTTGATTGACGAACAAATTATTCATTCCGTACGTTACTATGTATACAATGTTTATGTCAGAGTGTTAATGTCGGAATATTGGATCTCTAGTATCATCATGGCAACTCTTTATTGACAGCTCATTGACAGTTGGGCAAATACCGGGACATTCTGTTACAAGCGGTTACTGATTTTAGTATTCTGGTTCGTAATAATTCAGACTGGACCAACCATTGCTAACAGGTGTGCGTTCGATCACTATTGGCCAACCCATGGTTCTTGATCCCAATTCACTTATGGTTTTGTTCATTAGAGGCCGTGCGTGCACCAGTTGAGATCAACCAAACCGAGTGCAGTCAGCTGCTTCCCTACAACGCGTCTTTTTCCGACAGAAAGGTGCCGGACTGGCGCGTGCTGGCGCCCTACGCGTCGTGCAGCGATGACGCCCGGCTGATCTTCTGCTTCATGGCCTTCCCAGAATTCACACTTCCAGGGAGCCAGCCGAGGTCACCATGCAAAGCACTGTGTGAGAGGGTTTTCAACGAATGCGACGCGTTCTTCAGCATGCTGGGATGGGATTTCCCGGGCATTTGTGAAATGTTAGGCACCATCCCAATAGCGGTGAATAACTTCTGCACTAGAAGCTATCCGTAAAACAATCCCATGATTGGTCCCACACAAACAGGCGTATCTTTAGAAAGTCCGTTTATACATAATGATCCTCACGATTTGTCATTGGCCACAGTATCTATATCAAGAGGCCAAATTTGGTAAGGAAAATTTAAAAGCAGCTGAATTACAATGATCTACTTAAGCTATCATCGACTGATGTACTCGCATATCAATTGTCTTATTAATATTAATTAGTTTGGTGCTTCTTCTTTGGTAAACGTAATGTTAAAATCATATGGGTTTTCAGTCCTGTCAATATAAAAGTGCACATATTCGGATTTGTTTTACATACAGTACATTGTGGTTTTTCTATATGTCGGTACCGGCTATAAAATATATGTAGCCTGAAACCAATGATTGACATTTCTAACTCGTAAAAAACTGAAATGCAACAACTTCAACTCATGCATAAGTATCAAATGTAAATTGTCGGAGACTTTTTCTGAAGACTGGCCGAATTTCGCTTTTCCTTGAACTGCGCAGGTGTGACATAAATAATAAAACGGTGTAAAACACAAAATGGCACTCCAGACCACAGAACACATTAACATAATTGACAAGGAAAGCCTGGAGGGAGATCGTCAATATTTCATTACTGGGTTTCTATGGTAACAAACCAAAGCGCTGAGGAGCCTTGTGGTCTGATATCGGTTAATCACGCACACAGTGAAGGAAAACGTTTATTCATCACGATATTCGGAGAAGCATTACTTCATTTCATCATTCCAATGGGCGTAAACCGGGGGCTAGGATGGGGTCTCCCCACCGTTTTGAACAGAGGGTGAGGTGTTTAATCACCCCACACACACTTTTTCTTGGTGAGTACAACTTAAGGTGGTTTGCGACGTATTTTTCGGACTTCTCAACAACAACATGCATTCAATAGCACTCAAAACGGGAGGACAATCAAAGGAAGCCCTACACACATGCCGTCCTGGTGTAAGATTGGGCTGGAATGTAAGACACAGTACAGATGGACATCGGTATTATGAACATTAGCCCCTGTATAGTGCCATATGGTGTCATGCCAGCACCCCCACGCCTTTTTAATTTCAATGGCTGGGCAAGTCACACCCCCCGTTCCCTATCTCCCCCCTCCCCGTTTTCCGAACAAATTTACACCACTGATCATTCCTTTTCCTCGTATAAAGCATTAAGGTCACCATCTAGAAGCAGTAGCTACTCTACTTGCTTTGCCATCCATGAACATTTCCGCAAAATGGATTGTACCTTAGCCGCAAATGTACTTTTCCTTTCTCTTTAAAATGTCAGAATCTTCAGTATAGTTCGCGCCTTTGAATACAAAATATGAATGAAATTCATATTTAGTATCATTGTACACACGTTTTAGGGGCGACATTGGAGGGGTGAGTTTCCAAGGTACAAAGAGGATTAATTAATATTTTATTAAGAGCAATAATGATAATGTAGAGGTAATTTACAGTACAATTGCTGCATATCTTGAATCTTTTTACTGCTAGGCTATTATCCAGCAAAACAGTAATGACCGTCACAAGGGTGTTGGTACGTGTACTAATTTATGTCAATATCGTTTGCCTGTTATGAATTGATTTAATTAACCAAGTACTTACAAATGGAATTCGCATTTTAAGGTTACTTCACTGTTATTTTGTCATTGATGTTTATATTCATTGATTTATTTACCCAGATCTGAAGAACAAATGTTAGGGTTGTAATAATTTTTACTGTTTTTAAATATGTTTGCACTTATACACCACATTTCCCGTGATTTTTGCAGTCCCCCATCAGTGGGGTCCGACAACGTCCGAACTAGATGCTCTGTAGCCTTCTTGTCAAGGCAATCGCTGCGACAATGCGGTGTCATGCACATTGCTTGTTGAGAGACTGATAGGTACCAATTCCAACCTGCTGCAGCGGTAGTCCATATAACAACCCGCTTCCAAAGGCTCATGAATAATTCAGTTGATGGAACAATAATCCCGTGGATCAATCACCCAATGCACCATGGTAATCATAATTATGCAAACGCGATAAATCTTCTGCGCAACGCCATAGGTCCAGACCTCTCAATCGAGTATTTCCATCATCTACTTGGTCATCACGGGATAACATTTTCTATGTGGGTAAAATATGAACAGTGGTACCAAGAGCCACGGTGAAATTAAGAAAACCATTAATGAATTGAATGACGGGGTAATCTTTTCTCAAGCGCTGTACATGCTGCATGTGGATTTATAAATAATGGCAGCGACTACCTTGACTTTAATGCTCTACCCACTAGTTTATCACTTGCAGCTAGCGAGCCATGGTGACTGAATAATAGGCACAGACCAAAGATTGTCTATCTACAAGGTTTGATGACAGTTCAAAGAGACGTCAGTGCAACGAAATAGATGCTTTTTCAATCTCAGACACATCTGTGCACAATGTCTTTGGACCTTCACAATTTTATAATTGTAAAGGAACCAGAATTCAAGAACGTTTTTTAAATTAGATTTGGAATTTTGCATGATGGACTTGTAATTTGGAAGGGATTACGATTGCGCCAAGTCTTAAAGAGCTCTTGGTACCTTCAAAGATTTGAACCAGCGTTTTACCTCAATTAGCCTATTGGGGTATGGCGGACACAATGGTAGAGCGCTGTTTGGTTTGAGTAAAATCTGTTGTGTTCACTTCAAATTTTCACATTTCAAGTAACGCGCACCCTTCTGCTATGCCCGCCATGTTTCCAAACAAAACAAATTCTTTCCTCCCGAAGACAACCACGGCATGCTGATAAAAACGTCGAGCCCAAGCAATTGGTTCTTTTCAGAACCACACAGTTCTTCCCAAGAGCTTTTTACACGGTAGTAACGCAAGCCCCGGCCTTCCATATGCAGAGTGATTTTTTTATTATTTAATTATTTTTTATTATAAACTGATAATAAAATGACGACCAATGTGCTTTATATCTTGCAGTGGCGTGCATCTTTCAGGACGAAATTTGTTTTTGATATATCCAGTCATTCCATTCAATTATGTAATTAGGTACTGCATGAAGTGCCACTCAACAATTACTTGTTCTTGCAAAGTAGAAAGAAGAAAAAATGTGTCGCTGTTTGTTTGTGCCTATATATGCCCGGAGCCTAATGACACGCTGGAATATATACAATAGTAATAAAGTCGTAAGCGCGCTAGTATACCATTCAGGAACTGAACACCGTTGCCATGGAAAAGGACGGGGTGATGAGAAGCTTTTTGGCCTGAAGGATTTCATTCAACGTCTTCTCCTGACCTTAGAGGCAAAACTGATACCATATTAAAGGCAGCCCCCAGTGGCCTGATGATGCAATTTGTGGTCGTTTTTTTTTTCTGCACTGTGCCATCGTGGATCTCATGATCCGTGACGTAGGCTCAGCCATGCCAACCGCGTGAGCAACAGGTTGGTGCTTGAACAGACTGTAAAATACATGTAAATACAGAGTGTACAGCGGAAGCGTGATCGTCGCAGCTACGGAAGACTCGGACTAGATCACCCGAATGTGATGTGATTATTATCTTCTTGTCGGTATCCCTTATCCACACCTAATCCTACACTAGGCAAAAATGAAACAAGCTTGATGATCATGTAGTCGACTAAATACCATTTGATACATTTTTCTGGAGGCATCGGCAAATCCAGAAGACCCTTTGCTACCCCAATGAGCAGCTAGGTCAAAACATTAACGTAGCCGTCTAGTTTCTTGCAGTTCTGACGAGGTGGGCCCATAAATTCACTTTGAACTCTAAGGACAGAAGGAAGTCACTTTTGTCACAAAAGATGCTCTGATTCGATCGTAACAGGACTGACAAGCGCAAGATAATGGAAGACGTCAACGAGGTACGTATTAGCCTCCCCCCCGAAGTGGCAGTGTTGGATTACTAACATGCAAAAAAAACCCCCAAAAAACAAGACGTGACCCAAACATTCTTATTCTTAGTATTCATTCATTCTAAAAGTGCCGGGGCGAAATCCGCCCAGACATCTTCGATATCTCCGCAGCGCATATTTTAAGGAGTTCAGATTACAGGCATTCTTAGAAAAACTTTTTGTGGTCATTTTGACATAAATATTGCGCAGCGCTCATTTTTCCAACTTAAAAGGCAACTCCGCCGAAAATGTATACTTTCCAAATGCGGTGCTCAATGCACGCGGGCTGCCAAGCGTGTAGCTTTGAACTTCAAATGACCATAACAATAAAAATGTCTTACTGAGTTCAAACAACACATACTGCGGGTATGCAAATTTTCCTAAATATTGAACGTGGCCCAGTTTTCGGTAGGGGAGGGGGTGAAATCCGTCAGGCTCCGCCCACACCTCAGTGAAATGGGTCAAAATAAACTGGCACTTTGAGGCTATTGCGGTTGCGATTACGCTACGCTATTGCGATTACGTTATACACATTCAGCAGTTGCCTCTTCTTTCGACATCTTATATCGGGCTATCCCTGCCTCACATCTGCGTCACTTGCTCTGAAAGACACACAAAATTAAGTCGCACAAACCAAACTCAACAATATTTGCTCTTGGTAGACAAATATCATTATCGGAGAGAGGTCATGATGGGGAAATGAGTGTGACTACGTGGCTGGGGTATTATTTAAAATCAATACTTGCAGCTGTGTAAGCTGAGAAACAATTTTGATTACCGTTTTGAAAATGGCAAGTGATATTCAATAACATCGGTTCATAATTATAATTCTTTGGCCGGCTGAAACTGCAGATTAAGGTGTCCCCAATTTTGTTTCTGAGAAAGGGCTCCACAAGCCTCTCTCTACCAATCTTCCAGTATTGAGCATGTCCCCGTCCCCCGGAGGGGAGGATGGGGTCTTGCGAGAAAACTTCCTTTTACTGGTCTCAAAAACCTGATAAGGGATACGTAGCATGTATGCCAGTCGAAAGTGGTATACTGTGAATGGAGTGGGAAATGGTTTAGGTGTCAACAGGTTTGAAGTTGGTCGTCAAATGTATGTTGTTGTTGTTGTTTTTTTTTTTTCATTTTCCCTCTATTTAAATTTTCCCTTAAATTTTATTGCAAAAGCCTTCTGGATAAATTCTGTACACCATACATGGCCTCGTATTTGTAAGACGTAGCATCAGCGTTTTTCCAACCATCTTAGTTGCTATGGTAACGCTTCCTCGCTCGATACGTGTAACATGCTCTTTGGGAGAGATATCGATTTTCTGCAAGCGTCTCTTTCGATGATACTGTAGTCTTCACGGTCAGAAACCGTTCAAACTGCGCTGTATCTATACGCATTATCCTGCATCATTACATGTTAGCTCATGTTTAGATAACCAGTGTTCAGCCACATTTTTCAAAACCAGAATGCAATGTTAGCAATAAGAGGAACTTGATATTTTTGACCCAACAGCTTAAATGGCTTCATAGCACTTGAATTTGTAGGGGGGTTGTTTTCATCAGTGGTATATCTTTTATGGCGTTTTTATATCACACAAATTAAACATTCAAGAGCCGTGACAACTTGGGGTTATCCAGTTAGGCAATTAAATTTGATTGGAAAGACATTCGGCAAAACTGCTTTCACAAGACTCCATTTTTTGGTTAGTCTTGCCTTCGTACAGCATGCCTCCGCGGGTCATGATGCCAACGGCCCTGGTCCTGCATGCATGGATGGCCCTTCGAATAAAATGTCATAATCTTTATAGTCCTATGATCGTTTAAACCTTAGATCAATGAATGCATCTCTTTGGAGGAGATTCCTCGAAGCGATTCACACGCAAGTGTGCCCTCTCCGTCGGTTGACTGTCCATCAACAGTCACAGAAGACGCAGATGTTGGTGACTCACAGGACGAGGTCCAGCAGGAAGGAAACGCCCCTGACGATCCACAGGAAGAGGCAGAGGAAAATTCACCTCTCGAACAGGAAAGTCCAAGTGTTAACTTACCCCAGGAGCTGGACCCAAGCGAGGATGGTGAGGATGCCAAGCCAGGGGAAAGTGTGTCCACACCCCCTGTGCAGCCGAGGGTCATCGCGGTGACTCCGCAGCTCGGGGACGCATCCCCGGATGTCAAAGGCGACCTTGACAGCGGCGTGAAAATAGACGACGAAGACGGGAGTTTCGACAAGGCGACCCCAGAGAAGCCAGCCCGGACCCCGTCGCTGGTCTCTTGCGAAGGACCGGCCAGCTCCCGCAGCACCAGCCCCGATCAGTACGAACCGACTAAGCCAGCACTGAGAAAAGGCGGCTCGTCCCAGCCACCAAAGTTCAAGAACGAGGTGGAACCAATGGACTACCAGCGACAGCCGGCCCCGGCCGGATACAATCGTGCCGTTCACTCGGTCCAATGCAAGGCCATGATTATCATAATGACCACGTCCATTATCGCTGTCATTCTTGTGGTTGGCTTCATAATCCTGAGTGGTTAGTTTCAGGGAAAAAAATACTTTTCTTCTCATCAGTCCTGTACTTCAAAGTCACTTTATTTTCCCTCCCACTATATGGAAAATACTGACGTTTTTATTTTTTTTAATAATTTTTGTCTGATTTCAAAATTAAGAATTTCACATGCAACGTTTTGAATATGTTTCTAAATCCTTTTTGTCTGTGAAAGCATGATTTTTCTCATCTCGTATCTCGGCCCATTTCCACTCACCTGTTTTAATTACAGCGTGTATTCTTTAACGATGTAAAATCTGTGATCACACTTCTTTTCCATCACACAAAGCAATAATTCACTTCATGTTGTATGCAAACGGTGTAAACAGGCGTTTTAAAATTTTGTTCAACATGTTTTTTTGTGTTGGTTTGCATAGGTTCAGGTGATGATGGTGAAGCAAAGACGATGACCGGTAAGTATTATGATATACACGTACATGTAGATATCCATAGGTTTGTCTTTGCCCATGACTCTGAACCATGATTCTCTGCACATTTGAAATTGCACACATTGTTTACTGTATCTGATTTAAGGACACAAATCACCAGCATCGCTAGACGGCGTTTTCAGCATCACTAATCGGCTGTACAAAGTCTCGTACGCAGACAACAGTTCGATCGATTATCAACGTTTCAGCCAGGAGTTCATAAGTACGGTAAGTCTTCAACTAGCCCCAAGACCGACGATGGACTTGCTTCAAAACTAAGGCATTTCGTCTCAATGTTTTGTCTTTTTCCTTGCAATCTTTCTCATTCATAGCGACAACATCATTTACGATTTTAGCCCTCATTTTTTTTTATCATGAACGATGGAAATCGAGATTCAGCATGTCAACCAAAGGCTATTTCGCGATTCTGTGGCGAGAACTAATCATATCAGACTTTAATTCCTAATACTTCTTGCAAACTTCTTGATGTGAAGTCTCTGAAAAGTGTTGACAATTGAATTCGGTGAACTTTTTCTTTTTTTTTCTGTTCATAGGTGAACGCAACTTTTCAGAATAGCGAGCGATTTCAGGACTTCTACGAGAAGACCACAGTGGATGGGATCAGGTATGTGAATTTGTCTTTGAGTTGAAACTCAAAATATATAACTGATAAGCCCTTGCTCGTCGGTTATAATTTCAATTTTACAAGTGTTGGCTTCCTTAATGTTTACTAACAAAAAATATGTTTTCCGTCCAAACTTAATACTGTTGACCTTTAATATTATTTAACAGACAATCAAACATTTCAATCTCCGAAATTGCAAGACCTGTGCTGGACTTCACATTATTCCTCATGATCCAAGACAGCGATCTGCTTGGTCAAGACCGCCTTGCCACAGACGCACCCGGCGTCACGGGACAATCACTGGTATCCCATCAACCAACGTCCGAAAACGATCCGACACTGATTGATGACATAATCGATTACCTGGTAAACGTTACAGCAAGCAGCGATTTCGGAAATTTCACTGGCATAATGATTCTCATGTGACAAAAGGTGCCCACCCAAAAACCCGTTAGGCGTGGGATATCTGTTTAACTGGGCAGAGCAATACGGGCAATTCACAATAGTGTGCCCCTGAGAGTTAGCAACGCGTTGGCCACTCACGATACGCGCATTCTGTCGACAGATTTCGCGCGTCGTGATTGGCTAACGTGTTGCAAACTCTGCTTGCTGCTGCCATGGGCATGTAAAGCCTCGATCTCGATCTTTACACAAGCCGGTTCAGTGATTCTTGCGTATGTTGCTTAGTAATTCTGCACGTGCTGCATCGGCCCCTATACCATGCAATTTGACAATACATGTATTTGAGAAAGCTGCGTTGACGCGATTATGACGCAATTGTACAAGCTGCCAGATCGAGGCTCTGCGTGCCTATGGCGGCAGCGTGCAAAGAGCGAGTAGCATGCGAATTGTGGAGTGGGAACAAGTCACGCATGAGCAAGTCATTATCACAAACGTGTAGTGATTTCTACGAAATAGCCCCTATAGTCGGATGTTGTGATACACTTTTTAAAATCATCTAAAATACTGGACATTCATCATGCCCAGTGAATAAAGACTGTGCGATGGAGCACGTAACCCGACTTATGGGAATCGGACGAAGAAAACAAAGTTCACTAACAAAATATGATGTATACAATGAACGATGTTTTCAATTGAAAATGAATGTGTTAGCGCCCACATCTGAGGCTTCAAGTCGGAGAGAGGAAGTTTTGGTCATCTGGGCTGTTTCATTTATATGTTGATAATCAGTTTTCGCTTTTCTTTTCTTGTATTGGAGGTCCCAGATACACAATATAGGTCTACACTGACTTCAGATATAAGTTTGTTACCTTTGCTTTTCACACGATACTTTCTTTTTAATAGGAAAGATAACTTTTGCTGAAAACAGTGGCAATTACATGTTATATCTTTTGTATAGTACCTCTTTCTTGCGCAGTTATGATCTTTATATTACCGTGAGATGTTTTCAGCGTATTCAGTGCTAAAACTAGACAGTACACTAGTACAAACAAGAAAAATGATTGACATTTCGAAAAATAACTGTAGTTTGTACAGCGACAGATTCTATTTAGAATAGAATTCTATTTAGAATCTGTAAATTTACATCATAAGCTGTAAATTTCTATTTTGCGTCAAGTTTACGTTTTTCGGTGAGTGACGTTCGATTTCGAGAACATGTGAAAAATTTGGGGAAATATTAATATAACCGAAAATAAATGATCACGATTCAGCTTACACACAACAAGTTATTGAAGAAATGAACTTCGAGAAGAGTCGTGGCCAGAAAATTTAAACAAACGGGTCCAATCAAATTTTGGTTGAACGATGTACCAAATTTGAGAGGCAAGTTGCTTAATATCGGTCCCAGTGTTACTTGTTTTTCTGAAAGCCCCAAAATAAAGCTATGAACTTTCTCGACCACCAAAGAGATTAATGGAGTTCAACAAGCGTACCGGGGGGGCACAGGAACCTTACACCACTCTCATCACCTACAAATGGCATGTAAGGTTGGCCACAGTTCGCAGAAATATCACCTTTCTGTTGGTTTTCGATTTTACTTCAAATTCGTTCAAAATGGGCATCTGTTCCATTAATTTTACAGAGGGTTGAACTCTCACTTAGTATATTGTTACCATGGTGTTCTGACAGCTGCGTGAGATTTTTAACACTTTGTGAATTATATTATTTCTATACCGACGGCAAGCCATAGTTTTAGCACCTACGTGTACTTGTCAAAAAAAAACCACGACAATCGACGTAAAAAGAAAAGACCTAAATAAAGATCCAACCGAAGATTCTGCTTTCATTATAGGCCTACTGCTCTACATGTACGTAGGCCTTAACTGCTGTGTATTTAAAAAAAACCTATTGCTCGAAGCAAGCTTTTGATTAAAGTGTACATTTTCATTATATTGCTCAATGTACAGGCCTTAACTAAAGTGTATTTCATTTAACAGTTAACTGAGACACGACTCAGGGGAGGTGAAAATTAGAAAATTTACACCACACAGTTAGTCGACAATGAAATCAAACTGGATTCACTTGGAAAAGAACACTTTATTTCTCAAAAACACCAATACACATCTATAAGTACACATGTACAAATGTCAACAGTTAAAATCAAAAGGGTAAGTCATGCATTAAGTTCAACTCACTTGGTAACCTACAATTGTTAATAATAGTTGATTCCTACTTTTTAGGACGTAGATCAGTCATATTTAAAGTTTTTTTTCATCATCATCGTGTTAGTTATTATGAATGTTCAATGTACGGTGCTTTTTACAGAACCAGTTTTGATCTGAGATGAGGATATGTTTTAGAACTGGTAAGCTGTTATATTTATGAAGATCTTTAAATGGAACAGTCCTTGAAATATGGAATTACACTGCAAAAACTGGGGGGTTAAATTTAACACCCGCGGTGTTACCAGAAAACTATACCAACACTTTTCACTGGTGTTAAAATTTTGGTGTTATTTGGTGCTACTTGTAACACCTTCTAGTGCACTGTAACACTTGTACATGTAGGTGTGCAAAGTAACATCATCAGTGTTAAAGTAACACCCTATGGTGTGGTCATCTGATAACACCCAAAAGTGTTGATTTTAGCACCAGAGTGTTTACAGTGTAGGACACAATCGAGTCTGCAGTTCACCAGCTTCATGTTACTTACAGAGGTGTATTATGTACTCAAGTAAACCTGTTTCCAAAGCGTGAAGGAAGGATTTTAATGGAAATTGCATTTCAAAATGCCTATGTCATTCGGCTGTTTTGTTACGATCATAGTCTGGCATCTTTTGTGCTGTACTTTCTGGTTCTTTGAATGGACAAACAGGGCAGAAATAACAGCTTTCAATATCCGTTAAAATGAATGAGTCCTTTATTTACGAATCCTAGCACACAGTACTTATGGGTGCGCAAGTTTGAAAAATTGTCCAATCGTAAGGCGATGCCTTATATCAGAAGCTGTAAATGTACTTGATATACATGTACGTGTACACCTGTAGCTGACCCAAACCTAGCAGTGCAAGACTTGTGACATTTTGTACAAGACAGTTCACCATTTCTACTACCAGTCCGGGCTCACATCTGGGACAAATATATTCTTGTAAAATCCACTGTTACATTTTGACCAGTCTCACTCAGTATGCATTGAAGCTATGATGTGAGTGAATTTTTCTGTCAGCAGGGACAGAGCAAATGCATCGAGTAAATATTTAGTGACTTAATAATTAATACGCTTTGCAACGAGATGCCAATAGAATATTTAATGTCAAGTGAAGTTCATCGTGCACACCTTCATTGGTTTGCATATTTCATGTTCTCGATCAAGTGTAGCTGCAGCTTGGGAAAGGTCACACCGAATAATAATGTGACAGCAGAGCTGAGTCGTGAAAGCACAAGCCCTAACACTAACAGGGCTTAACCCTCCGATTTCAACTTGATGTTCAACTAAACCACAGAATTAGGGTTACATGTAATTAAACTTCCACTAACTTGCAAACTTTTGGGACAAATGAACTTCAGCACTTTGTATAACACGAGGGGATTCCCTTTAATAGGATAAAACAGTGGTCATGTATCACCAAGACTTGCACCCAAAGGTGGCCTGTCTCCACGCTACTTAGCAGACAAGCACCTCTGATGGTTACCAAGCTCTTTATCACATGACGATCACATGGTCACTTTTTAAAATCAACAAGGACACTGCTGTACTGAAATAAAGCTGAGCCACAGGCGGCTCATTGGCAACTAACCACATCCTGGATTTGTCAAGCTCCTTTCTTGATATAACTAGCAGCCATCTTGGTCTTGTTCCTGAAGGCATGGTTCACAGATTCTGTGGCGTGTTGTAGAGGATGAAAGGCACCCAGCAATTTAAATCATAATAATGCTGTGCATTGCCACTCCGATGTTTACAAAACATCACTACATGTCAAAACGATCTCTTGAGACCAAGTGATTTTTTCAAAGTTTGACCCTCACAGTGGCACAGCTGTGTCCTACTGAGCTCCAATCTTGTCAACTTCAGGGATATCAAGTTCCTCCTCAATGCTGCTGGCTTTCGGTAGTGCAACTGACTTGTCTGGGACTATCCCTTTAAACGGCCGCCATTTTATCCGTCCCACTTGAAGCAGTTGAGCAGAGTCCAGCGTTTCCAAATACTGTACCTGTCAAACCAAGCAGACAAGGAGCTTGTGCTAGCTTTGGGAACCAACACAACTGTTGATATGAGAAATATGGAAGGGCTGCGTAGCATTGGGATCAGAATAATGACAAGAATATAATATCAAATCAGTGCTCTGAAATACGTGATTGTCAAGCTTTCAGTAACTGACTACCTTCTTCAGGGCAAGTAGATTCAGTTCAGATCCGCTTGCCCTGAAGAAGGTACTCAGTTACCGAAAGCTCGGCAATCATATATCTCAGAGCATTGATTTGATATTAAATTCTTGTCCTTATTACAATTGTTGATATGACTCACTGGTCATTTTTGGCAAGCATGGACTAGAAAGTTAAGTCTATTTTGTGGGGTATTTTTCTTGTCCTAATGAAAACGTCTTTCACTAAGATTTCCTTAGCATTTGTGCAAAGAGCCTGTTTTCAATCCTCCAAAATCCTCAACAGCACATTCTGTTGATTTAAACTTTCAAAGGACATCACATCCCATCGAATGTTTGTTTATCCTGTCAAGGTTGTGCCTTTTGGAATCCTGTGAATTCTTCTGAACCTCTCTGTGGAATTCCTTGGTATCTGGGAATGTCAGGTCACTGACCTGTTGCCTGATGTACTCCACCATGTCTGCAAGCTGCTCTGGTTCAATGTCCCGCCTTACAAAAAGATTCCGCCAGAGTGCACCGGCTAGAACACTATCGTTGGAAAGCAGACCCTGAGAGAAGAAATTCAGAGTGGAAGATCACTGGCTCATATCATTTCAAGTCACAGATGATGTCCAACACTCCTGCAACCAGCTAGATAACACGGCATCCACCGCAGCATTTTCTCACATCGGTCGCACCGAGAATGGATACATCTTATCACCAGTAGTTGGTGCACAACAAACTGACATACCTTGTAGACTAAGTCTACCCTTGACACATCGATATGTTGTGTGTCAAATATATCACATATAGGACACCATTAATTCGGCTATCAAGATGTAGACCAGCTACCTAGTTTGTCAGAATCACGTTGTTGACATATTTGGCAAATTAAGGTTACAGTCACAACTACACCCAACAGTTGGTATGTGGTGAACACTGGAACATACTGGTGTTAGTATATTTAAGCTTTATTTTCCATCAAAGAGAAAAAAAATTCGTAAGAAAATAATTGTCAGCATTGTTAAGTGTGCTCACCTCATCATAACCAAACAATGCTGCATTGAATTGTTCAACCATCTTGGACAAGCTCTCCTTCATTTTGATGGAAGGAATCTAAAAAAACAAACAGAAGAACGAACTCAGACTCTAACATCTAACACAACTGCAAGGTTAGTTTCTTTTCATGGGGATGATCTGGCGCTAACTATTTCAGTACAACCTTGGTTCAACCCCCAACGCCTTCACCCCCAAATCATTTATCCATGCCCCGTACCCTGCCTTCAACCCCACATCCCACCTCTTCCTTCCCCTGTACCAATTTTCTACCCGTGACCTCAACCCTCATGATACCGTACCACTTGGGCAAGGAGTGGATCGCTACATTCTTCCTTTCCTACAACATGTCACTCCTCCCCAGTGTCCCTTGTCTCAGTGTCGGAAACGTATTCTTTATTTGCACAGCCGGGGTGTCCGAAATTAGACAAAGGGAACTGGGCCTTGTAACAAGAGACGCATTTGCAACAAAAGACCAGGCTGCTGGGAATTAGCTACATTTTTTAACTGTCAATACTGGAGATAATCCACCACCGCACAGATGAGCCACACAGTACCGCTGCATGTTAATCTGGCCCCTAGTGAAAAGACAGCAGCAGTGCACTGCGCCAATTTCAAGAACAAAAGAAAAATTACGTAACACTGCACAATCTGGGATCTTTTTACAAGGCGGCAGGCCTGGCTGAAATACTCAGGCGTCAATAGATTTTGTCTGTCAGATTAGAGTAGAAACCAGACCATCATCCATGTGGGTGTAAGTCTCTAGTAAATGAAGACATGAATTTTAAAAACATTTTGAAAACAGAAAAAAATGAATAATACTCTGGCCCAGCAGAATCAACATTCATAAATGCCCCCGTCCCGAAGTGGTTGAGCCCACCTTCTTCGTCCATCTCTCACCTCTCCGACCAATTCCTCCCACTGCCAATACTCAGACCTCCCATCTTGATTCTGTACCCAAGGAACATGGGGTGAATCACCACATTCCACCTGTCTCCAAATCTTCCCCATCCCTTCACTCCTCCTATCCCCACAACCTCATCCATCCTACTTTCACCATCGCGTCCCATGATACTCACCCCCATGACCCGACCTCTCTCTTGAATGTCATGCCACATGGACATGATGAGGTAATGCACCATGTACTTTCCTTCTTGTCCTTCCTGCTTCAAACGCACCATACACATCCTAGAAGAAGCCCAAAACAGTCAGTCACTTTGAGCAGCGTTACCTCAGAGATAACCAGATGGGCAAGGGTCTCCAAATGAGCATCTAACTTACATTTTCATTTCATAGAAGATATGCACAATAATGAAACTACGGGCCTGAGCGATAGTCTTCAAGGACTTGGCTATCAACCATGCCGATAACAAATAGGGACACGATTTAGCCTACTGCCGAGAGCAAAGTGTAGCCATCTCAACCTAACCACTTGCATAATTGATTAACTTTCCTTGGAGCAGACCATCTTACCATACATGAAGCTCTGTGACTAGGAACCATGAGAATAAGGTGTCCGGCATTCCACATGCTGAAATAAAAAAGGCACCAATGAGACGTTGAGAAAGCCCTGTTACTAAAATCCTTCAAACTGATCATCATTTGCGCAGTGTTATATCATTTACGGCAGAAGCATCCAGCTCACCAAAACAGTTGGCAGCTTGGGGAAAGGGGCCTTTATGATCGAGTTCTAACCCTGTTTCTAAATAGGGAGTACAGAAAATGGTGTTTCTCCAAGAAGAAAATAATAATAATTGAAATTGATAATGCGCCATTTCCATAAAAATTATCAACAGGGTTGACGGGTTCCAATGATTGTGGATTTGCTGTTACTATTATAACTGGTTCATGTCATGAGCAACTACTATAAAATCAGATTCCCAAGCAATTAATTAAGCTTTGGTTTTCGGTTTCAAACTTACCGCGGAAGAAAGTGTGACAGTCAATATTGTCAACACAAGATGTATAGAGGTTGAGACCAGCTACTCTGATTTTCTGGAAAAGAAATTGAGGTTATCGTGTTTACTACAAAACCGAAAAGGCCGAAGTGCCCATAACAGTTACAGATAGAAAGTTGACATTCCTGACAACAGATTTAGGTGACCCACTTGTCTATAAGATGTGATAAATATTTATACCCTGGAATACCAACGGAAGCAGTAATGTACAATGTACTCACAAATCTGTTGTATCTCATCTGTACTGGGATTCCAGCTTTCTCCATCAATCGTTTGAAGGGAGTCGGTTTACTTTCGGGAAGTACTGCACTCCTTCGGACTAAAGCCTGGCCACAGACATAAATAGGAACAAAAATTCACTGATATGTTCAGGGCTAGAGGAAGTCCATAAACTTGGTATTTTAGCCAAAAATGCATGGAACAGGAGAATCCATGTGAAATGAAATTCACTTTAAATAAAATTCTGTTCTGTGTGCTAACAGATTCAACTTGTGAATGTAATCAGGTTTCCAATATCATTTATCAGTTTTGGGTATCAGGGGCAGCTTATAGTTGCTCGGGTTTTTTTAAAAAGTCTTCAGAAAATTTGTTTTAAAACACGTTTTTCAGTTAGCAACTTGACATGTATTACATAAACTCAGATGTGAATGGCGTAAAACATATTTCAGTCATGCAGTTTGGGACAAAATATGGTATTTCAGAAAGAAAATGAACAATCTTATGGAAATAGTTATCCATGAAAAATTTGAAAATGAAGGTTTGGCAAAATGTTTCATCTACTATCGATGTGACNGGGAGACTTTGAGACGCCTGACGGTGGCAAACATACTTGTCTTTTTTTCCAGTTCTGCGCCTGTGCGCATGGTTTTGCACATGCTCGCATAGTTTGGAGCATGTGCATTTATACTGTGAAAAAGGACCAGTATTTCTGCCGCCATCTCGAAGTCTCTCGCTGAATGCATGCATGAGACTCTCACCAGGTTAGGTTGACCGGTGCTGACATGTCTCTGGACTTGGTTCAGCTGACTGTCCCTCCCCCTTCTCAGGTACGCCCATCTGGAGTATGTTAACTCTGAGTTTGAGCTGCACGTTGTATGGTGCTTTCCTCCTGCTTGGGTCATCAGACAGCCCATGCTACGACAGCAAAGCTGGAGAAGGGATATTGCACATTTGTTCACATTCATATTCACAACATTTCTTAAAGACGAACTTCGTGATGGAGGTGGGGGGGGGCTACTGTACATGTAAAGCCTGGTTTCCATATCGACATAAGAAGCGCAGAGAACAAAGCAATCAAGACACAAACTGCAACGCAGACAAATGGAAACATGTCAAACAGAAGTGTCAATGATAACATCAACCAGCCCAAGACGGATTGCTAAAGTTGAGCCCAGTTCAACTTTGCCGACTGTCTGCGTTGAATCGCTGAGTAAGCCTCTACAAACACGCACGCCGGCATGATGGGCGTACAACAATGTTTCTCTCGCTTAGTATCACTCATTTTGTCAATTTTCTCCTGATTACATGTACTAGCACGTGCAGCCCCAGTCGTTAACAAAATAGCTGACCTCAACAAATTACATCAAACTAGAGTATCAGTTTGGCTCCAAAAGGAAACACTGCCACCTGAAAAAAGGCATTTTTGGAAAACGTTTTCTGAGTTTAGGCAGCCATTTTGGTTGATTTTTGGGGCGGAATGACATCTCACCACGTCTCATCCATGATGGTCTGCATCTTGACATCTTGCAGACCGTCTGCCTTTACAAACGACCATATGGAACCCAGGCTTAAGTGTTGCTACATGCATGTTAACAGGTCTGTTTGCTAACGAGGTGGCTGTATACTAATAATAAGCAATCAGTTTCATTTTATAAATTTGGGAGCAGACGCAGGACATCAAAGATGTTGGACTAACAGGACAGGAAAAACCCTATCTTTATGTAAAGTTACAGAACGATCTACATGTATAGGCCTAATCCTGACAGTCTCTGTCTATTTCTGAAAGTTCAACGGCTCCCCCCCCCNAGGAGACTTTGAGATGTTTGACAGTGGCAAACAAACTAGTCTTTTTTGCCAGTTCTGCACCTGTGCGCATGGTTTTGCACATGCTCGCATAGTTCTGAGCACGCGCATTACTGTGAAAAAGGACCAGTATTTCTGCCGCCACTAGCATGAGACTCTCACCAGGTTAGGTTGACCGGTGCTGACATGTCTCTGGACTTGGTTCAGCTGACTGTCCCTCCCCCTTCTCAGGTACGCCCATCTGGAGTATGTTAACTCTGAGTTTGAGCTGCACGTTGTATGGTGCTTTCCTCCTGATTGAGTCATCAGACAGCCCATGCTACGACAGCAAAGCTGAAGAAGGGATATTGCACATTTGTTCACATTCATATTCACAACATTTCTTAAAGACGAACTTCGTGATGGAGGTGGGGGGGGGCTACTGTACATATAAAGCCGGGTTTCCATATCGACATAAGAAACGCAGAGAACAAAGCAATCAAGACACAAACTGCAACGCAGTCAAATGGAAACATGTCAAACAGAAGTGTCAATGATAACATCAACCAGCCCAAGACGGATCGCTAAAGTTGAGCCCAGTTCAACTTTGCCGACTGTCTGCGTTGAGTCGCTGAGTAAGTCTCTACAAACACGCACGCCGGCATGATGGGCGTACAACAATGTTTCTCTCGCTTAGTATCACTCATTTTGTCAATTTTCTCCTGATTACATGTACTAGCACGTGCAGCCCCAGTCGTCAACAAAATAGCTGACCTTAACAAATTACATCAAACTAGAGTATCAGTTTGGCTCCAAGAGGAAAGACTACCACCTAAAAAAGGCATTTTTGGAAATCGTTTTCTGAGTTTAGGCTGCCATTTTGGTTGATTTTTGGGGCGGAATGACGTCGCACCGTGTCTCATTTATGACGGTCTACATCTTGACATCTTGCAGACCGTCTGCATTACAAACGACCATATGGAACCCAGGCTTAAGTGTTGCTACATGCATGTTAACATGTCTGTTAACAAGGCTATTCAATCAAATTTTCTCATTCACAGAAAATTTGAGTAACCTATTGCTCTTAGGAAAGGTTGGATCAGGGTTTCAGAGCATGAGACCAAGTATTTTGGGAAAAAAAATAAGATTTTTACTCAACAATCACTTGCTTCCACCCTACTAACAATTATTCCATTCATGCTGATTGTGTTTGTCAGATTTAGCCCACAAATAGCCAGGCTTGCTCCGCATCTTGGTTCGTTTATTTTTGGTGGTGGGGGATAGAACCTTTACTTGTTTTCATGTACTCCATGACTGCCGTTGGGACACTAATGCACAACTTGCGCTGTGCTGTGTAATTGTTACAATCCCCACCTCTAAAAATAATTAAACCAAGATGCAGAGCAAGCACAGCTAGGCCTACACGTATTGAAGGGCTCAACGCATATATGCAATCTGATAAACACAATCGGCATGAATAAAGCAATCACCGACAGCTGGGAGCGAGAGATTTTGGAGTAAAAACCTCATCTTTTCCAAAACCTACTTGGTCTTGTGCTCTGAAACCTTTTTCCTACCTTTTGTAAGAGCTAGGTCCTATATGTTACTCGAGTCAAGACTTAAGTTTGCTCTCACAGGATAATTACATTGAATAGCTTTGTTCTACCTGTCTATTAAAATCCATTCCATAGCATTATGGATCCAAGTCAACTGTATTCAGGTGGTATCGGCTTGAAGTATGATGGAGTAGTGACTTTTGAGTTCTCGAAGGAGGCCTCAGTCAGGCCTGGCAACATGTGTACATGTATGATGTACATTGTACACATGTACATCACATACTCATGCTGTAGTACAGTAGTAGGCTAGACTAGGAGGCTAGAACACAGATTCAACCCTCATTACGGCCGACACATATCATAAAGGCCTAAACATGTCTTCACCAACCCTTGAACGGTGGCATTGGCAGGCTGCATTATATGCAACCGTCCAACATACATGACATATATTGCTGGCTAGCGCTAGTGCCTTCTACAGTACATGTATGTACGTGTTCATACATGATGTAGGCCCTATGTAACGGTACGTGTACATGTAGGCCTAGTTTCAACCGATCGGGGAGCAGTTCAGAGTTTCATGTCACCTGAATTCCGCGAGAAGCAATCTGCGCAGATCCCAGGCTGGTCGCCATCTGCGATGTTCGGTAAATTGTGTACATTCTTCAAGACTGTCTCTCGCCAAAACTGAACCAATGTGAGCCAAAGAACCAAAATAAATTTCTTAAAACACGTAGGGCCTACACTGCTACACACAGATACGAGGTACACCATAAAAATGTTACTTAATTTCAGTCTGGGATCCCTAGTGAAATCAATATGATCGGTCTGCAAATGGGAAGGGGGCCCGACTATTTTGCATCACGCGGCACACGCGTATCGTAACGTGACTTGAGACAAAATCTCGTCCTTGAGACAAATATTACGTAATATATCCAGGCACCTCGGCATCACTGAGAACTGACCAACAGTACCAGGCCCTATGATCCTTGTTTCCCTGTCGGAGGCCAACCAGACACAACATTACCTTAACGGGCGCAGACTGAGAGGTACTTTACTAAGTTACTAGCCTCAACGTGAATTACCCCGTACTCTTTTAACGTGCCGCCATCTTGCTACAGCAAATGAAGTGATGAGAAGCATATTAATTTAAAGGGATGATTTTTTTATGATTACCGAATATCTGGGGTGCGTCCTACCATGAAGGAATAAAACACACTACGGTCCTACACTGTAAGCCTCTTCACACGATTCCAATGAGCTCTTTGTAAATTTTAAACCAGTCTGTCAACTTGAGCATGTTGTTGAGAGAGACTCTTGTTTTGGTTATTTAGGCCTAGGGCTACGAGGAATCTCCGAATTTCCAGGAATTGGACTCATTACCGTAGCAAGCCCACCATCAATCCAACATCAATGAACCCAGTTGCCATGGCAACCAAATACAAGGATGAGATTTTCTGTGCAGCAGAGTACATCAGTGTTCGTGGCATCCAGACTCGCATAATGAAAGTCCAGAAGCGTGACTCTGATGATGACAGAAGCGACGTCGATGTCCTTGATGTGCTTTTTCTAGTCATTCCAGGTAGAAGAATATGAGCAGGCTTAACTTAACGGCTTTACAATGTATTCATCAGGGAGGAATAAAACACGCTTGCTGACATGGCTTTTGCCGGAAGACAGGATTTTTAAGGCAGGCCAATTAAAACTTTCTGATCTGGAATGGAATAACTTACAAAGTCTGTTCTATTCTCTGTTCAAGGTAACCCTGGAGTGGTCGATTTCTATGAAGTTTTTATGCAAACACTGTACAAGGCCAGTGCATACAGGGCATCTGTGTGGGGCGTGTCCCATGCTGGGCATACATTACTTCCTAAAGAACACAACACAGGTACAATGTTTATAGACGGACATTTCGGTACAACTGTTCTTTTGTTTCCTGGATTGATACTGTTCCACTGTCAATACATTTCAGTGCCTCTTTAACTCTGTCACCGATATTGTGTATTTGCTACTGAAAAGGAAGAGTTCAATATCCTTTTTTTCAGATACATACAGTTTAGATGACCAGATTGACCACAAAGCAGCATTCATCCAAGATTTTGTGCCCAAAGACAAAAGGATCGTACTCATCGGTCATTCCATTGGTAAGAAAAACACTGGTAGCTTTGATGCAAGTTGTCTGAACAGCAGTTTGTAAAAAGAAGACGTGGCTTCTGAAGCAGTGAGCAGCTGATGATAAGAATCCTGGGAATGTTGGGCTTCGTCAAGACATACATGACATGTGAGAAGAGTTGGGGAAGTGGATATTTGTAGGATGTATCAGAAAGATTATGAAAGATGTCACACAAGCAGATATAAAATGCTCTAAGTTTCCTTTGAAAAGATGCTTGTGCCAAAGAAAATTTGGTCAGGTAATATGAGGTGATATATTCAAAGATGTTATGCTTCCTAACTTCATAGAAAGGTGTCAAGGACGACAGAGAATGAAATGTAAAGGAAAAAAAATCTGATCTGAGTACAGTCAGCACCTCTCAAAAAGGCTTTGTAAAAGAAGTTGCGTCAGTTGATATGGGGTACAGAGGAAACTGTGCCAGTCTCTTCAGTCAGACAAGCAGATGTTTTTGCCTTATCTGTGCACTTCACAGCTGGCCATAGATAATTATCATTACTCGCAGGTCTTCTGTAACTACATGTACATGGAAGCTCTTTCATCTTATTGTCTCTTCTCTGCAGGTTGCCACATCATCCTCCAGGTCATGAAGCGACACCCTACTCTCCCCATCCTCAAGGCTCTCCTCCTCTTCCCGACCATTGAGAGGATGTGGTCCTCCCCAAACGGCACTGTCTTGGCTCCGTTCCTCTGCTATGCCCGCTGGCTAGGAGTCTTGGTGGTCTTTCTGGGCTCTTACCTCTCAGACTGGGTCAAGTGGCGGATGATCAACTGGTTCCTCAAAGACAAAAAGGCTAGTGTTTTGTTTTGGAACAAGGATCATTAAAGCAATCCTCAGTGATGACTGAGTAACAATGGGGTTTCAAGCGATTCTTAGAGGGTCTTAGAGCTAGAGAGAGGAACAAGTTGGCTCAGCCAGGTGTTACAAACCAAAGACATAATCCGAAATCCTCTTCACTTTTCAGGGAGGGAGGCATTGGCGTAGCGAAGGCATTTTCTTGTAGGGGTGTGTGCAAGAGTCAGTTTGCCAACTTGTAACTTGTTAACCAATCTCCTGTCGCATAAGATTCACTAAGTGATCCATGGTAGGCTACGGTTGTAGTTCAGGGAAATGCTGACGGCCAACGTATATCGTTTATGTACTAACTTTGGATTCCTTTGCAGACTGAAGCTCTATTTGCCAACTGGAATTAAACTCCCCAGTCGCTACACTCCAGAGGGCAATTGATGAGGTTGTTAAACGAAGTGCTTAAGGTGCATCGCATGGCATCAGTTAATTCTTCTCAGTCGAAAATAGTTTTGAGAGGACCTGTGTTTCTTTGTTTTCTTTAAACAGGTTCCAACATGCGCCTTCCATGCTGCCCTCAATCTTTTCAATCCTGGCTGTGCCAACAACGCACTCACTATGGCAGCACATGAGATGCGGGAAGTGGTGGAACCAGACCTGGATGCCATCGCCCAACACCTGCCCAAGCTCGTCTTCTACTACGGTGCAACGGACGGATGGTGCCCCGTCGACTATTACGACGACATGAGAGCGTTGTTCCCCGAGGGGGACATTCGGCTCTGCAAGCGGGGAATAGCCACGCGTTCTGCTTAGAGTCTAGTGAGCTGATGGCAGATATGGTGTGGAACTGGCTCTGGAATGTTATCGTGCCAACAAAAAGCTGAAACATGGCCTGTCAACATGTGAGAACATAATGTACATAATGATACAAAAGTGCCCCCCCTCGATACCTCGAATACCACAGAGCTTGAGAACAATGAACTCTGGAGACATTGCTCAATCTCAGAGGAGTATAATACTTTACACCTCGAAAACTTACTCATTCTTATTAATTTGATTGAAACTATCTTTATACTCGTTTTAATCATAATGTTATCAGTGCCCTTTATAAGAGCACAGAGATTCACAGATTTACTGTGTTTTGTTATACATTTGGACAATTTTTACTTCAAAATCGTAAATCCTGAATATTTTTCATCTGTGAAAGTCTCATATAAAAGGAATAAATATGTGAATCATATCAAAGTGAATTTTTTTAATCAGCTTTTAAAAATGTGTCTCATACCTTTATTTGCCGCTTTTGTCCTGGTGCATTCTGATATTGGAAAGTGTGGTAAATAGTGTGAAAATGTACATGTACTTTTTGAAACTTTGATATTGCCTGCCCATTTTGTTTCGCTCCTGCGTGGTTTCTCCACTTCCTAGAGCTCCAAGTTGCACGATACTGTTAGTAATTCATATTTAAGGTCTTAGAATCTACATGATTGTCTATTATTTAATTGTTAGTGTGTAAATTAATTTGACCAAATTTCCTTGCTCTGTGGTTACAAAGTGTTTAGTAACGTCCAGAACTGGACGTTTTGTAGGAACAAACTCGTCCCTACGATGTGGAGTCTGAAGCAACCTGGATTTCCGCTTCTTTGTTGTGATAACGTTTACGATAGATGGTCGCTGGTAATTTCTGCAGGTCAGTCAGCCTTGTTTTGATTACAAATTTCAGTGCATGGGGGTTCACTGTGGCAGCAGCTGCCGGTCACTGCCCCCAAAAACTGTTCAGTCGCCACGCCTCAAGTAGGACTTGGACTTTCTCGCCCATCAAACTGCAGAGGGCGCCATACAAGAGTAATAGATGCAACTTCTGGATTCCCCCGAAAAAACATAAACATATAAAATATTTTGTTCTTATGATGTGCGGCCTTCTAGCAAATACTGTGGCCCCCGTAAATGCCTGAAGCTGGCGATGGGGCTGACATCAAATATAATCCCACCCCAAATTGTGCAATTTAAGTGCGATAACCGAAATTTTAACTGGCGTGGCCCAGCATCAATCGATTATTTGTACAAGTCTTTAAAAGAGACAGGTCAGTATGCAGGTAGGCTAAACTGTACCTGCAATGTGCAATCGTGAAATGGAGCGAAACGGTTGTTTGCTAAATTTCGGCGGGTAGGAAGTTCTGCAAACATGAGCCGTTCTTCATTGGAATACCGACAGAGTTGTCTGTTGCCAACTGTCTCCAACACGGCACCCTGTGTGCCAAAGACTGCTTCAAAAAATCATCACAGCAGGTGCAAATTTTGACGTTGTGCAGTCCAGCTAACGATTGGACGAATATTCTACAGACGAATGGATTCTCAGCAGTTACATTTGTCAGCAAGGCTTTCTAGTGTGATCGCTGCTTCAGGCTCCTTTAATTGATCAAAGGTCGGAATTGTTCAGCAAAGGTCGGAACCGACTTGTACGTAGGCCTAAATGTACGTGTATATAAAATGCTGGTACAGTCACTCATCGGTACGGTGCATAGGCTAAGTATTCTTATTCGAAATCTCACCGCCGTGACGAGTTGGTTGGTCTTTTGGTTTGTCACCTGCAGCTGCTACACTATTCAGCTCCTCGTGAGGATATGTTTCAGACAGCATAACTTTTCATACAAGTCACTTTGTGCCCCTGGTAACACGTGTGTACAATGGCCGTTGTTGTAAACATAGAACGATCGGGGACTTACAGTTTATAAGTAATTATCAGACAAGATATGCAAAAACGATTGCCCCAACTGTAATCGAAGTTGAACCTGCATGTTTGTAGATCTGGTAGTAGCATTCCAAATGCGGTCGATATAATGACCTGAGCTTGCAGATGAATTGTGGTTTATTTTATGCACTCCATTATGTTATGCACAGGACTGATGTACTTTTTTTCCAGAAAAGAAAAAAACACTTGCCTGTGATGACCCATGTTAGTCTGCCGGGAAATGGCGAGACTGGATCGTAAAATACGCCGGAGTGCAGTGGCTGCCGTCGTCCTGCTTGCGTGTCTGCTCCTCGTCGAGTATCGCACTTTCTACCAGGACAAATCGCAAGGTATGTGAACCGAAAAGGAAATGCAAACAATTACAGAAAGTAGAACCAAGTCAGAGACAGCTCACTCAACAAGGAAATTAAAGAAAATGAAACCACACTTCAGTCCAGTAGTACGTGATCCTCAAAGCCCCCCCCCCCGGTTACGTCAAAGGGACCAGAGTTGTACTAGTACATGTACAACTATATCGCGGGTAAAAGTTCAACATGTTGGATTATTTCCTTGTTCAGAAAGCTAAAAACGGGCTCCTGACCCCCCCCTTCGGTGCGCCACCGCATACTTCAATTATATTATTGATTAAGCAAGGGAGTTCCTAATTCGAGTAATTTTTCTTTCCACATGTAATACAGAAAGCAATAGGCCTATATAGCCTACCATTCTTTTGTACACTGCGTGTTCTTTCTTAACCGGTGATCGATCGCTTTCATTTTTGTCATAGGTCTGTACAGCACAGTTTCACTTACACTAAAAGTTACAGGAGGCCTACTTTGTTTCCTTCCAAGAATATTACCATTGTACAACACTCAATCTACGACAGGGTCAGTTTCCCTGAGGTTGGGCGCAGAAAATGTAGTTTATTAATTCCGACAGTGAAAGTGCAATCTCAGAGTCCAAACATGTGAATATCGATCCGTTATCGTATCCTCCCGACAAATCAACAATTATTGCTGCTTACACGCCCAAATTACTGAAATGAAATCGAACTACGTCCAGGAGGTCAATAATTAAGTCTTTATTCTGCCCACTTAAGGAACAATTGGTAACCGTAAAAACAACCCGCGGAAAGAGGCAGTCATGAAGAAGCCACACCGGAAGCCCATGCAACCCAACAAACCGGTGGGTATTCACACTATTCCTTCTTAAAGTGATTGTTCCGCCCTCCTGCGCAACTGCAGTGTCGGGATGGGTGACGACAGAATGGAAAATCTTGCGCTATACTTGGCCCAGTTAAGCTCACATTATAGGTTTTTACATAGAAAAATGTCCGAAAAGCGAATGTTGGGAAGGACTCTATATTCATACCTATACTGTCTGAAGGCAAACGAGTGAAAAACTTTCTGAAAGAGTGAGCCCTTTGTGAATCCACCCCGAATAGTACAGTCCAGTTTACAAGGAATGAAAACTACCCCCAACGAGTGAAAATCGCTCAAACAGAGGATCTACGTGTATGTATGACAACTTTTTTTCGAGTTGTGTCTCATGGCTCCTTTTAAGTGTGGAAATTTCACTCTTTTGAAGTGGTTGTCACTCTTTTCTTTCTAGAGTGGTTTTCAGTCTTTGAGAGTGGTTGATATTAGGCACTCACTCTTTTTGAGAGTTTATTCTGCAGTCTTTTTATTTAGAGAGTTCGCGCAACTGTCGTAATCGTGGTGCAAGGCGGGATTGTTTGTAATTGATTAATCCACTTCAAGCATCTTACGGCAAGACTATACTGCTGTTGAACCTCGTCATTGAATTTCTCTTCCCACAAGACACTCAATCACATATTCTGCCATCTCTTTTTCATAACAGCGAAAAACACAGGAGCAGATAGAATCCAGCAAGTCGTCCAGTCTTGACTTTCTCAAGACGCAAGGAGAGGTACAGGCCCGACGGAGAGCCATCCTCAGAGGTACGTGCGAACGGCGCGAAATTAAATCTGAGGCCGAACCGCCCAAGTACACCAGGCAACACATCTACGTGGTGGACAATTACAAGGCAATGTACTGCTTTGTTCCCAAGGTGGGTTGCAGTAACTGGAAGCGCATCTTGATGGTACTGAACGGCAACAAGGAGACGGTAGAAGGATTAACTTCAGAGGAGATCCATCTCAGGGCGAACTTGAGGTTCCTCAATTCTTACACTCCGGAGCAGCAGGCCCACCGCCTCAAGAACTACCTCAAGTTTGTTTTCGTCCGCGAGCCCTTCCGTCGCGCGCTCTCCGTCTACCGGAACAAGTTCGAGGATGTTGGATACTACCAGGGTAATGAACACTTCCACCGGTTCGGCAGACAGATCGTGGCCAAGTTCAAGAAGAACCCGTCGCAGCATGACCTGCAGACGGGCGAGAACGCCACCTGGAGAGAGTTTGTGGACTACCTAACCCATCCCACGGAACGAGCCGAGGTGGAGACAGACATCCACTTCAGCGACCACTGGACCGAGATGTACAAATTATGCTCCCCCTGCACCATCAAATATGACGTCATTGGTAACCTGGAGACCGTCGCTGATGACGCCCAGTACGTATTGGAATTGTTGAATGCTCCCTCCAAGGTCCGGTACCTATCATCAGGAAACAGCCGACCGACTAACAGTTCCGACAGTGGGACATTCCACAAGTATTTTTCGCAGCTGGATAAGTTACAGTTGACCAAACTGTGGGACCTTTATAAGCTGGATTATGAGCTTTTTGGTTATCCCAAACCCTCAGTAGTTCCCAGCTAGAGTAAATTTCTATGAACGGATTTGTTTTTGGAGCACTACAGATCTCCAAAATATCGACCATAAAAATTTAACAATGTACGTATTTCTCTTTGTCAAAGACTATTATTTTTTTTAAAGGCTGAACTTCACATCGCCTACATAATACACACTGTAATCCCTATATTGTGGAAGTGACGAAACTGTACAGAGTAAGGAAATATTTATATTCTGCCCTGAAGTATAGGAAGATTGTAATTCGATTCGATTTAGATCGTAATCTAAACGATTATTTCAAGAAGACTTGCAGGTACCTTTTTACATCTAAGGCAGACCAGTTTGAACATCTCAGTCATTCGGGAAACAGTGCATTATCATTTTATGGGCTATTTTGTTGGAAAAAGCCTAAGATAGTTCGAAACGATGCAAAATGTGTGAATTTGTAAGTAATTTTATATTGTACAGTATTATGTAAGCTCTTTCCACATTCTGAGGTTGGTGGTTTTATTTTAATCTGTACATTTAAAGCAGAATTCCTTCCAATGTTACTCAATGAGTAATGTGCAATAACTTAATTCAAATTGATAATTGCTACAGTGATGTGCTTGTAAACCGTTCTGAATTGAAATCAAAATGAAATAAATCTTTAACAGAATGTTCCGTCATTATGCTTACGTCGACAGGTGAAAGGTCGACGAGATAACAAAAAACCCCAAATGCCTCCACCTTCTTTGGCACCCCACATACACAATTACATTTCAACCTGGCTACACTCAGGGACGTCCTAAGCAACACATTACCATAACAAGGAGTTTGCATCACACCTATTTACCGATCTTCTTACGGTTGTATGCAATGTCCAAGAGCGGATTTCATTAGGCAAGAAGGGTACTCGTCGTCTAAAGTCCATGTTGTCGATTGCGTGGATGGCCCCCGGTTGTCTCGTTGACGAGAGAACTATACGGGAAACTTAGATCGATAGACGGTGTGGGGTAGGACCTGTCGTGGTGCCGGCTTCTCATCACTCCGGTTCTGGTATTTCTTGAAGAATTTTGGAAAGCTGGAGGAAAAAAATGTCCTGTTTTGAGACTTACTGACGCAACTCCTAGGTAAGGTGATCCCGTTTTGACCGTTTTAGTTGTTGAATGATACACATTTACAAGTAGGCAAGTACACGTGAATGTACAGGCCTGATCTCGGTGTTGATGCTCAAACTTCCAATTTTCATTAAAATAACGGATATCACATCTTGCCTTCCGGTTTAGTATTGGTAAATGCAATGATTATTCTTTGCTGAATTCAGTGCGTAACATGGAGAGGACGGAAACGACTTCCAAAGGTCTCGTGTGAAAAATTACTGTATGGGAAGCCATGACATCAAAGCTAATTTGTTATTGGACATTGGACATTCCCTGTACAAACCTATGGGAATGTCCAATCATGGAGGAAGGACACAGAAGGAGTTGTAACTCAGGCACTTCAAAGCGTCCAATGATGGTCGCCGCCGAGTCTGACGAATAATAGAAAACATTCAAAAAATGCCTTATTGCTGCCTGCATCTTAGCCAGACAAGTGGGGCCAGTAATACCCTGGCTATAAAACAGTGATATAATGTCTGAATGTATATCGTGATTATTTGTGTTGAATGCTTCAGATATTGGTTTATTGTTTATGACGTAAGTATGCATTGAAATTATCCCGAAAATTTCCCTTGTCAAATTAAGGTACATTAAACTGTGAAAAGGGCAGTGTTTAAAAAATAAAGCAATTAAATGTCATGCAAGTGAGGAAAATAAAATTCGTTCATAAAAATGCAATCGCATGTTAAGCTTTGTTACTTAGAGTAAAGAACAGATACAGCCAACGGTCGCAAGTATACACAAGTACATGTAAATGCATTAAGATCAAAATAAATTGCTAAATATATGTCTCGTCTTCAATATTAGGAAGATGGCATTGGGACGACATGTCCCTCATCGCTGGGTGTGGCGTGTGTGTAGACATTGGTTCCCACAGTTGTTCCTCCTGACTTGCTTCATCTATCTGGTGTTCTACGTCGTCACTCAAATTGAATTTGACGGTACGTTACGTAACTGTGACCTTTGAAACGACGGCAAAAGCCCTCTTTTGTATGTAAAATAATGTAATTGACCCCGTCTGCCGATTTCTTTAGAGGATTATTCACGAGTAAGCACATGTTTATACCAGGCGCGAAATGAGACAGAGAGGTACCCCCCCAGCAAGCCCAATCCCTGTACACATTCCAGCCTATTGTCACTTAACACACACCCCCTAGAACTTAGAAGAATTCCTAAGATATCAGTATAACAATGACCAACACAAAGGCGGGGGGTTCTCTCAGTCCCATGGTTTGCTTCATGTGCATATTATGACGATATTTACCTGCCACTGCGCAAAAAAAAATCAATTAGATAAACAAAATTGAAAAAAAAGAAGAAATAGTGAAATAATAAATATTTAATAAAATAAACTTAAATACTAAATCCAAAGAGAAACACTACTAAACGAACCAAAATAAACCTGTCCAACTCCTCTCCTCCTCGGGCTAATCTTATTCTACAGCCCCTGTCAGCCTCAGTCGGCCCAAAAGCATCAGACAGCACGAGGACTATCCGTGGGTAGATGACAAGTTTGCGCCGGTCAAGAAACCGCCAAGCGGTGCTGACGTCTCGGACTCCATGCAGGCTCAGAACGCCTCTCGATCGCAAGTGAAGGACAGCGACAAGGAACGACAAGATACGAAGGCGAGTTGTGAAGACTAGAGGCCTCCAATGGCATTCTTTGGCTGCTCTGCGGTGCTCGAATAAAAAAGTGATTCGTAACTTGACTGCGGTCTCGGTTGGTCCTGTTCGAATAGTCAATTGACATTGAACTTTCGTATCTCGAAATTTTTCTCGCAGGATGCCTGGAACAATGAATATGAACCAAACGGGTTCATGGAGCAGCAGGCTGCAATACAGATGGAGCGGCGAAGTCATGTCAACAAGGCCTGCAGCAACTATCCCAAGCTGTCGCAGGGAAGCCTCAACATGGAGACACTTCGTCACATCTACGTCCACGAAAAACACAAGATTCTCTACTGCTTCGTGCCAAAGGTTTGTCACATTGGCATCTTACATATGGTCCCATTAAAAATAATACATTTGGAACAGATAGAGCCAATTACGAATTTCCAAGCAGAAAATATTTCGTAGAACCTTAACATTTCACTGTGGTATCTTTTCATTCTCATGACCTATCTCTAGGTTGGATGCAGCAACTGGAAGCGGGTGCTGATGGTACTTGCCGGTTTACGCGAGGAGACGGAGGGCATCTCATCAAACGAGGCCCACTTCAAGAACGGCATGAAAAGATTGAGTGCCCTGACTCCGTCGGAGCAGAAAATCCGACTAAAGACGTACACCAAATTCATGTACGCGCGCCAGCCTTTCCTCCGTATCCTATCGGCTTACAGGAACAAATTTGCCGATATCAAAATGTATCGGAAGGAACCGTACTTCCAGGGTTTTGCCAAGCGGATCATGAAACATTATCGCAAGGACGCCACGCCTCGGGAACTTCAAACAGGCGAGAACATCACGTGGCACGAGTGGGTGACATACTTGACCAACCCAACCGAGAGGGCAGGCTTCGACGACCATTGGCAGGAGATCTACAAGATGTGCTCGCCTTGTAAGGTCAAGTACGACTATCTCGGCAAACTGGAGACTATCGGTGATGATGCTCGGTACATGCTGACGTCACTAGGGCTTCAAGACCAGGTTTCATATCCAACCAAAGCCAACAGTCACCCGACAAACAGTTCCAAAACATATGATGAATACTTTAATCAGGTACCAAAGGCTACGTTGCAGAGACTATGGGAACTCTATCGGCTGGACTTTGAGCTATTTGGATATGCTAAGCCTGACCTCATGTGAACCATCAGGTGTGCGTCCCAGAACCTTCGGCCACTTTGAACTTAACCATTCTCACAAGGGGTGCAGACCTTCGTTTAAGCTACCAAGCCCAAGGCAGTCGGCGCAAGCGCGGCCAAATCAAAGGCCACCTAGCACAAAAACATGACAATGGATAATGAGGGTAAAAAACATATCCGTGCACGAAGTTCAAGTTGTTCCCGAAGTTCAAGCTTAAAATTGTAGTCGGGAAATATGGAGTGCCAACAATGACAAATCTGCGTGAAGATACACGCACTCGCCCTTTGCAACAAGATTCATAGAATACCGTGGCAGTTAAAGTCGTGCAAAGATGTGCAATTTGACAGCGTATGGGTAGGGTATTTGAGACCAGTGAAGCTGCGCGCGTACCAATGTATGATGTCCGAGAGTTGACGCCTATAGAACATGTATCAACAGTAACACATGAATGACGTAAAATAAAGCCCACATAAATGCACGATACATTTGAATCACCGCAGAAGTAAAAATTTACTTTTCTTCAAGCTCAGAATTATATCTTTTTACGTTTTGGGTAAAATAAAACGGACACTGACACTAATTTCACTACTAACATTTATTTATTTTGCTCCTTATCTGTAACAGTCTTTTGAAGATTTCACAGTCTCTTCCACGAGTAAAGTGAAAACTGGTTCTTGAAATAAAACAATTCTATTCGTTTAACGGGCCATGTGAAATGCACTTTACTTTCACGTCGAATGTGTGAGTGGATCGGTTCATTACAAGCCCAACCACTTTCACCCCTGTTTACTCTTTAGGCATATGGATACATACCAACGAAATGCGAGGTAACCATTTGGGCAGTTTCGCTGGGTTGGAATTTACAATAGCATAGTAAAAAGGTCCATTAAAATCCGGAAATTCCCTCACTCAAAATATACACACTGCATTCAAACATGTAGCATCCTACAGGTACATATGCACCCTTTTTGTCTATTTGTTAGGTTTTGAATAAAAGCGAATATTCTTTGGGTTGACAGGAGGCTTGCAAGAATTCTATTAAAAGTGCCTTGGGTGGGCCAGATGGGGAGACGGTGTAAGTTTGGGTGGAGGGTGTGGTAGAGGATAGAGAGCAGGAAAATTCCTGGGACGGGAGTGGCAAAATGGATATTAAGATCAAGTTGTGGTTTTGGATGTGCTTCAGAATGGCATAAGATAAACTCACAAAGTCACTTAAAGGACTGGCATCAATGTTTATCAAACACGGCGACGGCACCACCTGCATTGTTCTTCTGTACTTCGCTCATCTACCAGAAGCTAAAGCAAAGTTTACAGCAAGTAGCAAACATTCCGCTCATGTGTCCTTGTCAGGTTCTGCTACCAAGAAGATCGCTGCACTCCTGACATATGATTCGCATCGGCGACCTGGCGCCAGACGATTCGGCTCAGCCGCCAGCGGGGTAGGACGGAGCGGGGCCGAGAGGTGATAGCACAGCGCCCCCGCTGTCGCACCCAGCAGCTGTCCCTCGGAAGGGCGGCGATCTCACGGTCGGCTATTTCCTGACAAAATGAATGTGACATACATGTAAGTGTAGCCCTAAGTGCAATGCCTTAAGGTTATCAAGATCAGAGACAATTGCTCACTTTCAAACTGTTTTAGAAGATTTTCCAAAAGGAGAGTTAAAACTGATTGCCAGCTTCTGCCAGTACATGCATTTTTTTTAGTGTATCTGAGTTAACTCTACTTTGTTTTTCTGACATCATTTATGAAATACTGACTTAAATTCATCTTTCATATATAAGCAAAACAACAGTGAGTTTCTCTCTTTGATCAAGTCACTTGGCAATCATTGGCACACACAAACATGTACATGCCAAACTTCCTACATGTACATGTAGGTGCCATGTGTTCAGAAAACATTTTCTACATGAAAACCAAAGTGTAGTATGGCTGCACAAACTTCTCCTATGACAACATGAAGCATATGCAGCAAGGTATGAGACGGAGAGAACCCCCCCTGCTTTGTGTTGGTCATTGACTCGCAGGAATCTGGGGAATTCCTTTCAGACATCTTGGGGGGGGGGGGGATGTGTTAAGGAACAATAGTCTGGAATGTGTATAGGGATTGGACATCTTGGGGGGTACCCCTCGGACTCATTTCTTGCTGGGTATAACATGAAGTAGCCCAATAAGAACAACATAGGGGTAGTATGGTGCTGTCTACAAGCAGCCACGTGACACAAATCACACTGGAAACATATACGCTTACACATCATTATCATTTCATTACTTCTATCCACAACCAAAGTACCTTGAGTTCATCTGGGAGGATCGTGTTCTTCCTGATGCAATTAATTCTCCTCCTTTCCACACCATACTCTTTGAACAATCGACGTCGCTTGACATCCCTCAACATTCTCCAGTCTGTATAGTACGTTCTGGATGGGGCTCTGCCTAGCTGCGTAAGCATAGACGCCATGGGAAGCAACGATGCCTGCAAAAGAGCAAAAGAAAAACGGTGACTAGACTTGACAATGGACCTACATTGTAATTAGTGTCATATTGCTTATACATGAATGTACATGTAGGCTTTGACCTCTGAAATGTGTGTAAGTATATGTGAATATATTCCCCTCGTGTAAAAAGCTCATCTTGGGCTTAAACAATGCTTGAATGGATTACTCCTTTCAAATGAACTTCGCTTTTGAGTGTTAAATTAATCTTTTAATAAATTTTCCTGAACCTTGGTTTCCAGCAGCAAATGTTAGCTAGGCTGAAGTCTTGTTTTTCTACAAGGTAATGGATATTTAGCCCTCACTGGTACTTTTTCAACCACACCTAATATGTGCAGTAACTGTATGTTGGACTTAGAAATTCTTCCTGTGAAAAATCTTAGTCTGGTTCTGTGTTAACTTTGTCAGTGTGACTACATATTCACAAGGTGGGAATCAGACTGAAAGTCGAAATTTCCAAACACTGAGATACTGGTGTTTTTGAATTCAGCAGAAAAAGGACTTTCCAATGTTAGGCACATGGACCACTTGGGTAAAACTTTAAGGTGGCAATGTGCATTACTCTGGCAGCTTTGTATCTTTGTTTCAAACATTGTTTCAACATTTCTGACCAGGTACGAATAATGCTATCGTCAAAATTGCTGAAAAAAATTATTTTTTTAAATACATGATCCTGCAAAAAATTTGTTATTACACAGGAGACAGATTACTCTTTCCAAATATTACAAGAACCAACAATGGACCTCCAATTCAAAGGTTGATTTTGAAATGTCCAACAGGAAAGAGCAGAATGTGACTTTGCTTCATTCGGTTGTGATGGGTCAAATTTTACAATTTAGGACTTTTGTACCTTAAAATATTCTCCACAGCCACAAATCAGAAAGAGAAAATGTAACACTCTGTACTGGAATTTTGGAGTAAATCTGAAATCAACAAGAGAAGACTATTCCGACACTAGAGTGAAAACCAGTTAGCATGGCTAGGAGCATGTGTGATCTCAAGATGTAGGCTTAATGTCTGTGACTGTATAGTCGCCAAGTCCCTTCTTTCACCACTGATACTGTGAAACGCTGCAAGCGCATGTGTAGTAAGTAGCGATCATGTACAAATTGTGCTGTTGATGGGCCTTTCCTTTTTTTATTCATAAACTAAACATACAATAAGCAGACAGAAATGGTAATTGGCTGTGACGAGAGGGATTTTAGAGCTACGGACAGATAGCTAGACTGTATTGAAGTTTTAAACAAATCTCTTAATTCAATCATACGGTTTTTAGGGGGGTGAAGAGATGCTCTTTTAAAACCCTCAGCCTGACGTAGGCCTACATCAAACATCTGGAAACTCACATTCATGTGTACTCTGTAGTTGTTTGGGGTCATAAGTGCCTTCCAATATTCTTGTCACTGTTTTTCACCAGTTATGAAATCATGTCGCCGAATAGTTTTGTTAGTGGGCTTAAAATTCATTGGCTTGGAAGGTTGACGTTTATGGTCATGCTGGAACTCTGTTTGGTTATCGGGTGATGGATCCCCAACAATGAGCAATTTCAAATTCTCAATAATCTCAAAATAGGTGATTTTTTGTTTTTGAATTCAGGCTCAAGAGATCAAGAGATCATGATTGTTAATCGCCGTTATTGATTCTCATACCAGTCTAGTTTATTTTTAAAAGAAATTGTCTGTGCTAGCGCATTCTGAAAAAGTTCTCCATCTCTTAAAAAATGTATTTGGTGTGACTTTTAAACCGGGACAAATCAACAGACATGATTAAATTGCTAGCAACAGAAATGTGCCAAAGCCTTGCTGGAAAATACCCTCTCCCGTAAATACAGGACTGCCTTGAGTCCCTTAACCAGTTAACTTCTATCGAATTTTGTGGACACCTTTTGTCTGTCTATTTTAACCCTAACAGTCCCAAATCCTCCAATTTCAATACGATTTTACATACACCCTTGGGGATTAGGGTTAAGTTCACCTGTTAACACATAATACATGCTAAAAAAAAGGCCAGGATCATATATTTTAGCTTTCCTGTACTGGCCGTAGGAGACTCAGCTTGCATGCAGGTAACTACGCCAACTGTCACCAACGCATACCACAGCCTCGTCCCCCAGCTCGATGTTGTGTGTACTCGGCATGGAGATCAATGGTACTCGTGGCTGAGCACCACGTTGTGTGTTACGTGCTTTATGTGAGCGTGGAAACCAGAGGATTCGGTTAGACTTCAGTTTCGCTGGTTCCAGTCAGAATATGTAGGCCTAGTTTCGATGTGCGTGTACGCAGCTCGGAATCCCATTAGCCAGGTAGTTGCGTGTGCACACCGTACGAATTGCAATGGAAAGTGGGGAAAACAGTCCACAACAATGGCCAGGATTAACGTTAAGTCTGACTTTATCTTCCCGTTTTTGTCTTTGGTGGTGAGGTGTCAAATTTTTTATCCTACCAGCTGTGGAGATAAGTATGCATAGGAGTTAAAGATGTGAAATTGGCTCCTTGGAAAAGGTAGAAGTGTTGAAAATGTTAGGTACAAAATTTTTCGCTCGATTTTGCTCCCTTCATATCCTGGACTCCCTCCGTAACGTACGGTCAGGGAGTCCACCTGGCCTGGCCTTGTGAAAAGGGTATTTTTTTTTTCATGACAGAAAATAACCAACATGACCAATAATGAAAAAAAGGCATTTAAATTTGAAAAAAAAAAACTGACGGAAAACAAAGATAAGACCTAGGCCTAAATCAAATTTTCATTGGCCTTACCCATAATGACACGTATGACCCAAGCTTTAGCCTAAATTAGCATACTGCATATGCAGGCCTAGTCATAGTTGACGGAGGTAGAATAGAAGCCTCCATGGTGCAGGAAGTCTTACGGTTTCTTCCTCAAATCAACCACTGTGATCAAAAGGTAGCCCTACTGAACAAGAAATGAATAATATGATGGACTAACCTTGTGGCTGTCACCCATAAGAAACCCAGTTACACTTCTTCCGACTTTCAACCACGACATGGACACCATTTTCGTGCATCATGTTCAATGTACCAGTAAAGCTACACAGCGCCCTCAAGAGCAAACAGAAATAGGATCGCAGCTGCATGCATGCCCAAAGATTGTATAGCGCCGGCGCTATACAATCTTTGTGCATGCCCAGCCGTTACATCAGGCACGAAATGGGACGAACGAATCTCCCAGGCATGTCGTGTAGCAGTGCTACATGCTACAGTACAAGCCTATGAAATTTCAGGTACCTTCATCAGCTTGGACTTAGATATGCAGTATGGTTATAATGGTACCCGGGAACTAGACCAAACCCTTGCCGCCGACCGGACGCACTAGCAAACACGAATGGAAGCAGTTAAGCCTGGGCATGGCAATCTGTAGCAAAAAGTGCTACACCATTGACTTGTGCAAAAACTCACTGCTACACAGTGCTACAAGCTGGGAAGGGAAAAGTCAGGGGTGGAAATCTGTAGCAAAAAGTGCTACACCATTGACTTGTGCACAAACTCACTGCCTCACTGTGCTACAAGCTGGGAAGGGAAAAGTCAGGGGTGGAAATCTGTAGCAAAAAGTGCTACACCATTGACTTGTGCACAAACTCACTGCCTCACTGTGCTACAAGCTGGGAAGGGAAAAGTCAGGGGTGGAAATCTGTAGCCAAAAAGTGCTACACCATTGACTTGTGCACAAACTCACAGGGAAATTCTAAAGTCATTAATGCGCATGCGTGGGGTTTGTAGCAGGTAGCAATGCTACAAACTGCAAGCCCTGATTCATCTAAATTGGTGCCAAAACCCAGTCACCGCGGTTCATCCTCAACCAGGGCCGTTTTTCCAACACTCAACTTGGCCTCCGTCTGAGGTTTCAACTGTTTTTTACTTCCTGACTTTGAGGTTTTAAGCGCAATAGTAAGTCTAATAGTGCCACAAAACATGAAGTAACTTGCAAAAGAACCAAACATTACAGTACTTCAATTTAAGCTAAACGCTTCAGGCCCACAATCGAGGATTGGTTTCCTACACGAACCTGAGACGGAGACAAAGTTTAGTATTGGAAACTGCCCAAAATCCTTGATTGAATAGTGACGTACGTACGTAAACGGCCCTCCTTCCCTTTAAAACAAAGAAGATGTAACAGGTTCAGCGCAGTATCTTTACGTGCAGCCCACTTGTCACACTAGGACAGACAGGTGTACAAAATTTTATGACCTTCTTTGCATTGTTTACGGGAACCAGTTCCTCACCAAACAGTATAGATAAAGTGAGGCCACACTTCCCAAGTCGTACACAGATAGACCTTTCACTAATAAATTCATAATTATGCTCGCATGCGCACAAACGGCCTTGGTGGTAAGAAGCGTGAGCTGGCCATTGAAAAGGTACTGGGGTGCGACTTTGATGATCAGTTTCTCTCAGTTTCTCTGTCTTTATTCGGTTTCTTTCTGCAGAAAATCCCACTAAATTGTTTTGCTATCAGTTTCTATTCTAAGTAGGATTTTTAGTGCTTTGTAAAAATACTTTATAATCGTGATTTCAAGTTCCTGTGCGCACGAGATCGCCGTTTCTTAGCATGGTCCCATCCATCATAAGTATTTATTTCTTTTGTTAATTTTTCATTTATTTCATTTTTCGCGATACATTTTCAAAGACATTCTATTTACAGGAGATACATTGAAACATGCAGCTCAGGACACAATATTTAACCAGTTCCCTCTGGATTGCTCAAAAGAAACATAGTTTCTGTCGAGGGGCTCTCCAACTGGTTAAATAGGAAACAAGAAATAATTAGAATTAGGAAAATTATGAATGCGAAATATTAAGGAAATAACAACAGTATTAATATAGCGTAACATAACAATACAACGTAACATTTATAAAATTAGTTCAATTAATAAAGCTATGAATAAAACAAAATCTAAACGTAGATTGAAATGAGCGTTTTAAAGTATATTAAGTGCACATACATGCACATGTATATATATAAGAAAAAAATACCTGTTCTGGCAATGCACTGGAACCGATGCAAAACAAAAGACACGTACACGGAACCTGCTAACAAAGTTGGTTGACCTTACAGGAAGAAGTTGGATATTCTACAGGGCATGGATGATAGGGCCCTGGTTAAAGAGATGTTCATGTAAAGAGTGAAAGAAGTCTTTGGGGCAGGTATCTAGACAGAAGTGTCGAAGGTCACGGTCATGGGGAAGCGAATTAAACTGTCTGGGAAAGAGGGTAAACAAAGAAAATTTCACACAATTAGTTCGGCAGTACTGATGTTTGAAGAGCAGGGTGTCTGTCTTCCTTGTGCAAGTCTGTGGAAGAAAATGTGATAGGATGTCGATATGTTTGAATAAGCATTTAATGACGAAGGAAGCACATAAGAAAACGCGTCTGTTGTAAAGAGGGGGAGGTAAATTTAGACAAGCGTTCTAAGTGAGTGAGGTAGCAAGATTGCAAGGACGGCAAGATTTTGTGAAGCATCGCTTAACTGTCTTAATACATTGTGGTTCTTGCACCAAATTGCCGATCCATATTCAAGAACAGGCTGGCAAAGAGACTGGAAAAGTGTCAAGAGAACTGCTGTATTCCTGAACAGTACAGTGCATCGAATGAGACCAGCAGATTTGGGACATTTTGAACAAAAATCGTGTTAACACGTTTTGTCCGTGTAAGGTCACTGGAAAAAACATCCATGTCTCGGTCACAAAGGCAATATCAATTTGGTGGACGACGAGTTTTGCTTGCAGCTTCCGAGATTTGTTGACAACACTGCGGGCATTGAGTAGGACACATTTCAGATTGGAACGTTTAGATCATTATTACGGGAAGGACCTGGATTTAGTTCAATATCATGACCGGATCGAAACAGTTGGAGTTTAAATGTGGATTGTGCATGCATTACGTAATACACAATTCTTCTGAGGCTGCATCGATCAAGCATAAATCCAGAGTTTGTTCTCTGCATTGATGATGCAGAGAGATCAAAAGCTCCTTCAATGTGGTCATGGCTGATGAGTGGAGTGTTACTGGCAATAGCAGCTTACATAAATAAACAGCCATTGTGAAGTTGCAACGGTTCACTGTGGAAAGCTATGCGCGTAGAGCATCTGTACATGGAACATCAGTACGTGTTTATAATGCACAGGTTGGCTCCAGAACACTAAACGATGTGATTTATAATGGAAGGGGGCCATACTAAGAAACGGCGATCTCGTGCGCACAGGAGCTTGAAATCACGATTATAAAGTCTTTTTACAGAGCTAGAGCACAAAAACGATTTAATGGGATTTTCTGAAGAAAAATTAACAAAGCCATGAAACCTGAGAAAAAAAGATCATCAAAGTCGCACCCCAGTACATTTTCAATGGCTTGCTCACAATTCTTGCTGCCAAGGCCCTTTGTGCGCAGAATAATGAATTTATGAGTGAAAAGGTCTATCCGGTTCATAAGTGTGGCGTCGCTTCAGTTTAAACCACTTAACATGCACTGCACATAAAGTTAATGCATAGAGGGATTTCACATTAGCGCCGTCTGCGCATATCTGTATCGGAATCGAGGCTCTCTGTTGAACTTCGTCGTGCGCCCGCGGAGTCGACACAGTACATGCAGTATCCGGTTCGTAAGTGTGATACCACTTCAATTTAAACCACGCCCATTGCACAAGATACATAACCATCGCAGGTAGGTTAGTTCGCGGTCAATTGTTGTCATTTTTTCTATTGATTTTACGTGTCGAGTCATCCTGAAAGACTCTTCCACAACATTTTGCAGCCTGAAAAGTCTGAATTTAACATACCTTTATGTATTTTGTGTCCTGACTCCTTTCTTTCAATCGTCTTATCGTATTAAGAATTGAACCTGACACATACAGCCTCGTTTTTAAACGCGGAAGTGCGCAGATCGACGCTAAAAGCGTCGTATTGGGATCCCTCTATTGATCGCCGTTTACATGGAACCGGATGTTAACGCGCAACTTCAAGTTAACTCGCAACGTCATACACGCGTCTGCGTGTATGACGAAGTCACTTACAAAGCGGATACGGGCGATTTACAATAGCACGCCTCCAAGAGTTTACAAAAGATCTACCAATCACAAGGTGCGAAAGCTGTCGACCCTTTCCAAATGCGCACTGGGTCGACAGATTTCGCACCTTGTGATTGGTCAACGCGTTGCAAACTCTCGGAGGCGCACTATTGTGAAACGCATGTATTCTTCTTTATCTATACGCCAATTAACTCGATGCTTCAAATTTTCACTCATCATCCCGGACGGAAACAGCGCGATGCGGCAGCCAATGGACTCAACATTCCTCAAAGTGAGCTTGCGCTGAGGGATTATCCGCAAAAGAAATCATCGCATCACAACCAACTTTTTACTTGCACGCCTGCGTCCCAGTGCAGGTACATAAATTATTTACACATTACTTCAATTCTCGTTTTTCTTTATTGTTTGGACATTGGCTCAATACAGTGCTTTTTTGAGCCCTCGTACATGCACACATGAAGATGCACGTTCTCATAAGAAAGGAAGGAAAGCAAGGCAACTTGAACTAGACCTGACGGAGAGCATAATCAACTTACGCTTTCACAGCATATCCCTACAATCAAAGGCCTTACACTTTGTTGTGGCTTAATGCTATTGGCCTACCTGAATTTGTATAATGCACACGAGCATAAACCTTATGCATGAACGTGTAGTCTCAGCAAGGCTAGGGGTGCCAATGGGGATGAGCACACCATATGCATGCAACACATGCGTAGAACCGTGAAAAGACAGCTGCCGCTCAGGAAGACAAATGTTGAGAGTATGGATGTACATGTACAGGCCCAGTAGAAACTATACGGATGTGATCGTGAAATACAGTTCTGTGATCGTGAACTATATTGTAACTCTGTATGTTTTATTCCATAATATCTACATAAAGTAATAAGTTTGATTTCAAACCTTCTAGCCTACATGATGTATATTAAGAATACCAAGCAGTTCGTTCAGCAATACAATAACATATTGAGCAAACGTTTTGCGTTTAAATTCAAATATCTGGAAACAAATCTTGTCTTGGTGTTGCTACATATGTTGAACTCAAGCTTCCGAATTACCACTTACAAAAAACTAAATGGATAACCTCCGAAGGTAGGTGCACTTTTATATATATTTTTCCATTAAAAGCGACAATCGTACTGTCTGGCTGCGCAGAATGAATACCATGATTTTATTGGTTAGAGTGGGCTCTATGGTGTCTGCTTGTATATAGTTCCACTTTTAAACTCACACTACGTTTACAATGAGTAAAGTCAGTATGTAATATGCTGTAATGATCAAAGGTCAATGAAAACCTTTGCCGACAATGGAACCATAGCCAGCCCTCTTGAGGAATTTATTAACATGCCGCCCATTAGGAGAAAAGGCGCCATCCTTTTTTCCAGCCACATGGCAATAGATTTTTCACTAAGCATGTCCACAGACTTTGAACTCCAGTCGGTTGTGACGAAACTAAGGATATATCTCCAAAGGGTCGCCATTCATATTCCACTCTATTGTGAACTGCATGGTAAAATTAGCCCGTAAATAATGTTGTGTATAATTATCTAAAAAAATGGTATCAAAATATTGAATCATTTGTCGGAAAATCGATACCACACCCTGCAAATTTAACATCTGTTTTTGCAGTGCAGGCTGTGGTGTCCAACAAACAGTATAAAACCTTTACAGGTTATTCACTGAATGTTTCATCAAAAGATAGCATTGCTCTACCTTTACTCTGCCCAACAAACTATCCTTTCCATAGTTGAATGCAAAAGCAACGACAATAAATGAAACCAGTTCGTTTGAAAGATTTCTGCTATATTTGAAAAGTGCTATTTGAACACTTAATCACAAGGGAAATACAAGCATAGTATGAACCCTCTCACTCTAACTTGTCTGTGAGATTTAATACAGGGTAAATCATGTTCGCACGTGTTAATTATATCTAATGAAAATTTAAAAACGCACATAAAAACTGAAACCATCAGGCTTGCTATACAATAAGCACAATGCATCAATTTGCCAGCATTGAGCTCTGGAAATATTGAGTTCAAAACACATTTCAAAAGGCTGAAATTACAGTTTGGGAATTTCTCTTTTTATCAATAATCCGTCACAGTATGTTTCAGAATGCTTAGTCGATCATAACCACTAGTCGTTACTTTTGGAACTTTTGACAAATCGTTATCTTCTAATCATTTATATTAATTCCTATTACGGAGGGCACTAGTAAGTTAGGGAAATTGTCGTAACCTAAAACTACAAGAACTAAAACGCCGAATCTCTTTTCCCTTCTTGTTTTTAAGGCCCATAAGGCAAGTTTGTTTTAAATAATAAAATGAAATGTTTTGACACACATGCATAGCATGAACAGGGGCCATTGGCCAGTTTGTCCAACTTCGGCAAGTATTTCATGACTATAACAAAGACTTTGGAATGTGGATAATTTTTTTTTCGGGGATGAAGTGCTATTTCTGAAAATGCGGCATTGTCTCCATCTATCACGGCATGTCTTCTCATCCCAAACATAAAGTCCAACTCAAACTTCCGTCTCTCTGTCTTCCGGGATGAGTCTCCTCTCGTAAAGCTTATCGTAGAACGGCTGGGAGACTTTGATGGCATGCTGGTAATCGGTAGGAAGAGATAGCACGTCAACCTGCTTGGGCGGACAGCAATTGAAGGTTGTACTCTTAAGCGCCTTCTCGTACACTCCAATGTGCTGCATGAGCTTCAGACTGCTCGCCCAAGACTGGGTGACGTTAACCTGTGGGTCCCAGTCCAGCATGCTGGTCTTGAAAGGCACCCCGATGGCCTCGCAGTAGCGGCGGATCATTTGCTCCGGGTACTGCAGCAGATCGTCCGAGTCCAACACCACAGGCTCCTGCCCCGTGGTGGTCCGTAGGTGCTCGTAGAGATCGTAGAGCTGCTTAAAGGCGTAGCCCTCTGGTAGAACGTGATTCAAGAGACTGTAGTGTCGCAGTATCGGCATATTGCAGACGTCGTAGAAGGACGCCAACGCTCGGGCTGGGTCACGGATCAAGATCGAGTGGATAAACCCATCTGGTATCATGTCATATCGCTCGTTTAGTGAGTAGGCGTGGTCCTTGCCAAAGACGTAATCCTTACCGTAGAACTCAGCTTCCATCATTGCCTTGACCTTAGCGTAAGAGTAGTCGTGTTCGACAGGAAGGAAGGGTGTGTTGAAGAACTTGCGGTCTGGGCCAAAGTAGTAGGCAGTGGTGTAAGGCTCATGGACAAGAGCCACATTGCCGAGGCCGCTCATGCATCGCTCGAATGCTGTGGAGACTGACCGAGGGATGGTCCAGAGAAACATCCGGAAGGGTTGCGATTGGGGCTCGCTGCTTGCCATACTTGATTACGGGCTAGAAATGCAGGTGTCACAGAATCAAACACTACCTGTCAAAATATTGAGATAAAATTATTGCGACATATGAGTAGTCTAAACCGGAGTCTAGCTAGGTTCTAAAATCAGTTGACCGTGCATTTTGATGCAAGCGTCACTCTGTCTTTTTGCTAGAAGGTACACCTCAGATAACACGACATAGGCAACAATTAACACTCTGAAACGTACAGAAGAAAAACGCAGATGCAGTCCAGTGAATTCCTATATAACAAAGCCCTGAAGTGCCATCAACTATATTTTCGAAAAATGAAGTAAATACATATTTTTGAGAGTTTGTTTTCATTAACCACTTTTTCAACCTCATATTTACGGGATATATTCTGTCCAAATTTAGTTTATGAGATAACGTTTTCAAGTTAATTTTTGAGAGCCTATAATTTCAATTTTGATTTTATATCTCATAAAAACGAAATCCAAAAATATATCTCTTGAAAACGAACTCGAAAAAATATATCTCATATATTAAATTGCGAACTCAAAAAATTTCATGTAAATAATCTTGATCAAAAAATGTATCTTGTAAAACGATTTGTTTCCAAAACAGGAACAATGTTTCTAAACCTAGGTCTCATAAGAACGAACTGGAGAATACATAATTCAAACTGTGGAAATATTTATCTCATACAAAAAGTTGAAAAATATACTTAAAAAAGAACTTCAAGAAACATAGATGTACTTTGCTTATTATAAACAAACATTTGATCGCACTACACTGCTTTTGTAAATTCGAATGATTAACAACGATGTCGCATTGGACAACCTACACCTGTTTGATCACTCTACAAATCAACACGCCGAATTCCTTCTTGTAAAACTCTAGTGAGTATTCAAATGGTGGACCAAAAGGACTGCAGGGGCAGTATCCCACCCCACCCCACCCCCAAAGAACTTTAAGACCAAAATAAATTTTACAAACAGATCAGAGGAAGGCAGGTTTGTTTTGCTCTATTTCCCTTTCTTCCCAAAACGTGTAAAAAGCCCCACAGTGTAGTCTCAGCCCCCAAAAGGCCCTAAAAGATAACACAAAAATCCAAATGTTTTCAAATATCACATTTCCATTTTCCATTTAAGTGATTATGTACCACTGTTCTCAATATTCGCATGCATTAGAGAGACGCCTGCTGTGTGGATACAATTTTCTTTCGGTTTCGAAATCCGTTTCTTTTCATCATGATTTTGTTAAAGGATACGTTTAGGTTTTCTCTTTGACTTACTTTGACATACACTGAAAATTTGACGGATTACAATAAAAGGATTTCCAAGATGAAAAATTAAAGTTGGAAAAAGCAATCACATTGCTGTACTCAACTGAAACTTTCAAAGTGTAGAAACTTGGTTCGTCATCTGCAAATATGGATGATATAGTTCGTTGTGATGGAGAAGTTGATTAAAACGCGATCGTCAAAAACCTGACCTCAACCATTTGCATGGTTTAACGTGTTCCTTGACAGGCTCTTCCAAATTACAACTTGAGATGAGCCTATCATGGATATTCCACTGTGACGACGATTACACGGATCATTCCCGTCGGCATTGTACAGCCGTAATCAGAGGTGGATCCATAATTTTCCAGGGTGGGACGTGTCAGTATTTTCCAAAGGGGTGGGGGGCGTGAACTAAACCAGCGATGGTAAAATACCCGCGAGCGACAGTGCGAATTAGCCCTTACGGCGTGGAAAATTAGGATTCTAGCCGCTCTGTGGTGCATTTTCAGGCAGTACGGCCCCTTTTTCTCAGTTTCCCTCCCTCTTTTTCGTCTTTTTTTCTTTCCTTATTTATTTAAATGAAGGGAGACTGCGCCCCTGCTAATGCGACCAAGAACACGGATATACGCTTTGCTGATTGAATACCCGATCTGTGAGGCCTATATAACATCCCGCATTACATGTAGGCCTATATGCAAAGGTCAAACTGAACTTGAATGATATTTATACGGGGCCATGGATTTGACACTGGGAAATTACCTTCAGATTATGAATAACAATAGACCTTCAGGATTAGATATAACAAAGCCATGTACGAAGGTCAAAATACCGCACATTATATTGTTATGACACATCATTATAATGACCAAATTCATTCCTGTAGAATTGTAAATTGAAAGGAAAACCCTTGAACTTACTAGCAATTTGCCTTTAAACATTTCATTACCTCTAGGGGCTTACAGTAATATCACAAAGTAAATCTCCGTTTAGGATTCAATGGAAAAAAAAAGAAAAACTTGAAAAAGCGTCTCTGCGGCGAGAAATAAATTTCCGTCAGCCGCATCGCAACGCCGGTATTGAATTAAAATAACAATGAGTTCACCATTATTGTTCCCGAGTCCCTGAACAAAAAAAAATATCAAATCTCTAAACAAAGCGATAGAAATGATCTCCTTTATACAATGGAGAAGAAACAATAATCTTGGAACGAGTACACACTGTTAAGGTTACGGGGTAGTCGAATTGGAAATGATCAGGAAATCAGGAAAAACTCCTGTTATCACAACTTCAACTCAGTTGCCCTCAAACCATGACCTCTATAGTATATTGTGTTGAATGAATGGTCAATACAGCTATTCATGAAAAAGGCTGGTTAAAGAAAGTGCGCCCTTCCGGGACTGAGGGGAGCTTATCATCAGCTATAAGGAATTCATCCTTTCCAGCTGGGGAAAGGAACAGCCCCACAGGGAAGGGCGATAAAAAGTATTTCACTTAGGGGTGAAAACTGCATGAACCCTCACCCCATTAAATTTGATATCGTTTTAGAATCACGCGATTCAGCCTCAAACACGGAACAAAAGGCGGTATTTTGATCGACCTGTCCCCTCGGCCAATGCCAATTTGCACCCTTACCTGACTTAAGGAAATCCTGGGGAAGTCTTCCAGTCTGACAGCTGATCAAAACTGGTCGACACCTTTCACAAACCTTCGTAAGAAATTCAGTAACACTGAAACACGGCTTCCTGTATAAGACAAATTTCAGAATGATCGGAGACAAAATCTGCGGCTCCAATTCCAGCCTAGAAGTCCAAACCCACAATGATGCGCGTGCCGGGCCTACAAGCAGGCCGACCCTCAGAGTTGCGACACTCACATGAACTGCAAATTCAATAGTCGATCAGGCGACTCCGACACTAATAGGCGTTGTCATTCCGCAAACTGATGACCCAGCCAGAATTAAACAAAGTTGAACGTTTAACTGAAATTGATCATGGACGGCGCGCTCAGCACACTTCAGTGAATGGGCATGACAGCAGGGCAATCGTTCTCGACGGTACAAGGTTCACATATATTGTCAGAGTCTAGAAAAAAATTCTGACGTCTATTCAAACGTGACCACGTACCGTGCGTATTTCTACACAGTCAAGGCCCAACGACTAACGGCTGAAGCCTAATACAAGGTGAACAAAATTAAATGAGAGTTAGGGATTCAGATCACTAATGCGTAATTTCCCGTGTGAGTACCGACTGTGGAAGCTGTTATCTCGGAAAGCCGTACTTGAGGATGAGAAAAGGATAAATGTCGTGTATAGTGTAGGCCACGCGTCCCAAACAGAACGTGAGCGTGAGTGTATTCACCGAGTAGCATCGGGTCCTTGCCATGCGCCCTATCGAAGTATAAATTCGTTTGTAAACCAAATGTAAATAGCTAAAAAATAATCTAAATAGGTTATTCATATTAATGATGAATTCCTTCGTCAGACTGAAGTTGAAATGAGAGCTAGTTTAACATCCTTCGTAATATCATAAAATATCAAAGCACTTCAACACAACACATGTCGACGTCACAGCGCAGTAGCTTGCCAAGCGAATGATATCGTTTTACCCTCCAATATGATCGCCAGTCGACACCGTATAGTACTCAGAACTATTCCATTTGAACTACATTGTTATTATGTGTGTATATATATTCAAACCTTACCTATTTAAGCACCCGTTCCGTATCTCAAAAACGGCATGGAACTAACAGCTACGCTTTCCACAGTGTGTGCAGAGTTCATGTGTATGTGGTTGATGTACGTGCACATCATATATAGCCGTCTTACAATAGGCCCTACATGTAATTTGTGCACTAGCATTAGGCGGAAAGGGCATAATTGCAATGGATCACGAGCCAACCTATCCCACGCGCGACAAGAGTAAAAATAGTACCGGTTTGCACATGGTTTGCACAACACTGTGGTAAAAAAAGTTCCACATGCATGGAATGTACCTCAAATGGATGATTATCTTAATGAGAGTTATAATGAGTCACGCCTAAACGCACCGTGACCCCAAACTAATTCCTGGGAAAATATTAATTATGACCAATATGGCAAAGCGCACCATTGGGGTTTTAAAAATATGAAAATGCAGGCAACAGATACGACAGACGGCGTACGTTAACACAACAGCTGTCTGCCGTATCTTAGCCTATGATGTAATTTAAGACAAACGTCGGCGTCTTATTCAAAATAGAATTACTGCGTTTTAAAGCGCAGCTGTCGAACTTTTTATCAGCGTTTATATACATGTACCATGTTAAAATCCACAAATTGAGAGAATCATTTCTTGGGATGTCGTTCTGGTACCTGTTACCTGGCCACACTCCTGCCATGGAAACGGAAATAATAATCCAAACATACCAACATGAATGCGCGAGCGTGTTCTCATTCCTCATTCAATGATTTATGGCCACAGAAACCTCTCGTTCAATGGACATGTATGGTAACATGTATGTTGATGGGTGCATGGGTTGTCGAAGCGATGGAAAATTCGACAAATTAAACATCTAACCTCAATGACAGAGTTGGTCGAAAAAATCTGCACACCCGATTAAACTACATTGGGAAACAATTCCATCGGATGATTTCATTTCACAGAAAAACTGCATCCCAAAGGTGAACTACTGATGCGTTACGTAAAAGGAAAACCGATGACAAATGTGAGAATGAGAGGTATCCAATTAGAAAAAAACAAACATTCTGACACCCAGCTCAGAAGGTTTTAATACAAGAAATTTTTAACATTTTAATCCGACACTTCGGCTTCATCAATAACACAAGCCACTATAAACTTAACACATCATTGTTTTGGATGTATTTTTTCCTTTCAAAAAATGCTGCAAAAGAAGTAACGCCATGATTTAGTAATGCACTTGAATAGAAAACCATCCACGTTAGGCTGTTATGCATTTCAAACTTATTTTAAACAATGATTCCGTTAATGATTTCTTTATTGATATCGCCAAAACACATGCACATAGAAAAACAAAATAGGAACGAAATTCATGAGCAGTTCTCTTGAATACGGACAGATAGTGAAGGCGTGGGCGGGGTGGAATCAGTAACATAAGGACATCAAAGGAAATGCAAGTATCCTGATCCCAACACAGCGTAAATGCTTGTCATTCATCACGGCAGAAAATGCTGGACAGAGCCAGGGGCACACAAGCTTACACGACTATCACAACAGACCTTGGTTCACAACTTCCAAAACTGTGTGACGTCTGAATACTGCGTTTTACTACATTCGTTGGAACACCATTGGTATATTCACTATGTACAGCAACTTTCAGAGCATGTATGACGAGGACGGAAGAGAGCACCGACAAATACGAACACATCAAGACCCAAATAATCAAATACAAAAACGAAGCAACAAGGACCAACGAAAGATGCTCAGGTTAAATATCGTCTGATCGTGAAACAGACTCAATTATTTAGGAAGCTAGAGGTGCTTATTGAGATCCCCTCGATATTTCTTACTCGATCTGCGTAGTAAAAGCCAGTAACGCCTACAAAATTATGCTTCCACACAAAAGAAGGCCTAAAACTCCAATTAAGCCTAAATTTGAAACAAAAAGAAAAGACAACAAGCAAAACAACCCCCAAGGTGTCAACTACAATCTCTCTTGTTGACGTTGGAGTTCATTTTGCACAGAAAAACCCGAAAAATGTTACAATTCGGGGAGATGTCCATGTGCATTGCTAGGATTTCTCCAAGAATACATAATACAGTATTTTGGCTCGTTCATAACAAGTCATGGGGAAGGCAAACAAATCTTAGCCAGCCCGTCAAATTCAAAATCGTGGCAAACCAAGACCCTTTTCAATTGCAACCAGTCAATAAAATTTTGGCAACAAACAGAATAAAAGCGACTTTCAATGTATTTGAATTTGTAATCGGGTTTCAGGCAGTATAATCAGGCTGAAAATAAAGTTAGTAAAAAAGCGACACATTTGATGTACATCATACGTCACGGACACATGACATGGCAACAGCCATAAAATCGATCAAGGCCTAGATGGTACATAAATTACAACATTGTTTCATAATCTACTCACCATCACTCTCTCTACAAAGCAAGCATCTTAAAATATACTGTCATTGATTTTCATTGAGATATGAACTGAAAATATATATTTTTACTCTCAATGAGCTTTAGAATTAACCTACATAATTCTGTAACATTACATATGCACATTCTTCTCCTAAATATTTGTAACAATTTTATGGCAAGTAAATTGGAAAGACCAGTCAGTGTTCCGTATAGAGGCATGCAGTCAAATGAAGGGAAGCCATGAGTTTACATGAAGTACCAACAATTAAAGCATTGTTCAAAACACCTGCTTCAAGACCACACCAAATGAAGTGAAGTTTCAGATGAAATTTTTTCACAGATTTTGCTCAGTGGAAAAATTCAAGAAAGATTGAACATGAATAAACTGGAATTTTTCTTTTTGAACTTTTCTAGGCAAGCTAGATGGAATTATTACTACAAGTATTATCATTATTATTTGTCTCCTCTCTTAAACTTAAGTTTAAGAGAAAATTTGAGTTGTGTTTCACAAAGAAAGTGACCTGTCTGGTAGTTTAATCCATTTACTGGTTGTAGCAAATTAGTACATCGAACACTGACAATTTCATTTGGCTACCTAGCTAAATCTCCCCCAGTTCACTTGTTTATGTACTAGTTTACCGACTACAGGTTACATTGGGAAACCTAGAAATGTTTTTCGTTTTGATGACAACCCCAAGACCTTAGGCCAAGATACTCCACAAGTCTTCCAAATTAAAAATACAGAACATTCTGCCTATCTGGATAAATGCGGGACAAGAGTTTCTGCGCTGTTATCAGGTGTACAGTCTCGAATCCATCAAAATTTCTGGAAATTCATAGATTTTGATGGGTGCCTGGTAGGGTCAGGGAACTTTTTTATTTGGAACCTATCATTTGGGATGGGGACTTGAAGCATTTCAGATGGTATCAAGCTCAGTCCCGTCCAGTTCCCACTTGGATCAGTCTGTTGGCTGGATGCCATAAAGCGCAGACAAATTTGTTGGCATGGATAGAATTTTCTAAGCAAAACCAAGTCACCAACTAATAGGTTGCCATGTGATAAGCAACTACTGGTCATTGGCTTCCGGTTACTTGTTGCTTGGTCAACATCCTTGCTTACCAGTATTTGATGCATAGTGAAAATGGGCCTTTTCCAAAATGGACCCATTCCACAACGGGCAAATCACTAGTTCCTATCTTGGGTTGCATCTTTTCAAAAGCATTTCAGGTACACTAATTACATTAATAGGTACACTTGTTTTAGTTCCTAGGTACATGCAACACTACTTTTCTATACTACAGTGAAACTTAACTGTCTTTGGATCATACTTGCTGATACTCACCCAATCCTAATCCAGAAATTTTCCAAATTTACAAGAAAATCATTTATCCTGCACTGGAATCAAAGTACATATACCATACTGATGCTCTTTCTTAAATTCTTTTACCACAGCTGCATCTGTAAAAAGATGTGTACTGAAAGTCCTGTAGACTGATCATGAACTTTGTTTTCAATGCAAGGGAATGCAACCTTAGTTGAAAACTGCTAACATCTTCTTGTGTGTGAGTAAAGGTATTTTGTGCCAGATACCGATTTCCACAGGTTGATTTTTGTCTTAAGGCTTCTTTTAAGTTTCAAATTACTTACAAAATACCAAAAAAGATTGGCTACCAAAACCTTCAGTGACCCCTCCTTTACAAAATGCAAGCAGGGATGTTAATCCGATCTATCCACTCCCATCATTCTATAGAATAACTTGAAGAAATCTTATACTGAAAGACTGAGTCTCCAACCTACACAAATATTTTTACAGCTTTCCTGATTAGAAATTAAAAACGGGTGGAGATCCTCGTAATTTTGCATGGGTTTTGTTTTCTTTGGGTTGCATCAGATGCCGCGTTAGTCGTTTATGAAACCTATTTTGTTGTCGGAGCCAGATGGAAGGTGACTGTGCAGAGCCTGGCCAGTGAAAACTGCCTCAATCTCTTCCAGCGTCTTGCCTTTGGTCTCAGGGACCAGGAAGATGACAAAGATGACGCCAATGATGCAGACGCCCGCATAGAGCCAGAACACCCCTTGCTCTGTCAGTCCTTGCTGTGAGATGCCACAATGTGGGGGGGGGTTGGAAATGTAAATAGTAAATGGCTGACTACAACCAATTTCATGCTGTTTTTAAGTGCTAAGCTGTGCTTAGCAAAAACGAGTTACCAACCAAAATTACACAGAATGAATCTTATGTTCGGTCGGTAGTTCGCTGACTCTGCTAAGAACATTCACTAGGTAACCGTTTCTGCTTAGTGGCAGCTGTGTGAAATTCCTTATATCATGCGGCTGCCAAGCACATGTACAAATCTGCTTGGCGCAGGGAAAAAGCTCATCACAAAAATGTCAAGTGATGAACTACTTTGCACGTTTTTCCCAGTAGATATTTAGTGTACAGCAGATTTGATCAATGACATGTTCCACCACGATCTCAGCAAAACCAGCTAAACCTGCATCAAGAGGCTTACATGGAACGCCTTCTTCTTCTTAGGACAAACAAGTTTCTCTTGTTTTTGCCTCCACATGCCAACTCAGACTGTTTGGTTTCTAATGTGCAACAAATCTGAGCAGAAATACAGATGAGTGAACATGATGATACCTGCTTATTTCAATAAGTTCTTCCCAAAATCTGTTAAACAAGGTCTGTGGAATTATGAATGACAGAGCAAACAAGAGCTTTACTGAACCAACACAGGTTACCAGCAGACCTCCCAGCATTGGCTATCAAGAATTCGGAATCCTTCTCTCCAAAATGTGGAATTTTTCATAAACAATTGGAACATTCTCCATATTACCATGAACAAGTAAAAATCAGCGATGCACTGTACTGGAGTCGAATCCGTGTCCATGATGATGTACAGTACCTCTCATACTCAACGATTCCATAAATTTTGAATTCCACAAGAGTTTATATCATCTGAAATGGTCCACAATAATTTTTCATCTCCTGAATGTATTGATTCACCACAAAATTCAGCGAAAAATTCACTGCTTGCACACTTGACACGATCATGGTCAGTTTCACAGCAGTGCTTAGTCTGATCTGAACATCTTTAGCTGCAGTTCCTAGCAAAACCAGGCACCGCGCGACGCATACAATGTTAATTACAATGTAGCTTGTCGATAGAATGTAGCTTGTTGATACAGGGCATTTACATCTACGAATGATTTCAGTATCACATCCATGTATCATACCCATCTCTCGGCTGTTACGCGTCAAAAGACTGTCCGGGTAGGTGGGATAAGTCGTATTACGTTACATGAATAGGATTACGTGGTCAGTTTTTGGTAATACATAAGCCTGTCAAAATTGCTATTTGACGGAAATTTAAGAGGCAAAATCGGAATGGCAGAAACAAAGTGAAAAAGTGGAAATTTTCTGTCAAAATCGGGAGGGTTGGGAGGTTTGTTACCAGTAAAAATTCCATTGGATGAAGGGGGAAATTGACTGGTACCCATTTTCACTGATTTTCATTGCACAACTTTTCTAAATAAAATTCATTTATCAACAACTCGCAGCTTATAAAGCTTGTCTGAGGCATTAAAAAACATGTCATATTCAAGATTCAGTCATTACCTGCAGAGACACGAAAGTCTTGGTGACAATGAACGCAAACAGCCAGTTGACCGCTGCAGCAATGGCACTTGCTGCCCCTCTGGCTTTAGTGGGGAAAATCTCTGACATGATGAGCCAAGGGATGGGTCCCCAGCCGATGGAGAAACCGATGATGTAGATGATGAGACTGACGAGGGACAGCCACGTCAGGTCAGGCTGGCCGGCCGCAGTGGGAGCAACGGTAGCATTGCCCAGCAGTTCAAAGGCTGGAGCAATGGTAGTGGTCATGTTTTCCTTCTCGTTCGCTTTGAGCTGGTAGTAGAGCCCGAATGTGCCCGAACTGACAGCCATCAGAATGCCTACACCAAATCACCCAAGCATGGTAAGTTCGCCTCCAAGTGGAGGCTGAATTTTATAAAAAAGCATTGACTGGAGGAAGGTCAGACGTTTGTCACGCCTACCTACTGATGTGCCTACGTCTTTGTTAATCCTACAGTACAGAATTTTAGCCTACACACTGAGACGATCACTGAACCTGACACACGGTTCAATACACGCTTTGCTGTTTGCATTGCTGGTTGGATGCTACATGACCTTGTAGATCGGTTTTAAGCACTTCCAGGTTGTGCAAGAAAACTTTTCACAAATAAATATAACTACTAAAGAAATCCATTCCTCGGGCAGAACCATTATAACAAGCTAATTTTCCAATGAAGTAGTTCTTAATTTAGGGAAATTTAGTTCATGTATCAGAAAAAAAAAATCCACTGAACATGAGTAAATTTTAACTTGACTTTTTCTGCTGCCCACATCAACAACAGATGTAGTGCTGCAACCAAAGTAATTGCAAAATTGCAACCAATCCAGTCCTTTTATCCCAACCACCAATTTTAAATATGAATGACTGCATTACATATTCATTTCAATACAGCTCCCACAAATGCAATGCTACCGCCCTTAAATGTCACACAACATGCATATTTATGAAGTGTAAACAGGTACTACTTTATCTGTTGGGTGTAGCCGGTGCATGTAGAAGATCTTTGCCGTTTGTCACAGTCAGAGTGATTTCTTTTGGTAGATTTTCCAGTTCCAAGGTCGAAAACTGATGGGAAAAATCCCCACCTCACTTGAATTTCTATTCACGTGATTTTGAACACACTGAGCTTGAGCACGGCGAGAACGGCAACAACTGTCAAGCATATGCTAGGATCGCCACCGTGGCAGCCGTCTTGAATAAAGTTTAGATAGCAGACTGGCGAAGTCAAACCCAGTTTATATTTTGTGGATTTCTTAAATAATTGTTTTCTCTAAATTTCGGAAATGCTTTGTCATAAAACCTGCTAGTTTTAATTGTCCCGGTCGGTAAATTGATTTCATGCTCAAAAAAAGTGTGCCTGATTCGAAGTTTTCTGAGCGATTCAGACAGGAAACCAAAAGTGTTGCCTGCATGGTACTTTCATCGATCCTGTATGGCCGAACAAAAGGCTTTATCTTTGAAAATAATTTTGCAATGCCTACTACATACAAGGTAAACTACTGACCACATTTCCCTGGAATTTGAAGACAACTTGAGCTGTAGTCAAACTGAATACTTTTCGTTGCGGGAAACTAGGAAAATGTTACAAGGCCTGGCGGTTCTGGGGTTTGGCGTAGCATGCGCATGTTTATACTCAACAGATCGGACTGCAGTGTCGGCATTCTCTCAACTTCCCTGTTATGCAGGGGTCAGCGTGTTTCGTGTTTGCAGTTAACTCCTTGCATGTCTGTTGGAATTGAAACATGCTGACACGCTAAGCATGTTTGTGTGTTGGCTAAAACTCTGAACTGCACTGTATCTGTTAAGACCTTTTTGGTGTATTTGTGAAAGTTTATGCTGAATTCGAAGGGGTTAATAATTGTAAGATTTGACATCTTTGAAATTTCCATGCACTAATTATGGACACGTAACACGAAATTTGCGAATACCTGCAACGGTGAGCAGGATTTTCCTTCCTGCCACGTCCATCAGAATCACGCTCAAGAAGGTCGCCCCGACCTGGACGGCAGCCAGGATGATGGTTGCCACGTCGGCAGAGATGTTCTCCACCGCCGACTGCATGATGTCTTTGGCATTGAACATGACAGCATTGATGCCGCTGCACTGCTGGAAGATCATCAGCATGACGGAGATTAACAAGGGCTTCAGGAGGGATCGCTGGCCAAACTCACGGATGGAGAACTTCTCCTGAAATACAAAAAGTGTTAATACATTGGGAACTGTTCTAGTATGATGAGGAAACAGCAAGGATCGAAGCTTCATTAATCCAACATTCTGCTATCAGGAAAATGTGCAGCCTACTGAATTTGACAGAATGTGGCAACTGGGGTTTGAATCCAGCCGCTGCCATATTCAGTGTCCATGGACAAACCACTTTACACTTATTTACATGTGCCTCTATCAACCTAGAAGTTTGATGGGTACTCAAGACTGCCATACATGTAAGCTGGGCGTAACCTCCCATGGACTGGAATCAACCTCCAGATCATAAATAAATCCTGAGCTATTTAAATTCAAGACAATGTACAAGAAGGCTGGATTTTTTACTGAGTGGTCACGAAGCGTAAAAAGCAAAAGATCACATCTCAGTTCTGTTGTGTCCTTACACTGGAATTGTCCAAGGCATCTTCTACTTCTCTACATTCCCCATCCACATCAGCCGTGGAACCACGGAGCCAGCGTAGAACGTCTAGTGCCCTCTCTCTCTTGTGGCGGATGAGATAGAAGCGGGGCGTGTCTGGCATGAAGCTCATCAAGACAACGAGGGCAGCAGCCACCCCAGCCCCTACAATAGCTAGCCAGACATGATTCATCGGGATGCCTGATGAAAAATGAGACAAAACTTATCAGTTAAGAATGTCCACCAAACTGGTAGACTTGGTGGACTTGTTATTCTCCGGGCAATCCCCTTCATACACTGTAGCATCCTGGGTAACTTCTCTCAGCACGGAGAGTGCAACTGATGCAATTGCCACATCAAGTTTTAGAGTAATGCTTAATATCAGGAGGAATGCCATGATCAACAAGCAACCACTACAATGTAGTTTGTGAGATCTCTACAGCTGAGATTAACCCTAACCCCCTAGGGACCATTGAAATCTTGCCTAACCTTGTTGGGTTTAGCATGGTTAGGGTTGACAACATCCATCGCTTGTCTGTTGGGGAACCAACAAAACCATATGTCCTACATGTTCTCACCATGGCTACAGACACCAAGGTAGACTATGGTCAACGTATTATCTATTGTACATATGTACAATCAATTTGATTAGTAAATTTCTCATATCTGATTTGCTTGGGGCAACTTACATGTATGCCACCTAAAATGACAAGTTATGCCATAATTTATGTGTGAGTCGCAGACTGGTTACAATGCGTCATAATTGGTTAAATGAATTATGCCATAAAGTTTGGCCTTAGTGAGGTAAAGCTACATGTACTATGCAAAGTTTCAGAATATAATCAAACAGGAGACCGGGGGGATAATAAGGATGCTTCAGCACAGAGGAGAGTCTAGTCATCTCCTCAAGGTGCTTGATGCTCTGTGAAAGAATTGAAAAGCTAGAATTCAGGTAGGTTACAAGTAGATTACTGAGGGAGTTTGAGTCACATCTTTCAGGTATATCCAGTTTCTTGGATTTGTACAGGGCGCGATCTTCTTCTTTTCTTACCAAGAGCGTAGACAACGAGGATGCCGAGGGTGATGACAAGCTGAAAGCTGGCACCCAACAGGCCTCGCAGTTGAGGAGTAGACATCTCTGCAATGTATACCTACACCAGACAACAAGGGCAAATCTAGTTTGTCTTTGATAAAAGCCACCATGAAAATACAAGATAGGATTATTCATTCCATCCAAAATATGTCAGCAGACTCTAACAGCAGAGATGCGCAATTTGATTTGGACCTAATTTCACAAATCAGGTAGGGTGTAACTGCGTAGGGAACATACATGACATATGAGATTTATTTAGCAAAACAAAAGGTTACCAATTGAAAAACTCTCCATTGTGTGAATGTTCTTTGCTAGTTCCCTGCTCATTTTGGTTCTTTTTCCTTCCATGAGCATTGGCTTCACAAAACAATCCAATGAAGTATCTAAGGGGGAGGTGGGTACCTCCTTGACACCCCTTGGCCCCCCCCCCCGGAGTCTGGCCACGCCAATGCCACCATGATGAAGCATTCTACTCACTGGTGTGACGAGGGAGTTCATGCCAGCCCCAATGCCTGTCAGGATCCGGCCAATGTAGAGCAACGGGACTGCCGTGCACGTCGCCAGGAGAACCCAGCCCACGACGAACGGCAGCGCACAGGACATGAGAGTGAGCTTTCGCCCCCACAGGTCCAAGAGGAGGCCAGCAATGGGACCACCTCCAATCGCACCGACAGCAAACAGTGCCTGTGACAGGAATGAGAAGGCAGTGACAAAACATGTCTGTCAACCCAACCATTGTCAGTACCACATGATCCTGTTATACTCCATTTGAAAAACTCCCACTCACAAACAGAACCACGTTATGTCATCAACTCTGCTGTATACCGTTTTTCAGTAAAAGTGCTAGAAATTTTCAAATATCTCAAAAGATCTACATGCATGTTGGCAGTACACATCATTTGGATAATGTCTTAAAAAATTTAACAAAATGAAAAAAGTCCCATGTACCCCTTTGCATGTAAAAAGATGACATTTCATAATATCCGCTGTTTCCAAATTAAGAGAAAAATACTAGCGGTACAGTTTGCCTCCTTCCTATGAACCATTAACAGTAAATTAAGTGTGAGTGCCTTGACAATACCTTAAGTTGAAACAAGATGTAAGCAAATCATTAGTTGTGGTATGGCAGTACAGAAAAACGGTAACAAGAGTCCAACAGCAACATTTGTAGGATAGTTTCAGGGCCTTTATCTCTTTCATTTTCACCTTCCTGTTTTTGTAACACAAGAAACAGGCCCGAAGTGACAAGTGACTTTTCACATCAGGTTAACCGTTAACGCCCTTGAAACACAGCATGCCTTTTAATAATGTACATTTCAAAAATGTTTACCCTTCACAAAAAAGCCACAGTATTGTTTTTCTTTAACACAAGCTCCTGCTAGTCATCAAAAGTATGACTCTGATCAGGTGGAAAGAGCATGAAGACATTATCGTCCTCTTTTCTACATGAACAAATAAAGAAATGGTACTAACACTTGATGGCATAAGCTTCAATTATAAATTCATTTATTGTGAAGGTTAAAGGTCGATCCAAAGTTATACAATACACCATGCCTCTGTTTTTCGTATTTTTGTCCAGATATTATATTAAGCATTAAATTTAACGACATCTACCAGACATGCCAGATGATTTGGGTGAATGGTGGTTGCATATTTCTACATTCAAGGTTTAGTGAAACTATAACACCTGTGGTTAGGCATTGTGTAGCAATGGGAATGACAAAATACAGAAATTTGACACTGCATTTATTTTGCAGAATTATCCAGAAATGCGGTGTTCTCAAGTTCTACTTTCACACACAGTGGGGACTGATTTCAATTCAAAAAATTGAAATGGGAAGGAGCAAGGCAAAGCCTTAGCATGGGCGTTAATTAAGGACCATCAGATTATTTAAACTCAGGTCTGTGCCTTTCTGGATGTGCAGAAGAGGTTGATTATTTCACAAATGTTGAAAGCAAATTTACACATTCATGGACAGCTTTTTGTTTTTCATCAAGATACACGATTGTGTAAGATGACATTTTCCAGAATGTGACTCATGAACATTTTTTTTAACTTGGCATCCAGATTTTAAAGGTTACGGCTGCTCTTAAAACTTGAGGGGAGACATTCTGTAGGTATGTACATGTACTATGAATGGCCAAACGTAAGATTGTCCAAATCAAATGGCTGCGGCTAGGGGAAATGCATCTATAGACATGTATAGAAATCAGCTGTCATCACTAACTGCAGGCTTTCACGAGCAAGTACATGTACTCCTCGAAGCCACAGGACCGGAAATAATTCAGACAAGGATTTGTTCTCCTAGACTGAGGCCTGTCCTTATAAACAATCTACACTGAACATCACCCAAACTAAAAGCAAAAATTAACTGCCTACAAACCCTCATTTCTTTCAGTACAAATAAAAAGCATAATTTCCTCTGTCTTTACCGAAAACCACGTCACTTGGTCGTCGTTGAGTATGCCGCTGTCCTTCAGGTCAGGATCAGCAGGTGAGGAGTAGCCCAACCCCAGACCCATGCTGAAGGCAGCCAGCAGGGCGAAGGTACAACACAGGAACAGCTTGCCATTCTGGAAGCGTGATCTACACAAGAGATCAACCACTAAAACATTCAATCTATGAATCTATTAAGCTGAAGTTAGTCCTCTTACATGTCTTAACTATGACCCTCAGCCAAGGTCCAAACTGTAAAATGTCACCAAAGAGTTGCAATGACTCATATAGAAGACTCATGCAGATCTCATACGTGACTTGACCCATGCTTTATATGCACTGGCAGCAGAAGTGAGGGGAAGACAAGGGGACTAGTGCCCCCCCCCCAACTTTTTGACTGGGGGACCTACCCCCACACTCTTTTTGCAGGTCCTGATGAAATGTGGTTGGGCTCATTGGATCGGCCTGTTAATGGATGATGCTTGATGGTTGAACAACTGGCATCCCCCTTCCACACTTTGAAAATCAATTTGCCGACAGTGGCTATATGATTCAACTTGGTGTAGGCCTATGTACAAGGTACATGCATGGAGGAAGGTCGGTTTTCCTTCCTCCATGGTACATCACGTACATGTACACCAGTGTGGTGATGGCTTTTATGTCCGGTCCCCCGATTTGACCATACACAAATGCACTGTGTCTGTTTGTGGTCTACATGTACATGTAAGCTGTTGCCATGTTGCAAGTAGATGACTCAAGTCCATGTACATGTATCTCTTGTATATCAAAATATATCAAAAGATGAGTCAAGTCACAAAATTCAGTGTTCGGTCGCTGATCATCATTGATGACTAACTGCAGTTTGTGCAAAAAGAGATTTTTTGAAACTTGGAAACTGTCTCTGTATGATTGAGGAATATTCCTCCATGCACTTGATTCATGCACAGATAGTTTTCAGTTCACTTCACTCCAAATCACCTATTCTGATGTCATGTTCAAGTCATATAATCTCCAGAAACGGAGGTACGTAGGTAGGTCTAAACCCACGAAGCCTGGGCCTTTTATCATTCGTGTTCATCATGCCTCATCTTGCCTTGCCCCTTTACGTACATGTAGCACACTTTGATTTTTCGTTTAATAGGGACTGGGTTACATCAACAATGTCAACAATATTTAGGCCTATTGGGCCTGGGACAATTCATGAAATGCCAGGCCGAAGCCTAGTGATCAACTTCCACGTGTGCGTTTCTGACAGCTGGAAACATACCATATGTTTAGGTTAGTATTAGTGACTCGCTTATCATATAATAACATGAATAAACCACATGCTTGTCATTTCCAACTTCAGCCATCCTGGCGGTGCTGAACACATTGAATCGGTGGAGACAACTCACCCGTGACTCGCCCCAAGTAAACCCAACTGTTCCGAGCCAGACTGGACGCTCATTATCTGTTTCCGAATCGTCTATTTTCACCAAACACCGTTTCCTTAAACCGTATGTCTACTAAGCCTCGTCAAGATTCCTTCAGGCTTCAATCTGACAAACGTCGATCGCATAAATTATGAAAAGCCACCATGCTCTCACAGACGACATAGGGCCATCAAAACAAAAGGCACGGCCCAATTTCGTAGAGCTGCATAAGCATAAGCAAATTTTTCCGCTTACTATATTGTACTTAAAGCATAAACGTATTTCACCAGCCGCTGAGGCTGCATCCGACGAATATCTTGTCTAGAGCTAGGTCTGGGTCTTCGCTCAATTGGAAATGTGTGGAGACAATAGACCTAGCCGTAAGCTCTGGAAGCCCCTTTCGGACACGGCCTAAGCTAAGCACAGAAAAAGATGCGCGCGCATCTTCTGGCGTCGTGAAAAGTGAAAAAAATGGCAGACAAAAGTGAAGAGGCTAGGCCGCGGCGCGCGCGTGCCAAGCTGAAATTGGCACGAAGTTCGGGCCGGATTTTCCGCTAGCCTGATTTTCGGCTGGACGCTATTTTTACGGCTGCAAGAAATCGTTCACGCAACCGGCTAGAAATTCCACGCACCCGATCACGGCATAGCAGAAAGAGCCCATAAAAGTCCACAGAAAAAAACCCACATTTAAATTAAATAAACCCTTCGCTGAAAAAATGTATCTTAGCTATGAAACAACGTGAACAAATGAAAATTTTTTTTCACCAACAGGAAAAAAAGACCGGAATATGTACCCAAAAATACAAACAAACAAACACCCCAACACCCCAACAAACAAACACTAAGCCTTCGTGGAAAATGGATGAGGGCGCTAGTGCAGACAATGATGGCCCCCAAAAAATGACTTCGCGAACCGAATCGCAATTTGCATACTGTCAATTTCCCTTTTATTAAGGAAGTTGCTGGCACACGACCTTGGTGGTTTGTAAAGAAGCATGAAATTTAATAGCAGAGATATAAAATAGTGCCGGAATCTATTTCGAAATTGTGAAAATCGAAAACCCAGAAATCAAAATCGCTCTATGATAATATTGATTTCAGGAGTCCACGCACCCGATTAGGAACAAAGACGGGAAAAATCGGTTTCTGGGCTGATATCCGTTTTCAAACGATTTTGTACCATCCTAGATTTCAAAAAAGTGCAATTTTCTCTAAAAGAGTGTGTAGGGGGGACCCCTGGGCACACTTAATTAGCGCCCCGAATGATTCGGCCAACAGGCTGTCTCAGCCCAATTTGGTATTCTGCACACTCGCATGGTCTAGCCTTGTTAATCACGTACGCAAACTTGTCACAGTGCCCATTTCAGTACCCTTAACACCGGTCTAGTTTGTTCACTCATCTGTGTCAATAACATCACAAGCTGTATACCATTGAAAAGAGGGCATTCTGCCCTTTCTAGAGATAAATTTCTCTTTCCCATATACATGTATAAGGTTCGTAGTCTTGCTATTGCTATCACAGTACTTTTTATCTCGGTATACTTTTTACGTGGACACCCTGTGTGTATTGCACATGTATGGCAACCACGAGTATTTTGTGCATGTCGATGGTGATGTGTCCTGTAAGTTTACTTCCTAATGCATATGCATGTACTTGTACTTTTTGTATAATTATATTACTAGTCTTCAAGATATAATTTTGTTGATATTTCCATATTCTCAAACAATTTCATATTCCCAATTTAAATAGCAAAATCTGAGCATTCAAGAAAATGTAAAGACTTCTTCAAAATCATGGGACATTATGGTGCAAATCACATTTGAAATATTAAATTTGCATGTACATTTACATAACATGGTCATAAATTACTTTTATGTTTGAAAAGTACGTGGAAAGGATGTATTACCTGACAGTTTAGGGACGTGTACCCCTTCTGGTCTCCGATGGGGGTTCAACACGAACGTGTGTGCAGTCTAGTCTACCACACCTATTACGTTAGGGAATCCTGGAAGAAAGCATGCAACATAAAGGCAATATTTTGTTATCCAAATCTATATTTCATGTATATGTGTCGTAAATAAATTCATTCAGAGTGTCAACTTTTTAATACATGTATTTATATCAAAATTCAGTGTGTATTTAAACTTGAGCTTGGCCAAGAAACTATATTTGTTCATGATTATATTAAGTTTGAATTTTTATGTTTACTGTGGTTTACTTCGGTCTGAAAATAAAATTGATTTCTGTTTGGTTTCAAATCGCTCTTTTCATGAGCACTAAGAAGGTATTGTCTTATTTTCCCAATGAAGGCTCTTAAAGTTGTAAAAATTCGTTGCTTAGAGGAAACCGACTGCACCCCCTTATTTGTAACGTTACCCCCACGAAGGATTTTCGGCGAAATAAAAGTCCTGAAATAACCGTCGAGCTGTGTACTTTAAGGCACCCTTCTCCAAACCTTTGATAAAAAAAAATACATCATTTGGACTATTAATCTTCACCTCAAAATAATTGGTTATCATTTTTTATTGAAAAACATTTAGTGATACCGTCTTACAGGCCACTCTGAAAAACCCTTGCTTTATGGCCGGCCATCAAGGTGAGTTGATCTTGGGGATCTGGAAACTGAATTCGATGGCCAAGAACTCGATTGATTTCCTTGACGATGCGGTCGCTTGCTCGCCATGCCGTTGGGGGGGGGGCTGACCATGGGGCAAGTGTCTCTGACAACTATGCTGAAAGTTCCCGATGACAAATATCGCAATGCAAGGCATACTTGAAGCAGGCCGGCAGCAGGGCATGAATGCTCTCAGTTGGATGTTCCAAATCAACTGAAAGCACTTCCGCTAGTCTCACAATCGTGGCCGAGCGAAATCTGTATCGTGCCCAATGTGAAGGGGTGTGAACAGCTCGAATGGATTTTGTCCATCGCAAAACACCCGCCTCTCTCTCTGAATTGGATAATTTCTTTGCAAATTCTCACGAGCACGACGTCTCAGAAGTAATGCAGCCATTTTGATTGGAAGTCTTTCTTAAATACAAAATGCGGTCGTTAAGGCTGATTTTTGCTCGCTTATCGTTTTAACCAGAAACAAAAACCAAAACAAAACAAAACAAAAAAACTTACTTAACGGTTGCTATGAAATGACGAGATTGTTTTAAGTGCGCCTTTTAAGCACAAAATCGGCCATTAAGATCATGGGGCGGCGCGGACAGACTCAAAACCACACGACTATCCCGCGATGAGTTTTGTGCACATAATGTCCCAATTCACTACCGGTAACCTCGTTCTCGCATCCCATCGACACCTTCGTTTACTTCGGTTGATTGGACCATTTTTCAAAACTTGCGGGCTGATGAATTTAAACAAAAATTGTTCAAGTTAATTTACGATATTTTATGAATATTAAAAACATGGGGTTGCACCTTTTAGAACTCTGATGAATGTCCTCTTACCTTTTACGGGCCAAAAGAGAGAACAATAACTGTGGGCCAATTTTTCAAATATCATTTTCGGCCGAACGAAACTTTTGAACTGTCCTCATCACCAAGCCTTGAGAGTAGTTTTCCCTACATCTCAGACTTTTCGATGAAAACTAACACTTAACAGCAAAATGTAAAATTAAAGTGAATTTTGTTTTCGTTGCATTTTCCGACAAGATATCCTCATGGCAGAATTAATTTCCGTTATCTTAACCCCCCCCCCAAAAAAAATCAAAAGCCTCACCCACGGTCCCGTCATCCTTGCTTTTATTTCATGTTTTTTCATAGGGTTCTTGTGCCAATATGTTTTGAACATACTGATTACTTCGTTTCCTATGAAGTATTCTTCGTATAGGGGGGGTCCGTTACTTAAACTGGCAAGAGTAACTTGATAAGGGCAAGAGTTAGCCATTCAGCTAGCTGTGCAAGTGTTAATCATGCGCCTACTCAGTGTTAAGGAGGAAACGGGGACAAGGCTGTTTTTCACACTACATTGAATAGCACGCCCTCGTGAAGTCTGATGAGCAAGCAGCCAGTGCGTTTCGCTTGTCCCTCAACAGAGCGCTGGGAAGAACAAAATGCATAACGTAATTTCATGGAGCAATTGTTGGATACTTCATTTGATTAAAAACCAATAACGGGTCCAAAGCGTCCACGTGTGGAGTAAGTAACCAAAAAATTGTGAAACTGTCCTTTCTAGCGCCCTGAATACAGTTGTCCCTGCCGTCATAGTCACCCGTAGCTTCATATCCAGACCACCACTCCGACCTGTCACTCATGTGGCGAACACGAAGAACAATTCTGCAGGATCCAATCGAATACAAAAAGGACCGAGAACTCAACACGGATTCCACAAGTCTGGTCACGGTACCGGGTTTGGGTGGGGCATTCGTGCCTACTACACGTCATCATAATGTATAGTGTTCACTGAATTCTTTCCAGAAGTCGCAAGAAAATGATATGAAATACATATTTCAAATAATCAACTTTGTGCGACAAACAACTTGAATAAATGAGTGGACTGTGGACAATGTTAACACCGTTAATTATCGAAAAGCTGGGGGGGCTAGTATATGTACTTGTAAGATTCCATTAACTTGAATGCATGTACACGTACTGCGTCAACTGGTTGAAAGGAAAACGTCTGGCGAATCTCGTTTTGTTTGCTTTGTCCCTGGTAGAATGAGCATTAGATCTCACTCGACTTACATTTCATTAAGTGGTAGATAACTGCGACCTTCTTTTACTGGTTTAGCCTAGTAAGAGTAGGTGCCAAGTCAGCAAGTCTGATGAAGGGGGTCAGAGAAGACAGATACATGTATACAAGCACATTGAACACCGAGGTTTACTTCACAAGAAGTTAGCAAAGAATCCAGCGCATGAACACCAGGCTTTCTCGATACAAAACTCCGTATGTTGACCTGCTCGTTACTTCTCAACAAGCTCAAGGAAAGAGGTCACAGTTTCACGTTTCATTTTTTTTCTGTTTATTTTTTCGACTGGTCACCTGAACTGAAATTTGCTTGTGCTTTTTCTTCAATTTTTGGAATCTTTGTTCCACCACAAAATAAAAAAAAATTATTAAGATAACGTATTCTGGTTTCAGAGAGAAAACAAGTTTGAAGTTACGTTTCTTTCTTTTGCTGTACAAGCAACACAACACAGTGAGCACACATTAAGGACAGGCCAAATCTTGGTGGCCTATCAGAATAAATGACATTCTCCTCATTAATTTGTCAAACTAGGCTTGAATGACATCTAAGCTCACAACTCACACAACGGCAACAGAAATGGTTTGTTGCATCTCTTACTACATCTATTAAGTTTTAACAATGCATGCAGTCATGATTGTTAGTGAAAGTAAGTGAAAATGTAAAATTTCTCCCACTGGGCTGAAAGTTAGAACCAATATTTATTAAATAAATGTGAGGTACTTGATTGTACCTTCTGCATGGTTTAATGGGTGTAGGAATATCAGAATAAGAACCTTACAGTACTTTTTAGCAAGTGCTTTACAATCACAAGTAATTGTGAAATTAATGTACATGTACTCTGGAAGTCCCTGGCTAAAACATGTTTTTCCTTCGAAAGAACTTCCTGTGGTTGATGCTGCTTTCTTTCTGAATAGTGGACTTTAAGGGCTTTGCGACTTTAATCAACTGTTTCACTACTTTGTTTTTGTGAACACCAATAAGGACTTTGCTTTTGATTATGTTACGATTTGCTTTCCTGAAGCAAGCCCTCAGTGAGAGCCTGGAGGCAGTGAGTGTATGAACCTGCCATCACTTCTTCTTCTGGGCCTTCTGGGCTGACTTGGTGGTCTTTCCGGTTGTCTCCTTCTTGGTGACCTCCTTGATGACACCCACGGCAACCGTCTGCTTCATGTCACGGACAGCAAACCGCCCCAGTGGTGGATATTCACTGAAGGACTCCACGCACATGGGCTTGGAGGGGATCAGACTGACGATAGCTGCATCACCAGACTTTACATTCTTGGGGTTTTCTTCCAGCTTCTTGCCAGAACGTCGGTCTATCTTCTCCAGGAGCTCAGAAAACTTGCAGGCAATGTGAGCAGTGTGGCAGTCCAACACTGGTGAGTAGCCAGCGTGGATTTGTCCAGGGTGGTTCAGGATGATCACCTGCAGGTGTTATTGAAAAAAAAAAATGAACATGCTGCCTTTCCAATCCCAAAGATTTTACTGCAGTCTCATCAGTATGTTTTGTTTATTATCCAGAGGCAGTGCAGCTTTACTATCCAAGTTGATAGTATGCTCCAAAGGAAAAACCTATCACAGTTTTGACTAACTTGAAATCTTCAGTAAGCCTTCAATGAACACAATCACAACTAGGAATTTTGAACTATTTATTCCAACTAACGTTCAAACTACAGTTTATTTATTACAGCCTAACAAGCAAAATGAAGATCGGCTTGATAAACGAAGACCCTTACAGCAAAATACCATTGGAACAAAGGAATCTCTTAGGTGATGAGTATTTCTAGTTCTGCTATCACTTGTTTACTTTTTTGGAACAAGGTTGTGGTTCTATCAAGGCTACATCAGCCGGTCCTTGCAACCGTTCTTTCCTTCAGTCTGTTCTTATAAAGGCCTCTTTCCCCACAAATCGTAACTTTTTAACATATTCCCAAGCATCTACTGCAATTTTACCTCAAACAAATGAGATAACTGCCTCCCTTGGGTAATCTTACCTGGGCTTTGAAGTTCTCAGCCTGCTTTGGAGGATCGCTCTTGCTGTCCCCTGCGACCATGCCACGCTTGATTTCCTTGACAGACACATTCTTAACGTTGAAGCCAACGTTGTCTCCGGGAAGGGCTTCTGTCAGAGACTCGTGGTGCATCTCCACCGACTTGACTTCGGTGGTGATGTTGGCAGGGGCAAAGGTCACCACCACACCTGGCTTAAGAACGCCCGTCTCCACACGACCCACGGGAACAGTGCCAATACCTGAAGAGAAAACAGGCCTTTCTTCACATGCTCGCATACCAAATTTGAAAGTGGTGAATGAAATATCTAGAATTGTAGCAACATTCAGTACACTTGAGTGATGAGGGAGGCGTGGTGGTGATATGCAGGGTTCAGGCAGAGCTGGATATGATTGATTCTCCACTTTTCAGACCGGGTCAGTCTGTACATTCCTGCTGTAATCCTATACCACACAACTCGCACAAGAGAAAAAAATATCTATATACACGTAGTACAATCCCATGGCAGGTCAAGATTCCCAACCTTCCCATCAATCCCCCCCCCAAAGAGAAATATAACAAAAGACCTCCCAGGATCAAGTCCAAATGTACAAACCTCCAATTTTGTACACATCTTGCAGGGGCAGACGGAGTGGCTTTTCAACTGGCCGAGATGGTGGAGCAATGGAATCCAGAGCATCCAAGAGCGTCTTTCCGGTCACTTTGCCTGCTTTCTTGTCAGCAGATTGTATTTCCCATCCCTTGTACCAAGGCATCTGCAAACAGACAGAGAGCCCAGACATGCAACGGTGATTTAGAATTTGAAGGGATTCAAATAGAAATCTGGCCTCATCCAATACGACTAACTTGGCAATTAAAGGTCACATTTTGCCAGTTGAATTAGCACCAGCCACCTTGTTTCACAGAGAACTGCACTTGAACCCTTTCCTTGTAAAACTTTTGTAGAGTAAACTATTAGTCCTGTATTCATGAACCACTTGCTGCCAGGTTTCATTTTAAGTTGCATGACGAATTCCCAGGGAATTTTCAAGATTTTCCATTTACAAAATTCTTAAAAAAAATCGTAGCTTCATTTACTAGACATTTATACTCTCTGACAACATCTATCAGACAGACAACTGAACAAATTTTTGGCAATTCCCAGTCTTTTGTTCCGAGTACGGTCTTTGTTACAAGGCCCAGCTCCTTTGTCCGATTGGACAGATAAAGCCAACGTCTCCGGTACTGGGCAACCCAGCACAAAGTGGTTACAATTAAGAGAGTCAGAAAGAGCGACAATGTCATGAGTCTGGGCATACGCATGAAAGAAACCAAAAGTAACTTGCTACCGAGCAAAAAGTTCAGGCCATCTCAGTAACATGCCTCCACTTTTCATAAATGCTCTTTTCCCAGCCACATCTAGCCAATGCCCATTCACGACACGGGGGGGCTTGCTTATTACCTTGCCAGATGGTTCCACCATGTTGTCACCATGCCAGCCAGAAATGGGTACAAATGCCACTGAAGCGGGGTTGTAACCAACTTTCTTGACGTAGCCACTCACTTCTTTCTTGATCTCATTAAACCGTGCCTGCAAATGAAACAAAATAAAAGCAACTCCTTAAGGCACGGTTTTGCCACCTTTTGTGAGGTGTGCATGTTCACCGTGGATTAAAAAAGGCAAATACATGCATTTGTGATTCATGTAGGCCATATGTCAGTGTTTGCTGCAACATTTTGTACCGTCATTTTATTTTTAAATTTAAGAATACTCCCGAGTCAAATGCTTAAAAGTCCAACCTTCACAGCCAGTGTAAACAGTTGAACACCGTAAATACGAGCTAAAATAATAATTGAATAAAGCCCCCTCTAGTGGCATAAGGAACAAAGCCCCCTCTAGTGGCATAAGGAACAAAGTCATCAAGTCGTCAGTGGTAAAGCTGCCGAGCTACTGCCGAGCGGAGTAGCATTATTGGAGTACTGTCGCACTCCATCAAGATTTTCTGGGATTGAGCTTTTGAAGAGGCGTTTTCAATTGTATTCATTGTAAAAATGCCTCGGACATGGTTTTTGACACTGCGGGCTGATCAGAAGTGCTCGTCTTGTCAGTGTTCTCATCTCAACACAGCTCGTATTAAGTTTTCTCTCATAGGAATATGTACATTTTGAACGAGACTAAAGAAATATGCTTGCAAGTGCAATCTCGTCTCAAGCATGCTAGTGTTATATCGTGTTCGACTGTACATACTCAATAGGAATCACTCAAGTATGAGAACAAATATGACCAACTTCACTTAGAATTTGCTAAGGTGACTTTCACCATTTTCCATTCAATGTGGAGTGAAAAACCAATGTGTTGATGTCATCCAATTGGAGTGATTTCACAACTCTGTCTTTAAAAGTACAAGAAGTGACAGGCTTAAGGGGCTACAGCGGTTACCTCACTGTAGGGTGGTTCAGTGTTGTCGATCTTGTTCACACCCACAATCAGCTGCTTGACGCCCAGAGTGAAAGCCAAGAGAGCATGCTCTCGTGTCTGTCCATTCTTGGATATGCCAGCCTCAAACTCTCCAGTGGAAGATGCCACAATCAGGACAGCACAGTCAGCCTTAAAACAAAAGGGGTCTCACATTAGAAACTTGAGCAATTCAACACAATAAATATGTACATGTATATAACCCCCTGGGTGTAGAGGTAGTGTACAGGATTAGTCAATTTTTTAAAATGAGATTGCTGTAGTATCTTTAATATCTCACTGTAAAGAAGTAAAAAAAACAACAGCAGACGATCTGGAAACATTATGCCATGAATGCCGTCATTTTTGAGCAAAGAGAAATTTAATATCTTTACGGCTTTTCCACACAATCTTTGGAAAATGCCATTTGTTTAAATACGATATACATGTATGTATCCTGGAGCAGTACAATTTCACTTATCTAGACATGAATTTATGCATGGCTGAGCACAAGGTCAAACCCACAACCAGGACACAACGCATCCTTTGTTATCATTCACCTTTTACCATTCTTCCTCAATCCTCAAAACCACGTCCAGACTTCGGAGGATTGGGTTCAAAGGTATTCCACTGTTGCAATTTGAGTATCAATTTGTCAAACTTTTCATATAAAAGTTGACAGTTTTTAATTGTCTTTAATTCAAGTTATGACTGGGTACTTACAATTGGCTACATTTCCGCAAATTCAACATCCTTTGCATGTGCCATCTACATGCTGAAACAGTATCTTTTAAAGTCATCTTGAGATGCGTTTTGATATTCATTCAATTTACCTGAGAGGTTCCAGTGATCATGTTCTTGATGAAATCACGATGTCCAGGGGCATCAATGACAGTGCAGTAATACTTGGTCGTCTCAAACTTCCACAGAGCGATATCAATGGTGATACCACGTTCACGCTCTGCCTTCAACTTGTCCAGCACCCAGGCATATTTGAAGGAGCCTTTGCCCATCTGTGAAGTCAAAAATTTCTCAAAATTGGACTTCACAGAAATAGACCAGTATGTGAAAAACATGTGGAATGATGGCAAGTTTCTTTTATATGCACAAAGTGCCATCTATCCCTTTATAACAATAAAGTTTTTGGTAATTAGTGCTTAATGGTTTAAGTATGTCTAGATTTGGAAAGAGAAGGGTTGTAGGCTTCAAAATACTAAACAGGCAAGCATGAATGCCTTTTCTTTGATGAAACATATTGATCAACAAGTTATCTTTACACAGACCCTTAGTGGTACATGACAGAAAAACACAACTAAAGATATCAATTGTTTTTATTTCCAATCAAGAACTGCAGAAATTCCTACCTCACTTGCTTCCTTCTCATACTTCTCGATTGTTCTCTTGTCAATACCTCCGCACTTGTAGATGAGATGACCAGTGGTGGTAGATTTGCCGGAGTCTACGTGGCCAATGACCACCAGGTTGATGTGAACCTTCTCCTTGCCCATGTTGCTTTGTGAAGTTGAGCTTCAGGTGCTTGATCAGAATTAACTTCAGAAATCTGCTTTACAGATGGAAAACAATTGAAATTCAGTGTTGCAATATTTAAAAGATAATCAATTTGGCCAAAATCAAAAGCAACTGATATTAACCGAGCCTGTTAAAATCCTGAAAATTCCAGAGTACTACATGTGCAGGTGTATATACATTTGAAGGTTTTTTTTTAATTTTTTTCTTTACAAATTTTGGCGACTCTTAGTAAAGCAAGTTGCAGGGACCAGAGAAATTATTTTGTTAACACCGGAGTGTCACAAAAGGAATGGCACAACACAGAAAACATATGAAATCGTGAAAAAGCGATTAGCAAACTTATATAAAAGGTGCCAGGAGCAGATATTTTAGGGATCAACGCCTTGGTATGTAAATTATGTGTTGATGATGTCCAGCCTTGCATGTTTGATCTCTCACTGTAGCCTTGCATGTGTTTCAACTTGCAAGCCTTGTTACAGTTCCAAATGGGTATTGAAAGACTGGAGATTATGTTTGTTTCTGATATTCGTTGTAGGTGGAACGCAGTACAAGGGCTTCGATGCATTTTTGTACAAGGCCTTGTACAATACGTATTCACGTGTATGCACATATACACGTGATCGATGTTATGTCTAAAAGATCTCACTTATAATTTATCAAATATATTGTGATGTGTTTGAAATAATAAAATTCTTTGTCATATGAAAACATGTTTAATGTGCATTGTGAAAGTATGGATCCAGGGCTTTTTAAAAGGCTTTCCATCGCCATGGATGACAACGAAGCTAAACGGCATGCACATGTAGACCTGTGTGTACCTCCAATAATTGAAGACTCGTCAACTGGAGCCCCCATCCATTTAAGTAGTCTTTCCAACACAAATTGTGTCATGGAGAGACATGTCAATTTAATTTTCGGTCCGTCTTATGATTTTGGACACTAGCTGCACGACACAATTGAACGAGAGTTCGAGTTCACTCGCCCACTGTGGCGCGGCAGCCCGCGCACGAGATGGTCGCTGAAGAAGCATGACGTCATGAAAGAAAACTACGATTGGATAGCTGTGTCTTGCCAAATGTACGTCATGAAATCGCACAGTCTCATTGGCGGGTACGCTAAATCTTTTGCAGCAATATGAATAGTTCAGTGTTGGGCGATTAGTTTGGCTCTTGAGATGAGAGAGTTGTCAAGGTAACTTATTTGGGTGTATTTTTCTCGGGATTGGGAAGGGAATATTTTGGGACGTTTGTGTGATCAATGTAAAAATCATTGCTTTTTAAATCATGCTTTACGTTTGTCATGACTACAGGAAACTGGCCAACAATGTCTCTGTATCGCACTGTAAGCATGCATGACGCATCTGGAGGGGCCGGTGATTAGCCTTGTGATGTGGCTAGAAATTCTTTGGAAACACGCTTGTTTCGTGTACAAGCAGTACATGTACATCTTCAAATTATGTACACAACACAGAAAACCCCAAACAAAGACATGAGATCAATATTTGTGAATGAACCTGCAGAAAACATTTAAGCCTGCAGTGTTTTTTCACCTTGCAACTGTCGGGCTGCAGTCGTATACAATGTACATGTAGTGGAACGCTTGTGACTGTTTTGGCAGGAACTGTACATTGACTGGTTGCCGCATATCCCTCGTGCATTCTTTGGCAAGGGTTTGGCCCAGCGGAAACCAGTGTGTGTTGCACTGCCCACACAATTTGCAAACGTTTGTTATAAATGGTCGTCAACAATGGTTTTTATAAAGCGGAATCAATGGGAATTTCACACAATGCGATTTTGCTGTAACAGATTTCCCCCCCCATAGAAATGTGCACATTTTCGCCAGGACCACAGACCTGTGTTTGTTATTGGCGATTTCATAATAGAGTCGACTATACTAGTTTCCCACTTGTATGCATCACTGATCGATCTACCGGCTATCTAGTTAATTCATCCGCACATGTTCTTGTTGCAACAGTATTTGTCTTTCAAAACAGTTAATACATGTTCTTTTTGAAAGTCAAATGTCCATGAGTGATGAACAAAGAATTGTAATATAATTTATTGAGAACAAAGAAAATGAATAAACTGGGAAGCAGACTCGTCACCATTGAACGTCAAAGCAATGCAACTCGTAACATGCTTATATATCATAAGAAAATACGCAATTACCAGGGCTAGCGATAAAATGCAGCAATGCAGGTGTAAGTTACTTGCACAAACCTTTTCAACTCAAAATTAAAGTTGAATTTAAATAACCAAAGCCCCTGGACAAAGTTCACTGAATTTGGTCTCAGTCCTCTGGCTGCAGGTACTTTTTATTCTTAGGTCGCATATAAACTCGTTGGTCATCCCCACCGGACCAACCAATATGTCCCAACCACTGGCTTACTTTATGATATATATTTTGTATTTGCTATGAATCACCGTTTGACTGCTATACGAAAACCACACTTGGAGGGCTTCAGAAAAAGAAAATTGTAAAGCAAAATTTCTATGCAAAATTTGGAACGAAATCACTCACTGCAGTGCCCAATTGAGTAAAATTGAACAGACATGGATTATCATATTAAAAACATAATGTATTCAAAATGTTTACTTTTGATATTCTATGTTCACACTGACATATTTTATGCAATAAATATGCATATATCATAATCATTGTTCATCACTCAGTATTTCAATTGTTTTCATACATTTATTGCTCTGACAGTACTACAAGGCAAGGAAAACGTACAACTTGATAGAAAAAATGTACCTCTATTTCAAGAAATTTTCATGGCACATCTTTTAATGTACAGTCAAATCTCGTTAAGTCGAAGCTCAGGGGAATGGACGAAAAGTTCAAGTTATCCGACATTCGAGTTATCGAAAAATACTCGCTTCAGTGCACATGCAACCTTACTGGCTTACGGCAGTTGGCCTGCAAGTCGAGTCACACAACGAACTGGATTTTCGGCTATCCTTACTGCAAGTTTTCCTCAAACATCATCATTAAACATGTTTTTACATGTATGTGGAACATTAATAAACAATAAACCAATGAAGTTATGTACCGGTACCTGTGTCTACGTCTTGAGAATTCATTCATTTGCTTTGATTGGGCTGCTACAGCTTAATGCAGCGTGCGGGCAAGTCGGTCAGGGTGTCCGTGCTGGGTCACGTGATATATGTACAAAGCGCTTGATGGCGCATCATTTGTGCCTGATTTAGGCTGCATCCGAATCTCCTGTCTAGATCTAGGTCTTGGTATTCACTCCATTGGAAATGCATGGAGGCGCGCAGTTACAGTTGCTGCCCACCCAGTGCTTGTCGACGTGGCAATGGCAGTCCGTGTAAACATGCTCGGTTCATCAAAGAAAAGTCGTGCGCGCGACAGTAATGACTCATTATGAAGGAAAGCATTCTTTTATCACTTTTTATTCATCATTCTTCAGTGTTTTTGTTTTAACTGGCCTGCCAAAACTTCGAGATAAGCGGCTTTAGTGTTATAGACGTTTCGAGTTACGGATAGTTTATTGTACATAAAGGCCTATTCTTTTGTCGGGAAAACAGAAAGACATCGACGTACACAGAGCTTCGACTTCAGGGACTTCGGCTTATCAAGATGTTACTGTATTTAGAATACGGAACAATTCAGTTTTGGGTGACCCTTGACCTTTAATTTGCATGTAACATAACCGAGTTTTGAGAATTAATGACATAGCCAATAAGAACCAGGACTTGAAGCTCATTCATCCCATGCTGACCAATCATTTTCATTCTAAGCATTAAGTGACTGGTACCCACTTAAAAATACGGTAAACCCCTACAGTCCCAAATCCTCGGATTTCAGAATTTGCATAAACCCTAGAGGGTTCGGGTTCAGAAAAAATTTCCTTTCTTACTTTCATTTATTTGGAAAATATATCTTTAACACTTTGTCTGTGACAAGTTAAATCACTGCAAGGAAGAAATACCGGCGTCCGTATATGGAAGTCTTCTTGAATTCTTTTCCCAAAATTGTCACATCCTAACCTTTTTTATCACGTAAAACACGGCTAAGACCTTTGGACTTGGCAAACTACATTGTTACAACAGGAACTTTGTATTATCAGGAATGAAAACAATGAGAAATAAAAAGATTTGGACCTTATAATTTCTTTGTCTTAGGCGGAATCTTGAATTAACAGTGCTCTCATCAACGAGGTTTCGACGCATGTACCAACATAGCATGCTTCCTGTGAATGGTCCGCTAGGCCGGCGTGCAACGACATTGTCAACTGGACAACATACAGTTCAAATCGCTATTTGATGAAAGATTGCCTTCGAGTTCATTGAAAGAGCGTTTTTCGATTTGAAGGGGACATTTCCCTTTTCTTCCCCTATGTGAGTACACCCTTTTATTGCTAGAATCTCTGATTCTCATCAGTAATTCATGAACAGGCTAGGTACATTGACATTTTAAGGACAGTTTTTGGGCTGAATTCAGAGGATCTTGACTTGGGGTACAAGCTATTTTAAGTGAAATGAATTAATCGAAGCAAAAGTGTATGGAAGGTACATAGACGGTAGACCCTATCACCCAACCATGTGTAAATGTTAAAAAGGGCGATTAATTACTCGGACTGCCACTGTACTGTGTAAACTCTCAAATTCCACACAAACATGACAGATAGGCCCAAGCCCTATTTTACCTTTAAGACATATGTGAGGCACTGAATGGTTTTCGGAGTCTCAACTCATCAATATTATAAAGTAATAAAAATAGGCCTAGGCCTACAGGCTACAATGTTCATGTGGAAGTGTATATTTTGCCGGCTACAGCAAACGTTTTTCAAAGCTATTTTGCCGGGATGTTTTCCAATTTAGAAAATACCACTTTCAATCGAGCAATGCAGTAATACGATACCGAATGCCTGTGCGAGTGCGAGGTTCCAGGTTCAAACCCCAATGAAGAATTTTTTTCTTGTTTTAGGCCTATAACTTTCTCCTAGCACGGAGTATTTTTAAAAATTATACAAATCTGAAATTTAGGGCGTAGGTCCCTGATTAAGTTTACATTTATCTATTCTTTCTACATTTCGTGGTTTTGAGGATTTTTTTTTAAAGGGAAATAAAGTCCAAAATTTCACAGGTCTGATTTCTGCCCCCTACCCGCATGTTAATGAAAGTGCTGAACAAGACTCAGTAATACATCATAGTCTGATGACGTAATGAGAATTGGCCAATGAAAACACGTCCCGGCCAAATATCGTTCCGGAACTTTAGCCATCACCGGCTAAATACCCAGTGCCTATTCATGTTTTTTTGCTCCATATGTCTGAATAACTTGTTGCCCATGTTGACGCTTCATTGACCTGGAATTAGCATGACCCTTTGGCATGTTCGAGTTAGGGTATCATAACGAAAAAGCCTAGGCCCTTGACCCACATCGACGGACATACGACTTGTCGGAGCAGGGTACAAAAATCACTCGGATTCTTATGATTTTCGGTAGACCTTGGCCCTACTTGGAGTCCTAGGGCTATGCACTTTGAACAAATATATGAAGAGATGAAACAACCGTTCAATTTCAAGGCCATGCCCAATGACTTCTTCAGCATATTTCGACAGCGAATTACAAGAAGGTCTGGCCTGGTCTAACCTGCGGCGTATGAACTTTCAAGCAACCTTAGTATCATTTTAGGCCCAAATTAAAATCCTATAGCAAGTGCGCGATCAATTTGCCACGTCATATACGACTGTCGGACAATGACACATCGAGTCACATGTACAAAATGAAATTCAACATACCGGTCACAAATTTTCACGAAAATCTCACATTTTAAACAAAATATTCCCGAACAAATACTAAGCAACAATCAGCTCAACATTATTTCATTAATCTTAATGCTTTTTTATCCACAGATGACAATTAGGAAAGTTACTTTTCAACGGATAGTAGTTTAATACAAAGCATGAAATTCACGACTCACCTTACCGGATGTGCCACGCACGAAAGGACCGACAACGGGCGAGTCAAGCAGTATTTATATGATTGGATAGGGGGTCCCCGTATTGACGTCATAAGCAAGCAATTTGGCCACCCCCTGAAACATTTCGCAATCCGTTTGAAACCACATGCGCAAGCGCCGCTTACTTCTGACGTTCCGCGTGGGTATTGACGTATCGATACCATGGGGGGGGGGAACCACACATTTTGGTGATTTTTTTTCCTCCCAGATACTTATGTAGTCTTAAAAATGACTTTCAATAAAACGCCCTCCTTAACTGCAGTTATCCACTTTGCTGCAAAATCACAGAAATTCACACGCAACTTGCCAACTTACATGCTATAAAATGGGGTTGCGCACGCGTCCTTTCTATGCTACACAAGGCTACAGCCTCAAGAGAAAAATCCGCTTTTTAAAAGCTGCACTTTGTGTTGCTTTAGAGGATAAAAATGGCTAAAAATTGTACTAGAATATAGGTCGCACCAACCGTAAATTCATTTCTACGTCCAGTTGGATGAGCCGATCAGTACGGTAATTGTCAATGTCACCCAGGGAGGGGTGCCAGTCAGCTTGTCCGGTGCCTAAAAGGCAAGACGAGAAGCTAGCCGTACATTTTCCAAGAAAAGGCCTGAAATGAGGGTTTTGCCTGAAAACTTGCATCCCTGGTGAGTTCAAAATAGGCACCACACAGTAGGCAAAATGGGTATTCCAAAAGACACTAAAATATGAGCAGCAATGCAAGGACTAGTTTCTAGGACCGAAAAAACCTCATGACGTGACAAAATTTGTTATCATCCTTAAACTGTTTGTTTGTGATTTTGCAAATTAGGGTTCTTAGTCATGCTATGGGAAAACTACTTGACAGTGATTTAGTTCACTTTTTAGTAATCCCGCAGGGGCACACAACTATTTTGGTGTTAAGGTTTTAGTTTTTTATAAGGCTAGATGTTTGGTAAGACTTGAAGGTTTTCATGGTGACAGAAATAACTCCCCGGTTCTTCTCTCAGAACCACACATACTCAAAACATTGATACATTGTGCAACCGCAATCATTTCACTCGTCTAGGTTTGATGTTATATTTAAACTAAGTCTTTTTATGTCTATATTGTGCGATTTGCTATTTCTGTTTGCACAATACACGGTATTATACTGTTCCAACACTATAGGCACCTGTGTTGAACTCTAAAGAGGTAAAATACAAGTACATTATTTTTCTCAGAAGGAGCAATTTAATAGTGACAACAAATAAAAATGGATGATGAAAGTGAGGTAAAAGCAGAATGTTAGTTTGACTCCTGAATTAACACTTATTTTACCAGTTTATTTCCCATGCTTAAAACATTTATGAGATTAAGCAAACTATTTCTTCAAAAGTTACTAGGATAGTACCACGAACATAATAAATAAGATCAATACTGTATCAAGTACTGCTCACAATGCATTTATATGCCTGAAAATCTTTTCTCAGTCTGAAAACCTTCCAAATAAATCCCATTCAAGCACATTGGAGGGATAGTGGTAACAGCCCAATCAGCACGCAGTCAGGTTTCAGGTGTGATCGTCTCTCTTTTGTCTGATCCTCGTCCTTTATTGGCCATCCAGCTTAGGTAAATATTCCAAAACAGAGCCACAAAGTTGGCAGTTAGGACTCTAAATACAAGGAAACAAAAATGTGATGTCATCATTACATGAAATTTCGCACTAGGAAGTAAATTTGACCTTCAAATATAGATGTTTCCTAATCACCGGCTTGGTCTGAAGTGTTAAGTCCAATCACTGCTTCAAATATGTGCCAAATAAGGCTACAGGAAACATAGAAAATATACACTTAGCTTGCAAAGCTTCTTGCATCAGCCCTTCTTCAATATGCATACTAAGCAAATACATGTTTTTTCCCATGTTGAATATGCATGAGATGAGAAATCAGAAGCACCCACCTGTGCTGCAGTGGGACAAAGTAAAAATTGATGACTTGAGCAGCGGGCCAAATCTGGAAGCAAAAAAAAATTTCCAAAAGGATGATATTGAGGAAAATGGAATGTGGAACGTCAGCTTTCAAAGATCTATAATGCCAAATCAAGAATTTTATACAAACTTCTCCTATCAAGGAAAGAATAAATGACGAAAGCCACCCAAAAGAATATGACTGAATCTTTTCTTGAGTATTCCAGCATGTAGGCACATACTGGGGCACTGGCATTTGTGAACTGCAAGTTATTCTTGGTGTTGGAAGATCAGATACAACCAAAACACCATGCTGACTAATGGTTTGATTAAAATTGAGGCACCATTCCACAAGATAAACATCCAGTTCTCCACTTTCCAAATTTAAATTTCATCAGTTTATTTACCCTAGTTGTTCTCAGAAACATTACTTACAAGTTGCTGTCAACATTCCCAAACCACAGGATAGAATCCTTACCTTGTAATTTGTAATCAATGTCGGCTTCATGTTCTACAAGAGAAAAGAAAATTTATTAGATTATTCACAAAAAAGAAACGAAGAGATGAAATTTAGCTAATTATTGTTTATTTGGTCGATAAACGACACAAGTACAGTGAAAAGCAATTACCTGTGAAAAGGATACTAAAACTGGAAAACGAAAAGTAGCCAAAATGGAGAAAAAAGCATGACTAGACAAAGTGAAGGACTGAAGGAAGCGAGAGTCATGGGCTGAAGTTGGAGGGGAAAAGGAGATGAGGGCAGAAGAAAGAATGAAAAGTTTGACAAAAGAGAGGAGAAAGGAGAACAGAAAAGGACAATAAACATTCCAAGCCGGCCAGGGCAAGCAAACACTTACTTTAACACTGCAGTCCTAAAGTCTGCTTCCCAGACTCGAAATGTCAACACTTAAATTAAAATGATTTCAATTAAAATATAAATAAGAACAAAATTCAGAAGCTAAATAATAATCGAGGCAATGTCCTATAAACTTCTGTGTTAATGCTAGCCAAAGTCAACTTCATTGATGGAGCCATGGTCTGAGGTGTCTTTAACATACAGACCTTACAATATTCTCAACTCAAAACACATCAATATACCTGCTTCAGTTTGTCTACCACCTCTGCAGGGGACAGGCCAGAAGTAAGCCCTATCGCAGAGTAAAACAACGTCAAGAATATGGGTGGCATCACCATCTGCAAAGAATGAGAAGATAGATGAACCATATAATCTAATTTTCCATTTTTTAAAATTTATTTATGATTTTACCAATCATCCAGTTGTGTGGAGAGAAACTGACAGGACTCACAGATGTTTAAAATGTGTTTGTTTACCTGATCAACTGCAACACTCTTCAGTGCTTTGATTACACCTGTGCCCTTTATCACCTTGTCTAGAGTTCTGTACCAGGCGAATAACAGTGGACCCTGAGGATAAGGAAAACAGAGAAAAAATCAGGCTAGGTTATAAACAGTCATGGTTGATATTGGCCATTCTTAGAAAAGAAATTCTCTCATCCGTCTGTACTTCTCCTTCATTTGTTGGTCAGAGATCATTGGCTCCAGTGGTTATGTCCAGCTACCTTATAGTCGCCTCTAACAGACTTGCCAACCTTGCCTTACTCCTTCCTGAGGTCAGGCATTACCACAAAATAGATTAGAAGGTATTTAAATGAGCCTTCAGTTCATTTCAATTTTCAATCTATTCTGTGGTCATGCCTGACCTCAGAAAGGAGTACGGCATGTTGGCAGGTCTGCTAAAGAAAACAACTTCCACCTCAATGTGTATTTGCAATAAAGATAGTGTCCATTCAGCTTTGGAAGAACTTGACCAATCAGAGGCATAGTTGTTCTATGCCACAATTTAAAACTTGGTGTATGTAAAATTCAAGAATTGTGGTGGCTAGGTACCAAACTCTTCACCGGACATTTTAAACCTCTGAACAGATTTGGGGAAAACGTGAATAATAAAACAAAGTTACAAACACGTGAAAAAACGTAAAGTCTCCAGTGCTTGTTGGATGATGAAGTAACATGGCCTCCTTCCTCCATGGTTGGATACAGCAGTACAGATGAACATTAGTTCTCACAACATATCAACCAGACTTGGAGCATGGTTAGCGGCAGGGTTCGTCTGGGAAATCTTGCAACATTTTCCTGTCCATTCCTGCCAAGGTTAAAAACTGCCTGTCCGGTCCTTTTCCCGGATAATTTTAGAAATGGACATCCCTTGGTGCCATCTTTGCCTTTATTTGCCTTGAATTCGACTATAATTAGTGTTTTGGAAAGAAATGTGAAGGGTTGACCACCAGTAAAAGGATTTAGGTAAAAAAATGGCCTTTGTAAATTTTAAAACAAGCAAAAACTGCCCGTCCAAGTAGCTAGATGAGACACTTGTTAGGGGTAGGCTAAAGCGTTCTCTCACGTACACCAATGACGAGTCCAAAGGAGGCCTGTCTGACGGTGCGAATGACATCATGTTTCTTGAGCCCCGCCTTCTCAATGGCCTGCTGGCAGATGGCATCACCAAGGCCCATCAAAAGACCTGTCAACACCAATTACAGCAAATGGACATTAACATGGCTTGCTGTCCAGGCCAACCCATTAAATTGTCACTTGAACACAAAGACACACCTCTCCATGCCTAAACACAACATTCAACAACGACAATTTGATGGAGCATGGAGGGAGGAAAAACAACAAAAGTAAAGAACAAAATCGGACAGACTTCCATTTACGAACGCCTCTTGACACCCTGTGCACAACCCCTATGAGACAGGTCTGGGGTATGTAATGGCGGTCATAACCAAGAATTGGTTGAGTTGTTTCTCTTTGGTTAATTGTTTTTAGGTTTTAGGGTTTGAGTACTACATAAACACAGATAATTCTTACCCAAGGAAAAGCTCTGAAGACTTACAACTGAATCAGTTCTTAGTTATGACCGCCAAAACGCACCCCTGAAAGCTTCCAAGTTTTGTGAGTGACTACACTGTACATGCACGTACCTTTCACTGATCAATTTGACTTTTTATGACATTTTATGTATTTCAGATGGATGATAGTTATAGGTCCTTGTAGGGAAAAATGAGTGGCATTCATAGCCTTCATTCCAATAAATCAACAAGTAAGCCTACAGGCAGGAACATGACGAAGGCAGGTTTTGTTTGAAAATACACCCCTCAAATGTTATGTGGGTACAAGGTGGAAATCTCCATGAGAACAGTGTAACATTTTGATTATGCAGGGTGGTGGGATATCCTGCGGTTGGCCATCACATTTTTTGGGGTGGGGGGGTCTTTCACAACTTACATGTGTTAGCAGCCTGGGCTTTAAAAGGGTGTGCCTCAAGAAACCTTGTGTATGCCTTCCACAACCTCAACATCTCGTGAATATGTAACTGTGGAAGGGGTAGAGATTGGAAGTACTTCAGCCAGTCCAGCCTAGGATAACTCAATGACTCCGGTATAAAACATCTAGGCAATCTCGGCAGTCCCTGCACAGTGCACAACCAAACCCATCAAACATGCCAGACTGAACTGCTGAAAGTGAGGAATGCTGGTCAACTCATACGCCAACCAACTCGTATGCCGACCAACTCGTACACCAAATTGCACCGTTAGTAAAACACGTGTGTTGTTGTGTTTCCCTTGCCCTCAGTGAATCTGCCTTGTATAATTTCCATTTTTTGACTACAGATTTGTGAATTTCAATTATAAATCTTGATACTGTTCTTTAAAAATGGATTAGTTTTTTAATTTGTAGTTCTGAAAAGAATAGGTTTTAATGTTTTCTGGTCATTTGACTCCAGAGTTCAGACTAATGCCACCTTTCCACATCTACGTTTTTTTGGATCATTACATACACAATGTGTTCAGGCTTTCCACTTTTATGAACACAAAAATCGAGTCCATCAACATAACAGATGTGCGCATTGTGTTTGGCCGTCAAAACTGCCTCAGGAGCAATGTTGATGGATATGCAAGGCTTGCCACAAATTTTGACACGCTAACGGTAAGGCGCCTTTGAACCAACAGCGCATCACATTGTGGCACACGAGTTGAACAGCATACTTGTAGAGTTGGTCGGCACACGAGTTGGTCAACGTAGGAGTTGGTCAGTGTACCAGTTGACCTATCCTCATATGGGTTGCTCAATGTACAATACAGGGGATTCACAAAAGTGCACCTCCAAGAGTTTGCGACGCATTGGCCAATCACAACTTGCAAAATCTGTCGACCTTTCCAAACGCACGCTGGGTCGATTTTGTGCATTGTGGTTGGCATTGTAAACTCTTAGAGGTGCACTATTGTGAAACACCTGTACTTCGCATGGTATTGTATGCTACGATTAAGCCTTCAGGCAACTTTCCATATGTACTTTTTTGGGTGCGTTGCGTACGTCATGTACGTGATGCATTCATGCGTTTCACCTTCACAGACACAAACATTGACTCCATTGACCATTCACATAACACACATGTGCACTGCATTCGGCCATCAAAATCGCCCCGCGAGCAATTTTGACGGATATGCAACGCTTGGTGCAGGTGCTGACACACACACGGAAAGGCACCTTTAACCTGCTCCCAACATCCGAACATGCCCAAGCAAACTGACAAAGGACAATGCACAGAGCTCACAGTACAATACTAAAGCCTAGCATTAAAGTTACGGGTGATGCAAATATTGTGTTGTGGTTATTCAGACACAGAATCACGGTAGGATTTTAACAAGAGTTTCAACTAAAACGTACGGACCTACGGGACATTGCTGTGATGCCACATGGGCCCAGTTCACCGCAATTACACACACGACCAAGGCATGTTGCATGGCCGGCTCAGTTTGTTCTAACAAAACGAAGTAGCGCCCTCAGTTGTCGATGGAAATCGAATATACATATATATAAATGAAATATATACACCTTCTACCTAGACGACAAGCCTTAATGAAGTACATAACGACGAGCTGGCAACCCATCTAAATTATTGAACTTTGTCCTTGCGGAAGCCTGCTGTCGATGACCAGCCTGCCTAGCCTGCATCACTTACAGCCTACAGGTACGTGCAGCGCAGTGGAACGAATACAGAATCCTTTACATGTACATGTAAGTGGGACAAGCCCATTATAAGTACTATTAGCTTAATCTAAGTGCTACTACTGGTTGGGCCTACTAAGTTACTGCTAGTTGTGTCTAAGCAAAAATTCAGAAAGTTATGTCAACAAAAAGGACTTCTCGTCAAAAGAAGCAAGCCTCTCAACATTTTCAAATGCATCAAACATGTTGAACTTGAAATCCTACTACTAGGCCTACCTGGCCGGTGACCAGCCCCCTGTACTGCCACTGGTGACAGTGCACACCATCACCTGACCATCACAACTGTGCACCACACGAACATGCCAAGCAATGACGCATGATGCCATGAGTGCGAAATGATATTTTACAGACATGACAGACATCGTCCTGTAGCTGTCATACCTGTCGACCATGTCGATGTGGTTGAACATTATAAAATCTTAGCTCAAAGTCATGACACTGACAGTCAAGTAGGCCTGCATGTATCTTGGTGCTGAGATTGACCAGTCACTTAGTGGCGAAACGATGACTGCCATACCAAAGTGATAAGTAAAGTTAACAACTGCAGACTGAATTTTTTGTACATGGTAAACAGGGTAAAATACTTTGACTACCCCGTTAAAAACTTTTGGCATCAGCACTGGTTCAGTGTCACTATGATTAATGATACAACCCCCAGAACGGGGTCCAACGTCCGCTCCGCTCGTGTGGGAGAGGAGCGGACATCGGACCCCACCTCTGGAGGTGGATTAGTACTGCTCATCATTCTGGTTTGATAGTTTGACCAAACAGACCAAAGCTAAATTACAGACATCCCAAAACAAATTGATCAGATTTGTTCTTAATCTTTAGCCTAGGACTCACCTACTGTCACCCTGACTCTAGCTGCCTAGAGTAGAGGGGGATCATTACAAACAAGTTGGTTAGCTTCCTATACTGATCAGATGTGATCAACTGAAGTTGTGCGATATATTTCGTATCATGATTGCTGTGGCTCCAACCATGCCCAGTCATGCTAGTTAGCTTCAACAAGCATCAACACACAGCATCACAAAGCGTCAACAACTTGAAAATACCCTCTACAGATTTAAAATGGGTTTGTTATTTTTTCGAGACTCTAACACTTCCCACTGTATAAGAGAAACACCAAATTTGCTTCCAGTTTCTCGCAGGAAAACAAAATTTTTTCGTGATGTACATGTATGGGGGCTGCCATCTTTCTTTCCTCTGCCATCTGCGCGAAAACAAGATGGCGGCTGGTTGGATTGCACAAACAGGCCCGACTTTGTCACTCAAATTTCAGTGCTCAAAAATGATTTCAGATGGATATAATACATTGAATTTGATATGTACATGTAGGATCCTAATTAACATTTTATACAGAAAACTTTGCATAAATATGCTTGAATAACTTGTTGCTGCTTTGTTGACGCTCGTTGACGCTAAATAACATGACCCGCCATGCCGGCTTACCTATCAGATTTTTTTCAGTTGACACGACTTAATTTTACAACACTTGCTCAAATTACTGGTCTCTTGTTGTACCTCATCATCAACATTACAGTCAACACTCATTCCGAGTTACTGCTGCAAAACTATGGAATAAAATTCTGTGTTGTGTTCGCAATACCAACCTACCTTCATGACCATTGCATCAAGAAGGCTGTCAAAATCAGTTTGATGAACTGCAACTACAGGAGAATACTCTCTTTGTCGTTGGCTGACGTGGTTGTTCGTCGTTATCAATGTCTTTTGTATGGTTATTTCTTTTTGTCCTGTCTTGTGTACTGTATTTTATTGTATCAAAATTTCATGTGCAATGAGAATTGTAGCTTTTTTAATTCAAAATAATTTTAGTTTTGATATACATTGTCCTTAAGAGTACTTTAATTACCGTGAGTTTTGAAAATTGTTTTTTGTTTACTTATTTATATGCCATATCCATTTTTTTTTTACTTCTCTTGGAGGATCACAATGGAAATAAGCTATTTTTAGCTTTTTTGTGCTATCCTTGGTAGTGCCCTGGATTTGGTATATGTAGTTCTTTTTATTTTGTTTGAGTTAATTCAGTTGTTTGTGTATGATCATTTGTAATCTGTTTGGGATTTGTCAAAGAAAACAAATAAACAAACAAACATTAGTCATGTTAGTATGAAAAGTAGCACATGACTGGTAAGACATTACATATGTGTACGGTATGTGTCCCTGTTATTTAGTGCAATCTTGAATCTTATACGAACATGGCAGCCGACTCCATTTCATGTCTGGAGTTGATTTGCCTTTAAATGATATCCATTAGGATAATAAACTCAGGACTCCAGAGTACAATAAATTTGCACAACAGTAAAAATGTTTACTGAGCAGTGCCTTGCTCAGCCTCAGACAATATCAGGTACTAGGGAGGCCTTCTTCTTGAAACCAAAATCTACCTCTGTGAACCTTTTTTGGCTATTTTACTGTACTAAGGGTCGTCGTGGTCATAATGCTAGGCCCAGTCTCTGACGTAAATTACTGGTGATGCACATACCATTTATTAAATCAAATTTTCCCATCAGAGCCATTGTCTTTTATAGATACATAAAGGTGTAGTTGTTGAAAAGTTATAGATGTAACAATGGTTTTTAGACCATGAGACTGACCAGTTTTGGAAAAATCAGAGTTTTAGTGACCCATCTCTTGTTTTCCATCCCACGACGATCGCTCTGTACTTTACACTTTGTGTGCATCAGACTGCTCATGCAGATGCAGCTGACCAAGCTAAGTTGGTTTGACCATTTTTCGGAGAGCGAGGATTGAATCTCGTTCTCATCGTACGACCACCCTTGCTGAATAACTGGATTGATACTGGCAGGAAGTGCTACAAGCGCTGTGCTGTGTGGCTGGGAAAGGTAAAATAAAATTCCATCCCCCCACCCCCGAAAATGGTTGAACCGCCTCAGGGAATGGTTGAACTGAGATGTGGAGCTTGCTCATCCATTGGCCCTCTGCATGAGCAGTGTGCTGCACACAAGGGGAGTCAGGTTGGTGCAGTCACTCTTTCCTCGCCTTCCACCGCTGCAACCTGGCTTCGAATCCCCCCTACGTGTACATCATGTGGATTGGGTTTTCGGTCCCTACCTGATTCCTCATGTTTTCCCTGGAATCTTTTTCTGGGGTTTTCGTCCCACCTCTAAAACTGAATATTTCTTTTTGGTCTTCATAATTGTCATTTCATCCTGTAATTGGCACTAAATGTGCTGTTGGATGAACAGATCTGTAAATAAATAAAGTGTACGGCACGGCCACATTGGATGGAAAGCAAGAGATTCGTCATTAAAAACTCAGATTTTTCCAAAAAATTGTTGGTCCAAAAACCACTTTTAGAAAATTTTCAAGAGCTACATGTATACATGTACAGTATGTGCTTCATGACACAGCTCATCATAAATAGGTAATTCCAGAAATTAGGGGTCCAAAAGTGTGACATTTTGTGTCCCTGTTACATCTGACCTTTGTTAGTTGACATAGAAATATCACCAGAATTGATTTCAAACAACTACTATTTGTTTGGCAGGTAATTTGCATAAATTTATCATTCTTGGAAATTAGAAAATGTGTTCTGAGTTAACAAAATCATTTGTCAGGGATTCAAAACAGAACCCGTTACCACCATGTGTACAGTAAAATGGCTAAAAGACACACAGAGGGGCTTATTAGGTTCCAGCAGTAGCAAAGGCCAGTCTACATGTACATGGTCTACACAGCCTTGTACTCAAATACTAGATTACATGTACCTGCTTTGAGGTAGTCCAGTAGACTGGCCCCGAGTAGTATGGGGCTAGTAAGACTTGTTGTAGGATGTAATTTGAAAGAAGGATAATGATTGGGCCTAGGATCAAAGATGTCTCCATCAGACTATGCATAGAGCAAGGAAATACTTTACCAATCTGAACTCAGCTGTCAGCTCAGACTCAGCTGCATCTACCCATGCTTTGCTAGCCTAGGGCTTCCCCGGGTTACCCCAGCTATATCTTGACCATGTTCTGGCTGTTGGTTGTCATGGAGTGCCCCCAAACTTAGGAATTGCAAAGATTTTATGTCATACACTTATGCCGTGGGTATTGTGTATTGAAGTTCCTTTTCTCTGTGCACAGGCGATGAGCCTAACTAACCTCCCTTCTTATATACTTGGTCACTAGGTCCTTATTTTTCCCATTTACTGTAAAAACCAACCGTACGTCGAAGTTGCTGGTGAACTTAGGGACCTGGTGACTACATGTACATGTATAGAGTGACAGACATGACAGGTGTTAAGCCTTCAGTTACAATGTATGTTCAGTATACATGTAGGTTATTTACAGTTGTCGCTTTTATAGTTGGACATAAATATGATGAAGCATAAATGGAACTACATGAATAAATGTGATAATTTAAAAATTACAATGTCAAACTAAAATTCAAATGACAAGAAAGCCTCCCACGGTTAGTCAGGTCTACGTTTTTCTGAATTGCCTGATTTAGTGAGCTTGATGGACATGGTTGAAAACTAGGCTAATTTGTTGTTGTTTGCATATGCCAGGAGAATGGAAATCTTTGAACCAAAACTACAAGACGTGCAACAACTGGACGTAAGCTGTAGATTTCTGTGTTCCGAGTAGAGACAATACAGCAACAATGGACTTGGACAAGTTTAACGTTTGGCAAGACCAGCTGGTTAAGACATTTAAGGATGAGTTGGATGATGAGCAGCGATGTGCCACCTTGGACCGTCTGATCTCTTCCTGCGGGGCAAAGCAGCTTGGTCACCTCTCCACCAAGCTGGAGGGACTGGTCAAGCGGGACTTCCTTCACCTGCTCCCGGTTGAGCTGGGCAACTACCTCCTGGCCTGGCTGGACGCCGAGACACTCTGTCGCTGCTGCCTGGTCAACCGGCACTGGAACAAGATGGTGAACAGCTGCGCCGCGGCCTGGCAGAATGCCTGCTGCCGGCTGGGACTGAACCCCGCCGAACAGGAGCGATACTTTGACCAGAACGGGGTGGACTGGAAAGCTGCATACAGGGACTTTGCATTACGCCTCAGGCAGCTGAAGGAAGGGTGTGCATTTGACAGTTTGACCTTGCAGGGCCACAGTGCCAGGGTTTATGCCCTCCATTATCGGGATGGTAAACTGGCTTCAGGTATCTAACGTTTCTCATTCAAGTCCACAAATCGAAATCTCAAAAGAGTAAATACAGCAGATTAAAAATGCAGATAACACGTCCAATTCAAACCTCATGGATTGTGTAATATTAGTCAAATTTCCCCTTTCTTTTCATCTGCAGGTTCGGATGATCTTACCGTCCGACTGTGGGAAGTTACCACGGGCCAGTGCCTCAAGGTGCTCCAGACACACACCTGCGCCGACATCAAGTTTGACGATAATAAACTCATCACGGCGTCCTTTGACAACACCATTGCATGCTGGGACTGGGAGGCGGGAACCAGGCTTCAGCGGTTCTCTGGCCATTGTGGCGCAGGTATGTACATTTATACACTGCAACAGAAAACAAAAACAAACATACTATTAAGCCACAGCTTTTCCATAGAAAAATCCGACTGTGTGTTTTAACAGCATAGTAGAAAGGTTGTACTTGCCATTGTCATACCTCTGTCTTAAATACTGTTTCTCATTGGCTCAGAACAATCACATGACAGGATGACATAACTGTTTATCACCCTCACTGCTAGACATCACATCAGCCAGCATTGTATGATATCACATGCACGCATGCATGCAACCCTGCAGTGTGCAGGATAATGAAAAACATCAAGACGGAGATATGACAAAACAGTTGTTGACTGCTGCGACATATGATATGACATTTTAAATACCATTAGGTACGCATAGCCGAAGCATCATCTTCACCTCCTTATCCTTTCTTCTCCCGATGCAGTTTTCAGCGTTGACTACAGCGACCAGTTGGATCTGTTGGTCAGTGGTTCGGCCGATGCCACAGTCAAGTTGTGGTGTCTGAGTGACGGAGCTCTCCTCAACACTTTGCATGGACACAATGACTGGGTCACTCAAGTATGATATCTTGCTGTTATTTTGAAAAGTTGACACTATTTCATTTAAAGGTGACACTTGAAATGTAAGCAGCCTGATTTTTGTATCTGTCCCCTGTGGTATAAAAAACCAATGACATTGATTACGGACCTTGAATGTTTTTTCATAAGGTGATTTTACGTGAGGCCTGCATAGAATCTGACACATTCTCTTCTGGTGAGCCAGTACTACTGACCATGGACAAGAATGAAATAAAGGTATGCAACAAAAGGTGCTTGGGTACCAGACAGCTAACTTTTCAGCCAGCCTTACCCTTCGTAGTCCTAAATGCGGTTAAAACCAGGAGTGGTTAAAAGCTGTTGTGTATAGTTGGATTTAAAATACTAAGTACCTGCGCAGTGCCAAGGCTGATTTTCTTCCAGTACACAATTTCTGGTTTCCATCCGTTGCATTTAGTGCAGCTTGCATTCCATCAGTATTCGACTTTGTTGGAAATGTTTTTTCACTTGAATCGCTGAGAAACAGAAAATCCATGAAAATAGAGACAAGTTGCACTTTAGGTATAAAGAAAGAGCATGTCATTTTCATACAAAACACAGACAAGCACATCAGCACAAAACATTTCCTTTGTAACATATTAACATAAAACTCAGCAATGCTGACTTGTTTTTCCGCAGGTTTGGAGTCTTAAGCACAGTGCTGAGTCGCAGTGCGTCAAGACTCTCACCTCGCCCAGCAACACCACTCTCCACTCTCAGACGTTTCTGCCCCGCCTGCAGTTGGATGGCACCCACATTGCCTGTGCCTCCGACATCGGCATCATAGTCTGGAGATTCCAGAATTTTGAATTAAAAAAGTGAGTTGTTGTTCTCTCAACCGACTCTTTGGCCCGAAGGAGCAAAGTAGAATTTCATGATGATTGAGCCCCCCCTTGCACGAAAAATGTTGTCATTCTGGATTAGCCCTTGTGTATAGGAAAGCATCTGGTGGCACATTCTTTGTAATGAAAGGGTCTTGCAATGAATATATTTGGACTTGCTGTTAATGCATCTTTGTACCCTCTGCCACTGCATGAAAGCTGTTTGGAATCCTTTTGGAGTTAAGTGTACTGAAAAGCTCATTTTTCTAAACCGAAAAAATTGTCCAAGCTCTTGACAAGTGATGAGGGCACTGTTGCTTGTTCAAATTTTGATTCACAAATTTACTCTTTGAAAACATTTCTCAGACAATGTTGCTTGGTGGCTTATCACCATATACTTACACAACAGTAAATTGCCAAAGAAAAATAAGAATTGACGATAGCAAACTATGAAAACTTCCTGTCAGTTTTTTAATCACAAATCAATGTGACATTGAAGTTCAGTGCCAGAGATGATGACAAGGTTCTACTCATGAATATAACCGAAAAGGCTCCAAAATGCAGAAGATGATGGCAAAACAAAAACTGAAAATTAGGGTAATTGAATCACAAATGTGCCATTTCAAGGGTTTTAGTAAAATAATTCTATGGTCCCTTCAATTTGTCAAAAGGCATGAAGCCCCATTACAAGGAATAATGGCTTGGCTTCACCACCCTCAGTCCTGCAAAATCCTCCCAAAGCTCCTGGTGAATTTTGAGGAATCTGTGAAGTTTGGACAAAAAACCAATTTGGAATTCCTTTTTGCCACTTTGCTCTCCTTCAACTTCCAGGCTGATCCCCTACACCGACTCCAGCAACCTTATTTTGCTGGGTCTTGGCACATCTTTCACCCTTCTACTGGACCATCAGTACCTACGGCTCCTCAACACCCAAACCCACGAGGCTGTGTCATCTTGGCGCCTCCCAGCTTATCGGCGATCCAAGAGGGGCTCCAACTTTGTGGCTGGGGCAGTGCGCTGGCTGGACGGCCTGGGGCTGGAAGCGGAGGTGGGGCTGGTGTTTGCAACCAGCATGTCTGACCACAGCTTGCACGTGGTGCGCTGGCGTCAGAGGGCGGCGTGCAAGCAGGACAGGTGACAGTGCATCATCAGAGCAACGGAGAGACGAAAGCCCTCGGCCCCGTGAATAGGGTTGCCTGTTGCCAGAGAAACCAACATCACTTCAGTTTTTTTTTGAGATTGCTGCAAACTGTATTTGATGTGGCCGTGCCAGCCTGATCAAGACAGGCGAGATACATGCTGGATGAGTTAGAAGTATGTGGCTTATTTTACAGTGCAACTCTTTGACAACTTACCGTAGAGAGTTAAGCCACTCAGCGTGAAACTAGCCGTTCAGTCAGAACTTCAAGTGGATACTTTCAAAACGTGCTTCAGAGCCAAGGCTGGGAAAATAATCTATGGTACAGTTCCGTAAGATGTGCTAAACCTCAGAAAATCCCCCTCATGTCTGAAATGCTATTTGCCAAGTTATGTAACATGTTAAAAAATAAGAACAACATATTTAACCACTCCAAATTTCCCAGGGTACCAATATTTATTCAAATTAACTTTCAAGCATGTGACATACTTTTTAAAAGATGTGCTGCTTTACGCAGTCAACCGAACTTTTCTTCAGATCACCAGATTTCCTCATTTTTAACTTTGTCAGGTGAGAGTTTCTTTAAGTTGGTGCTCGGATTTACCAATCTTCCCGATTCAGAACTGGAAAAAAAATCTCGGATCTGCCGACCAACCACAAATTTTTTTTCCTTGTGGAAAATGTATACACTGTAGTTTGTATTCTTCCCTCCAACTTGAAGGCCCTTATTTGCTTTTTTGAGACCATAGGAAGTGATTTTTTTTCTGTCCTCCAATGTTTGTCTCATAAAAAAATCCAAGCATCAACTTAAAAAAAATGCTCCCTTCACTCTAAAACAAAAATGTACACCCGTTCGGCGTAGTTGGGAACTCCCATTTGACTTAAAGGAATATCCAGATTCATTGTCTCAAAGTACAGACAATATGCCATCTGTAAAACTGTTTAGACTGGGAATAGGCATTGCTCAACCCCATGGGCACTCAGTTATGAATTGGACTCTAACCAAGTGACTCTTGAAATTTCGCAGCATCATTGTAGCTTTGGTGTGGTTAGGATTAATGTTTTTTTCATACTGAGCTATCAATCTGTCAGGTTTCATTAAGACTACAGTGTACTTGCTTTTGCACAAAGACACATTGTAATTGCCCATTTTTAATGCTCCTGGAGTAGGAGATTGCGAGTTCACAAATTATTTTCTCAGTTTTCTTGAGAATTTAGAGTCATGTGGAAGTACTGATGGATCTTTTTCTGTTTTTCAAGAAGACACTGCTTTTTAAAAAAATTTAATGGAACTGTACATTTGAAATCACAAAGTAACAAATGTGTACTTTTTCTGAAATTTGTGGAAATGAATAGTTTCTGGTGCTTCCACTTTGCTGCAATGTCGGGGTCTTAGCCACTATATGTACGTTATTCCTTTGATGCCTTGCTGTGTACATGTACATGCATGCTGCTATTTTACCAGTAACTTCAACGTACACTACATACCGGTCCTATCTGAACAAGCAACATCGATCAAGTTTGTCCAATAATTTAATTGTTTAAAATCAGCTTATTTAAGCTATTCTTATAAAACCTGAATATAGCAAATTGTGAATCTAGAATATAGTACCACTTGTTGCACAAAGAAAACAACATCCGGCCACACAGTAGCCCTTTCCATCCAAAATCTATCAAAATAGCCAACACAAGACGTTTTAACATGATTTGGTTCTATATAACTGTGCCAATAACAACTTCCAACTGGGGCTCAGTGCTCCGACTTTGATAGAGACAATGCGCCACTTTACAATATGCTTTTTAAGATGATTCTGTTGGTATTCATCATACCAACATTTTCACTTCTCAAGTGAAATTTTCAGTCTTGTCAAGATCCCTTACGACCAGCGCAAGAGCTGGAACTAATGCATTCCTTTGTCACTGTTCACGCTGTTTTTACTAGTCACTGATATTGTGATGGCGTCAACTAACAAGACTGGAACCTTTCCTCTGAATACAACAGAGCTGGTTTTCTTGAAGATAAACTTAGAGCCAGGAGTTAAGCTTAAAAGTTTAAATAAACTTTATAAAAATCAACCATAATGTGACAAGCCAACATGATCCTGTGACCATTTTAACAGTGCATTTTATTTCAGTACTGCTAAGCTGTTTGATTATTAACAAAGGATTAAAGCTTCATTCAGCCTACATATAAACGTATTTGCACTGATGAATTACACTGAAATTGTCAAGTCTGGCTTGACTTGTAACCAAATAAGATGTTGCAAATTCAAAACATTTCATGTTGCTGATTGGAGTAGTGGACATAACAACTGCTACTAACACACTGTATGAAAGGATACGTAACTGTGGATGAACTTAAAATACAATCACGAGGGCTGTACCATTCATTTCATCCAATCACAACGCTTGTACCATTCTGACCCCCAACATCCTTCAATCAGATATGCTGTACCAGGTCATATCCCAGGAGCGTCTCCGATATGACATCGCATAGGGACAAAAGCTTGAACGGAGCGTGCTCGGCGATGGTACGGGCGTGCGGTATCGAGTCTGTGATCCAGAAATGTTCAAATTTGACGCTGCTAGCTGCTGCCTCTGCTGTGGTGAAGGCCCTCCACGAGTTTTGAGGAAAAACGGCATGGGTGACAAATGCACTGACAGAGGCTGCACCTTTCTCTAATAAAGCCTGGGGAAAAACGAAATATCTGCATTAGAACAGAATACAATATTTTAATTTGTTCAACCAATGAAAAGCTACAAAACATTGACATCGGTAATTGACTTGTTCTTCCAGCTCTCTGAAGGAAAATAAACATAAATACAAATAATGTTAAAACAAATACTACTAAAGCTGTACTAATTTTAAAATGTAAACAAAAATACATGCATAAAGACAAGACCAATTATACACACAACCTGCACAAGGAAAAAACTCTTAAAACGCTGACTACCGTAAATATTCTTAAGACGGCAGTTGGATGGTAGGAATGAAAACTAATCTGACATTTATGAATTTAATGTTAGATCAGTGTATAACACTTGTCATCTTCAAGCAAAGTTCATCCTTTATATTCAGGTACATGCTGCTTGGTTGAGTATGGTAATACAGTAAACTCCGGCTAAGTTGGCACTCTCGGGACTCAAGAAATTATGATGACTTACGCGAACGCCGACTTGTGCTGTAAGGCGTCATTTTGCCGACTTACACATACACATGTATTGCCTATGTACATTATGATTCCTTGCACTAATTCAATGGCTTTGATTTACCCTGGTTTATTTCTAATGTACCTCCATGGTCAATCCCAGCAAATTCGTTCTTGATTATTATCCTCACAGGCTGCAAATTCTATAATTGACCATGTGCCCCTAAGGACGAAGCAAGGACAGCATATCACATCACGGCTCGACAGTGCAATACGTACGTGATACAGTTACGGTACAGAAGACATACACTCATCCGCACACGCATTGGTTAAGTTCGTTCAATAAGTTGACCCCAAAATGGACAGAGCGCATGCATCTAGCACTAGAGGGGTTACTGGTATTGATGTACTCGTGCTGGCCGATTATCAACCACGGCCTGTGCTGCTAATAAACAGACATCAGTCAAGCAGTGTTGGACTTGTCACTTGACACTTCTTGGCAACCATGGCGAAGGAAACTGATACCGAAGCGTGATTCTTTTAAATGCCGACTTACACAAAGGAATTTTTGTGGTTTTGTGGAAAAGGGACCAAGAAAAACATGCCAACTTATACGAAATGACGACTTATAAATGCCGACTTAGAAATGAAACTTTCCATGCAAATGCATTACAGACGATCGGGATTTTACCAAAAGGCTGACTTAAGATGATATGACGAGTTACGCGATGCCGACTTAGTCAGAGTTTACTGTATATTTGAGTCAATTACAAGACTCGCAAGTCCATCAAAAGTCATCTTGTCCTAAGCCATAGTGTGAATACTGTGAAAAACAATATGGCCTGAGGTTGGATTCAAAGTCTGGCTTCAATAATTCACAATAGTGCGCCACCAACAGTTTGCAACATGTTGACCAATCATAACGCGCGAAATTTGTCGACCCTTTCCAAACACGCACAGGGTCGACAAATTTCGCGCATTGCGATTGGCAAACGCGTTGCAAACTCTTTTTGGCGCACTATTGTGAAACGGCCGTATTCGCTGAAACAGAAATACTCCCTCACCCTGGCACAGTTCCTGAGTGTTCCTCCACTCTGCACCAAGTCATCAATGATGATTATATGCTGGTCCTTTGCTTCACCTGCATACCAAACATACAGGCAGGATGAGCTAAGAATATCAAATGTGTTGAGTGGAATGTGAACCCCAGACCACTGAAAGCATGTTTACGTGCAATGATGGTAAAATGTGAGGTGAAAGTGCATCCGTGACTCAATTGCAATTGTAGTGAGGCAAGAGAGCACCCTCTGACGAGCACGCATGAGCCAATGAGTACCGAATACCGATGCCAGCACAGGTTTGATACCTTCTTTGATGGTGACAACCCGTTTGTCACCGTTGCGCACTTTGATGCAGGTGATAAGTGGAAAGTCCTCAAACATGCCGTGGAAGCGTTTGTGGGCCCCCTCATCAGGGAAAGCAATAGCGAGATTAAACTTGACATCATGTGGGAGTTTCAGCATCTCACGGTGCAGCAACGGAATGGCAGACTCTAGCCTGACAACAGATGAAAAATGAAGATGTGATGCATAATGTAATACATAATGCAATAACATCTCTTTCTCCCTACAAGCCAAAAGGCTGAGGTTACAAGTTGTGACAATTTGATACGGGATTAACAGTGCAGTTCATTCAGCCTCTGTCTGAACTCAGAATGAGACAAGGGAGCATGGGCTACCTCGGTATGATAGTGTCTGAGAAGTAGAAGCGTTCCTGCAAGGCATGGATGTCGAAGATTACGATTTGGGCAGGACCATGGGCGGTGCTGGGAATAGACGACAACATCATGGCAAGGACCTACCGACACAGGCAAAAATGAAAGAAGAGTTTTGACAACTTGGCCTTCCCTTTGTTGCAATACTGTCTTGGTGGAGAGGGCTAATCAGGTATATTGCCTTGAGGTGCTACCTTAGCTGTTGTCAGGTATACTGCCTTGAGGTGCTACCTTAGCTGTTGTCAGGTATACTGCCTTGAGGTGCTACCTTAGTTGTTGTCAGGTATATTGCCTTGAGGTGCTACCTTAGCTGTTGTCAGGTATATTGCCTTGAGGTACTACCTTAGCTGTTGTCAGGTATATTGCCTTGAGGTGACTACCTTAGCTGTTGCGACTTGGCCTTCCGTATCCACCCTCTCCATGGTTCCAGTGGGGAAATACGGAAGGATGAACTTGAAAGATCTAACAAGATACCTGCAGCAATCAGAGAAAGGGATTGGATTCCTGCTGAGATCAGCTGATTAAGAAATGAGGGGTTTCAGAAGGCAGAGCTGTGTTTAACAGTCAACTTTCAACTATACATGTACCTTGGCATGGTGTAGAGGAGAGACAGTTGCTCAAACACCACCTCTGGCGAGTGGAAACTGCCGAGAAAGATCACTGGAAAGAATTCAAAAGACTTTAATGAAGAATCTTGGTTGAACATTGTTTATCTGAGTGCAAGAGCAGAATTGATGTTTTTGAGGGGAACATTCCTCAGAAACAGCTCCCAAAAAGACGAAAGCAAATGAACTTTGGTGGGTTGTTCACACAGCTAAGATAACAGTACGTGTACAGCTCACCGAAATGTGCATAAAGTGAAAATCAGCTGGGAACCAGTGATAAGCAATAGCCATCTCATAGTGTCTTAGGTGGTTAACCAGTTCCTGTGTAGCAAATCTGGTTTTTGCTCTAAGCACAATTCTGTACTTTGCACTACCGTGAGAACAGCTTCTCCATGTCCTCTGAGATTGTAACCTGAACAATGATTTAAATTACCATCTCTTCCAGCACACTGCTTGACATTGTCGATAAACAAGTTGGGCCATCCATCTTTGAAGCTATCCCAGAGAATGCCATTTTTCTGAAACTCCACCGGCTGAAGACGCATCTGCACATGTGTCAGATTCTCCTCGCTAAGAGGGTGCTAGAAAAGGGAACAAAGTGTTAGGATTGAGCAGGTTTGCATGAAATACACATTGATACAGATCCCCTAATCCCCAAAACATTTTGAATTAAAATTAAGAGGTGGCATAAAAGTAATTTGATTAAAATTACATCCTGGCAATTAACCTCCTTCAATTTTATCTGAGCTTGGGTGAAAAACACAAAGTATACACTTAAATGTTCCTGCAGACATTTCTGAGATCAGTACAGGTGCCAAGGGTAAAGTACCGTTTTGATTCGTAGGAATCTGTTAACCAAAAACTCGACTTATTGGACCAGGAATTGAAAAAAACATGCCGTCATCTTCACATACATGTACCTACTTCACATGCCATTATGAAGTATATATTTTTATTTGTAGAAATAAACGGTAGATGTCAATACACTGATGCTTCGTCACGTTAACTTAGAAGTGGACACTTCAATTGAAGTGAAATTAAATCATGATAATAAATTCTCTACATGTAATTCACGCAATGCATCCCAAAACAAGTGGCTTGAATGGAATAAAAAAATTTTGCAAAAAAAATTTGTGCAACACATGTGAAACCCACACATGTACTTCTTATCAATAGCTCACAGAATGGGATTTGCCATTCAAAATGTGCCAAACCTGGAAAAAAATATCTGTTGAAAATTTTTTTTCAGAATTGCATGTTTATCCTATTTACATGTAAATAGAATTTACATGTACATTTATTGATTTTAATCAGTGTGTAATAAAAATTATTTGATTTAAATTACAATTAAACGGCTGATTTCTGGTGATTTAAATCAGCCACCCCTGTCAAAAGTATAAACTGAAAAACAAAACAAAAATCGAAAACTAGTATGAAATCTTTAATTTAAAACATCTTTAACAAGGTGAAATTATTTTGCATGATAAAAAATAAATGAAAAGAAGTACGACTGAGTACCAGTAACCAGAAACTGCACTTTGTTTACTTGGCAAGACGAGTCAGTGACACCAACCGAGTCAAGCGTTTGCGACTGTGATCCCGGGTTTGGGGTGAAACAAGTCAAGGAAAGCGACTCGCGGGAACATTTTGCTGCGATGGCTGACGCCAAGTCCTCCATGGATGGATGACAGAAGAGAAGAGCTGGGAACCGAGACAACCTCTTGGCATCCATCTTTATTCTCTTTGGATTGCGGGGCTTGGAGTAAGAATCTGTTAACAGACTGAAACTATTCTAAGACAAGATTTAAACATCATATAACCATGGTATACAGCAACAATGTCAATATGAACAATTTAGGGCGTGCATGTCTTCCTTCCGTCCTCTAGGCTAGGACTAGTTGTAGTACTAGGAGGACTAACTAAATTTGAAGGTCCATAATGAAATTTCTTTTGCAGCTGGGCCTATAGTAGTATCATGATCATAGATGCACAGTTTGCAACTTGAGTGGAAAGGGATTCCAGAATTTTAAAATCCTAATTTTACTCAGATATGCAGAACATCAGTTTCGGCATGTATTCCAATAGCTCCGTGGTTTTGGTGGTGAATGCATCACCGTGTACATGATGGAGGGATATAACATAACATACAGTACATGTACATCTCCCGTGCATGATCTTAGCTTAATTATTCCAGCCTAGATTTGAACTAGCCTAGATAATGAACTTGTAAGGGAATAAAAATAAAGCTCTGACGTTAGCATGTGTTACAAAAGCACAGTGCGAATCCAGACGTTTTGAAATTATGGTACTAAGCCAAGTTTAATGGCCCATACTACCATTCATTGAAATTCGGGCCTGAGCCAGGGGCCGCCTACTTCATCAGCACTGCTACCAAAGAATGTACTCACTATATGCGATATGCGCGCGGGCGCGAGCGCTCGATCGAGCATGCGAGAATCAGTTGTGGACTATACCATAATATTGAATAGGTAACCATTCAAGGACAATTCGCATTTAAACTATTAATGAGCGAAATCCAACTTTCTGTTTTACATTAATGGCCTAAGTTTAAAAATATAACAGCATATTATAGAATAAAAGTCATAATTTATTCATATTTTTAACAAAAATAATTGAGGCCAATCGACATTATAAATTTAAGGGAGGAGGGACTTCCCCTCTTTAAGCCATGGTTCAAACTAAGCGCCATTTTACTTAAAACCACCAGCGTGGAGTTGAATGCATCGTAAGTGAACTTAATCTTGTCATTTTTAGATTAGATTTTGAGTCAGAAAACAGGTGGATGAGACACAATTGCTCACCATGTGCAGGCAGTGGAACTTTTGCTCTAATGTTTTTGTATTTACGTTAATGACAGTCAGATAAGTTGGAAAATACGCGATGCTCTGACGTCAAAGTCCTTTGTCATGTTTGTCGTGTCGTTTTCAGTTGTAGCGGCATGGCAGTACAATTACAATGTCGCCCCAAGAGGTCTTTAATTTCGCCCCATTGTTGTACCGAATGGTTGTGTTTTGTACATCAAAAGACAAAACCGGTTGTAAAAGAGGGTTGCATCCGTAATTTCCAGAAAGAGGAGCACATTCTTTATGGGCCACATTGAGAGTCTTACTCTTTAGGGGCCTAGTTTAGGCCTACATGTAGGCCCCCCTACTAACAGCCTAATAATATGTCAAATTGAACATGTTGAAAGTAGGCTAGGCCTAGCGTTAGACCTGTAAACAGGGTCCGACGAATACTCCTCCATCGTACACTGGGCCCTGTCCCGATACATGGGGATTTCTTTCGAAAAAATTTTATGGGATATCCGGGGGCATCCGCTTGATTTTATGAGCTGAAATTGCACTGGTAGGCCTAGGCCTACACGTACGTACACATGTATGTTCACTACTTATGGGATAAACTATCTGCTAGGTTGCTAATTGCAGAAACCTTGCCTTTTCCTCATTTTCTTGCCGTAAGGGCTTCGCGCTCTTGCAGTAGTCTCCCTACGATAAATTTTACCACAAATTATTTTCAGGTTTTTTCTTCATGCCCATTCACATGCCAGTTAAATACCCCCAGAACTGTGGGGTCCGACGTCCACCCCACTCCCACGAACCCCACAGAAAAAGAGCCTTTTTCGCCATAGGCTGTGCATGACATTTAACGGGGCAAGAACAGTGATTCCATTTGAGTTGTGTACCCATAGAAATGTTGCTTCATTTCCCCCAAGAATTTTATGTAAGTAGGCAGATTCATGAAATTTCAGACATGCCAGAATACATTCAGTCACTTTTATTTCTGTTCAGTTTGGCAATTACAGACGATAGAATTGGTAATTGCCTCTGGTTCCAAGGTGGCAAATTTTCCAGCCGATGTCTTTTTCACAGAAGAAAGAAAAAAAATAATCTTAATTTAAGAAACAGTTTCATTGACATCCAAACTGAAAATGTTAGTAAAATGAGAAAGATATTAAAGCATGACAATGGTAAATCTCCCAAAGGAACCTGTTAATTTTTACTAAGTGTTTATAAAGAAATTTGATTTCATAATTTCTGGACAGCCATAAGGTCTTTTTGTCACTAAAATATTTATATGTTTTGTTCATCAATAATGCTGTTTTGAACCATGGGGAGTGAGGGACATTCAAGTATTCTAATGGGCCTTATTTCTGCATGTTAACCTATGATCAAAGAAATTAAACCCTTTACAAAAGAACCAAGCAGTTGGTTTTCCATTGCCAAAAAAAAAATAAAAAATATGCCGAGGCCTACAACACTCAACAGTTGCAAACAATACCAACAAACAAAAAGAAGAACCAGAAATCTAAAGTAGAAATTCAGAAACACAGAGTATGAAATTTAGGGAAGGATCAGTTTTCATTAAAATGTGAATTTGGTGAAGAAACATGAAAAGAAGTAAAATAGGCCCAATTAATGAAATATGGGACGACCACTGCCACTTTTTAATAACTTCACACCTATATTAAATAATGGAAGAGTCCACTTACAAAACTTTTGCGAAGCAGGCAGACTGTTTCGTGTAGTGCTCGGGTACATGTAATTCTTTTAAAATCCAGATTTGATGGGCTAACAACTTAGTTAGTTCTTTAAAAAATGTTTTCAACCACAAACATGCCCCAAAAATGTAAAATACGATAGACAGGCTGACCTTGATCACTGGGTCTTGCCCACCGTGATCGGCAAGGCTAACCACCATGCCGCCACTCAGTTCGCCCGTTGGCGCGGCACTCGCCATTTCCGACATTTATCGCAAAAGTGCAAGTGTTGCTGTAAGTCAAAATGATAGTTTTTAGCAACATAAACGTTTGTTACGCAAATACGCTGCGTCTATTTTTGTCACGTGACATACGGCCACAGATAATGCATATGTTCAAAATGTGTTTTTACCTGCTACTGCTACATGTTGTTGTGTTTATTTCCTGCTTTAAGTATTTTCCTTCAGAGCAGTGGGCCCTAACCAGGAGAGTAAAAACCTACCATGGATAGCGATGATGAGAATGATCGCCGGCGGAGGGATAAATTCCGTCGGGAACGGAGTGATTACAGCGATCGCAGAGAAAGAGATACCCGGCGGAGGGACGATTGGAATGATCGGTACGATCGACAAGTTGGTCAGGATTTCTCACAGATTATGCCGGTGCCATTTTTTGTAGGCATAACTTAGGAATACATGTAATGTTGTGTTATTCAGAGAGGCTACCTTTACTGTCGCTCTTATTAATTTTCAAGAATGTTTAACAGATTTTTTTTGATGAGTGAATCAATGTTTGACACCAAAATTTCAAAATTTGCCCTCACAGTAGGCGGAGAGATACGCGCGATTTGAGGGACTGGAATCGACGGGACTACCAGGATCGTGGACGGAGGGACAGGTACAGCCCCCCTCCAAGGGACTTGAGTCCGCCCTCCAAACGCATGAGAAGAGATTGGTAAGAAAGTAATTTAGGGTTTGGCCAGAGCAGGGCAGCACATGGCAGGGGTGCCAAATGGGTCAGCTTCAGCGTACCCACCAATGCTTAAGGCGAGGTTTGGGAAATAGACTTCGGTTGGGTGTGGGTGGGGAAGAATGGATGAGGACAGGGCAGCGCAGGGGTTCAGTTGCTTCGCTTGAACACACCCATCAGACGTGTGAGGAGAGATCAGTGAAAAAATAGCTCTGGGTGCGGTTTGGGCATGGCGGGCTCGACTAGCGTGTCACCATTCTTTTTTCATGTTCAGGGATTCGGGAGGTGGCTACGGTAATTACAACATGCCATACGGCGGGGGTGGAAACCAGGGGTATGGAGGCCACCCGCAAAGCCACGGCTGGGGTGGTGGTGGTGGTGGAGGTGGCATGCAACACATGCAGCAAGGTCCTCACCATGGTAACCAAGCACCAAGGTAAGCTAAGAACCAGGCGTTGCAGCTGGTATGGAATGACATTGTGCACTGCTCAGTTGATAAACCCCAAATCCTCCTCAATCCAAAATCCCTCGGGCAGTTTTGGAGGATTTTGGAAGATTGAGGGTGAATGGTAAAAGTGCATGGCTGATTGTGAAGGATGCCATGCGTGAAGGTCGTGGGTTAGACCTTGTGTTATTCTTGCCCAGTCCTACATAAATTCAGTCCGATATTTTGAATCAACCGCACTACCCTCGAACCCCATTCGCACTGCCTCGACTTAATGTCAGGAATTGCCGGAGGATTTTGAAGGATTGAGGCAGTAGGCACACATCCAAGTAACATTTTCAAGATCTTTTGCAGGATTGAGGGAGAATCCAATTTTTCACCCCCAAATTGGCGGATTTTGGAGGATTGGGGAGGGGCCTTAGCAAAAAGGGGGCCTGGGGGTTAACATTCAGTAATCACAGACCCAATGCAAACAAGCTGTTTGATTTCTGCTTGTCCGTGATGGCAGGGGTGGGATGGATCATGACCATGGCCGTGGAACCCCCCACGGCCCTCACCTCATGAGCTTCAAGAACTTTCTGGCCTCCCAAGATGACATGATTGATGACACAGAAGCCGTGCGTAAGTACAACGAATACAAGGTGGAGTTCAAGCGCACACAGCTCAGCGAGTTCTTCCTGGCCCACAAGGAGGAAGAGTGGTACGTGATTGGTTCATTTCGAGTTATCAGTTACGTGATTGGTTCATTTCAAGTTATCAGTTACGTGATTGGTTCATTTCAAGTTATCAGTTACGTGATTGGTCATTTATTGATTTCATACTAGATATTATTCTTTAAGTAGTTGGTTAGTGCCATACAACATGACTAGTAGCTTTCAAATTATAAATTGTATCTGTTGAAAGAAAACCACTAATGTGTTGTTACATACATGTATACTGACTTCGGATTTCAAACTGATGCCTCTTTGACGAAACACTGCTGACTGGAGAATTTACACCCCTACTAAATTTGAAACAGTTGCATCTCATTTGAACACAAACTGCATTCATATAGTTCTGACTTGTCTGTGAGTTATAAATTGGTACTGAAGCTGCATGATTGGTAATAACCTGTCCAAAAATGTTCCTTCACTAGCCTTTTCGTTGGCATGTACCTGATAATGGGTTTACCCCTTGAAAATTGAAAAGTCCTGTTTTGGAGCTTAAGAAAACTGTTCCCTTTTGTTTTGAAATAAAAATGCCCTTCATCATTTGACTGTCTGTTATTGTTTTATCTCTGGTGTGGAAACTGTACCCTCAAATAAAAAAAAATATGTGGGTAAATTTTCAAACTTTCACCCCCAAAAAGTGAGCAGTTTTGGGTTTGCCCGGTGTGGGATATTTGCCTCTATGATTATTTTTTCTCTGAGAAAATGCATTGTAGGACTACATGTAAGTAGATTTTTGTTGTACGTGCATCTTGGTCTGCTGACTTACAAACACAGTTCCACACCAGACTTGTTCTCTAACTTCTGATACTAAAACCTGTCTTTCCGCAGCAAAGCTTCACCAAGAGACAAGCTCCGGGGGAAGAAATACCATCTCGCGATCTGTTTAATTTGTAGGGCCACTGCGCAAAAATGCAGTGTGATAGGGCTAGGGTCACCAATGAGTGGATTAGTCACAAATTTAGTGCTAGGTTCGGCGTTAACCCCCCCTCAAGTCTTCACGGGAAATAATATTGAGCGGACGGCCAACTTTACATGAGAAAAATTCATGAATCCCCCTTTAAAAAAAGGGCTGGATTAATCGGAAGAACGTGTAACTGGTTGTCGTTGCGGAGAGGGACCAAAACGGAATAAAAATTTGGTTTGCATCTCCGGGCCTGCCTCAAACGTTCGGTTGTCCTCGTGCGTTGCTTGACGGCCGAGTGGTTGGCAGGTAGGGTACACCCCATGGGTGATGGTGGTGGTGGTAAGATTTGGATAAGCACATTACATGCATATGAGCCTGCTTCCAGACCTATGTCACAATATTCTCTCCCCCTTTTTTTAAATATGAAGTGTTGCCCAAGATGCATGCATGTGAAGTCTGAGCGATTCCCATTCCGTCATTCCTCAAACACTGAATTCCATGGCGTTGCTCACTTGGCTGTTTCAGTTGGACTCGTGATCAAATCAAAAGGGCCGACACTGCAAATACTGCAAATAGCAGTTGGCCAAACACGGCAGATCTTCTCTATCATAGCTGCAAGTCAGCATGTCAAGTTTGTGCTTTCAAACATCGACTGGTAAAGCTTTTGAGCAAAGATGCCAAGTCTGAGTCAGGTGCAACTTTCGGCTTTGATCAAATCGGTCCAGGAAAGACATTTGCCAAAAAAAAGAGCCAGAATGCGATATTCATGTGCTTTAAAACATGCTACCAAAAGACCCATCAGATTCCCACCTGCTATGTATCAACACGACCAAGAAACCATAAGAGCTTTTGTATGGATGTAGACCATGCCACTCACTCTGTGAACCAGACATAGGACTGGACAGAAACTTTCCTGATGAAACAAAAACACATACATGTATGAAACGTTGTGTGCTCAGCGTGGCATTTTGAATGACAAGCAGACACAATTGCATTTGCTGAAACAGTCTGGCCGAAACAGTGGCATGGTCTGTATTGCTTCCCATCACACATGCAGCTGTTCAGTAATTTAATCTTGATCATACCACTGTTTTTGTCCCATCCCCCCCCCAATTCACCAAAATGCATCATTACACTCAAAACACTCAACAACCAGACACGATGAGTTCTTATTGTTAAGCATATTGTGTGATTCGATTGCGTTGACTGGCAGCCAGGGTTTATTTTTCTAATCCCCCGTTTTCTTGCTTCCTTCTCCCCTCCTGTCCTATCCTGCTTGTCTGACAAGGTTCCGGTCAAAGTATTACCCAGATGAGGCAGACAAGCTGAAGGCAGAGGGTCTGACTGCTGTCCGGCGACGCCTGCTGGTGTTCTTGGAGCTGTACGAGGAAGGCTGGATGGACAAGTTGAGGCTGCAGTCGGACCGGACCGACGACATCAGCCGGTTACTGGACGCAGGTTGGGCTGACAAAGTCAGTGGCCTTGAACATATAAAGAACCAAAGCGTACTCGCGCAAGTACCGAGCTCTTCATGCCAGCAAGGATTTGCCATCACTCTGACAGTCTTTGAGACTTTGCTTGGAAATTCTGGTGATTCCAAACCGTCCGAGAACATGTTAAGGCAACTGAATAAAGATATTGTCAATGTAGAATGAGAAAATGGTCACGCAGCTGCGGAATAATGACCGAGTTGTAATTTTAAAATTTTCATCCGGCAGCTGTCATCAAAATGGAAGGAGGCACGTCCCTCGATCTCAAGGTACTGGATCAGCAGTTCCTGTCACCACGGCGACGGATGACATCAGAGACGCTAAGCTTGGCTCACAGCCCAAGGGGGAAGTTGGAGATCAAGAAGGAGAAAGAAGAGTGAGTGCCCTGGAATGTAGGGCTGAGTCAATTTGATAGGGGTGTGCCGAATATCCAAATATTCGATCGATTGTCAAATATGTGAAAAGTATTTTTCAAATTTGAATAGTTGAATGCAAAATTCATGAAAAGAAAGGGAGCATTTCCTGTTGTTTTAAATGAGAAAAATGCTCAATGGAGGCTTGTTTCAAGCAGATTCAAATGAAACGTGTCAGAAATCTTACAGCGATTTAAAAAGTAAATTATTCAATAACCAATTTAAAAGGAACAGAAATTTTCAACAGGGCAAGAAGTCTTGTTCATCTCTTACAACTTGCTAAATCGTGGCTGGAGACACTTCTAGATGTGAGAAGCTATTGTATGGATCATAAGGTACAATTCTGTGTGTTATTGTGACTGATTTTGTATATAGTTTGTTCATCAACAATCTGCCAGACAGTGCGTCCAAATGTTTGGATGTTCGATCAAATTGAAGATTGAATATTCAAATAGTGAATTATTCAAATTGACTCAGCCCTACAGTTTGAATAATTGACTATTTGAATATTTAACTCTCATTTCGATCAAATATTAGGTCATATTGGCCAGCAGAGTGTTGATGAACAAACCATATGCAAAATCAGTTGCAGTAATGCACACAAATGTACATATAATCATCATAATAACTTCTCACTTTTAGGACTATTGCCAGCCAGGATATAGCAAAGATTATTGGTTTAATAACAAAGAGACTCTGACACCACAATTTGTGGTCGATGAGAGACTACTTAAAATTTCGTCTGATGCGGCCATCTCCCTCTTTGGACTTCCTGTCATTTATTTTCAAGTTGAAGTATTGTCATGAAGGTTACGTCTTATTTTATTTCAACAAAGTTTGCATCAGTACATGATGATTACAAAGAATACTATTTTGGTACATTTCATATTTTTTATAAAGAGGAACAAAGAAATTGACTGGAGAGGGATTTGAACCTGCAGCCTTCGTAATACCGTACCGGTGCTCTAACAACCAAGCTATCCAGCCCTACATGTATGTTGATGGCTCTTGTCACGCGTCAATTTCTGTGTTTGAGGGGCGCTAGCCAGAAGCCATTAAACCTAAAACACCATGTAGCCAGGGATCACGCCCCAATAAACAGGAGTGAGATTTATCAGCTTTTTAGCTGATTTCAGCTTTTTTTGTTGTGGATTTCAGCTTTTTTTCCCTCACCGGCTGTGTTCAAAAGTGTAGGAGACTTCACAGTTCAGCTTCTTTATGCCCTTGTCAGATGTTTTCAGCTGTTTTTATCATTTCTCAATCACCCCTGAATAACACGATACAGCCTGGGAAGTGGTGAACAGGGATCGCTCGAAGACGATGCAAACAAAGATGATATTGACACATGTTAAGAGCCATCAACATAGGGCTGGATAGCTACAGTTGGTAGAGCACCTGTACAGTATTCCGTAGGCCGCAGGTTCAAATCCCGCCCCAGTCCATTTCTTTGTTCATCTTTGTAATAGTTTGTAAGCACCAAGTTAATTTCCGTGTATGATTTGTTTCATGATTCACATTATTTTGTTAAAAATTTTGTTAAAAATTCCATATTTTTGGATGGATTCTATGTTGGGCTGTTGGGCATATCAACTGCCTTCAAATGTCTGGAATCTGCTTGAAACAAGCCACCACCGTGCAACTTTGCACATTTAAAAAAGCAAATCCTTTCCTTTTTATTCTTTAATTTTTCAGTCGAATATTCAAACATTACAAAATACAAACTACTGCAAAATATTGTAATTGGATATTTGATTACTGATTTGGCACAGCCCTACTGGAATGTAACAAGAAGAAATATCACTGAAATTCTAGAGGGTCGAATGTCCAGCTGTGTCGAACAAGTGGGAAAGAGTTCCATATCTGGACGTCACTTGACACCCTGTGCATGTACCCTAGGAGACTGGTCTGACAAAAAGTGGTTGCTAGGTGAATGCTGCAACATTTTCACTGCAAAATTAGACCTTTTGGGGATATGTTGTCACTTTCTGATGGCTCATAAACTACGGCATGGGAAAATTAGTGATGTCCGTTTGTGGAATTCTTACCAATGACTGAACTTGTCTCCCCTCCCACCAAGATTGGTCAAAGCCTGTTAATTGGCAAGGAGGTAGTCAGTAGCGTGCCTTGCCTCTTTGCTCCCATATTTTTTGTATAGTCAAACATGAAACTTCACATTCTAATATGTATGGTCTTTGGTAACTGGTGATGTGGCCAACTTAGGCAGGCTTCTCAGAGAAGTGATGAGTCCAACCGGTGTCGGCTTAGGATTTGTGTCCGCTGAAATGTGATCTTGAAACGTGTACTTACCAATTGAGCTGCTTATTTGCTTTTGCTCGTGTAGAATCAAGGAGGAGGTGAAGGAGGAGAAAGGTGCCTCAGCTGCCAAGGAGGACGTCAAGCAAGAACCAGAGGACAAGATACCAGATGAGACAGGAGAGGTAGGCTTGATATCAGACGCTGAGGAAGCACCTCTGTAGATGTGGTTGCTCATTACGTGGACAGAACAACAGCTTTTATCCCATGGTTTATGTCATTTGTATATCCATCTGATCTGAAAGCCTACAAGCCATACGTTCCCTTGCCTTACGTGCCCAGATTGTCAGCCCCAAGAAGGAAAAGGGTGCTGAAACACAGGAGGATGAAGAGAAAGATGCAAAGACTAACGGAGATGAGAAACCAAAGGTATTTCTGTCCTAATCACACTCTGGACTTCAGTTGTAACCTCTGTCAATACGTTTGTCATAAAACCTATCTGATTTATCTCACCTGCGATGTCACACAATTGTCACAGAGTCTTGTGTATCAGTGTACATACACAACCAAAGAACATTCCCTTTGCACATACAACACTTCATCTGGAGATTGGTGTACTCGTCAATGAATGTCAAAAATTATATTTCCTGAATTTGAACAAGTTGTAGTGTATCCTGCACTGGAAGTGAACTTTTTCCCCCTTAACCAGGGTGGCTCGGAGAAACGTGGGAAGAAACGCAAGCGACACCACGACAGCGATTATGAGAATGACAGCGGCAGCAGCAGCAGCGGCAGCAGCAGTAGTGGCAGCGAGTCGGAATCTGATAATGAACCCACCCCACCAGGGCAGGGTGAGGCTCCACCCCTTTTGGGGGGAATAATATCTCTGCATTGACCTTCATGTCACAGTGCATAATTCAGTGTGTACCTCTCGAACAAAACAGTTTCTAAGTCACAAGTATGACAATATTGTATGTGTGTGTGACTGGCATATCTCTCCCAAGGCATGGATGATGACGTCCTTCCTAGCGACAAACTTGAAGAAGACAAGGAGGCAGAGAAGGCTCGAAAGGAGGCAGAGGAGGATGACGGAGAGCTGAAGGAAGGCGACAAGGAAGGGGAAGAAGAGGAGGAGCAACCAGCGCCCCGCCCACTGCACAAAACCTACTCGCTCTTCATCAGGAACGTGGCGCCCATGATCACCAAAGCCGAGATCATCTCGGTCAGTGCCAACGCCTGCGTTACTTTTATGATGCGCCTTGTATTTCTGATATCGAAATGAGATGCTCCTGAGAGCACAATTTGTTTAGAGACAAAATGGGGTGTCAATACTTCACCATGTGGTATAGTAAATTCAGAAAAATTGTGTCAAAAATTCCAGAAGAATTTATGTTAACAAGTTGTACCGTTTTTTTTGGGGGTCATTTTAGTTGTGCAAGAGGTACAACGGTTTCATGCGAGTGGCTCTAGCTGAGCCACAGCCGGAGAGGAACTTCCAACGACACGGCTGGGTCACCTTCGATCGCAGTGTCAACATTAAGGAGATCTGCTGGAACTTGAGCAGTATCAGGGTATGTAGCAAGCTACTGTCCAGTCACAGAATTGGCAACTTGCCAATCTGGGGCATTTGAACTGACTATTTGGCAATTTCAAGGATGGTTTGCCTGGAGGGGTTTGCTCCACAGTTAATCTGATCTGCCCAATTTCTCCTCCCTAAAGAGAAGATAAGTGAAACTGGCTGAATCCTTACCCTCTAGGGTGTTTTAGCTAGAAACCCTGCCAGATAAGCATTTGTCAAAGTGGCTTGCCTGTCCAGTGGAGCAAGATCCAACAGCTAAACTATCCCCGAAAACCAAACGGCCTGGGAGTCTGTGGTTGACAGCCATCACAAGATCCAACAGTGACATTGTTCCCAGCTCCCATTGTCTCAACATGGGCATTTTTGGTTGGCTGCTCTTGATTGCCAGGCTGAGTGCAACAAAGGGCACCAGACTTTAACCCCTGCTGTACTAAGCTGCATCTGGCAGGGTTAGGGTTGAATGGGAGTCATCAATGTAATGAGAAGTCCTGGAGGAAACCAGGATATTGTTGTGTCACTGTGTATGTTGCAGATTGTCTGCTAAATTTTCAGAGCTTTAGTCCTCTTGAAAGATGCCTCGACCAGCAGACTTGTGAAAAGTGGGCAATATGAAACACTGACTTTTCGGAAGAAATTTGAAATGGATTTTGTCATTGGGTGTGTGTTTGTTTGTTTGCTTTGATTCCTCAGCTGAGGGATTGCGAGTTGAGTCCTGTTGTCAACCGTGACCTCGCCAACCGCATCCGTGGGGTCAGTGGCATCACCGCCCACAAGAAGATCATCCGGGCTGACCTCAAACTGGCCGCCCGCCTGGTCCAGCAGCTGGACAAGCAGCTCCGGCTCTTCTGCCCCGATGAGGAGGCCCGTTTCGCCCGGGAAGAGGCCGAGCGAAAGAAGCGGGAGGAGAAGCGCAAGGAGGAGGAGAAGAAGAAACGAGAAGAGGAGAAGAAAGACGAAGACGATGGAGAGAAGAAAGAAGAGGGGCTTCAGGAAAGCTCAGCCGAGGAGAAAGAACCAGAGAGGGTGAACTTAGACCTCAGAATAAGATTAATGCCAAAGCCCATGCTCAAAGTTTGAACTCAGAAGTCCACATTTTTGCTCCTTCAGAAGTTGTAAACCATCATTGCTGCGGTTGGTACCCCCTGTAACGACTCCCTTTAGGTGATTCCATAAATATGGGACCCAAAGTGTGACACTTTTGGTGTCCCCCTTACACATGAAACAAATTTTGAAGATCGCTTGACACTACAACTGAAAGACACTTGGAAAATGGAAAGTGGTAAAAGTTACAAGCTTGTGTGCTGCCTAGTATACTGTTAAATGGACGAAATATTTCATTTAGTTACAGTATAAGGTGCAAACAAACTGATTGGTTTCGTGTGTAACGAGGACACCAAAAATGTCACAAGTTGGGTCCCAAATTTATGGAATTACCCATTTGCGTCTGCTCTGTGTACTTCAGATTATCATCCCGGCCAAGTACAAGTTTAATCCAGTCCTAGAGAATATTACTGACTACTTGGTGGAGGAGGTGAGTGCCGAGGAAGATGCTCTGATGGGAGCCAAGCCGGAAGAGGAAGGAGAGGAGAGTAGCGGAGAGGTCATGTTCCTGCGGGATGAAGAGCTGAATAAGGTTAGTCCTCAGGTATGATGTCCTTTATGAGGGTCCGAATAAGGTTAGGTGTCAGATGGATCTGATCGGTCCTGAGATGTCATGTTCTCAGTGGATAAGACAGTATAAATTAGGGAGCGTTTCATAATTGTTGAGGGCGGTATTTACTGCGGTACCGCTGGTTTTTTTTTAGCGGCACCACACTAGTTACCCGAAAGGGCTTAATGCTGGTACCGCAAAAATACAGCGGCACCGCAGTAAATACCGCCTTCTGTAATTATGAAACGCTCCCTTAGGTTATTACTCAGATTGCTGTGATATTGAAGAGGAACTGAATAAGTGTAGTCCACAGGTTATTCTGATCAGTCCTCGGATATCAAGTTCCCGATCCCAAGGAGGAACCGAAGAAGGTAGTCCTGAGATTGCTCTTGCCGGTCCTAACACCCATGTCTTCTGCCGCTTGTAGGTGCTGGACCGCTTACTGGTCTACTTGCGTATTGTACACTCAGTGGATTACTACAACACCAGCCAGTACCACATCGAGGACGAGATGCCCAATCGATGTGGCATCATGCACACCCGAGGACACAACCCCCCAAGTCGCCTCACCCACAAGGACTGTAAGTTGTGCATCAGGTCTACCCAGCCAATGAAGGGGGGGTCCTTGTGGCCGAATCAGGATGCCCATGAGAGGTGTCTCATTTGGGGCCAATTTCATTCAGCTGCTGGGCACAGACAATATTTCCTCCGCAAATGAGGGAATAAGCATGTGCTTGGCCGGTCTTGAACGTGTGTTCAAGATCGTCTCAGGAGAATTGATGCAACTGATCTGTGTCCATTCTCCTGAGCTGGTCTTAAACCTCATCCTAAGACTGATATCATTTATTCCCATTCATAAATTCCACTTAAGTCAGAGTCAAATGAAGTAATAGACAAGAAATTTGCAAGGAGTTTGTTCAAGAATTTGACTGTGATTTCTCTGAACACCCCTATCCATTTTATGATACATGTATATTCCATGTGCAAGCAGTCCAGAAGAATCTCTTTGTAATTATGGACGTCACGCACGCACGCACGGCGAGTTCTGTGCTCAGCGGTGCACACAGACTCTTGACCCATAGGAATGGATTAAACTGTCTCGTATCTAGGTGCCAGCATAATTTTACACAGTGGGCATTATCAAATGTTAAGTATATGGTCACGATGCGTATTGTTTACAAGAGAAACTGTCTAAGGTATTTGTGAACATCAGTTATCAGCCAAAATGGGCATTTTTTATGGCAAATCCATTGAATTCAGTCTTGGTGTACAAAATTATACCTTACTACACAAGTGTGATAACCCAAAACGTTTTTGGAATGGAAACACGAAAATTACGACTCGTAAAATTAATTATTAAACCGAAATGGATGTGTGTTCTTTCATTACTTTCCTTCTGACAGTGACCAACTGGATCAGTAACTTTGAGACTAAGCTGTCCAACCTGTTGAATGCAGCCTCTGATGTAGTGGATGAAGAACTTGTCAAACTAGGCAGGAAAGACCCAGAACTATATCCTTTGCAATAGGGATTACGGAAATGAAGCTAACAGGCTCTGACTCCCGCTTGACTTGCCTGAGGGACAGACACCTGTTGCAGACTTGTGCAAATTTACCCCATTGGTTGCATGGGGACCAAATAAAAAAGCAGGGCTTTGAAGTTAGGTTTGTGATATCAGCTCAGGTTTTTGAGAAATAAATTGAGTGTACTAAGGACAGTTTTGCCAGTTAACCAGCCTGCCCTGGACGGTAACCAATCTCTTCAGTCACCAGGCACATCCTTGTTTCTGCTCCTTGACTCTGTTGTCCCTTCTCACAGAGGTGGAGAAGTTTGTCAAGGCCAACACCCAGGAGATAGGCAAGGATAAGTGGCTGTGTCCACTCAGTGGGAAAAAGTTCAAAGGGCCGGAGTTTGTCCGGAAACACATCTTCAACAAACACAGCGACAAAGTGGACGATGTCAGAAAGGAGGTTGGTGATAGTGCTCTCTGTTTTTTATTTCAAAGTTCTTGAAAAATTCCTTCCTGTTATTTAACCTCAACCTTCTCACTTAACCCCTTGACGATGGGAACTTTTTTCTGAAAGCCGACACCAAGAATTCCAGCCTCGCTTGGCCACGAAGGCCACCTGCCAAACCGCAAATTCTTGTTTTGTGGCCCTGCGTGCTGTGCACCCTTTGAATTACACAGTGAAAAGGCTCTTTGTTCGGTGGCATTCGGCTCTACTCACGCTTCCACATTTCCGTTGCCTCTTCTCAAAGTGGGGACTGTTGTGAAGCTGGTGATTATGATGCAAATTCAATCTTTTCATTTCTGGGCTACACACAAAGGCCAATCACCATATATACAAGAGCCAGGGTCTGCCTTCTTTCACCGTGTTCGCTCGAGCGTGGGCCGAGAATAATAGCTGAAAAGCGGGCTGAGGATTTCAATTTTTACGGCAGCTTTTACCGTCATCCATCGCGAAGGGGTTAATACATCTAGGGGATACACCCCCCATCTTGGTTTTCTTGTGATAAATCTTTATGAAATGTGCCATACGTGCCAAGTATCCGTTATAAGTATGTCTACAACGTTTTGCCAGACATACGGTTTACTCTTAATGCTTTGTTAGCTTTTATTGGGTACACATCAGTGAGAAGAATTTAGTGTTACTGATTGCCGTATATTTTAATAATCTTGTGTATCGTGTGTTGAATGTAGATGTGTACCACCCTTTTCATCCATGTCCAACCCCTCAAACCGAAAAGCAGTATTTGGTAGCCATTGGCTCCTAATGGGGAAAAATTTAGGCGCCAGCACTTATATGAAAATTTACTAATCACACGTGTGCACACGTATGTACACACGTGTAGTATAAATACCCTGCATTTACATCGTCCATCCATGCCGAAGAATCATGACCTGGGACGGCACACGTCCACCACACAACTTGCATACTAGCGCCAATGAGGTCAATCCTACGAAATCTGGGTTTTCGCCAAGGGTTCAGCCACGGACGTGACGTCCGTAGTTTCAGCATGTCGCAGGACACCCTGCTGCATGAATTGCGCTATTTCTGACACTCTGAATCACACCGACACCCTGTAATTCAGGCATGAGCTCCGTTTCAGGTTTCATTTACGTTGCTGCAAAAAAGCAGCAAAAAATGGCCCTGGTGTCCGTATACAGTGCATCAACAACGTATGTTTAGATCGGGAACCAACCAAAGCGTGTGCGTGATCGCGACACATGTACATTTAAAGTATGGTATATGTACATGTACAGCGCATTCGGTATGACTTAATGCGACTTGCGCTGCAATTTCTACTTTTCCAGAACCAACTTGGAGTACATAATCATTTACATAATCATTGCTTTTTTGATTTTTAAGCATACTCAAAATTGTTCAAATACATTTGTATGTAGTTTTTAAGCTGTCCTAAGTCGCAAATGGTGACTGGATGGTGAAAATATGATCGCATTAGCAAAATTTTGGTCGCATTTGCGACTGATTTGGGTGCTATTTAAAGCGTTGTCCATGTCAATTTTATTAAGGGTCTAATGGTTGGGGTTTATATTTTCTCTGAAAAGTAATAGTAAATTGGCAATTTTACCTGACACATTTGTATTCTAATTGCAAATGAATCTTGTAAATCTATAAATGCCTCTGTATTTTTAATAGGTTTTATTGATGTAATCACTGTAACAATTCAATCTTTGGGTTGTTAGCAAATGGAAGTAAATTTATAATGAATGTCAGCATTTTGGGGGCGACTTCCAGTGGAAAAATGGGAATTTCGCAATGTGAAATTTTTGTGAGAATGGTATGTCATATTTGAGAGACAACTCCACCAGCTTCTCAAAGTTTAAATTAGGCTGATTGATTCTGTTCACAGGTTGCCTTTTTCAACAACTATTTGAAGGACCCAAATCGCCCACAGCTGCCCGAGCCCCAGGCCCAGAAACCCCCAGGTGGTGGAGACAGGCCCAACCAGGGTGACATGCAAGGGGGCGGGGGCGGAGGCAGTGGAATGGGTTACCAGCAGCAGCAGCAGCAGTTCGGCAGTCACATGATGGGCTACGGTGGGCAGCAGCAAGGTGGGAATTTTGGCAGCAACCGAGGCTTCAACCAAGGTAAAGCGCGTGTTGGTGTCATCTATAGAGATCAATCACAGGTCACCTGAGCCCATTTTGGGGTCAGAGGCCTTGAAAAGAATTGCACTCAATCTAAATTGGTAGGAAACCTCAAGATACCTCAGTCATTTAACCATTTTGCACCGGGGTGCCCAGTTTCGGGCAGATAGGCATTATACATGAAGCCGGGGAGCCCAAAACCAGTCAAAAGAGCTAGGCCTTGAAACAAAAGACCGTACTCGGAACAAAAGACCCAGCTGCTGGGAATTGCTAACAATCTTTTTTCAGTTGTCAATAGCGGAGGAAATCCGTCATTGTTTTGAAAGATTATACCTCTGTTTGTGGCATTCAGCGCGAGCGGATTACCACCGGGGGCGAAAGCACTCCAGTGCTCCAGTGACGAGTGATACAATACCGCTGCATGCTAATCTGGCCCCTATTGAAAGGACGCCAGCCGCGCACTGTGCCAGTTTCAGGAACAAAAGAAAATTACGTAACACCACACAATCTGGGCTATTTTCACAAGGCAGCACGCCTGGCTGAAATACTCGGGCGTCAATAAATGTTGTCTGTCAGATTAGAGTAGCCACCAGAAAGTCATTCGTGCGGGTGTAAACGTCCAGTAAATGAAGTTATAAATTTTTAAAGAATTTTGAAAAATGGAAAAAAATTGAAAATTACCTGGCCCAGCAGAATCAACATGGATAAATGGGCCTGGTGCGAAGTTGTTAATGTCCATTTTCGTGGGGAGGCCAAACTGAGTGATACATCAAAACAAAGGTTTCACTTCACTCTGTCTCGTTCAAATTAATATTACTGATTTTCACGGGTTCCACAACATGAGTCTTGTCATTTTTCAAGTAGTTTTGTTCCTGTATACATCAGAAAGATATTAATAAGCTCATTCTTTTGATATGACTCTCAGTCTGGCATATTGTTGAAGCTTCCGATTGATTTACATTGTACAAGGTTCTCTCCAAGGCCTTCAACTCAAAAGTGGCTCCAGTGACTCTGGGGACACTGTTTGTCAGGCTGTGGGATCCCAATCACAGACATATTCAATGCTCTAGATGTGCTGGTCCTGGAGATACATGGAGCAACAGTTGCTTATTTGTCTTCGTCATTTGTGGGTTTTTTTGCCCCTCTCCAAGGTCCTCAGTTTGGCCACCAGCAGCAGCAAGGGTCCTTCCAGCGTGGCGGGGGCGTCTATGGGGGTGGCTTCAACAGACCACGCAACAGGTAAGAGAAGGCTGGTGTATGGTACCTGGGCACCGACTTGGTCACTGCTTTAACAGTTACAGTCCAGTTTGCTTGCAACCAAGTGGGTGGTTGTTTTTCATAAACAAACAAAATGTGCTTAGATCACCTTAGCACCAACTCCCCCCCCCCGATATTCAACTTCATATCACATCCATTGACTTTAATCATGACCTGGGTTTAAACCCAACCTAAGTTAGCCTGTGGATGCAGTCCCTGTCTTAATTCGACAATTTTCTTTTCAATATTTCTGTATTTATTTTTGTGTCTTCTTTAACGAAAGATCCCCTCCGTAACTGGGTAAAAAAAACTTTTAATATAGAGGCACCTGTAAGAAGAAAAATTCCCAGTAAAATCCTGAAAGGGTTCTTGATAAGGGAGGAATTCATACTGTAAATAGTAAAGATGTCTCATTAAACCTTCCCCCATCACCCAGCACTCTCCCCTTTGGCTTTCAGATTTACCAAACGAGGGGATCAGCTATCATCAAGAACGTACGTTACATTCCTTATTGTGTGTGTAAGAAAAAATTCCCTTGAGCCGGTATGAAAAGGGAATTGCAAGTCTAGAAAGATCTAGCCCCTCAGCATAGGAGATGAATTCTTGATGACGTTTAGCAGAAGCACTTCTTTTCAGATGGGCATGAACAGGTTGAGTGCACCCTGTCTTTAGGCGTTTCCCATAAGCCCTTGTGGTCCGTCTCGGATGTGAAACTGCCAATCATGAGTATCATTGGCTATGGCTGTGGCCAACAACCTTGGTGTGCAGATGGCAAAAGTCCAAGTCATAGCCACAAATTACCGAATTTGGACACAGCCTGGCATCGAAGATGGACCGCAGAGGATTGTTGAAGAAAAAGGGGTGTAAAGTGTCTGCAGGAAAGACAGGGCAGGATCTGGTATTTTGGGCTCTTGATGTAACATTGTTAGCCACTGCCGAGATAAAAGATCCCGGCTTGACCAGAGATGCCAACTTTCTAGTTTGTTTAGCCTGTTTCCAATTGCACAATCCAGAGGAGATTTTCACAGTTTCCAACTCCCAAGGTACAAATCATACAATTGCGTATACAACTGCATGCAAGGTAGCCTGGAGCCAGCCTGGTAATGTGCGCGTCAGAAATGTGTTGCTGGCATTCCACAGTTTGTGCGTACAAGATGCGTGAGTAACAGCGAAACCAGCAAGGTCGATCCACCTGCTGGCCCCAGTTAACGCTATGATGAACTAGGGGCGGACAGGCACGAAGGCACTTCATTAGCAACGTGATTGTGTATGTTCAGGAACCTGCATCTTCATCGTTACATCATATTGTGTAACAGGATCACACTTTTCAGTTTGACAAATTGGCATCTCTGTATTGCTACCTATTGTCATGATGAATTATGCATGTATTCACCGTGTCAATGTCAGAACTGCAAATGTTCAGAAGCGATAATCAGATAATCAAGACCAAGATGAAGGCTTTGAACACCATTTGGCACTTGAATCACATGACCTGACTTGACCAAACCCATAATAGCATGCATGGCGAAAGCATTAGATTTTTCTTGTTCATGAATCAGGCATGTTTTTCTGTTTCCATTTGGTTTGAAGTTTTATTGTGTAACTCTCATATTGAAATGCTCTGTACTGCAAGCCTGTAGCTTTGCTTGATCCCCATGCTCAACGATTCGTTTGCCAAGTTCACCTTGTTCTCCCCCAAAAATGAACAACCAAGGGAACAACCCAAAATTGAAAATCAAGAGATAAGGCCCCTCCCCTCAAATGTTTGCCTCTGGTCAGACTGATGTTCTGGAATAGATGCGGCGACGTGGTTTTTTCCCCCTCCCGTCCGCCAGTGTTGGACTGTACGGATGATTGCAACAGCAAACAGCTCCAAATCCATAATCTGCTATCATTGTTCAACATGGATCTCGCTGCGATCTATCGCCCTATGTAACAGATCAAGCTGCTCGCCAAAATGTTGAGGCAGTACGGCAAGAGAGGGCGCTGCTGTAGCTATCGCAGAGAAAAAACCGTAAAGGTTGACGCGCATGCTTCAAATCGACGTGCGCACTGAATAGAGACGAAAGACTTTTGGGGGCCTGACTGAAAAGCTATCCCTGCTGTGAATGTAGGATACATTGCTTGCTCCTTTCATGAAATTTTTGAGGACGAATTTTATGCCATGGCATTTTTTTCTGGAACAAAGCAAATTTGAAGTTGGTTAAACACAATTTTAGTTGTGTGTACGTCAGATCTGCCCAAAGTACATGTACACTGTGGGATTTATTGGTCTCATGTTAGATCTGCTGCTTCCTTTCACACTGGATATGATAAACGGAAGGGAACAGGTAATTTGGGGGAAGGGGTTAGCCTCGGCAGTAACCGGTCATTGTTAAAGATTGTTCATTTGTTGGGTAAGATGAACAGAGCCATGCCGTGTTCAAAACCTGAACTGATATTTGCAAAAGAACGGTGCCATCAGTGCGACCAATGGTCCATGTATGTCTAATCTGAATAATTCAGGCATGCGACTCCATCAAAAGGTCATCGTCGTACGTCAACCTGAATAAAATAAAGGGAAGAGGGGGAGGATAATTGCCTTTGTCTCATTGGATGTTGTTGAATGGTTGAGTATTTATGTCATGCTTTGGGCAGCACAACAACCAAGTCCTCTGTAGATGTGCCTGGTGAGGCCTGCCTACGAGATCCCCATTATCTACATGATCATTTTGTTTGCAGACTGGCCAATTAATTTGCTGTTAGTACTCTTGCCTGTTCTGTTGTTTATTCAGCGTCAGGTTACCATTGACCGCAATAGAGGGGGGAAAACAGGCAGGAGACAGTCTTTAGATAGAACATCCGTCCTTGTAATTTATGGAGTGGGAGAGAAGGGCATGGGCAACTGTTAACCTCAGACCGTAAACCTCTAGCCAAGTCATGAGATGCCAGTGTTTGCTTTATGGAATGTTGATAACTGTCGAATTTGTATCTAAAGGCTGTTTGCAGCCTTTCAACAAAGAGACTTTACCACCTACTGATGTCCAAGTACATCAGTGCCTGGGGAAATCCACTGGCCTGACACTGTTGGCACTCATTCATGTCTTGAAAAACTATCAAACTGCTCGTATCTTTTTAAACACGGCCAATCGTGAAGTTTGTGAGAGACTACGGATGGAGAGTATTGGTTGCCACCAACGTTCAAAACACATGACTATTTCTCCCCCGTACTTGAGGTTACATTTAAGTAATTTAGCGTGGATTTGGGCTGTGGTTGAACGAAGCTCTCGTTGTAGTGTCCAACACTTGCAAGGGATGAAATTGAAGCAAACATTCAGGGGAAACAATATGAGGTTGTATTTATTGTGTCTTCTGTCTACAGGGATCCCAGACACATTGTCAACTATCGTGACCTGGATGCGCCAAATGACGACGATTTCTTTTAATGCCATATGAGGCAGGAATTCGACACCACATAAGCTACTGTCCACCCCACCCACACCTTTGTCTACCTGCCACGCCCAACTGAAGTCCACTTTAAAGATACCGTACAAGGGTAACATATGCCCAAAGCACATTGATGGTCAGCTCATTCGTCAGTAACAGTCGCTGTTGAAACTCCCTTGAATGAGAGAGTTCATGGTGACCTGTCTCCTCAAATTGGCGTGGGCAATCTTGGAAGTCGAGGAGGTTATTTTAATTTGTTTGGTTTGTACAATGTAATTTTTTTTTAGTAGAGGAGTTGAAACTTACTTTCCTGGACTGAGACTCTCAGCAGATGTCGAGCTAACAGTTAACACAAACAAAACCAAACAGCAAAATATAAGCGACTTATTGATCATTTACTCAAGTCCTGGTGCCCCCGCCCTGACTGGCCCATCTCTGCCGCATTACTTTAAGCAGTGTCGTAGCACCAGATTTCGTAATAATTACAAGCTATTGATCATAACACTGGCAGAGTTTACGTGGGACCCTTGTCTTCAGAAATATCTTCTTCCCCACACCACTCCACCAACCGTTTCTCCACCCAAGTGCTACCCCCACCCCTTCATTGGTCCTTGCATCCTTGCCCTGCCAGTGCCTATCAACCATTAACATGAAGGCTGAATCCGTGCGTACCGTACCTTCTCAGAAGACATTAAGTGCTTAGCAAAAACTCAGCGAGGAACGAGTATGGATCATAGGACTATTTAGCCGGTTTCTTTCTTTTTTTTTTTAATGAATTTGCTAAACAGAAATGAGCCATCGTTTGATTCTACCACTTCCTTCCCATGCTTTCCAACTGATTTTAATGAAGTCCTTTTTGTTTTAGAAACATATTTACTTTTTGTTGTGTCCATGAGCTGTAGACCAGTGCTGTGTACATGTGTATTAAAGCTTAAATTTCTGTGGTTTAAAATATCTTACAATAATTCACGTGCTTTGTCCAAGTTTGTAGTGGGAAACCTTAAATTGTCAATGTGGCTTCAGTTGGTTTTGAAATAAAGTAAATACTTGTGCGCAAGCCGGAATTGTGTGGATTTTATTGAGTAAATGCTGGTTGTCGTACATATTCATGATTACTACATGCCTGTTTATAATTATTAGCAGTAAATGATTGGACCCTGCGAGTCTGCCTAGGTTCCAGCTGTTATGCCAATTATCCAAAAGTACAACTGGTGTAGGGAATAAATTTTGAGGTGGAAATACCCAACCAATTGAAGTGTTTTCTCACGCCGTTAGAACGTTCTCATGTTATCGTGTACATTGGCACCCTCTACATGTATATGGTTGTTTTGGAGGGTCACTGGGACCTATGACGGGATTGCATGCACTTGTTTGTTGGTGAGGGAACACACGGTTTGAGGACATGTATGTTCAAAACGTCAGTGGTTTGTGTACTTAATTTTGGCGTGCGCTTCACGCCATGCGGAAAACCCTGACGGGCTCCTCTTTGCATGTACTGTGCGGGATGGAAAAAGAAGCCGTTGCCAATTTCACCGCTGTTTGGAATTAGTGAGTTGTTAGGTTGTAGACTATTGTTTTATTGCCAATGTGATATGAATGTTGGCCCTCAACCTCTTTCTTGTCCCCTGGGGCAGTTTTTCTCCCACTGTTTGGCGATATATTTTTATGTCGCAGCTATGTTCTCTGCTTACGATATATGAGCGCATTTGCTGCTTTGCAGCTGTTGACGCGCCCAAAAATTGTCCAACCCCAACCTTCAGGGGCGCGTCCTGTCCCCAATTGCTTCCCCTGAGACCGAGCAATGACGCGGGGAGTCTCTCAATGAGACGGCACATCCTGGACCGATTTAATTAAATTATACCTTTTTCATTAAATGTGGTCATCGTTGAGTGCGCAGGCTGTCAGCGCGTGCGTAACAAGACAACTTCACTTTGGGAAACATTCGTGAATAATTTACTCAGTTCAAAAATGAAGGGAGACATTTTTTGTGCCCGAGAGTAAAGATAGCTAGAAAAAAATATGATGTGATGATGATATCGACAAGTGATTCCAATGTACACACACTAGCACATTTCGTGTTGATGAAAATGATGTGTTTCAAAGTTTACGGGGAATTCTGCTGTTGTTTCCAGTTCGTTTCTTTCGTTTACCTCCACACGGAGATTCAAGAATCGATACCACGGCCTCGGCACTTTACGTAACAGATGCATTATGTGATCATTTGGCTTTATCGAAAAGGGGCGACACTTGGCAGAAATCCGGTTTGCGATTTTCTGAGACCGGTGGGGTGGCCTAGTTGCCCGTCAGGTGTGTAGCGGAGAAGAAAACCTTCCCGTCTGGCGTGGCGTGGCGTGGCACGTTCGATTGATTGGACCAACGTGTTACTAAATGCAACCCCGGAGGGCGATGGAGATCCTTTGCTGACGTGAAGCGGGTCCCAAACACCACCGAGAATTCTCGGCTTTCGTTTCGTGCGCTGCAGGAAAAGATAAAGCATCAATAATAGGCCATTAAATCGTAATTGATCAACGTCCATGGGTGGCCCTGTTGGTTATGTTTATACTCGATTTTTTTGCCGAATCGGAATTGTAATGTATATCCGGGTTTGTGAGCTAGTGGCCATAGTCTTTTGTTCACATGAGATGGACGATGCTTTACCACATTTCTTCTCAAACTTAATGTTCTCCAAATCAAAAACGAAGACAAAGCATTAAACGAGAGTCGACAGAGTGAGCTCAAATGCCAGTTTGAGGTTGAATCACGAATTAAAGATTTTTACTTATTTAAGGTTTGTTCCAACAGTATGTGTACAGTTGCTTTTTTTCTCGAAATCTCCGGTACGTAGTAGAAATTCAATTGTTCCTGCGATTTGAAAGGGACCTTAAAGTGCATGTATTGTCAGTAGATTCGCAGCTGAAAGTTTTCAGACCGTGATGCCGGCTGTATTGCCGCATTTTTATGCGACTGTTTTCATGTCCAAGATGACATGTGCAAAATGACATTTATTTCGACATCATACAAAGGACATTCATTTTGTTTCCACAAAGGAATGAATTCACGCACTAAGCGACGAAGCGATAAAAAAACACACAAAATATGGTTGGTAAAGATTCAATTAATTGAAATGCACCCGATGTCCAAAGCAAATGATCCCAGAATGCCTGTAACTGACGTTTATGTATATTTGCGCTATTGCTTGTGTAAACTGCTCTGTGTAGCCGTGCATGTAGCAACTTCAGCAAGAAGTTGAACACCTTGTTTGTTTTCAACCCCGAATAATCGTTTTATCGCTTTTAATTTCAGGTTGCTGCTGGCTGGACGGTCGATCTGTCGTCTTTTCGAGCAGTGCCTTTTATCATTTTCACTTCGTATGCAACATACAAAGTCGAGTCCGTTTTTTACACAAGATTGTTTTATCGATCACTCGTGCATGCGTTGCTTGTCTGTTAAACCAATTTGTGTTGGCTTCGGAAATTACATATTTGCCGATGTTGTTTCATTTGGCAAGTTGGCGCGTGTAAGTAGAAAGGGTGCGTGCGCTCCCAAAGTACACACGATAAAACAGTCTTTGCGGTATCTGAAAAATTAATCTGTGAAGGTTTGGTTGGGGCAGGAGAGGGGAGAGGTATTATTGTACACAAAGGCCAATGTAGACGTAACGGCCGCTACAACTTTTGGATTGTTTAGTTGGACCGACTGAATGTTGTGAGCTTGCATGTTAAGTGAATGTAGACGCTCGTGTTAATTGTGACCCGCCTTTTTGTTATAACCTGAGCCCATTCACCTAAAGAAAAACGGAGTCCTCTACCACACTTTTAATTTTTAATTAAAATTTTTAAGTGAGATTTAAGTTGTCAGTACTAGTACAAATGAATAACCTCCACCCCCGGAAAAATGAGATCGGCCCGGTGGTCCTTGAATCACAGGCCAATGAGCGAGGCATGGACACTAATGTCGTAGTGCTTGCGCCTGGTATACGTTTACACGTATATGCATAGCAATGTCTACAGACCGACCATAATTGACGGAGAGAAACGTTCACACTGGTTTTACGCTGTCATAAAAACTTCAATAAAGCTTTATGATTTGTATGTCTGTGACGGCGGACAATTAATCTCTCTTGAGACGATGGACAATGTATTGCCATTTTTAGGATTTGAAAACAGCAACATTTCACTTCGGCACCGGCGCTGAAATTTCTTGGTCGTGCACCAGACCACAAACTCTACACTCCGCTTCAGGGCATGGGTGCATGCATGACTCTCGCGTTGTTCTGACCGGCCCAAATAGTTTCAAAAGTCGACCACCCCGCCATATGCATACCCTCTGATTCTTTACATTTCTGGATTAACAGAGGTCCATGACGTCGATGGTTTGCGAAAGAGGACACTGTTTGAAGCCACGGACAGGACTACCCCCTGCGTTCCTGCCAAATGGGGATGAAATTTGGCCTTAAAAACAATGGCGCAACCGGGGGGGCTTGAGCCTCTAAGAACTGTTTCTTTTTTCTACCTTCTGAACAATGAAGAACGAAGTATATGAAACTACTCGGCCTGATGATCCTTATACGTTCCAGTCCCCTCTGTTGCAACCGGGGGGGGCTGGGGTTGAACATCGTAAGCTATAGCATAGGGGAAATTTCGGCCCAACCCCCGATTAAGTTCCGGGCATGTCGATGCCTAAACTTGTTCTCTGATTTTAAAATGGAGTGAAGGTTTCACCTTTGTTTCTAAATGGTGGCCATGGCGCTTCCAGGACGATTGCGGTTTGTTTATGTTGGTGCAGTTTTGAGATGGTCATCTTCTGGGGTACTCAATTTCACTCACAGTTGTCGGATCAGAACCACCAACCCCCCCCCCTCAAAAAATTAAAACAAAAATCGAGATGATGAAACAAGCCTTGATTAAGGTTTTCTATGGGATGAAAAAAAATATGAGACGGTTGTATTTTCCCCGATATTATTAAGTGAGGATATAAGCATTCATCTTGGTTGCCTGTGGCGGCTAGTTTTTATTTACTGGCCTCCAACTATGTGCTTGATTAGTAATGAGATTGTGGCTAGCTCCTTGCTGTCACCTCTGCGTCCCGGGTTGGAATCCGTCTGCTTGTGAATTGGGTTTCCAGTCCCAACCCGATTACGTGGTTTTTCTCTGGAAAAATTTCTCTGAAGTTTTATTCCCCTCTTCACCGAACATTTCGTCATGGAGCCTGAAGGTTGACCCCTGATGGCGCGCTTCTGGAATTCTTGGATGGGAAAAATAACGTGCAAAGATTTTAGAATTTGTAGCATTTTTTTCGTTCAGCTGCTTCCTAACAAATTCAACTTTGAAAACGGGCTATGGATAATATTTGCTCTTACATCAATTCATAGAAATTGAAAAATTATCTGACCTAAAAGAGAAATATCCTGCCAAAAATTGACCCATCACTTCCGAAAATATGAAATACATGAAGAACAGCCCAGTGCGGCGGTCTCGTACGCATATGAACATTTACGGTTTGAAATTTTATGGTAGTCTGTCGGTAAAAACCGAAATAAAAACAGATCAAAATATTTTTGACACGTTTATAATTATAAGGTAATAACGGCAATAAAGCAATATTCGAAATATGCGAAAGATTATATTATTTTATCTAACCTTTGCTGACACAACTGCAGTGCGTGATGTCGACTCAACGGAATCTGGAACTCATCGACTACAGGTAGGTGAATCTTTGCAACGTTTTACAATCTCGTTTTCACGTGAGCACGGAGTGAAAACAACGTGCATGAACACAGAGACCTAGGTTATGATATCGCCAGACGTGAAAGGTCGTTGATGAAATTCATTTTTTACCCATCTCCAGGTGACTTTTCCTAAATTAGTTGAGAAAGACAAAGGTAAAATCCCAACGTGAGTGTTTCATGGGGTGGTTTCAGTGAGGAATTATTCTTCCAAAACTGATCAAACGTGGTAGGAGGGTGAAATGTGAAATCCCCGTAGGTTGAACGCGCGAGGGTTCCGGAAGCTCGATTCGCAACTGTTTTTACTTTCAGGCTCTATTGTCCGGGTCCTAAATGATCAGCTTTAGCATTAAAGATGATAATATGTAAATAAACAAATGCTTTACACAGTTATTTTTGTGTGTTGCTTTTGTTTTTGTTTTTTGTTGTTCTTTGTATCGGAGAAATTGCACAATGCAGCCTAGTGTTGCTGACATGAATAAGCACAACAGCCTGAATTGATTGGAAATTTTGCTCTCATAAAAACCTCCGATACCCTTCTGTTAGCACTATCCTGAGGGCAATTCATTTACTCTTGAAAAAAGGTGTAGCCGTCTTTACTGTTTCACACGAACCGAAAGCACGTGCGGTTACCCTTTGAAATGGTGCATTTCTTGACAGTTTGAAGCTTCGAATGACACACATTTCCCTTCTAAAACTCAACGACACAAACGTGCGGCGTTGTTCATTCACTGCGTCCACGGTTGCCCAGCGCCTATGCGCCAATTCACCTTCGCACGTCCCTCCAGAATTACCGAAATCCGTCAGCAAACACCGCTAATTAGTGCCAGCCCTCATCAGAGCAACAAGAGACAGAAAACCTCGTTAACCAGGCAATAAACGAACAATCAACTCAGTTACCGGCGAACAGTAGGGATAATATCCGTTAGCAAAGACACTGTAACTAAAGGATGCTACCGGCGGGCAATCGCCGCACAAAAGACCTCCATTCCAGCCAATTAAAATAGTAATCTACAACAAATCCTTTTGGAGAGCTGCTGGACAATGAGTGACAATAGCTCCGCAACAACAGATCAACCGACACCTATTATTGCAGAGAGGCGACTCAGGTTGAAAACCTGGATGGTTCGTCGGCGTTTGTTGGAATCAAACGATTTTTCACCGGTTAAAAAACCTTAGCCTCGGCGTGTTATTCTGTGTAAATTTGAACAGCTAACCGAGTGAGTGTGGTGCCTCAACGCTTGCTCAAGCCGCTCTATTATTCCCACCGCACGCACAGAGTCCTCGCAGTTTTAGCCAACGTTGAACGGTCGTCAGCATGGGTACAAACAATGGCAAGCGCTTGTGACATGACGTACAATGATTTACGCACAGTTGCAGCCAATCACGTCACGATGGAGCCTTTCCTTCACGCCACAGCCAACAGGGTTGCGTTGAACTTTCCAAGGGGCGGAGCCAAGGATGCAAAGCACAAGTTTCAAGCACCTGTTGCGTGTAGCCTTTGACTGATAGAATACAAGGTTGTGTTGTTTTTAAAGCTCGTGGTCTTTTTCCCGCCTTGGTCCTGAACATAAACACTATTTCGGATAGGATACTTGTCAATCCGTGAAAGAGTCTGAAAAAGAGACCATCGCCATCGCTAGAAGAGGTGCGAATTCTTGGATGAAACACAATCAAAATTTTTGTTCTAGGAAGTGAATTTTGAGGCAGAACAACGGCGTTAAATTCGGGACATGATGTCTTCTGTTCCGGTTCCTCTACAAGTGTCCAGGTAAGCTTGACTGAGAATATTGTGTTGAAATTTACACTGTCTTTCATTTCTTATATATTAAATAGATTTCGTGGCTCATTTTAGAGCCTAATGATCTGGTCCGCTGTTTCTGACTTTTTGGAGGGCATAATAACATGTCTTTCAGCTGTTAGTTGAACAGACATTTATTTCCCCTAATGTCCTTGACGCGTTGTTCTGATTTTCATTTGTAATTTTAACATATTGCGAATGTAAATAATGTTTGATGCAGTATATTGTCACATGCATCGTTTTAATTTACTCAGTTTCAATTACTGTAAAGTGCATTTGAATTTTTCAAGATACATTTGCGCTCGATAAGTCTAATTATTAAATTACTGGTATTGGTGTGTCATTCTTGTTTTGATTGCACGTTTTCTCGAATTCAAGTTAAATCGATATGCTATAGTTGTAATGTCACATTTTGTACATCGACACTGCCAAAAGATTTGCTCCTCCCGGTTTCTGAGAAAACAATTCTAATTTCCTCTCATTGGATGATTAATTGTAATGTGATGAAAGAATGTGAATATTGTAGTATTATTCAAGTCATTATATAGAACCATGTGAGCAATTGCATGCATGCAGTTACATGTGAGATGAGATTTCTGTACGTTTACCAACCCGTGAATTTAAGTCGAACGTTTCGATGTTTGAATGTCATCAACTGCAGCCACCAGTCGCAAATAATCACGTAATTTTTGCCATTTGCCCTTCAAATTTCAGCCTTTTCCCATCAAATGACAAATAAAGGCTTTTGATGTCGATGCAATTTTCTTGATCCTCCCTCGTCAGTGTTCCATACATTTTGGACAGTTTGAGTCCCAGTCAGTATTAAACTAAATAAAGAGGCCTAGTTTGTATCCGGGATCCACATCCGTGGCTTTTTTTTAGCAACGCGGTTGCCTTAAATGTCACCAGGCACTGGGGGCCAACAGCGTTCAGTTCACACCGGTCGCCGCGTCGCATACAAGTAGATGAAAAATGGTAATTTTGCCCTTTCCGGGAGGGCGTGTCTTGGCGTAGAACAAAATTAATTGTTGTATGACACGGGTACTTGTGTAGGACGCAGGCGGACGTTGGCTGGACGTAGGGGTCCGTGCTGCTCCGATGAATGCCCTATCCGCCTATCCGTTTCAAATCGTCAGCCAACCGCAAGACCTATTAAAAATGTCCTGCAAGGACTCTGAGCCTTGTCATAGATGTTTTGTTTCCCCCATTTTTGCACACTGTCTATGCTAGAGTGACCGTGCAGTGCTTTTATTGATTTATTCCGTTTCTGTACCCAGGATATGCCCAAACAGTTGAAAACTGATTTTCACTGGGGCCCTGCATATTACAAACTATTAAGTAATGGTAAACCTCACATCACAAGATTATTACTTTGGAACATACAGTGAACACTTGTTCAAAATAAAATAATTTAAACACACATGCAATAACAAATGAACATGGTACTGCTAAAATAAAACAAATGTACATGTACACCTTTTGTATATTGTAAAACACAAGTTGAATTGCTGATCATGTTATCAAAATGAAGAAACCCATTGGAAAGAAGGGGAAATTTCCATCCGGCTCCAGTACACTTTGAAAGTATATTGGCAACCTATTACCATGACTCCGTAGATCAACTTTTAAGTCAATTTTCGCAAAAGCGATTGTTCGGAGACGGGTGCCGTTAGCAGCTGGCCTGCTATTTTATTGTTCAAAACCAATGTCTTTTTTTCAAAGCTATTTCTCTGCTTCTTCAGTTTTCTGACAACTGGACTCTCCTGAGTTCAGAATAATATTCCATAGGGTTACAGACCAGTAAATGAGCTGCCGTAAACAACATTGATGAATATCCCTACCTCAAAAAATCAGGAAAATGCCCATAAGTTTCTCAGATGGTCAAGACTTTATATCAGATTAAAGCTCACTTCCCCATCTTTTATTTTCCTTTCAATTATCAGTGGCTTAACCGACTTGTTGAAGTTATTTCCAGAGAAAATCGCCCCTCAAAACATTCATGAAGCCCCCTCACCATTTTGAAAATTGATGCCTACACTCCATTGAAACTAGAGCGATTTAGAGGGTCCCGTTGGTCCTATACTTTCAGAAATACAAGCTGGCCGTCCTGCTTGCAGATTCCATCCTCCTTCTCAACCAACCACTTAGTCCACGTGCCACGAAGAGCTCTCATAGCAGAGAATATGACAGGACTTACAAATCGTGATTTGGTCCGCGAAGGCAATTTTGGAGCTATTTACTGGCCTGCAATCATAGCCAAGGGCCACATGAGCTGACGGAGTTCAGCCCGCCGATACACCCCTGGACACTCAGTGTCCCCGCCCATTTATTTTGCTCCATTCCGAATCCGTACACTCAGGTTTTGTGCTGTCTAGGTAGGCCTATACTATTCTGAGTCTGTCGACATGGCCCATGCATCCATGCTCAACTTGCTTTTCCACTTCATTGTGGTTTTGTGCATTTCTTACCAAGGTTCCGCCCACTTCCAGAATTTAGGGCCCGCCCACTTATTGAACCCAAACTTTGTAGCCTTAAATACGCCCGCCTATAGGCCTGATCAACCCACCTTTTGTTGCACAATCAAAGTAATTGACTGATCATTGACCAAGGGCGGACCCAGGACCAAATTTTCGGGGGGGGGGGGTAGAGGGAGGGCAAAATGTGTAAATGTCTGTAAGTAACTTTTTTGGCTGTTCTGAGGGTTGTACAATATTTTCGGGGCTTTTACATGCTTTTCGACGGGGAATGGAATGTACCAAACAATCGCCTACCCGGGTATGTGTCTTTTTTTTTTATAAAGGCTCCTTTGGGGGAAATGGCTCCTCCCCCATTTGCCCTTTTCAATTTACAGCGAACATTTATTAGTGATTTACCAGTTGATCATCACTTCCAGGAGAAACTAACCAGAAAGGCAATGCAAGAACATCAACAGAAGTTTTAAAATTTGTAAAAAAGGTAACCGCTTTTTCAGACTTAACTGATTTCATACAAGATATCTTTACACGGACTAAACTAACTTTCTATCTGTCGTTCGGTTCCCACTCTCTTTTTGGATGACTTCGTCTATTCAACCGTTGCTATTATTCGCCTCGGTCCCTATGATTTATGTACCTTTTGATCTGTTTTCCCCAACGGGACTATACTGCCGCGGGGTAGTCATAGAAGACACAGTTGCTACCATGATGAATGGTCTTAATCATCGATATACTGCCTCTTAACGCGAAAGCCATTGACCAATTACAACTAGAAAGGTTGTATACTTTATAGGCATTGAATATAATTTACGCCGTGCTAGTTTTCTACGTTCTTAATGTTTACTACTAATGCAACAGTTTGAACATCATTATGATTATGTTCGTGCAATACTTGACTGTATTAAAAAGGTCTAAAAATTTCTGGCACACCCCTTAAGTAAAGAACGAATGGCAGGAACCTGAGCGCCCGGTTCTCTGAATGGAATTGTTCGCGTCTGCAATGCTTCAGTCAAATCCTAGTCATAATTACAAACAACAAAGAGGGCACTCTTACATTTTTCTTCCTCTCCAGAATCTTTGATAGAGAAAACGAGAATGAATTCACGAATACAGAAAGAGAATTTCGTTGTCAGAGGGTCCCCCTGCGTCTGGCCAGAATGAAACTTCTACATTCAGCTTTCTTTTTGATGAAAACTTTTCAAAAAAAATAAAATATTGATGAGCCGACTCGACAAGCCTCTGCAGGAGTTAAGTGATATTGTTTAGACTTTTTCGACAGCCCGGAGCTCATCTTTTATCCACAGTAAACAAATTGGGGAAATTAAAAAGGCGGTCATTTGAGACTCGGAACACGTACAAAATTGAAAGCGTAGCTGTCCTACCGTAACGAACTGTGTAGGGAGAGGATAATCAGTCGACCCGAGGGTTCCAATTTCTGTGGGCAGGAGTCGCACCAACTGTTGCCTGTATAGCTAAATAGGGAGATATTTATTTTCAATGTGTGTCGGTAATATGTGATATTGCCTCGGGCAAAAGAGGGGACGGATGGTGATATAGTACATTTTAAAAGCAGCTGTGGCAAGTTAATGGAAAATCTTAGGCTTTTGAGTAATGTAGACCTACAGCCCTAATGTAGAAACTCTGTTCCCAGTTGCCCATTCACGACATGCACTGTACAACAAACCATGGCCACGCTGGTGCCAAAATTCAAAAGCGACCAAGTCGGACTCGTAATGCTAATCGGCCCCTTTTCCGCCAAAACAGTCATTTTGACCATTTCTTTATCAATCAAGTGACAGTCCGCCGTATCTGATTTCTGCATGCATTAAACTACATAACTTGCGATCAGCACGCTCATTGCTCTGAGCATTTGAGAGGCTAGTCGAAGCTAATCACCATAAAATGCCTACTACCATCGAGCCTAACGAGTTTGTGAGATGACACCGATCTCCGAGTTACAAGCGCGCCGCTTGAAACCCGACGCCGTCCAAACCTCGCTGGGCCCCGCTGCCGTGACTGGTCTGGACACGCCGACTTAACAATTTGATATAATTAGACTTATTTTCAACGCTGTAGACACAGCGCATCGCGTAGTCTTTGTTTTCGGCTGGTACGTCGAGCCACTTCCCAGTGATTAGCCAGATGAATTTCGTATGCATTAAATCCTTGATGGTCCCGCGACGTGGAGTGTAATATCATAATGCATCCGTAGGCTGCTTATAGTCCGCCCACCCCATCTCTGCTCGCATCTGCCTTCCCTTGTCGACCGGCACTGGACTTGCAAATTGGCAAGCGTGGCGGGCAGGTATTCCACCGAGTACCTGTCGGTTGGTGAAGCGGTGCATTTGAGCGTAAACGGTGGTTTAAAATGTTACTCCACAATATATTAGGTGGTAGAGCGCGGAAGCTTTAAGGCCAATTTTTTTATGAGTTAAACTTGTGAAAAAGGAGGGAAACAGATTGGCAACTCAATTATACTTTCTCATATTATATAAG